AAGTCTCCGGGCCGGGAACTTGTGTGCCCCATAGCCAGATCGGGGTTATCTCTCTGGCCAGCTGCAGACGCTCGCCTCCCCCCCCCTTGGAGGTCAAGCATGGGGCAGGAAACAGAAGGGACTTGTTTGGGCTGGAAGCCTCGGTCACAAGCTGTGGGGCTGGGATTCAGTCCAGGGGGTGACCCACGGCGTCATTGTAAAGGGCAGTGTTGATTTGCTGTGGAATCAGGGGGAAGAGACTTGGGGGGGGTCTTTCCCTAGAGAAGGATGTCCGATCTTGCAGCTTTAAGTCCTGTGGACTTCGACTCCCAGAATTCCCCAGCCGGCATCGCCGGCTGGGGAATTCTGGGAATCGAAGTCCACAGGACTTAAAAGTTGTTAAGATTAGACACCCCAACACACTGGAGCCAAATTTTCAAAGTAAAGTCAGTCTTGAAAGATTGCTGTGAAATTTAAGCGTGTCTCTGAGCATGTACAGAGTGCCCTTGTCCTTCCCAACTGCAACAGCATCCTAAGAAGACCTAGAAGGACTTCAAAGCAGGCAAGCGGTTATCTGGACAACTAGTCCAGAATGCTTGAGCAGGGGGCTGGACTAGATGACCTCCAAGGTCCCTTCTATTCTATTCCGTTCCAATTCTGTGAAAGGAGGGGGGTCACCCTGGTGGGGTTCTAAGGGTCACTTAAACAGCAGGAATTTCATGTGACCTGGTTGTGGGAGTCCTCGAGTGACAACCATTCATTTAGTGACCGCACCACATTAAAATAGCGTGGAAAAAAGTGCCTCACACTTATGACCGCTTGCTGCAGCATCCACAGAGATCAAAATTCGGGTGCTTGGCAGCCAGCATGCACTTATGACGGTTGCCGCATCCCGGAGTCACATGTTCGCCATTTGAGACTTTCCCAGCCCGCTTCTGATGAGCAAAGTCGATGGGGGAATTTGCTTAACGACCATGTGATTCATTTAATAACCACAGAGATTTGTTGAACACCCCATGGCTGAAAGAGGTCCTAGAATTGGGCGCAACTCCCTTAACAACTTGCTTAGCAATGGAAATGCTGCTCTCAATTCTGGTCGTAAGTCGAGGACTATCCAAGTAATCTCGACTTATGACAGTTCATTTAGTGACCGTTCAAAGTTACAACGGTGCTGAAAAAAGTGACTTACGAACATTTTTCAACTTACGACCGTTGCAGCATCCCCAGGGGTCACGGGGTCAAAATTCGGATGCTTGCCAAATGACTCGTATTTATGGGGGTCAGAAGGTCAAGGAGGGAGCCAGATTCACTTAGTGACCGTGTGACTCATTTAACAACCGCAGCAATTCGGCTAACCAACGTGACGAGAACAAAGTCGTAAAATGGGGCCGAACTCACGTCACAAAAATTTGGGGCTCCATTGTGGTCGTAAGTCGAGGACTACCAGTAGGAGGTGCTTTGCCCGCCCAGTCCTGTTCCTCAGCCCTCTGGGAAAATTTTCCCTGCACTTGGTTTCTGTGCAGGTTGCAAGGCCTGGGGGGGCAGAGGGGGCACGATGAGGGACCTGCCCCACGGAGGGCAGCACCCAGTGGGCGCCTGGCGGGCCTCGACTCTCTGCTCAGCCTCTTCACTGAAGGAGGAGCAGCCGGGAAGGGGGTGCAGCCCCCTTCAAATTGATTCCAGACCCAGAGTGCTGGGGGAGGGAGGCGTGGAGGGGGGGACGGAGGGAGAAACGGGGGTCCCCAGCTGTCTAATTGGCGGGCTCCGTACAAACCAACCTGTTTTGAATTAGGCTGAGCCCCTCCCCCTCCCTTCCAACACCCCAATAAATGACTCGCCTGCAGCCAGATTTTTTTGGGGTGGGGGCAGATGGGATGAGATACAGAGAAATGGGAGGGGAGGAACTGGATCCAGGACACAGGGAGGGGTTGGGGGAGGGCTTGCCCGAAACGTCTGCCCAGATGTTCCTCATCTGTCAGCCATCTCTGCATGTTTGAAATATCTCCATTTATCTTTGCTCTGCAGCGATATTTAGAGCCCCCCCCCCACCCATGGATTTGGGGAAAGAGGGAGAAAGGAAGGAAGGGAGGGAGGGAGGGGGCCGTGAAGGCGTCAACGAGGACCCCCGCCAGCTCCCTTTAGGGGTGGAGAGGAGAGGGCTGTCTGAGCTAGACAGTGGGATGCAACGCAGATCCTGCCCCCCTCCTCCTTTACTCCCTCTATCTCTCCCCCCTTCCCCAGTGTCCAGGTGCATTGCACTCCAAGCCCCATTATCCCCTGCCCACAAGTCCCATTATCCCCTGCCCACAAGGCCCGCGTGGTCATCCTTTCTCCGAATGGACGACCTCCTTGGACCCCTGCGCCCCCTTCCCTCTGCGCGGGTCTTTCCCCAAACTTGGGAAATCTTTTGTTCCTCGCTTTTGGTGGCCCGGGGGGGGGGGGGAGCGGGGAAAGGGATTCCTCAACCCGGGAAATCCCACCAGTAGAGCCGCCAGGCACCGTCGGGGGAAGCTCTGACTTGCGCCCGGACGGTCGCTCGTTGCGCGCCAGCAGAATCCGCGCCGGACGGGCGCTGTTGGCTTTGGCAGCGGCTGAAAGCACCCAGGCTCGCCTCTGCCAGGATGGTGGGGGGGGGGGGGCTGCGCGTCCCAACCTCCACAAAGGGGGGACCTCGGCGGGGGGATGAGCTGCGGGGGGCGGGGGGCGAAGGGAAGCCAGTCGGCGTGACATCATTCAGGATCCCCGTTGCGTCTGGATGGCGCTGCTCAACTTGAATTCCCAGAATCCCCCCCCCGACAGCAAACTTTGCATTAAGCCCTGGGGAGGGTCGGGCTGCACGTTTTGCAGAGGAGACCCCGGCCCCTGCCAGTACGTCCTGTCGTGTCTATGTCTCGCGGGTGGGTGGGTGGGGGGTCTCTCTGCAAATTGCGCGCGCGGCCCGACTGGCGAAGAACTGAGCCTCTGGAGCGCTGAGCACCCCCCCTCCCCGCAGATAACGCCCCCCCTCCCGGTGCCACCCAAGCGCCCCCCTCCTCACCGCCGCTCAACTTTCCTTGGCTTTGAGAAGGGTGGGTGGGTTTCATTTCCCAGAATCCCCCTGCCAGCAACTCTTGCATTTTGCTCTGGGGTGGAGGGTGGAGGAGGGAGGGTACCCTCTGCCCCACCCTGCCGATAAGGAGGATTCCCCCCCCACCCATCCACCCCGCTTTGATGCACGGAGACCCCCGCCAGTTCGTCTTTTTGTGTCAAAGTCTCGCGGGTGGGTGGGGGATGTACTCTGCAACTCGCGAAGAACTGAGCCGCGGGAGCTCTTAGCCGCCCCCACCCCCACGCAGAGAGCCCCCGGTCCCACCCAAGCGCCCCCCCCCGCCGCTCCCCTTTGATCCCGCTTTCCGCTGCAGTTGGCGAAGAACAATTAAGCGCGCAGACGAAGCCTTGGCAGCGGCGGAGGCATTTCCTCCCCTGGGGAGGGAAATGGGGGGGGGGAGAGAAGACCTCCTCCAGCAGCCCCGAAAGAATAGACTGCATGGCAGCCGGGCACGCAGGACCCCTCCTCCACCCACCCCCACCCACCCACCCACCCGTGCACGAGAGGCGTCCTGTGCAAAGGGAGCTTCCTCGCCTTCGGCATCCTTCACATTGCCGGCTGGGGATGATGGGAGGTGCGGAGGGGAGGGGTCTGCGTGGGGATTCCCCGCTCGGATCTTGGCAGAGCGATTTTTTTTTTCCTTCCCTGGCTCCTTCCAGGGACCAGGGACCGTGCACGGTCTGCAGCAGGGGGGGGGCACCCCAGCCTTATCCAACCTGGAGTCCCATGCTCCACAACCAGCACGGGGGGAGCCTCCCAGGGAGCTCATGAGAAAGCGGCCCGGGCCCCTGTTGCCTTTGCATGGCTTCCTCTTCAACGGAGCCTTTTTTAAAATCAGAGTTTCTCAAACTTGGCGCCTTTAAAAGAGAGCGGACTTCAATTCCCAGAATTCAACCCAGGAGTGGCTGGATGGGGATTTCTGGGAATTGAAGTCGCCAAACTTAAAAGACGCGGCGTTCAATTTGGGGCAATCTCGCTTTCTAAATGCGCTGATAGAAATATAACATAATATACATAATATCATTTATTTATGCATACATATATTTATATCTATATCAATAGATATTTGTACCAGCGCATTTACAAAACCGCGCCTACTGCGCAAGTGCGGCTCTTTTGCCCAGCCTCCGTGACGTATCCGGAAAACTCCCTCTGGCCCGCCTTTGCCGTGACGTCATTACGGCGTTCAGCGTCGCGTCCATAAAAGACGTCCCTTTCCTTGATGCCGCTCTAGGATTTGACGTCTCTGTAGCGGAAGCGCGCTCTTTGCCTCTCTCTCTCTCTCTCTCTCTCTCCTTCGCGGAAAGAACTCTTTCTGGGCTTCAGGACTCTATGGCCTCCCCAGCTTTTGAATAGGGCCCTTTCAGGTCGGCCGCCATCTTGGATGGGAAAGCGAGTCTTTGGAGGCGGCAAAGAGAAGCGGAGGAGCGCGGCGGAGGAGAGGGGAGGGGAGGGGAAGGGGGAGCCTGGAAACTGCCGGCGGCAGCGGCGAAGGGGGAGCCTGGGAACCGGCCGCCCCGGGAAAGCCAGGCTGCGGTCGGTTTGCAAGGCTTTGCGGGACTACAGCACCCATCAGCCGCGGCCGGCGCCGGGATCCCTGCAGCCGAGGGCCCGCCTAGGTCCCGCCATGGCCGGCGCGCTTCCCGCGGGGCCCCGGGAGAGCCTCCCTTGCGCGGCGCCCACCCCGCGGCCGCCCCCGTCGCCCTGCTGCAGCCCGGACCCCGCCGTGGCGCTCACCCCGGAGCGGAGCGGGGCGGCCGGGGGGGCAGGAAGCGGCGGCGGAGGCATCCTCCGGAGGGAAGAGCAGGAGAAGCCGCCCCCCCAAACCCGCAAGTGGGAGCCCCCCCTCTCCCCGAGCCTCTGCCCCACGCAGGGGGGGGGCTGGGGGGCCGCGGGGGCCCCCCCCAAGCCGGGGATGCCCCCCTTGGCCCCCCCCCCCCCCCCCCCCGCAGGTCCGCTTTCGGATGGCAGAGCAGGAGGCGGCGGCGCCGAGGAAGGAGCCCCGGGGAGCCCCTGCCAGAAGCCGCTCCCCTCCCGCCCCCAACCAGCTGGGGGCCCCGCTGCCCCACAGCAGCCTGGCCCTGGGGGCGGAGGTGCGGGCCACGCGCCAGCAGGCCTTCGACGCCCGGCAGGCGGCGGAGCAACTGGTGCGGCGCTCCTTCGTGGCTCGCTGCGCCGCCGAAGCTCGCGTGGGCGAGGGTGAGTGGGGGAGCCCAAGGGAAATGGGGGGGGGTTCCTGCAGGGCCTTTTCCGTGGGGGCCCCAATGCAGAAGGGAAATTTTCCCGTGGGGGGTGGGGTCCAGGCGAGGACTGGCTTTGGGGGCTCAGTAGGGCTGTGAGGACGGCAGCAGCCCCCACTGACTGGGTGGCGGTGGCGGTGAGACTCTCATTCCCATAATGCCCAGCCGCTGGGCGCTCTGGGAGTTGCAGTCTGGGAAGCCGATTACAAGCAGTCCTCGATTTACGACCACCGTTGAGCCCCCAAATTTACACTAAGCAAGACATGTTAACCAGATTTTGCCGTTTTACAACCTTTCTCGCCACGGTTGTTAAGCGAATCTCTGCAGTTGAGTCAGCCCCAGGGTTGTTAATGGAGTCTGGCTTCCCCGATTCACTTTGTGAAATCACATGACGGGTCGCAAGTTTGAGTTGGTTGCCAAGCGGTCCGGATTTTGATCCCGTGTCCAAGGGGAGGCTGCGATGGCCGCCAGGGTGCAAAATGACTTTTTCCAGTGCCTTTGTAACTTTGGTGGCTAAACGAAGCGTTGTACCTCGAGGACCGCCCGTCTGGGTCCCATGGGGTCCATCTCAGGCTCTCCGCTTTTCCAGGGCTGAACATCCCCCGGGAGCAGCAGCTCTACCGGGGCCTCATCAGCCTGCAGGTGCCAGCCGACGAAGTGCTCAGCTCCGCCGTGCAGGGCAGGCTCGCCCTCGTCCAGTACCAGCCCGGAGACAGAAAGGTGGGCCGGGGGTCCCAGGGAGGGAGCAGAGGGTCCCCCAGGGGAGAGGCTTTCCCCGCCATCCACCAGGTGAAGGTGGGCTCAGGTAAACTTTCCCTGCCTTTGTTGTTGCAGGAGGCGGCTGGGGAAGGGCCCGACCTGATGGCCTTTTATAGGCCCCGGGAGCTGTTCACGGAGACCCCCTTCCTGGAGGTGGGGGGGCTTCCCCCCCTGAAGCTCCAGGCCCAGAGGCGCCACCCGGCCACCACCTTCCTCATGTACCGGAAGCTGCAGCAGTGGGCCAGCTGAGGGGGGCCCCCAACGTGGCTCTTTACGCACAAGCACACAGACACAATCACACCCTGCGACCTCCTGTACATAAACTCTTGAGCTGCCAGCGGATGGTGTGGTTTTTTTTTTTGCTTCGCTGCCAGAAGGATGAACACCCAAGTAGTGCAAGGGAGTCCCTGACTTACGACCACAATGGAGCCCCATGTTCCCGTTGCTAAAGCAGGCCCTTTAGTTTTGCCCCATTTCCCAACCTTTCCAGCCACAGTGAAGCCAATCGCTGCAGTTATGTGAGTCAGCCGGTCGTTCAGCGAGTCCGGATTTTCCCAGCTTGTCAGAAGGTTGCCAAAGGGAATCACATGACACACACACACACACACCCCAAGGATGCTGCGACCGTCATAACTCTGAGTCGGAGGCCAAGCGTCTGAACTTCCATCAGGTGGCCACAGGGATGCTGCAAGGGTCCTAAGTGTGAAAAGCGGTTGTGGGTCCTTTGAACGGCCACTAAATGAACTGCAGGCAGGGGGCAGGTTTGCTGTCCAGGCAGAGCCCCTCGCAACTCCCCCCCCCTCCAGAGATTGGCACAGCAGCTGGTAATAATCTGTAGGTTTTATTTTTATATATATAATCAACTTTTTTTAAAAGATAAAACTCCGTTCAAACAAGATCACTTTAGTACTACAGATGGTTTCTTTTGGGGGGGGGGGCTCTTCTTGGCCCTCCGAAAGGCTGGGAGGAGGGGGCCTTCTCACTGGGAGGGGCGAGGGGGTTGCAGCCAGTTATGTCCTCCTCCTTCCCCCATTGCCCCCCCAAAAAAAAATGGGGGGGGACCTCACAGAGATCAGCTGAGCCCCCTGGAGACTGCCTCCTTCCCAATGAAGCCCACCCCCTTCCAGGCAGGAGGTGGGTTATGTGGTCCTTAGGAGGCAGGCGAGGCACAGCAGACACGAAAAACTTCCATCCGCTTCCATGTTGAGGGGTGGGGGTGGGGGGAAAAGACCCCCCCCCCTTGTCCTCCCCCGGGGTGAATAGGCAGACCCCGTTATGGCCCCCCCCCCCCCCCCCCGGGTACCCAAGCCTGGGTAGATCCTTCCGCCTTTGGAGGGGTGAAAGCAGCTCTGTGAGCTCCCAGGAGACGAGGCCCAATCCTGGGCAGGGCTGCCTTGCCTCCGCCTCAACCTCCCCACGCGTCCTGCACCCCATCGGAGGCTGTGCTGCAGGAGGGTCCCAGAAGAACTGTGCTGCCCCTCCCACCCCCGTTTCTCAGGGGGGGGCTCTTGCCGAGGCCAGGCAGCTCCAAAATCCATCGCCCGCTTGTACCTGGCCGGCCCTTCTGCCTTTAGAGGACGCCAACATTCATCGGTGGGGGGCAGTGGGGGGGGGGGCTAGCCCGGCCGCCTCCAGCCCTGGAGAAGCAGCCGTGGCACATCAAGAAAAGAGGAGGGGGCAGCCCGGGAGGCACCCGAGGTCTGGCGAGGAGGCTCCTCAATGCGTTCCGAGGTGGCCCTTGCGGAAGAGATAGATGGGGCGCTGGAATCCTGGGGGAGAAAGAGCCGGGGGTGGGGGGGAGACGTTAGGGGCTTGCGTCCTGGTCAATCATCATCCTGGCCTTCCTCGTTGCTTCTATTCAGGACCCTGATGGTCTCAAGGGGCCCAGGAAGCCTCTCCCAAGGGGGCAGCTGGGGCCAGGGAGGCCCCAGGGGGCTTCTGAAGTCAGCAAGAGCTCTCTGGCCATGTTGGGGGGGGGGGGAAGGGCCTGATGTACTTGGGCCAAGAGAGATCCCGGCTCCAAAGTCTTTTCCCCTCGAACTCGGCTCCCCGGTGCCCACCCAGCACCTGCCCATCAACACTGCTGCCTCTGGCCGGTCCAGCCAAGACGCTGCCACCCAGGAAGGGCGTGGCTGCTGGCACCTCTGGGTGGCAATTCTGGAGGAGCCCAGCCCACGAAGGGCCTCCAAACGCCCCACACAATGCCATTTTATTTGAGGGGTGGGTGTCCCACCTCCACCCAAATCACCTTTTGACGTGTTTCTGGGCATGGCCACCAACTCGTAGCTGGAGAAGCCCACTTCGGAGGAGGTCAGGTAGGAAGGGAACTGCTCAGGCTTCAGCTTAATCCGTTGGTAGTGCCTGGATATTGTTTCCTGGGGGGGGGGGGAGGGGGGGGGGATTTGCACCAGCAAGGAAGACGCCCCCTGCCCACTTCTGCAGGTGCCCCACAGTGGCAGACACGGGGCAAGAGGCAGCCCGCCCAGACTCTGACCCCGGCACGTGTAAAAGGCCCTCCCTCCCTCGCTCACCGTCAGGTTCTTCCTCTTCTTGTAGGAGGACCAGGCCTGGGGCTCCAGGATGAAGACCCCGCCGGGCCGCAGGTGGCGGTAGCTGCGCTTGAAGAGGCGCTTCAGCCCCTCGTCGCCCCAATTGAGCTGCACCCACTTAGTGACGCTGAGGCAGAGGATCACGTCGTACTCCGGCTTCTGAGCTTCCAGCAGCTCATCCCGGTCCAGGACGTAGTTGCCCTGCCAAGGAAGCCGGACGGTTGGTCTGCTGCTGGACGCGGGCTGGGCTCCTGCTGACCCACTCGGGGAGAGGCTCTGCCCCACAGGCCGCAGCCCCTCTCCTCCCCCCCCCCCAACGACTCTTCAGCGTCTCTGGGTGAGGCCGGGGCACTGAGCTCTTGCCCTCCCTGATGGCAACAGAGGCCGGCCGGCACACTGAGGGAATCCTGCTCACCCAGTGAGGGGCACCAAAGGGGGGGAGGGACAGACTCTGGCTCAACCCTAATAGAGCTAAGCAGGTATAAACACCCCCCCCCCCAATGTGGGTTCTTGGGTCTTCATCCTGAGCGGGGCTGCGTCCCTCTAGGACAGAGGCCTCCAAGACTTGTGGACTTCCATTCCCAGAATCCCCTAGGCAGCTGGGGAATCCTGGGAGTTGAAGTCCACAAGCGTTAAAGCTGCCAAGTTTGGAGACCTCCCCCCTCTTCTCTTGATGGGGAAGGGGCAGCGGGGGCCACCAAGGCCTTTGCCCAACTGCTGCACTCATCCCTGGATAGGGCCCTGCACTCGGCCCCTGGTAGCCGCCCCTCATCCGGATGACTGCCAAGCATTCTCTCTGAGGCTGCCCTTGAAGACTGCTCCGGAAGCTTCAGCAGCAGGGGCTCTCACGGGCATCCCCTCCCCCCCAACCCTTCTGCTTTGGGGGCTGCATCAGAGGCCATCAGGAGGCCTTGGGGCCCCACGGAAGTGCTGGTTATTATCTGTGGGGCCTTTCTGGGATGGGACTGGCCTCTCCCTCCCTCCAGTGGATTCTGCCCACCCTGCAAGGTCTGGCAGAGCCAGCATCAGGCCTTGGGCCCCTCCCCCCAGACAGACCGTCCTTGACTTTTGACAACTATTCTTGCCAGAAATCACTGCAGTTGTTAAAGCTAGTGAGACCGTTGTTAAGCGAACCCAGCTTCCCCGTTGACTTTGCTTGTCAGGTGCTGGCAAAAGGGCACCACGTGACTCCCAGGAGTCCCTGAGACAGTCCTGAGTGCCTGCCAGTTGCGGAGCGTCCGAATTTTGATCAGGTGACCATGGAGAGGCTGCAGCGGGGAAACCCTGTCCTAAGCCCCTTTCTTCAGGGCCACTGTAACTTCAAACGGTCACTAAGCAAACTTAAGTAAGCCGAGGACTCACCTCCTTTGGTCGGGATGCCTGTCCGTTGGGAGGGCGCGGACTCTGCCCTCCCCCAGAGGTGTGGCGTGGCCTGTGGGCTGAGCCATTTTTTCCCCCTTTTATACATGTCATTGTTTGCTGGCTTTCAGCTGCTTTCCACCTGCAGGCTACGGAGTGGACAGCCTCCAGGTGGTTTGTTCCCGGACGTCTCTTCACCAAACTAGGTAACATCTTCAGCAGGACTTTGAGTAAAAGTCACCCAAAGTCCTGCTGAAGATCTTTTCTAAGCTTGGTAAGGAAACATCTGGAAGCACAAAGGCAACAAGCCAGTGCCAGAATCTACCACCTGAGCTGTGAGATATTCTTCTCTCCTGCAGATGTCTCCCTTGAGGGACGCTCTCTCCCTGGGAGGAGGTCAGGGAGAGCTCACCCACCCACCCACGGGGAGAATGCGGCTGCCCACCAGGGAGCCATGAACTAAGAGGGCCCCTGCTGAGGGAGCCCACCAAGACTGACAGGCCTTGGCCCTCCACGCACGGCCTTGAGAGACCGATTGGGGAAGGCGCCTCAAGGGAGGAGGGAGACGTCTTTGCAACCTTGAAGCCAGCCCAGCTGCAAGGGCTCCAGCTGTGCTCCCACTCCCCCTCACTGGCCAGTCTGCAACTCTCAGCCTTGGGCTGCAGAGCCAGGAAGCCCAGCACAGAGGGAGGGAGGGAGGGAGGGGGAGATCAGCCGCACCAAAAGGAAAGGGCAGAAGGGGCCAAGTCTTCCCTAAGCACAACAGGCCAGCCACAAGGATCAGGCCACACTCAGGCCTGAGGCTTGGCAGGGCCATGAGCCAGCATCGAAGGGGTCATCCTAAGGCTCATTATGAGACCAGAGGGCTCCCAGGGGCTTTCTCCCCCACCCCACCCCCCAAGGGCTGCCCTTCTCTGCCCTCTGCCTTTATGCTCACAGGGTAGAAGGGGGGGGGGGGCTCAGCCCCTGTAGGTAGCCCAGACTCCCACCTACAAGGTAGTACAAGGTTGCTTGTGCTGAGAAGGCCCACGATACAGGTCATCCCCCACTTACTTCATTTAGTGACTGTTCAATGTTACAACGGCACTGAAAAAAGTGACTCAGGACCGCTTTTCATACTTGCAACCGTTGCGGCATCCCCGTGATCACGTGGTTAAAATCCAGGCGCAGGGCAACCAACTCCTATTTATGACGGTTGCGGTGCCCCGGGGGCCACGCGATCCACTTTTGCGACCTTCTGACAGGCCAAGTCAAGCCGGATTCACTTACCACGTTACTAACTCCACAAGTGCAGTGATGCACTTCACCATTTGGCAAGAAAAGTCATAAAATGGGGCAAAATTGAAGAAATGTTTCACTTGGCAACATGAATTTTGGGCTCCATTGTGCTGGGAGGATTACCTGTAACAGAATCCTGTAAATCTGACTGGACTGTGCTCCTCTCCCTTTCTTAAATGTTCAGTGAATTATGATTTGGGTGTTAAAACATGTCAGCCCCACCCCAGTAAACGGTTCCTGCCTATCTGGCTCATCTTCAGGTTCTGATCCAGGCCAGCAGAGGTCCAAAGACAAGGAAACCCCACAGCAGCTGGGGGTGGGGGTGGGGGGGTGGAGGAGAGCGCCTCTTCTGGGCTCAGGGCCGCTCTAAGGGCAAGCCAGCTGGGGGGGGAGCTTTAATCTCTCCCTCCCAACAGAATCTGCCTCTTTCCCAGAGCTGGTACTGAGTGTCCCTGGGGCCCCCTCCCCCCAATTTATGCAGGGAGCTCTAGGGGGCCCAATTCTGGGGGCTGGGCTCCCCTTCCAAATTTCTCCAAACCCTTCTTGGTCGACAGGAAGAAGTAGAATACAACACACTCACTGCCTTCGGACTGGAAAGAAGCAGACCTCCCCCTCTCCCCCCTTTCCCAAGCTTCATCCCCCCTCCCCAAATCCTCACAAGGCCTCTTCCCCAGCTGCTCAGCATCTCCCCCAGGCCTCGCTGCCCTGCAGATGCTGTTTTGGTGGTGGTGGTGTGGGGGGGAAATCTTTACAGCAGCCTCCCTTTCAGGCAGGATTTTTCTTCTTCCTCCCCCTGGCCATCGGAAGAGCCACCTGACCCTGTCGGTTATGGGAGGGTGCCACCAATTCCCTCCACTGACCCTTCTCCCTCCCAGCTCCTCCACCTCCAAGGCCCCCCTCTTTTCATGGACCAGGGAGAACCTGATCAGAGATGACCAAGGCCCCCCACCCTCGGCCACCCTTACTTCTTACACAGGGGAGTGCCTGCCGTAGAATGGGCAACGGCCCCTCCACACACTGGGCAGCTGAAGGAGTTTTCAGTGGGGGCAATGGGATCAAAGGGGAGGAGTCCAGCTAATTCATTTAGTAGCAGTCAAGAGTCCCCCCTGGAAAAGCACAGCTCTCCCACCTGTGCCACACAAAACCTGAGCGCCAGGGCTGCAGGGCAGGGGACGAGCAGTGGCAGCCCAAAGGAATCCCACCTGGCCCAATGGGGGGGGCTCTCACTCACCTTGACAAAGATCACATTGTTAGGGAAGACCGTTGCATCAACCCCGTCCTGGGGCACTGTGGGTGCAGCAATCGGACCCCGGCTGGCCGTGAGAGAGGCAGGAAAGGTTTTCTTGGCTGGGGGAACCCCTTCCCTCTCGCCGTGACTGTCCTGGGGCCGCTGCTGCTGTTCTTCCTGCATCTCCTCTGAGAGGTAGTGCCGGATATTCTGGCGGGCCGAATGAATTAGGGCCCCATCAATGTCCAGCCCCACCATTCGGGCCGGGCCCCACTTCTTGGCCAAACTCAAAGTCAGGTGGCCCACATTGCAGCCGATGTCCAGCACCTCTCGGCCTCGGAACCACTCGGGCTTCATGGCCCGCAGCCGAACGTCCTCGCAGTTGGGGTTGCGGTAGCCATAGTACTTGCAGTAGTTGCCGTACTGGAACTTGTTGCGCGAGGCCCGGCGAGGCTGCGGCTGATTCATGGAGGCCGCCTGGGGGTGACGGCTGCGGGGGGGCAGGCTCGGCCCCGGCTCGGGGCTGCTCCGTCCAGGCTGCTCGCTGGCCCCGTGCTGCCGGCTGCCCCCTTCGGATTTGCTACAAGTCCTGCGCCTTTTGCGGTGGTGGTGGTGATGATGGTGGTGGTGGTGGTGGCGACTCCCGGCACTTACCGAAGAGGAAGAGGCGATGGAGGTGCTCCTGGAGGCCGGCTGGACTGGGGGCTGTTCCCCGCCCTCCGGCAGCAGGGGAGAGACCACCTCGTCCCTGCAGTTGATGGCGGTGTTGAGTTCGTAGGGCTGCGGGGTGGCCCCGTTGCAGGCCTTCTGGCAAGACCTGCAGGAGGAAGAGGAAGAGGAGGAAGGCGGGGCGGCGGCCGTGGGGAGGGCAACGGCGGCGGCAGCGGCGGGGGGCTTCCCGGCCCCCTCCGAGCCCCCCACGGCCCGCTGGTTCCCCCGGTGGCGGTGCCGCTTGCGCCCGGCCTTGAGCGGGGAGGCCAGCACCGGCGGGTCCTCCTGGGCGGCGTTGAGGCTGAGCGGGTCGGTGATGTCCTTGGGGATGAGGATCTCCACGGGGTCCCGCCCTTTGGCCGGCAGAGGCGAGGACTTGGGGGTCTCGGCGTTGAGCGCCTGGTTCACCTCCTCGTCCAGGAGGCTGTTGAGGTTCAGCGGGTCGAAGATGTTGCCGCCCAGCAGGAACTCCGAGGGAAGCACCGGGTCGCACTCCGAGTTCACCCGGCGGCGCCGCTTGAAGGCCGGAGGCTTGAAGCCCCCGACGTGGCAGCTGTTGCGCCGCTTCCCTCCTCCGGCGCCGGCGCCCGGGGCCCTCGGGGGCGCCTGGAAGCCGTTGCGGGGCCGCTGGAGCTGCTCGGAGGCCGTCTCCTCACGGCGCTGGGGGTCTTCGGCTGCCGGCGGCCCCTCAGGCGCCTCGTCCTCGGCCGGGGCCTTCAGCAACGGGGGCGGCGGCGCCGGGACGAGGAAGGTCTCTTTGTCCGTGGCCATCTCGATCATGCCTGGCCGGGAGAACCGGCTGCGGGCCCGGCAAACCGCCGCCGCCGCGCTCGGTTCCTCGCGGCTGTAGCCGCCTCAGTCGGCGCTCCGCTCCGCCCCGCCCCTCGACGGGCTGCTCCTCCTACGCCTGCGCCGTGCGGACGCGCGCTCGAGCGCCGCCCCGGCAGCCCCCGCGCGGCGCAGCCGCGGTGCTCCTCTCCCGCTCGCGTCAGAGCCCGGCGCGCACGCGCCGAGAGGTTCCCCGCCCGTCGCTCGCGACGCATGCGCGCGCGCCCCCCAACACCGCCGGAGGAAGAGCGCTTCGCGCCTACCGCTTTCCCGCGATGGCACGCTCCCCCTGCGACTGTGATTTATATACGCGAAGGGCGGGGCCGAAGGGAAACGCGCCCCCTTTTCGCAGCGTCGGCCAATCGGTGGTCGCCATCGTCGCCACACGCGTGGACGGGCAGCCAATAGGAATCTTCTCTACGGGGCGTTCAAGAAGCCACCTCCCCCTCTTGCTCCCGCCTCCTTTACCCCTTTTCGACCAGTAGGGGAAGTGGTGTACCGAGTCTTTAACCAATCAGCTGCCGAGATCGTTTTCTCGAAAGTGTGGGCGAGGGTCCTTGTTTGCTGAGGGCGGGGCGTATCACGTGCCCGTGACAGTGTTTCTTCGGTCCAAAGCTTACGTTCCGTCCAGGAAAATGTTTACTATTTTTATTAAGGGTGGTAATAATGAAAGAATAATTCTCAATTGTAGAATATAAAGGTGGCAGCAGGACCAACTAAGTCTCCTAAGGCTTCTAGTCCTCTTTGCGGGCGTTAATTTAAGTCTCCAAAGCGGATTCTCCACGTCTCTTAAGGAGAAACTTGCTTGTGGCTGCAGGGACGGAGGTTTGCATCGTAAACCCATGTAAACAACAGCAGCAGCAAAGGGCTCCCAATATGGGCAGTTGTGGGAGGATCACGTGACCTGGCTTCCCGAAGGAGAGAGCGCTTGCAAAGCCTCCTGGTACTTGTAGTTTCCCAGAGTCCAGGATATACACTCTGCACATGTGCGAAAGGCGACACCCCCCCCTTCCTGCCTTAAGCGCGTGCGTGTAATAAATCCGCCCCCTCCCCAATAGATTTAGGATTTTCGGGTTTTCTTCTTTGCATTGGCTGGGTGCACGCATTGGACTGCAAACCCCATTATCCACAGCCAACACCGCCTTTGCACTGGGCTGATCTGTGGAAGATGGGGAGCTGTAGTCGGAAACGCCCACAGCCATCCGCTCTCTCGCTACTTCCCGGTATGTTTTAGCGTGACTTGCACCCTCTTGCTCGCCTCCAGATACGCAACCACAACGTAAGTCGCTTCCGGGCGTTGGAGTGTCTCTGCAAGCCAGATTTTGGAGATCGACGGGCTTGCTTGCTGCAAAGCAAGCTCGCCCCCTTTTTTGCAATGTATTGTATCAATCCAAGCTAAACGCCCCCCTTCCCCCCCCCACAGACCTCCTAACTGCCCTTTGTTATTCGGGATCTTTTGCAGCCCCAATTAGGCGCAGAGGCTGAACCTCTCGCCGTCCATCAAAGCTGTGCAGCTGTCTCAGTGGGCGAGTGATTGCAAACATCAGGCGGCCAACCGCCTTCCCGTAATGGAAAGAGGCTGCAAAAGGGCGGAATTTTCCTGAGCCACGGCGGCAAACTGGCAACTTGCACCGCGGACGGCGGCGGCGACAGCCGTTCTGATCCCCGATGTTCAGCCGGTCTCTTCTGCGCATGCGCGACGCGCGAGCCTGCGGCACAACAAGCGGGTCCCGGGCATTCCATGACTCAGTGCTAGAGTAGCGCGAGAGGGAACACGCCCCCTTCGAGGGCAGCGGAGACCCGGATGTGCGGAGCCCGCGTGCTGGGGAGCGCGCCTGCGCATTAGGGGCAGAAACGGGGGCGCGCGCTTCTCGCTTGCTGGGGTTGTGGTTTTTTTTTTTTACCTCAGTTTACGCGCAAAGCAATTTTTTTAAAGTTTTTTAAAAACTGAGGTAATGTTGAGCTTTATTAAAGCAAACAAGGCGAAGTTTGTCCTTGTGGCACAAATGTGACACAAAAGCCCCGCTTCTGTCCACCCCGCGCTTTTTTTTTCTTTTTTTACCTCACGAAAAAAATGCTGAGGCGAGAAAAAGCATTGAGGTGCCAGGTTTGCTTTGTCATGGATACCACAGCCTCGAAAATCCACATTAAAATCCCCTCTGTCGCACAGGAGAGGGCTTTAATTCTTAAATTTCACAGCATTTCCTTTGCCGACAAAATGCCAGTAAAAGCAGTAGAAAAAAGGATGGGCATTCTGAGGCCCCACAGGCACTTTTTAAATCTCAAAATGAGCCTCCATGTCAAGATTCCTTGGGTTCAGCTGCAAATGTGGCTTTTTCTCGCTGGTGCTTTAACAAGGAGTCCCTGGCTATGTTTATATCATATATTTAATTTTTATCTATTTATTTCACCTCTGCGTGAGTTCTTCTCACCAAAATTTAGTCAGAAATTGAGCCAACAGAAAACTAGGAAGACGCAACCTTTTGTTCCAAGCTGAGAAAATGCTTCATCCTCAAAAAAGATCCATTTAGTCCTTTAGTAGCCCCAAGATAATCTCCCTTGATCCCCTTTTTTGTGAGAAGATCCCTCAGAGATCTTATGAGGAGAAAACGATTGGTAGAGATTGGAATGAGCAGGAGAAAATGGTAGCAAAAAAACCCAAAAAAGTTTGCCTTAAAAAAAATAAACTTTTCATCTGGATGGCTTCCTTAGTACCGGCTTAAGGTATCTGGTGTCCTGGGTTTAAATGATAAATATTCTACTTTGAAGGTTGTTTTTTTTTTAGGCAAACTTTTTCTGTTACCATTTTTGTCCTGCTCATTCCAATCTCTACCGATAGTTTTCCCCTCAAAAGATCTCTGAGGGATCTAGTGTGTTGTGCTGCGGGTCTCAATCCTCCTGCCCTATTTCATTTAAAAATCTACATGAAGCCATTGAGTGTGAGGGCATGGTATGATTTCAGACGTCATCAGTAAACAGATTTTTATTTATTTATCAGATTAATACTCTACCCATCTCACCTAAGAGACTGCAGTTTACAAAATAGGTGTTCCTCAACCTGCAACAGATCATTTAATGACAGTTCAAAGTTACAACGGCACTGAAAAAAGTGACATGATTATTTTTCATACTTATGAAGTGCTCCCATGATCATGTGATCAAAATTCAGCTGCTCTGTTGTTGTGGATTTAATAAGACAAACACAACTTTTGGGTTAATCAGAGACAAATTTATATATTGCGCAATAGGTTCAAGGCTCTGTACATGAAGCGTTGAACAAAGACAGAAATTAGGTACAATGGTTTTATACCCTTCTAGACAAAGGATTCATATGGTCATATACATTTATCATTTTTAATTGACATTTCCTAATTACAGAGTTTCTTTGCAAAACAGTCATAATTCTTTTTGTAGATTACTGAAGCATAGACAACTTTTAACTCATGTGGATCCCCTTGACCTAACCAACCTTTAAGCTGTATGTCATTAGAATGTTCCTTTCTTCTGACAACTTAGAGGCCTCCTAGAGGAACCAAAAGGATTTTGGCTGAGTTTGTACTTTTTCCAACCGGATGCATTGCTTTTTAGAATAGAGTGAATAGAAAGTTATCCAGTGGTCATCTATCAGAGCCCGCTTCATTACATTACTGTGACTGGTTCGTATTTATGATGATTGCAGTGTCCCAATGTCACGGGATCCCATTTTGCACCCTTCTGATGAACAAAGTCAATGGGGAAGCCAGATTCACTTAACCGGGTTACTAACTGAAGTGATTCACCTAATAACAAAGGCAAAGGTCATAAAATGGGGTAAAACTCATTTAACAAATGTCTCACCTAACAACATAAATTTTGGGCTCAATCGTAGTCATAAATCAAGGACTATCTGTAAAAATATACAGTACTACCCTAACCCTATAAAAACCATTGTTAACAAGATAAAAACAGAATGAAGAACGAGATTGAAATGAAGATGTTAAAAGAGGTGGAAAGAGTGCCACCCAAATCTAGGATTATGCTATGATCCATAGAAAGAGCTGATCTGAAATTTAGGGGTCCTTCTCGATTCTTAACTCCAAGGAGTTAGAATTTCTAAGCCAATCTGACTGTATAACTGTTATCCATCTCTTCTAAACGAATCTTAACCTATGGGAGTATGAAGGATCAGATGATGGAATGTATGTACAGATGAGGACCTGGGAATCAGAGGAAGGGTCATATGTGGAGACAGGACCCAGGTGTGGATGTCATGGACATGAGAGTGAGGAATATGAATTCGGATAAAACATTTTCTCTTGTCTTCATTTCTTTGCCTTACAACAAGAGCTTTGCTCCTTCCTGTCTTCTCTCTCTATTTGGAGGGGGGTCGTGGGGGAGTGGGGGTGCTGCCTCAGACAAAGATTTAAAACTGCTTTTATTCTGCTCTGCAGAAGAAGGTGGGGGAGTGGGGGTTCTGCCTTGAGACAAAACTGTTCTTTTATTCTGCTCTGCAATAGGAAGGTGGGGGCTGCACAGCCGTAGCGAAGCAAAAGCTAGTACCTTACCTGTTAGAAAACCACTAGCCAGGATATTAGGAACAAAAATAGCTTGCTGATAAGAAAAACCACATAGTTGGCACACTTTGCAAGATACCTGTGACCTGGGGTGAAAAACAGGTGACGTGACATTTAGCTATTTAGCATAATAAGCATAAAGGTTTAGGGGGCTGAAATCCAAATAACCAATATTATCTGTTATGCATGCATTATTAGAGGAAGGACAAAGGGTTAGATGTGATCATCCTCTGATTATAAAAATTGCTGTAAGATTGTGATCGGGGCCCTTGGTTAGCGTTCAAACCAGGGTCCTTATATCTAGATATCAAAATTATAATTATATAAGTATAATTTTGTATCACATCTTGTGTTGGATAACTCATTGGCTTCGACACCAAGCAAAAGCCCAGTTTTGGGGACAACAGGTATTTTCTTTCAAAGGAAATGTTTTAAAAATCGTCCTTTGAAAGAACAGTATAGAAAACTGTACATTCTTTTTATTAAACTCCGTCACTGTCAGAATCTGATGGCTTTGGCTTGGTTGTTCTTGTTTTCTGCTTGGATGATCTGAATGCCTTATGGGGCACTAAACCATGGCATCAACCAATAGGGCACTTGCAATATTTTTTTTCTGATGTATCCCCTTCCTCTCTTGTGTAGTTTGTGATTGAGACAGGCTTAAGCTGACCTTATTTATGCTAGTGTTAAAGTATTATTTTTCCCCTTATTCTGACATCGCAAAAGGGCAGCTTCAGTGTGTTAAAATCTGTTCCAATTGATCATCCCTTACCTACAAGGAAAGTTGGGAGGGCAGTGATGGGAAATGGGCAAGAGGAGGACTAGGCGGGGCGGGGAGTTGGACTAGATGACTCACAAGGTCCCTTCCAATTCTGTTATTCTGAGGATTGGAAATGGAGACATGAAATTTAAGGCTGACAGGAATCGCCACATTCAGCTCCTAAAACAACCTTCTACTTTTCCAATATGTTCATCAGTCTGTCACAGTTCTCTGTCGCTGCAGATGTGACACACTTGGAGATGTACCACCATATGGTGAAGAGATGATGTTTATTAACAGACTTTATTTTGGTGATATTACATAATTAAATCTAGATATAGTGTAGTATGCATAGAGTGAAAGAAAGGAAAATCTGGGGGAATGTCCCCATGTGTTCAGATAGTGGGATGGCAGGTTCCTTTTTTTAAAAAAGTGGCAAAAATAACAGGCACTTGGCCTTTTCTCCCTGTTCCTCCTCTTATTTTTCATAAAACAGAACGTAAAGCAAAATCTCCAAGGCAGGTGGATGAACAATGACAAGCCGAAGCAAAAAGAACGGTAAGCGATGATCAGTCTGTGCTCCGTTCTTTATTTATTAAAGTAATTATTTTGAGATGAATGGACTTATTGTGTCGCCGGAGGTCTGTGATGGGCTTTCCATTACTTCTGCCAATACACGTTTTTGCATGTTTGCATTTTTTTTTTACTATTTCTAAAACTTTTATTAGTTTTAGGAACTTATGCACATGCATTACACTTTATGCCTCGATACTCCTGGGACAAGCCTTGCACAGCATCTCTCTCCATAGTCGTGCAATATTGGTAGTCCTGTATTGACTTATCATCTAGTGACCGAAGTTACAACGGCAGTGAAAGAAGTGACTTAAAACCATTTTTCACACTTGCAACCATTGCAGCATCCCCGTGGTCATGTGATTGAAATCTGGACACTTAGCAACTGGCATGTACTTATGACAGTTGCAGAGTCCCGGGGTCACGTGATTTCCTTTTGCGACCTTCTGACCAACAATGTCCATGGGGAAGCCAAATTCACTTCACAACGTTACCAACTTAACATCTGAAGCGATTCACCTAACAATGGTGGCAAGAAAACTCATAAAACGGGGCAAAATTCACTTAAGAACCATCTTTCTTAGCAACAGACAAGTTGGTCTCAATTGTGGTTGTAAATTGAAGATTACCTGTATAGTTTTTCATGTTATTCAACATGTGTGTGTGTCTGCTTATACCATCCCTGCTTCGGCAGCATTAGCTGCTAGGGTGATGCTTGTTTTCATGCCGCTCAGGTCAATCACCACGATGCGAATTTGTTCTGTGCTTGTTCTCTAAGGCTTCTCCTTCGCCCTTCTGTGAGATCAGAACTGGACTTCTTGGTCACGTGCTCCAGTATCCTCCTGACCTTGCAGAAGTAATCAGGGTGGATCTTATTCATTGCTGATTACCACCCTCTGCAACAGCCCATGGCCTTGACGGCTGGCTGGGTTGTTTTCAAACACAGGTTTAGCTCTTTCTAGGTTAGCACGATCTTCTTCCTAATACAAGGAGTCCTCGGCTTACAACAGTTCATTTAGTGACCGTTCAAAGTTATCACGGCACTGAAAAAAGTTTTTCACAATTAATTTTTTTTCACATTTACGACCCTTGCACCATTCCCATGGTCACATGATCAAAATTCAGATGCTTGGTAACTGATTCACATTTATGACCACTGCAGTGTCTCTTTTGCGACCTTCTGATCAGCAAAGTTAACAGGGAAGCCAAATTCACTTCACAACCAGGTTACTAAATTATCAACTGCAGTGATTCACTTAACAACAACGGCAAGAAAGGTTGTAAAATGGGGCAAAACATAAATAACTTATTTAACAAAGGAAATGTTGGACTCAATTGTGGTTGTATGTCAAGGACTACCTATAGCTAACAGGCAAGGAAGAGCACTGGGCAAGCTCCTTCCCCCTTCACTCACACACGCTTACCATGTGCTGGAAGACCCACCAACCTCTTCCTTTACATCCCACCGTAAGGACGAAAGCTCAGCATTATATGCCACTGTGGAATAGGGGCCAGCAAATTGATGCCAGTGTGCTTTTCAGAAGGCTCAGCTCAAGAGCCCAATTCCTGCCTCAATTCAGTCTGAGAAATAAGGGAGCCTGAAGAGGCATTCCTCAACTTACAATCACAATTCAGCCCAACTTTTCCACTGCTAAGCGAGACAGTTGTTAAGTGAGTTTTGCCCCCATTGTATGACCTTTCTTGCCACAGTTGCTAAGTGAATCAGTGCAGTTTTTAAGTGAGTAACAGTTGTTAAGTGAATCTGGCTTCCCTGTTGACTTTGCTTATCAGAAAGCCGCAAAAGGGGATCACATGACCACCACCCCCGCGGGATACTGCAACTGTCATAAGTACGAGTCAGTTGCCAAGTGTCTGAATTTTGATCACATGACCCTGGGGATGCTGCAACAGTCATAACTGTGAAAAGTAGTCATAAGTCACTTTTTTCAGTGCCGTAACTTTGAAAAATCACTAAATGAACTTTTTTGTAAGTCAAGGGCTACCTGTATGTATGCCCCCTCATCTTACCCTGTGTGTATTCCGGAAATTGGGGAAAGGGAAAACAGCTAGTATCTTTTCAATTTCTAGATAAAAGTCAGAGCCTTAAGCAAAGAATAAAACATTGCAAATTTCTCTTCTTTCGAAAACAAAAAACAAGAGTTGTTCCCAGAGTTTCTACTGAAAATGGACATTTGTCTCTTACTACAGCCTCCAAATGAAATAAAAGGAGGTGTCAGGTTATAGACCAAAATAACAATAACAATATTTTAGTTTCTTTAAAGTAACCCTTGGTGGATTGTACTCTGTGTGTTAGCATTGAATCTTCCTTCCTTCCTTCCTTTTCCTTCCTTCCTTCCTTCCTTCCTTCCTTCCTTCCTTCCTTCCTTCTTGCATTGTATTATTTATACACCATTAATGAAAATGTGATTTCTCTCGTTTCAGAATTCAACAAAATGTCCAAAAAAGCCTTTGCTCCTCCTGTAGTGAAGTCTTACCGTACACCCTTTGGAAAAGGTGAATTGGAGCTTCACGGCAAACCAGAAGATGGAATTACCGTCAAATCCGTGACTATCTCACCAGTGCAAAGTAAAAGACAGAAAGGGAGCATGTCTAACGTAGAAAAGAAATCTGAGTGCAAGAAGAATTTGGAAATGATTGAGAATGTAGGTGGGATAGTAGATTTCGTTTCCTTGAGTGAGATTCCCATGCCAGAGTTTCAGCTCAGGAAAAATTGGAGTCCTGGACTTTCATATCTCCAGTCTCTCCTCGAAAAATTAGGATGGGCAATTAATATTTCAATTTTCTTTTTTCTCTGTATTTGATTTATATATAAGCTCTTAGTTGGAAAATCACGGGACAGTTTACAAAGGCAAAACAATGTAGAATTACATCATGTAAAATCACAGAACAGAACGCAACACAAAGGATTGATACTAAAATTCCTGACACCCGTTAAATTTTTTCTCTTTTTTGGTACAACCTATATTGTGATTATAAATTAGTTACTTTTGTCTGCGGGAGCTCTCTGGAGCACCTCAGAAACATTTCCTAGATGTTTTATTTTCTTATAGATGAAGATTGGGAAATGCAGAGTGTACAGTCAATAGAAACTTTCCCTTTACTGAAGTTAAATCACTTTAATATATTTAGATTTTTTTCTCTTTTTTTTGTGGAAGGAATGGGATAGAAATTCATCTATAAAATATTCAATACTTTCTAGATCAAAACCAAATACTATTTTGACACTTTAAAGGACTAGCAAATATATTTAATATAAGTCTAGGATCATGGAAGCTGAACTCCAATGCATCTGGAAGGCATGAGCTGGGGAGGCTTGTTTAAAAATGTCAAGGCCAAAGATCAGCAGTTTTAATTGTGTTGAAAAACTTACAAGGCAATTCCAGAGCTGGGACACACCAGATAAGTGTCTGAGCTGTATTTTAAATCCAGAGAAGATTCTGAGCTAAAAATTAAAAAAATAACCCCCACTCTGGTGCTAGCCAGTTTTTATATTTATCATATGCTATGCAGTTACTTCCACCCATCTCTTTTCATCTTTTCATAGGAAAAGGGGTTTCTCACTGATGCACAATTTGAGGAGATTGTCCAAAGTATACTTCAAAAGTCTCCCCAGGAATGCACGGGTATGTTGAAAGTGAGGGGAGAGAAAGAGAGAGAGAGAGAAAGAGAGAACTTGCCTCCAGAAGTTGTGAAGTCTCCAACACTGGAAGTTACTAAGAAGAGATTGGCTAACCATTTGTCTGAAATGGTATATAGGGTTTCCTGCCTGAGCTGGGATTGGACTAGAAGACCTCCAAGGTCCCTTCCAAATCAGTTATTCTATTCTACAAATTAAAAAGCAACTGCTCTTAACATAAAGATGAAAATTCCTTATCTATCCGGTTCCACTGAATTTGTCAAGATGAGAAGATACAGATTTTGCCTATTGCAACTTGCCAAGTGCTGTTTTAAGCATTGTGGTTACCCCTCAGTCGTGCTATAGCTATTAGTTTTCTAATACAGGCAGTCCTCAACTTAACAAAGGTACGTTTAGTGACCAAAATTACAACGGCACTGAAAAAATTGACTAATGACCGTTTTTCACACTTACGACCATTGTAGCATCCCCGTGGTCATGGGATTAAAATTCGGACACTTGGCAACTGACTCATATTTACGACGGTTGCAGTGTCCCGGGGTCACATGATCCCCTTTTGCAACCTTCTGACAAGCAACGTCAAGGGGGAAACCGGATTCATTTTACAGCCGTGTAACTTAACAACTGAAGCGATTCACCTAACAATGGTGGCAAGAAAGCTCATAAAACGGGGCAAAATTCACTTAACAACTGCCTCAGCCACGGAAATTTTGGGCTCAATTGTAGTTGTAAACCGAGGACTACCTGTACTGCACTTACATGCTTTTTACTAGAGAAATGCATTGTGCAGAGCCCAATAAATGACAGTAACTAAAACAAAGCAGTCACTCAACGTAATATTAAGCATTCAAATCAAACAAGTTCCGCCTAATACTTTTCCCCCTGTTGAAGCTACACTTATTTTTAATCTTTGAGACTTGGCTCCCAGTCAGAGCTTTATAAAGCTGTTTCCTTCTCGTTCCTAGAAAATCTTCAGGAGAGGCTGGTTCCAGCAGAGTCTGCTGAAGGTCAGCGTTCGAAAAGGTGAGTAACACACATCACTTTTATAAGCAAAGTGAAATTCCCCTGGACGGAAGCGCAGCTTCCTGTGTCTTCATGCCCACGTGGTTTTCTTGGCAATAAAGCCGAAATTGTTCTATTGGCTTCTTTCTGGGGATTTTATTTTCCCTACTAGCTCATCCTACAGCCCCGGGAACTTCCTTGTGGTTTCGCATCCAAGTACAGTAACAAGCCCTCGGCAGCTTTTCAAGATCAGCCAAGGTCGACTACAGTACCGCCATCTGCTGTAGAACTGATTTTGGAATATATTATTTTGACTCAAAACAAAACCCCCCCCAAAAACCCTTCCTTTTACTCAAACATTCTGAATGTGGGTGGGGGAAAAGCTACTTCTGAGCTCCGGATGTTGTCAATCTGCATTTAACTGCTGCAGAATATAACAAAGCGTGAAAGTAGCAGAATCAAGTAGAACAGCAGCAGAACCAAAGCGATGGATCTTTCTTGTCCTCCTGTCTCTTGCCCTGGTGATCCGAAAGCTCCAGAAATGTTGCTATCATCATCATCTCCTTTTAACAACCGCATAAACCCATGCGGGGTGGAGTCTGGGCAACTCAATAGAGCTGAATGTTTACTGGCCGGATGCCCTTCCTGTTGCCAATGCGGAGTTATATTCAGCAAATATATTCTCAGTATGCCCAGAGAGCGAGAAATATCTGCTGCTATCTAGAATCAAACTCACAGCCTCCTGATATTGAGGCCAGAGCTCCACTTCTAGGCCACTGCACCCCTCAAATGTTGCTATGAGAATAAGGAAACAGAAAACGTGATGCCATCTGCACTAAACACTGCAGTAACATTCAAAAGGTACCGAATTTCACACGATATAAGAAGAAATTGGACTGTCTCCTGCTTGGGCAGGTGGTTGGACTAGAAGACCTCCAAGGTCCCTTCGAACTCTGTTCTTCCATATCAGAAGCTGATAATTTGATTAAAAGTGGTTTAAAAGGGCAGAAAACGGTCTCCTTTGGCAGAGAGAGAAGAAAAATGAAGGAAGCAAAAATGAATTGGGGGTAGAAGGCTGTTCCATCCTGAGTTTGTTATTCTGGCTTAATAAATCACAGGCCTCCTCAGGCATTTTGCTCTCACACGAGCCTTTCCCAACTTGCTCAAGCCACAGGGACATCCCCACCAAGTATTTTCATGCAAGGAATGAAAGAAACTCCCCCCCCCCCACCTTATTTGAGCTATTTGTGACTGTTTTTCACAGAGGGACAAAATTTAGAAGGAAACTCTTAGCATATTATTTTTCATTCGTGCTTACAAATGTGGAGAAGAAGAAGCTTCAGCTCTGAGGAAGCCCCAACAGCCTCCCTGATCTCTAACTCAGTGGCCCCCAACCTTTTGGGCACTAGGGACCAGTTCTGTGGAGAGAGGTTTTTCCGTGGACCAAACATGTGGTTTCGCCTGCTGCCTGCATCCTACGGATGGGGCTTCACTTGCTTGCATGGCTCGGTTGCTGGCATGCCACGGACTGGTCCTGATCCATAGACCGGGTGGTAGTGGTTGGAGACCCCTGACCTCTAGCCCATCACTAGTAACACTTAGGAAAGCAACACAGTGGCTTGTGGTTGGGTGCGCATCATCTTGTGGCCCAATGGTGGCGCCCAAGTACACACAATGCAGGTGGCAGACTTGAGCAGCTGATGGTTTGCAGCCTAGCAGCCGGTCCTGGACAATGGGAAAGAAATTCCGATAACGGGCAGTTGCTGTTTCTTAGTTTTGAATGGGAAAAGGATAGCCAGAAGGGTGTTCTTAACCTTTGCTACGCGTATGATTAATCTCAGTTGGGATTGCAGGTAACTATCATAAAATGAGATTCAAAATGCTGGTAACCAAGTCGGGGGAATATTTCAATTCAAATCAGAATAGAGTTGGAAGGGACCTTGGAGGTCTTCTAGTCCAACCCCTGATCAAGCAGGAGACTCTATATCATTTCAGACAAATGGTCTCCTTAAAAACCTCCAGTGATGAAGCACCCACAACTTCTGGAGGGAAGCTGTTCCACTGGTTAATGCTTCTCACTGTCACGAAATTCCTCCTTAATTCCAGGTTGCTTCTCTCCTTGTTTCTTATCTTATCCTCTGGAACTTTGGAGAATAGGTTGATCCCCTCTTCTTTGTGGCAGCCTAGGCCTGGGGATCCCCCCACCATGTTGGAATAAGTTGAAATGGGGTTGGATAATTAAAAAAAAATTAAAACTTATATTTGCTGAATTCCCCCCTCCCCCCATGGTTAATACTGTTGTGCTGGTTTTTTTCTTTATTTCACTTGATGTAACAAAACACCACATTAATGCATAAAAACTCACAATAGCAGCATATAAAATGTGTATCAAAATATAAAACATCAGAGCAGTGAACCACTTTAAAAGCCCACATCCCGAATGATGAATAAAATGATGAATAAAATTAAATTAAGTATGAGCAGTTACTGGGGTGGCTAAACCTAGGACCGGCTACCTAGATCGTTTAGCCATTGGGCAGCACTGCCCTCGAGATGATGTATTTCATGCAAGGATCCAGGGAGCTGTTGTGCTGGTCAAACATCCACAGCAGGTATCATTAAAACTTCCAGACTAAAAAAAGAATAAAGGATACATCAAAGAGTTTATGGTTTAGCATGCTCACTATTGTCGTAACTTATTGTGTGAACCTGGCCATCAACTTAAACCATAACATAATTATTTATTTCATGTGGCATATTAAGTGACCCCTTCTCTCTTCCATAGCTTTTTTTTTAAAAAAAAAAAGAAGTAAACCTGACTTCAGAAACATGCATTTCCTTTGTTCCTCAAGCGTGTAGCCATTCTTTGGATAAGACAGAATCAAAGGCTCACTCCTTCGCTCCAAATGAGGGGAATTTGAGGGAAAGCTGTATGTTCAGAGCAGCTTTTATTGAGAAGTGGATCAGCTGTTCTTTCACAGGAAAAATTGAGGACTGGCCCCTTTGTGGGTTTGCTTAGTTATTATATTCATATCCATCTTTCCTCCCTATGCTGAGGTTGACCTGCATAGCCCTCCTTCCCCTTCCTCCAGTTGCCCTCAGTAATAATGTCACGAGGGAGGCTAAGGGATCGACAAAAGTCATCCTGGGAGTCTCCATAGGCTGGGTAAACCGTCCCTGGTCGTAATCCATAGTTCAGCCTCTACATCATTTTGCCTCTCTTAAGTGCATGATAATGTTGATGATGTCATCCGTTCAGCCGTGTCCGACTCTTGGCGATTCTCTGGGCCAGGGGGTCTCTCCACCTCTCCCGATCTTGTGCTGCTTCTTTGAGTCTTTCCATGCTCTGGCTGGTGCCAGCTTTGATGGTGTCCGGCCACCGTGTTCTTTGGCAGCCTGGTTTCCTTTTACCGCTCACTCTTCCCAACATAACTGCTTTCTCCACTAAATTCTCCCGCATGACATGGCCAAAGGAAGTGAGATGCAGTTTCATGATTTTGCCTTCCAGTGATATGCCTGGCGTTACTTGCCCCAGAATGTGCTTGTTAGTCACCACGTAAGTGCAACAGATCCTAAGATGCTCACTTTCTATCTCCACAGCAGCCAGTAACCTCCAGGTGTAGCTTTTTTTAGCTTTTTGCAAGAAGGTGCAATTTCACCCACCACACTGAGGGGGGGAGGAATTCACCACGTGTGGTTTTCTCAGGGAGATGTCGGAGGCATTTCTACCTGCAGAGAGGAGTGCCTGGCAGAAGAAAACTGAAGTGGCGCTTTCAGAAGTGGGACAGAAAGAACACCAGATCAAAGTGAAGAAGCAGAGCAAATCTGGCATCAATGAGGGTGAAAAAAAGCTAAGTACGTTTCCTTTTTTCATGAAAATACAAAGCAAAACACACCATGTAACAAACTTCTGCTGGCAGTGTGAGTGCAGCTTTGTTGGCCAGAGTTTGTGGGCGTGGATGGAAGTCTGGCCAGGGAAAGCGAGCAGAGTGGCCAGGGGCAAATCGACATCTACGTTATTTCCAGGGCTTCAAAATAAGCTGCTAAGGCTCACCGTTTCCTCTTCCAGTCCAATAGTGTTGTTGTTGCTCTCATATCACTCTTCTGGTGTTTTTATACAGAGAACACACACATACACACACACAATGGACAAAATACTTGTTTTTCTTTGTCTCCTGGCAGATGAGAAAGCGGCAGCAAACAATGTAGGGTGTAAGGAAAACCGGAAAGGAGAGCCCAAGAAAGCAGCTCAAGGCAACGCCCAAGACGTCACTGACCCAGAGGAAGCCCCGGAGGAGGAAGAGGATGGAGGAAGTGGCAGCAGCCGTGAGCTGAACTCTGCCTCTGTTCCAGGAGGGCTTCGGGGAGGATGGGCAAAGGGGGGGGGGCTGGACAGATGCCACCAGGGACGCCTGGCAGCCAGGCTGGGTTTCGGCTCTGCACTTTTTTGGTTCTGCAAACATCCATGAGAATGGGAAGCGGTCACAAGGTGCCTGTTGCTGGAGTAGATCCAGACACTGGCAATCCCAGGGAGAGAGTCGATTCCTGGGTGGCTCCACAAACAAGCTCACTGAACCATGGTTTCCAGGAGGGACTGGGTTCAAACCGTTGTCGTTGCTCATTAACAGAAATTCTTGCTTCGCCTGACCTCTTGGGCTGGTGCCTTGGTGGTTTAGTAGGCTTCCTTTCCTCTGTTGCAAACACTGGCATGGTTTGACAAGTACCACATGTCCAATAAATAAGCCTGTAGATGGGGCAGAGGGATCCCGGTAGGATTTCTGCACCTTCTGTTAGTTAGCTGGAGGGTCAGCCCACGGCCCCCTAAGGTGTCCTCTGTCAGCATTGGGGATGACCACAGGCTGGCTTGAAGCTGCTCTGGAAGGTCTGGGGGATAAAAACAGTGGCAGCATAGAAAGGACCATATCACCCCAGGCTTAAAGAAACTAATGCCATGCCAGGAAGGAAAGGAAAGAGGGAGGGAGGCAGGGAGACAAACAGGGAAGGAGGGAGGGAGAGAAAGAAGAAGGGAGGAAGTGGACATGAAAGAAGTGGAGGAAACTGGAGTGCAAGTAGAACAAGCATAAGAAGAGAAACTATAAGTTCTCTTTGAAAAGAGATAGGACAATTATAGTAATTAATCTCTCCACAGAAGGAATGAAAGTGGAAAGAAGAGAAAGCTCAGAAAAAGTGAAAACTATTATCTTGTCAGAGTGGAGGGTGGGGAGTTTGAGTAATAGGAAGCATAAAAAAGATGCTTCGTAGGATAATTACGTGACAGAACCTCCGACTGAGGAAAAAAATAGATGCATATGAATAAAATAACCTGCAAAAATGAGGAAGAGGGGGCACGTAATGCTTACAGAGAGAAAAAAATAGAGTTACAGAAAATGTAGTGAAAGAGAGCAAGGAATGAGGGTCATCTGGCCTCTTCCCCAGGGCAGGAATCTTATTGTGCGCAACATCCCTGACAGGTGGCCATCCAGCCCCAATTCCAACAAAGGGGAGTTTTCTTCCCATGGTTGAACAGCTGTCTGGCACATCCATTTCTTTTCTGATGGCCAACCCGTTTCCCAATCCTTTTCTGATTCTAGGCTGCTGTACCGCTTGGGTCCAGTGTTCTTACCCCAGCTGTGAGAAGTGGCGGCGGCTCAGCAGTGATGTGGATCCATCAGCCCTGCCCGAGGACTGGTCCTGCAGCCAGAATCCAGGTAGAGAAGGAGAAAAGACAAGCCTCTGGGTGGGGCTGGTGGACTACGGGGAGGGGGGCGGGCGGGGGGGGGAGAGGCTTCCTTTCCTTCAACTAAGTGAAAACATTTTCTGCTGAGTATCTCTGATGGTGGACAAGCGGGAATCTCGCCTCCAGAGGTTGTGGGTGCTCCAACACTGGAGGTTTTCAAGAAGAGATTGGACAGCAATTTGTCCAGAATGGTATATGGGGTCTCCAGCTTGAGCAGGAGGTTGGACTAGAAGACCTCCAAGCTCCTTTCCAAGTCTGTTACTCTGTTATTCTGAGCCCCCTTGAGCTCAGCTACGAGGTACATGGTTAGTTGTCCTGATTCAGTACCGAGTAATATTGGTTTGGAAGATTTGAAGTAAGTCATCTTGCAAACATTGCAGAGAGGCCGAAGTGCATGTTTCTGCGTCTGGTATGTTGACTTAACTCTTCTTAAATACGAGTAAGGCATGGAGACGTCATTCCAGGGCTTTGGCTTAATCTGGAAGCCAAGGGAGAAAAGAGCCTATGATGGCTGACCACAATCCAGAGGTCTGACTGAGTAGGATTCAACACAGGAAGGGGAGAGAAATGAGCTAAGGAGAAATTTCCTGACAGTGAGAAGAATGAATCAGTGGAATGACTTCGGAAGTTGTGGGTGCTCCAACACTGGAGATTTTTTTTAAAGAAGAGATTGGATAGCCATTAGTCTGACAGGGTATAGGTCTCCTGCTTCAGCAGTGGGTTGGACTAGAAGACCTCCAAGGTCCCTTCCATCTCAGTTAGTCTGTTAACTCCAGACTGAAAGGGAAACGTCTATACATTTGCACAGCTTGAGCTTCTTTTTGGTGGCTGACCTTGTAAAGCTAACCATGGCTGGATTTGATTAGAACAGGGATGAGAGACCACCAGGAAATCCCAGGGCTAAAGGTCCAGACTGGGAAATCGGGAAGAAAAACAGGGCAGGAAGAGGCAAACTCTGTCTGCATTGCTGCTAGGAAAACTGCACCAATGTGTCCCTGGAATCCCTCCTAGGAGTGGAGCTCAGAATAAGGGAGTCCTTTGATCAAACTTAATTTCAGCGGCATATTTATTTTCTCCTGCAGATCTTCAGTACAACAGCTGCAGTGTTCCTGAGGAGACCTGGTCGGGCTCTGAAGACGAAGTGGTCTATGCCATTTATTTTCCAGGGTCCATCGTGTGGGCCAAGCAATATGGATACCCCTGGTAGGCAAAAACAATCACTTGTCCTATTGAAATGGTCCATCCCTTGAATAACAGAATAACAGATTTGGAAGGGACCTTGGAGGTCTTCTAGTCCAACCCCCCTGGGGCTCAAGGCAGGAGACCTTATTCCATCCTAGTCAAATGGCTGTCCAGTCTCTTTTTGAAAACCTCCAGTGTTGGAGCATCCACAACTTTTGGAGGCAGGCTGTTCTGCTGGTTAACTTTTCTCACTGTCAGGAAGTTTCTCTTTAATTCCAGGTTGCTTCTCTCCTCGGTTAGTTTTCATCCATTATTCCTTGTCTAGCCTTCAGGTGCTTTGGAGAACAGATTGACCCCCTCCTATTTGTGGCAGCCCCTCAAATATTGGAAGACTGCTATCCTGTCACCCCGGTCCTTTTTTTCTCTAGCCTAGACATACCTAATTCCTAAATACAAAAGTAATTCCAAAGGCCAAATCCAGAAAGGAAGGATGCATATAGCAAGATTATATAAATTATATAAATTATAAATTAAGGCAACAGGGGTGTTACGTGTATTTCTTGGTCATGCGTGGGCACAGATGCTGCATCCAGAGGGGCTTCCCAGTTTCTAAATTATGGGGGAACCTCATTTTAGACAGAACACAAAATAACCCTCCCACTGATTATCCTAAGGCACATCCAGGCTGAGTTTTTTCAAGGCATTCTACTTTCATTGTGCGAACGCTGCCTCAGTCGCACAACTCACGCTTGAAGCCACCCTCTTAATGCTCTTGTTCCTCAAACATCTTGGTGTGTGGGTGTTTCTATGACAAATATTTCAAGGGAATTGTGGTTTCTCCGCAGGGCTGAATGCCGGCCTCTTGCATTGTCTTTTCTACTGGTGGGGATCCTGCCCAGGAAAAGCCTTATGTAAGCAGTGGAAGGCTTAGTTTGGCATTGTCCAATGGACCAGGGATTATGAAATGGACCAGGCTCTCTGACAAAATTGGGTTGTGGAATTGACTAGGGAATAGGCAGAGCACCAAGGTACTGTCAGGATAGGGTGGAGGAATGCCCCTGAATTAGCGAGGAGAAAGAATTCTTTTCTTTCTTTCTTTCTTTCTTTTGCATAAAAAGAACGCATCAAATCTACAGGCATGGAGAAATTACGACCCTAATCTGAGGAATTTTTGCACTTAAAATTTTGAAATCAGCAGCAACCTACAACCCTTTCATCCCTCTCTTTTTCTCTCACATTTGGATGGCATGCGTGTGAGTGTATTATGTGCATGCTGCTGCTGCACCATCATTGTGCTTTGGGACATTGCTGTAAGGGAAAAGACTTGGCCCAAGTCTCACAGCTTTTTTAAAAAAGCAGCCTGACCTTGAATCTTTCCAAGACTTCCAACTGTCTCGGCCTCCTGCGGTCCGTTCAACAGCCGGCCCTTCTTGAGACGGAGAGGCCCAGTAGCCAAGTTTTTGCAGTGCCCTTGCCAATGCAGCAGCTGCAGTTCTTCTGGTGAAGGACTAGCCAGAAATGGGGCTTCTGACCTCTAGAAAGGGGGAACGGCCTAGAGACGCTTCTCTGCTTTCCCTTGCAAAGGTCTGCCATGAATCTGCATTTTACGAAAGAACGATTTGCGTTCTTGTGCTTTGATTTTTACGTCCCTAATACTAAGGGCAAAGCCAGACCGCTTTTTATAGCAGGACTGGCTCCTATTTAATTTAATTTAATTCATGGCCGGATCTCACCAGATCACAAGAGCGAGATCAACAGCCCCAGGCCTGCCGGAAAAGCCAGGTCTTCACCGCTTTCCGGAAGGCCAGTAGGGTGGGGATGGTCCGGACCTCAGGAGGTAACTGGTTCCAGAGAGCTGGGGCAGCCACAGAGAAGGCCCTCCCCTGTGGGTCCGCCAGCCGGCATCGTTTAGCTGACGGGACCCGGAGGAGACCAGCTCTGTGGGATCTTACCGGTCGCTGGGAGCTATGCGGTAGAAGGCGGTCTCGAAGATAGCCTGGCCCTGAGCCATGCAGGGTTTTAAAGGTAATAACCAACACCTTGAATTGTGTCCGGAGACCGATAGGGAGCCAGTGCAGCTCGCGGACAATTGGTGTAGTGTGGGTGTATCTAGGTGCACCCGTGACAGCTCACGCGGCTGCGTTCTGGACCAACTGTAGTCTCCGAACACTTTTTAAGGGTAGCCCCATGTAGAGTGCGTTGCAATAATCTAACCATGAGGTGACAAGGGCATGAGTGACTGAGGAGGGCCTCCTGATCCAAGTAGGGTCACAATTGGTGCACCAGGTGAGCCTGTGCAAAGGTCCCCCTAGCCACAGCTGACAGATGTTGCTCCAATCTTAGCTGTGAGTCTAGGAGGACACCCAAATTGCAAGCCCGTTCTGAGGGGGACAATTTCTCTATGGGAGCATACTGGTCGGTGAGAGACTATTGGTAGCAGAAGGCGGTCTCGTAAATACCCCGGTCTGATGCCATGGAGCGCTTTAAAGGTGATAACCAAAACCTTGAAGCGTACCCGGAAGACCACCGGGAGCCAGTACAGCTCGCGCAGGAGGGGGGGTCACATGGGAGCGCCACGCCGCTCCCATAACCACCCGCGCAGCCGCGTTCTGGACCAGCTGGAGCCTCCGGGTGCTCCTCAAGGGGAGCCCCATGTAGAGAGCATTGCAGTAGTCCAGGCGGGAAGTAACGAGAGCATGAATGACCATATTTAACGAGTCCCGATCCAGAAAGGGACGCAACTGGCGAATCAGGCGGACCTGATAAAAAGTCCCTCTGGCCACGGCCGTCACGTGTTCTTCCAAAGACAGCCGTGAGTCCAGGAGGACACCCAAGTTGTGAACCCTCTCCATGGGGGCCAATGACTCGCCCCCAATAGTCAGTGATGGCACCAACTGACTATATCGGGATGTCGGAAGCCACAGCCACTCGGTCTTGGATGGGTTGAGCCTGAGTTTGTTTCTCCCCATCTTTTCTTAAAGAAGCTGAAGGTAATGTGGCATTAAGCTCTCCTCTTCCTGCTCCCTCCTCCTCCCCCGTCCTGTGAGGCCAGTAAGGGAGCCGGATTCCCTGGGAGCTTCCTAAGCGGAGGTGGTTTCAACCTGGCTCTCGCTGGCTCCAGCGGGGAAGAGATGGGGATGTCGGATGCTGCAGCAAAGCTGTGATGGTGGTGCAACACAAAAAGCGACCAGAGGATGAAACTGGGGTTGGCAGAAATGTCTTTGTGACTCGTGCGACGCACTTGACTCGCTCGCTGGATTTAATTCGTTTTCTGGGTTCATGTGCTAGATCAAACTTGACAAACAGGCTGGATTTGCACAACAGCCCCAGCAACCACAACAGAAACAAACCTAACCAAGGGGAACACTTAAGCTTTGCATGCTGGAGAATTGCATCTGCCGGCTGTTTATTGGAGCCGGTCGAGTGTTTTGTATAAACACAGCCTGCATTTGATGTTCTCTCAACACTTTTAAAAAGTTGGTGGCAGGACAAGGCAGAGCTCTGATTCCAGGCTTTGGTTCTTCTTTATCCTTACGGGTAGACCTCGACTTACAACCGCAGTTCTGCCCCCAAATTTCTGTTGCAAAGTGAGACACTTAAGTGAATTTTGCCCCATTTTCCAACCATTCTTGCCACAATCACTGCAGTTGTTAAGTTGGTAATACAGTTGCTAAGTGAATCTGGCTTCCCCCGTTGATTTTCCTAGTCAGAAAAGGGTATCATGTGACTCCAGGACACTGCAATCGTCGTAAATATGAGTCAAAATAGTTGAATTTTGATCACCTGACCACGGGGCTGCTACAACGGTCATAAGTGTAAAATCACTTTTTTCAGGGCCGCTGTAACTTTTAGCGGTCACTTAATGAACTGTCATAAGTCAAGGACCACCTGCAGTAAGCTTTGCTGCTCGTAACACAGTTATCTGTCTGATGCAGAAGCCAGCATGATGTTCTCTGTCACCCTCTCCTCTAAGAAGGGAGCCAATTTTTGCAGGCAAATTATTAGTTGATGTGAAATTTTCACCGTGGTGCTTTCAAGATTTGTCAGATAAAGAAGAGAATAAGAGATGAACCGTCTTTCTTCATTAGAAGAATGAATTTAATTAATTAACTAAAACCTGACCGGGGATCCTCACAGCTCAAATGTTTCCTGCTCTTCTTCCTGCCTCTGTTTTTAGGTGGCCGGGAATCATAGAAGCCGACCCTGACATTGGAGAGTACTTCCTGTTTTCTTCCCAGGCAGACTCACTTCCTGTTAAGTATGGTGTATATTTGCCCTGTACCGTGTTTCTGTGTACATGAGTACCACACACATGTGGTCACACATGATGATCGGACCTCGCAGGAGAAGAGTTCAACATAGTGGGAATCCCTTGGAAAAGGGGGATTCCGGAAGCCCAGCTGCAAACAGCTAGGATGAATAAAAAATGGAAGACAGCCAGAGGCCAATGAAATTGCCCCAAAAGCAAATGGAGGAGGGGGGGCCAGAGAAGTGGTGGGAAGGAGTTTCAAAGAAGACGTTTCCCCCACTGGGGACAGGCAAGCAGTGGCTGGGCAGTGGATCTGGGGAATTAGACTGGCTTTCCCGCTCTTATTCCATGACTTCCGTTGCAAAGATCATTGTATGCTCCGGTCAAGGACAATCCACCCCCCATGGTTCCTTTCTGGGACAGGCAGCCTCTCCCCAAAACGGCCACTGACCCTTCTCTCCTTCTGGTTTAGTCCAAGTATCACGTGACCTTCTTTGGCCACTCGGTCACCCGCGCTTGGATCTCTGCCTCTCTGCTGAAGAACTACGGGGAACCACCCGGGGAAGGAAATGCCTGGGTAAGAGGGCCTTTGCTTGAGGGTTTCTTTGTGAAGCAAGCCACAAAATCCAAGGCTTTTGTCCTATGCGCGTACCTGGCATCACGACCCACGTACGGAAGAGACAGAGCTTGGGTCTGCTCTGCCTTCATCGTGGGCCTCTCCCTGAGCCTCCCCTGCAGGTGACCTCAATACAGACCTGTAGTAGGTTGCAAAGAATTGCGGCACATTGTGTGTGCCAATGTGTGTGACTTTAAACTGGAGGTCTCCAAACTTGACAACTTTAAAACTTGCAGACTGCACGGTTGGCTGAGGAATTCTGGGAGCCGAAGGCCACAAGTTGCCAAGTTTGGAGATCTCCTGCACTGTTTTGATGAAAATTTGGGTTTCTTTGTCTGTGGGGCCACCCTACTTCCACCTCCCAGGCCCCCTTTTTAATTCCCTATCGCTGTACTTTGTGGGTAGCCATGGCCGCTCACTTATTCTGACCCAGCACACAAAGACTTTCCCCACGTTTTCCTGTGAATGACAACTCTGGGTGGGCTGCCAGGGTACGGTATAGACGGAGACCACTCCCTTGATGCCTTTCCGGCTCCGTAAGTCACGTGACTTCCTTTAACTAAATGAGTTGGGAATCTGTTCTGGTATAAAAAAACAGCCGCCTGTACCCAGTGTGATTTACAAGAAGCTCTCGGGAGCTTTTATAAAAGAAGACGGGGTAGGCTTTCCCCAGAGTTTGCAAGAGGGTGGGGAGCGAGCAAAATGGGTGCTTTGTTGTATTAATCATGGCAGGCAGGCACTCTATGGGTAGTCCTCGCCTTATGACCACAATGGAGCCCCAAATTTCTGTTGTTAAGTGAGTTTTGCCCCATTTTATGACCTTTCTTGCCACAGTTGTTAAGTGAATCACTGCAGTTGATAAGTTAGTAGCATGGTTGTTAAGTGAATCTGGCTTCCCCATTGACTTTGCTTGTCAGAAGGTGGCAAGAGGGGATCACATGACCCCAGAACACTGCGACCGTCATAAATATCAGTCAATTAGGTCGGTAAATTGAGGACCCAGTTTGTGGGGGCAATAAGCTGACTTTGTATAAAATATACAAAAGTATGAAAGCTATTGCTTAACGCATTGTAAACCGCGCTGAGTCTCCAGAGAAGGGCGGCATATAAATCAAATTTAAAAAATAAAAATAAAAATTGCCAAGTATCTGAATTTTGATCAGGTGACCATGGGGATGCCGCAATGGTCATACGTGTGAAAAACTTTTTTTTCAGTGCTGTCGTGACGTCAAATCATCATTAAATAAATGGTTATAAATCGAGGACTACCTGTATGAACTGGGGCCCACTCCTTCACCCACCCACCCAGCCACCCATTCTTCTCTCACGAGTGTCCTTTTTTCACAACAGTCACAAAATTCCCAAATTTCTCCTTGGACCACCAGCCCCTAAGGTTAACTCAAGTTTCCCCCAACTGTGTGAAAAAGGGGAACGGGCAGCAAAAGGGAAGCCAGGCCGGCTTCTGCCCCCCATCCTTCTCTCCCCACCCCAAGCTCTTTCCTTCCAGACCGCCCCATTTCCGGGCCTGAAAAACAACAAGGGACGGAAGGGAAGCCCTGAGAAAGGATGAATGAAGGCCAACCGTCATAACTCCTTCATGACAAAACGGTTAATTTGATTTGCCGATGTGACCCTCTGGAAGGAACTTCGCTGCGAGTTCCCCGAATTGCAGCTCTGATTCAAACCTTCTGTTCCAGGCCAAGATCAGGAACAGGAGTGAGAAGGAGAACCTCAAAGCGGCTCTGGAAATGGCGAAAGAAGCAGAACAAATAAGCATCCAGGTGGGATGGGACTCTGGCACAAAGGTTGCATTCACCGGAGCAATTCTTTTTTTTTTTCCCCTGGAATAACCATCATCATATATTCCCACGCTTTTCTTCAGGATCTAGACCAGGAGTCCCCAAATTTGGCCACTTTCAGACTTGTGGACTTCGATTCCCTTTAACTGGGGAATTCTAGGAGTTGAAGTCCACAAGCCTTAAAGTGGCCAACCCTTGATCTAGACACTGAACTGCTAAACCTTTACTGTCTACCTTGTTCTAGTTGTCCCAGGCATAATTTGTGGCAGTTTGGGTTTTAGGGACCCAGAATGTTAGAGCTGGCCTCACTTGCATCAAAACGCACCCACAAGCTTTGGCAACCTCTTTTTTTTTTCTTTTGTCATTGTCTTTGTCTCATCTCCCCCACCACCACCCTTTCCCAACATTGTCCAAGGAAAGCCTGTGAAATGTGTAATCTCTTTGTCACCTTTTCCGGGGAGAGAAAAACTATTCAGGTTGGGTTATGACAGAATAGGAAAAGAGGGGGCAGCCTCAAGGGGACAGACAGCCTCCTGTGACCCTAATGACTCCCCATGTGCTGCAGCCCTGTGATTGGCAGAGGTTTTTCTGGTGACAGACAGACAGGGAGAGTCACAAAGGCAAAAAAAACCCTTCCAGCTGATTTGTCTATATGCTTTTATAGAGTATATACCTTATCAGAAGAGCACCATCCACAGTGAGTCAGAGCAGGCACAATAGAAGCCGCAGAGCGATTTGCCTGATGTGTGTGCATGTGCGTGCAGCAAATTTCACTCTAGTCTAGATTTCTCTTAAAGGGAGATGGAGAGATTTTTAACTCGGCACTGAGAAAAGGCCCCTTGGTTAAAACATCTTCTAACTTCTGCTCATTCAGGCTTTTTGTTCGGGGCTGCTTGTTAAAATCATCCATTTCTGCTTCATTCATTATTGCCATGATGGCTGTCTTGCTAGATTGTAGGCCCAACCTCCATTTGCAAAATCTTATTCATTGATTTATATTTCCTATTTCTAAACTCTGCATTGAATCGAGGAAAGGAAAGCAGCAAGTAAAACGTGCCTTTGAACTGCCTTGTTTTAAACAAACCCAGACACATTTTTCATTTTCTTATCCGAATTTTCTCATTTGGTGCAAGGCAAAGAGCCTTGCAAGGCAAGCTGCTAATATTTTAAATAGGACGGTGATTAAGTCTTCTGTGTCACATGACACGGGGGAGGAGCAAGGGCTATCATTTTCCTCCGGATTTAGTGATGATACGTCCTGTGAGGATATATCTTTAACACCATCAGAAGATTACACCTGCCTATCTCAGGTCCTTGGCAAGGACTCGCCAGGTGGACAAAAATGCCAACTCAACATCTAGCAAATCCTGCAATCAATCAAAATAATACCGTATATTAAATTTATATGCTGTCTGAGTTGCAGTGACCCACCTTTCTCTCCCACAAACGTGTGCTTATATTAATTATTGATATCCCACTTTTATTAACTTTATTAAGTAACTCCAGGCGGCGAACATCTGTAATATGCGTTTCAAAAAAAGAAGGCAAGCGTTGAGTATTTTAAAATGAAACTTATTTCTTTCTCTTACTTTAGCTCAGGCAGGTTCAGCCAGGGAGGAAGGATGGGTGGATTCAAAAGCAGATAAGGCTCTTGAGGAGAAGGGTTCTCTTTCAGCTAGCTGGTCCAGTTTTTTTAGCCTTTGTAGAGACTGGACTGCTATCTTTCAAAAATGGTGTAGGGATCAGGGGTCTCCAACAGTGGTGGGTTTCAAAAATTTTAACTACCGGTTCTGTGGGTGTGGCTTGGTGGGCGTGGCATGGCTTGGTGGGCGTGGCAGGGGAAGGATACTGTAAAATCTCCATTTCCTCCCAATCAGCTGGGACTCAGGAGGCAGAGAAGAGATGGGGGCGGGGCCAGTCAGAGGTGGTATTTACTGGTTCTCCGAACTACTCAAAATTTCTGCTACTGGTTCTCCAGAACTGGTCAGAACCTGCTGAAACCCACCTCTGGTCTCCAATCTTGGCAATGTTAAGCTTGGTGGACTTCAACTCCCAGAATTCCCCAGCCAGCAAAGCTTGGCTCCCAAAGAATTCTGGGAGTTGAAATCCTCCAGGCTTAATGTTGCCAAGGTTGGAAACCCCTGGACTAGATGACCTACAAGGTCCCTTCCAACTCTGTTAATCTGTATCTGTATCAGGCCCTTCGGTTAAGGTTCTTTGACTAACCAGCTGAAACTGCCAGGCGACATCCCTCACAGCATAACTGTCTCTTCACTCTGTTAGTTTACCGATACCGTTGCCTTTGCGCTGTCCCTCCAGGCAAGAATAAGGAGATTTGGGTTCCACAGCCGATTCCAACACAAAGAATCTCCCAAAGACTGCAAAATCCTGAAAGGTACGTGGCGTGCCACATGGGATCAGACGCCAGAAATACTCACAGCAGGTTCTTCTCTCCCTCCCTTGAGGGAACTCACCTGTTCTTGGTTCCTTCTCGTATCGTAGAGCAGAATAACACGGCCTCCTCCAGGCCTCGGGTCAAAAGGACCCCAGGAACAAAGGGTGAGCATAGGAGCACTGCAACCTCCAGCAAGAACCAAGAAAAGGTGAGCCACGAAAAAGGCAGATTTGAAGATGGCAGCTCAGCCCTGTGGGAGGCTAAGAGTGCAAACACTCCTGATTTTGTACCCATTTGCCCTTCTCTGCTGCCTGCTCACTGAATTTTATTTTGCACCAGTAGAAACTTTAGCATCCTTCCATTTTGTTCAGTTGGTGTGAAGAGCAGAGGCCTAACTGCTCTCTGCTCTTCAGTGAGCAAACCATCTTTCTTTTCTAGCTTCTCCATGAAATATCAGGAGTGAAACCCAATGAAAATATCAAGAGGCCCATCGATACGAAAGGTATATGTTTTACTCCCCCCTATTTTCTCCAACAGCTCCCATGTCATACCTCCCCCCTCCCCTTTTCTATCATTGAAGCCAGGGAGGCTCTGCAGCTTTCAGCTCTGCCTGGGTGTCAAACACCTAGAGGTCAACCAAACTGGGTTAACAGAATGCCCAGCCTCTTCTTAAAAACCTCCAGTGATGGGGCACCCCCAATTTCTGGTGGCAAGCTGTTCCACTGGTTAATTGTTCTTACTGTTAGGAAATGCCTCCTTAATTCTCTTAATTTCCTGACAGTGAGAACAATCAACCCATGGAAGAGAAGTTGCCTTTGGAAGTTGTGGGAGCTTCAGCACTTGAGACTTTCAAGAAGAGACTGGACTGCCATCCGAATCAGAAATGGTGTAAGGTCTCCTGCTTGGGTGGGGGGGTTGGACTAGATGACCTACAAGGTCCCTTCCAACTCTGTTAATCTGTATCTAATTCAAGGTTGCATCTCTCCTTGATAATAGAATTCTTTATTGGCCAAGTGTGATTGGACACACAAGGAATTTGTCTTCGGTGCATACGCTCTCAGTGTACATAAAAAATACATTCATCAGGTTTTTCATCCGTTGCTTCCTCTCCTGCCCTCTGGTGTTTTGGAGAATAGGTGGGAACCCCCCCCCTTCTTTGGGGCAGCCCCTCAAATACTGGAAGGCTGCTATCATGTCCCCCCCAATCCTTCTTTTCTCTAGACTGGCCAAACCTAGTTCCTGCAGCCGTTCCTGGTGTGTTGGCCTAGTATAAGCTGTGTGCAAGGGAGGAGGGAATCTTGGTAGGTAGAAGCAGAGGTATAGACCTGGAGAGAAGGGCGGAGGGGTCGACTGGGGAGACTTTGGGGGCAGCAGATCTTAGCCTAGGCCTGTGCTGTGTCCCCAACGTCATTGGACGTTTGTTTATTTAATACATTTTCATGGCCGCTCCTCTCACGTACCTGACTTTATCTAACAAAGTAAAAACAATACAACCCAAATTAAAAGCACTATAAAGAGCCCCTCCTTGAGAGAGATGGACAGTCTGGAAAGGCAAAATATAAATAAATACAATAAAAACAGCAGCCAGATGAAAATGTTCCTTCCCCATTTCTTGGCTCTGCTGGTAGGAAAGCCACAGCATTGGCCCTTCAGGAGAGGCCTGCTGTCCTGCCAGACTTGGAGAAGTTCTTGAACCAGGCCAGTCGCCACAAGCTAAGAAGCCCCCCTCCCTTGACGGTGGGTGCAAGGGGGAGGGGCCACCCCTGCCCATCACCAGCCACCTGCCCTATTGCAGGACGGGCAGCCTTTCCCTGAAGGACGTGGCCAGAACTCTCCCTGCCCTCCTTATTGGCTCCGGTGAGGCACGGCCCCTCTTCCGCCTCCCTGCTGGGAAATCCCTTGGCAGAAACTGAGAGCCCAGAGCATAGAGGAGACTCACATGTGAAAGGAACATGAGGCTCATGCGGCTGGAAGGGACTTTGGAGGTCTTCTAGTCCAACCCCCTGCCCAGGGCAGGAGATCCTGTGTACCATTCCGGATTTTCTTAGGGCTTGATGAGATGGATACACACGGTCCCAGAAAGAATAACAGACTTGGATGGAACCCCAGAGGTCCTCCAGTCCAACCCCCTCACTCCATCGGTAGACCCTATGCCATTTAGGACTTCATGTTTATTTCACTGCGTTTCCAGGAGAAAACAATTGTCTTCGGATTCCTCTGTCCTCAGCCATAACGATGTTGTCTGTCTCTGGGTGTATATGTGTGTGTGTGTGTATTTTGTACAGGGGACAAAAAACCTCAGGTAGGAGGACTTGAAAATGCCTCCCCTGCGCTGAAGAGGCGAGAGAGAACTGCCCCCAAAGCGGCAGCTACGCTCCCAGGATCTGATCGAGCAACCGGAAAACAGGATAGTAGTCAGAAAGGTGAGAGAGAGGATGGATGGATGGATGGATGGATGGATGGATGGATATGCATTTACTGTGGGCACCAGTAAGAACGGGGTTTTGGTAGCAGGTGTTTTAGCAAGGAAGGGAGGGAGGAAGGCTGTTCTAAATCAAAGCAGGGCCTGGGGGGCTATGAAGTCAGCCTGAAGTTCAGAGAAAACGGGGCTCAGCCGACATTCCCATCATCCCTTCCTTCTAATTGGCTTCTGTCTCCTTCCTGCCAAGGCTTGAAGAAATCCTTCTCTGTGCCGCCGCCGTGCCAGGCGTCTCAGGCCAGACACCCCCTCCGTTCTTGGCCAGACAGCAGCCCTGCCGGCTTCGCCTTCTCTCCTCCCCCGAGCCAGAAAGACCGCTCCAACAGGTCAGGGGGCTCCCCGGGGCCCAAAGGAACCTGACCGGAGGGAAAGGCGCGGCTGGGCGACCGAAGGGAACCCCAACAGCTGCCTCCGATGAGGAGAGAGGAGGACTCTTCTTCTGCCACCGGCTTCTCTTGGGCTTGGCTTGGCTTGAAGGAAAAGGCCGCGAGGATCGGAGGAAGGTGGAAAAGGCTGGCAAAGTTTTCGTTTGTGAGTTTGGTTGACTTGGGAAGTTGAGGGCTGCTTATATTTTAACAGAGCTGCAGATTGTGAAACGAAGAACCTGAAGTGGAGCCCTGAGCAGGCAGAGGGTTGTTGTTTTTTTTTTGCCCCTCGGGAGAAAAACCTTTTGGAAAAAGAGCTCTTGGAGGTGGCCTCACCTGAGGGGCTGGAGTTGCACCTCCTGGCTGGCAAACCCCTAAAGTCGCTCTGCTCCATTAAAGGCTGCTTTCCCCCCCTGCCCTTGTTTCCACCCTTCCTTCCCAGCCTCAGAAGAGGCCAAAAGCCAAGCAGGGGCAGGACGGGCTCCCTGGCCTAAATACAAGGGACGTTAATGCCAAAATGCTGGTACTTCGGGGAGGCCTCGACTTAACAATCACGAGGGAGGCCAACGTTGCTGTTGCTAAGCGAGACAGTTGTTAAGTGGGTTTTGCCCCGTTCTGCGACCTTTCTTGCCACAGCTGTTAAGTGAATCTCTGCACTTGTTCAGTTAGTCCCATGGGGAAGTGAATCCAGCTTCCCCCCCCCCTGTTGACTCAGAAGGTCACAAAAGGGGATCACACGACCCCCCCGGGACTGCTGTGGCTGTCATAAATACGAGTCAGTTTGCCAAGGGTCTGGATTTTGATCCCATGGCCGTTTTGGGTTTTAAAAGGGCCGACAAATCTGCCTCCCTCCCTCTCTCCTCCAAACTTAGCCTTTTCTTTGAAGATGGATGACAGGCAAACGCCTTAACGGCAGAAGAATGCACATTTAGCAAGCTTGCCTACTTAAATCTAATATACGGGATTTGGGGCTCATAAGACATTTTAAAGCCCACCGAGAGAACAGATGTAAACATTTTTATTAGGCCCTTTCTCAATTTTGCATCCTTAGGGTATCCCACCCCCCCTCCCCCCAAAAAACCGAACCTGGGGCAGCCAGTTCCAGAGGAAGCTCTGGCGCTCTCTCATTTGGGTAGGGATAACATCAGCCTCCCTGACCATCATCATATCCGGTGAGGCAGCTTCCTCTTCAGGCCTGGATTCAAGGTCTGACCGGAATGTCGGCCTCTTTTGTTTCAGCTGCCTCATTGGGGGGGGGGAGAAGGGGAGGGGGGGGACACCCACAACTGCACAGCCTTGGAGGAAGCCGCCTTGTGCTGAAGGTTGCAGAAGACGGAACGGCCAAAAGCGTTTCCTGACTCCCACGTCTCCAAGGATCTCGCCCACCAGGGACCCCGAGGCATGTTTGCCTAGCCCTAGGAGGCTGGTCAGAATATTGGGGGGGGGGGGCATTGCCTTCTCCCGCTTGGGCCTCCCCCCCACCCCACTTTCACTGCAGCCAAGAGAAAAACAGAATCCTGGGGAATGGAAGGGACCTTGGGGGGGGGGTCTTCTAGTCTGATCCCCTTTGCAAGGCCTTGTACCTTGTACAACTTTGAGACCTGTGGACTTCAACTCCCAGAATTCCCCAGCCAGCTGTGCTGTTTTTTTTCGCTGCTTTCCCTTCAAAACAATTACTTTAATTCTGTTTATTAAGCGCTTCGTCTGTGCTCTAAAGCAGGGCTGTCCCAGCTTGGCTGTTTTTTTAAGGCTGGGGAATTCTGGGAGTTGGAAGTCTTAAAGGGACACCCCTGCCTTATATGGATGCCCAGTCTTTTCTTGAAAAGCTACACCACCTTTTGGGTGAATTCCTGGGGATCAGTTCATCAATCTCACACCCGCCTGGGTCTTTTTCCACAAGTGTAAAGGCCACGCGGCTTTTTAAGAAAGCCAGACTTAAAAGAGAGAGAAGAACTCAGATTGCATGAGGTTCCCCCTCGCATTTTTGAGGGCTGACTCACAATTTGCTTTCAACAGCCTGTAAATTCCAAAGGGATGTTTTAGTCTCGAGGTTGGGAAATGCTCGTTTTTGTGGCCAACTGGCTCAAACGGGGTCAGTCCATCTATTTTCTCATGGTTTGGGAATTTTTATTTTTTTTTTTTTACAAATGCCTTAAAATATCAAGGCAAACACGTGATTTCCTCACCACGAGACCAGGGGTGTCCATGCTTGGCCCCTTTAAGACTTGTGGACTTCAATTCCCAGAATTCCCCAGCCAGGAGTTGAAGTCCACAAGTCTTAAAGGGGCCAATCTGGGACAGCCCTGCTTTAGACTACAAACAAAACTCTGGAAGCAGTTAATAAACAGAATTTTGAATGGAAAGCAGTGAAAAAAAATAGCACACTTAAAAAAAATAACATCTGGCTTGGAGTTGAAGTACACAAGTCTTAAAAGTAGCCAAGCTTGGACAATCCTGCTTTAGACCACAAACAAAACCCTGGGAGCAGTTTATAAGCTGAATTAAAACTACATTTTGAATGGAAAGCACTGAAAAAAAGCACAAATACCCACCAAAGCTCTTCTTTAACTATTATTAAAAGGTGGCCATGACCAGGGGCTTCCATGGTTTTACAGGAAAATTACACGGAAGAAGAATTTCTTGGGAGGCCCTGAGAGAAGTGGAGCAAAGGGAGTGCTAGAATGGTTTTTTAAAACGCACTCCCATTTATCAAAAGCACATTATTCAGGACAACAAGAGCGTATTGAAGGTACAGAAGGCCAGGCAAACAACACACGTGTAAGGTCTGACAATACGCTCAGGCCACGGGGAGCCCAAGGAGGACTTAAAGGGAGGCTTGAGAAAGAATCGGCATTTAATCTTTGATGAAAGTGAAAGACTGAGTTAGCATTTCCAAAACACATACAAAAAGGACTTGCAAGGAAAGGCCACCACACCTAAGAGAGGGAGTGGCCGCCTTTTTATTCTGTTCTAAAACATCCCTTAAATCCCCAAAGGTGGTCTCCTAATTAGCTCTGTGTATTCCTTATTGCCCTGCAAAAGGAGAGAGGCTTCCTCCTCATTAGCCTTATCAGCCTTATCTCTGCCTTGATCATTCCTTTGTTCTCACAATTGGGCCCCCTGGTGTGGCAGGGCAAGGAACCTGCACAGATCAAAGGTGTAAGTTTTAGGGCTGTAGGGGGAAATTGTATGCAATCCCAGCCCCCCCCCCCAATACCTGCTATGCCCTGGATGGCAGGAGAGGAAGAGATAAGAAGATTGATATGGGTTCTGATCAAATGGCAGGAACGTATCTTTGACAACTACCAGATACTTGACAGAGGCCTAATAACAGCATATTTTTGTTACAGGAAGCTAGTTGCAGGAAATACAAATCTAAAGGTACAATGTGGCATATTTGTGTTACAAATACAAAGGCATAATATATAGAATAGAATAGAATTCTTTATTGGCCAAGTGTGATTTGACACACAAGGAATTTGTCTTTGGTGCATACATCAAGAAATAAAGTATATTAGTCAAGAATAAAAAGATACAACACTTAGTGATAATCAAGGTTACTAATAAGCTATCAAATCATACTAGGAAACAAGTAAAAACAATATAAATTGAAAGATGGAAGCACATGGTTATAGTAATAAGTGGGAAGCGACAGATACTAATAAGGACGTGAAGAATAATAGTAATTCAGTAATATATATGTTACAAATCCAAACGTTTGCAGAATAACAAGTTTCTACTAATTCTAGTATACTACTATATTATATTCCAGTATTATTTAGTATATCCTTATTACCATTTCCCTTCACACTGAAGTAGGAAGCGATGGAATTCCAGATGCTGACTTTGCCTGCCCTGGCCAGGAATGATGGGACCTGTAATCCCTTGTGCTGCGGAACTAGAGAAGATTTTAAAAAGCATCTCGGCGAAAGAGAGTCGTGGGGCTAGAACAGTCCCTGCAAAGGAAAACTCGAATTTTTAGTCCATTTTGAGTTAGAAGCAGATAAAAGAGACATTGCATTTAAAAGTGAAACTCAAATGAAACGGTGGGATTTGGTGCACAGATGTGGGGCAGAGTTGATCCCCTCTGGCCTGTCTGGCAGCTGCTGCCTCCTTCAATGTCACCAGAGTGGGGAAGGGTCTTGTCCCTCCTCCCCTTGGACCCTTCCTGGCTTCAGGGGGCTGCCCCCCCAGGACCTGGGCCTAGAGAGGCAAGGCTCCCTATAGGTTGTATGGGTGGGTCTACTGGAAGAACCGTCCCATTTAATCCCCAACATCTGCGGGTCAGGAGACGATTCAGCCAAGGAGCCCCCAGCCCCATCGCCACCGAGGGTCCTCCTGGGCTACCTAAAGGACCAAGCAGGTTAAGGCTTGGGGTGACCCGCGGCTGGACCCCAGCAACGTCTCGAAGCGCACCCTCCCTCTGGGGCGAGGGGGGAGGGGGGCTGGGCTTTCCAACAGCCCCACCAACCGGGACCCCGGCCTGCTCCCTTCTGCGGGGAGGGCAGGAAGGGGAGGGGGCCCTTCCCTGCGGGGAGACTCCCCTCCCTGGCGGGGCTTCCTCCCTCCTCCTCCTCCTCCTCCTCTCCCCTGCCTGCCTGCCAGCCTGCCAGCCGTGCGATCGGCGCCCCCGGAGCCGACTCGGGCGCCTGAAGAAGCGGCTCTGCCGGGAAAGGGGCGGGGGGGACCCGGTGCCGCAGCAGCGCCGCCCCGGCGGGAGGAGACGACCCGGCCGAGCCGGAGGAGGCGGAGGCGGCGAGAACCGGGAGCTTCGGAGCGCCGCCGCCTTTGTCCGCAGCAGCAGCAGCAGCGCCGCCGGGAACCGGGCGGAGGGTCGGGCTGTCAACGGGCATCGCTCCCTCCGGCGCGGGCCTCCCTGGGCTCCAGACCCTCCGGTGCCTCCGGTCCTCCCCCGCCGCTCTGCCCCTCCGGCCCCGCGGCCTGGCTTCCCCTCCCCTCCCCGGGCCGGCGAGCAGCGATGCCGGGCGGCGGGCGCGGGGTCCGGCGGGGGAGCCGAGCTCTGTGACGCAGCCGCCGCCGCCCCCACGGCAGCCCCCTCCCCTCGCCGCCCGCCCGCCCGCCTGCTCCGGAGTAAGTAGCGGGGTTGCCGATGGCTCGTGGGGAGGGGGGACACGCGGGTCTGGTCAGGTAAGGACGCCTCCCGGGGGTCTCTCTCCCCCCTTGCGTGTCTGCGCTTTCCCACGGAGGGTCCGCTCGAGGGGGAGACGCGCCGGTCTGTCCGACTCGCCTCTCTCCGGTTCGGGGATGGAGATCCCCTCCCCAGTCCCCGGGGGGGGGAGAGCTAACACCCCCCCCCAGGAAAAGCCCCCTCCCGACCCGTGGGAACCGGCCGTGCGAAACCTTCCGGCCCGGCCAGGCCCGCATCTCCGCAGCCCCCGTGAAATCCGGCTCCGTCTTTCAACTGCGGAGGTTGGCTCGCCCGGGAGAGAGACGGTGGCGGCTGAGCTCCGCTCGCCCCTGACTTGGCTTCCACCCCCCCCCCCGGTGCTTCCCGAGCGGGGTCCCCAGGGGTCAGAAAAGTCAAGATGACGCCCCCTCCCCTTGATCGCGGGATTGAACCCCCGGGGGGCCTTTCCCCCCCCCCACTTCTCCTCTCATCCCCCCTCCCGTTTCCCTGGGTTGCCAAGCCCAGGAGCCCCTTCCCTGCCCCAGGTGTGTTAAGGGGCCCTGGAACATCGGCGCATCCTCCTCTTGCCTTGAGCATCGTCTCCCGGGAGAGGAGAGGAGAGGAGAGGAGGGGGGGGGTCTGCAGCAGGAAGGATGCGTAATAGGAACAACAGCCGGTGCCTTCAAATTCAAAATATCCGGATGAAAAACAAGAGCATTCTGTGGAAAACTGAGCCGACCTTTTCACAGAATAACGGTGGCCTTGGAAGGGACCTTGGAGGTCCTCTAGTCCAACCCCCGGCTGCCCACCACCCCTTAATTCCCCGGGCCCAGCAGAAGGGACATTTTCGGCATCCCTTCCTCAAATTCAGCCCGCACCCCTTTCTCGGCCCAGGTATCTCAAAGGGGCTAATTTACAGAATGCATCCAAACTCCAGGATCCGGGATTTTCCCAATGGGATCCAAATTCAGCCAATTTCAGAAAGACTTTGATGACATGATAGGAAGGATCGTAACATTGTTATGAGAGGCATCATAACAAATCGTCATTAAACGTTTCCTGCGGTCGCTGTGTTGAGCTACTCTGGGGGCAGAATCATCTCTAAACATCTCTCCCAATTTTTAAGAACTTTCTGAGGATATTAGAAGCTCCGGCCTTATTGCTGAAAGCATGAAGACTCTGGGAAGATAAGACAGGCAGTCCTCGACTTACGACAGTTCGTTTAGTGACCATTCTAAATTACCATAGGGCTGAAAAAAGTAACTTAGGATCGTGCCCAAAGATGCTTTTTCAACTGGACTTTCTGATTTATGACCATTTTTCACACTTAACGACCGTTGTAGCATCAGGTCACGTGGTCGCGTGATCCAAATTCAGACGCTTGGCAACCGATTCATATTTATGACAGTCGCCATGTCCCGGGGTCCATGTAACTAACTTGACAACTGTGGTGATTCCCTTTTTGCAACAGTGCCAAGAAAGGTCGTAAAACGGGACAAAGCTCACTTCACAACTGTCTTGCTTAGCAACAGAGGTTTGGGGCTCTGTGGTGGTCATAAGTCGAGGACTACCTGTATCTCTGAAACGATAGCAGCCGAGAACTCATGGGTTGCCTAATTTAAGGAAAACCACATATTTCTAAGTTCTTTCATCCTTATTTTTATGTATTTGTTTGATTTAATCTTCTTTGTTCTCTCCTGTTGTCTCCCCAGCAACTGATGCTGGCTTGTAGGAACACAATCACAAAGATGACAACTGTTGTGGGCTCCTGAGATCAGGCTGGCTGGCAAGGGGGATCCGGCCGGCCCCTGGGGAGAAGGGCTGCTCTCTGGAGCTTTTGCACCACCCATCGTCCTGTCCTGCCCTCCTCTGGGGTAGGTAACTGAAGTGGGGGTGGGTGGAGGAGGGGCTGCAGCTGGATGCTACCTGGACGCTCTGTGGGGTTCCCCCCACTCCTCCTCCTCCTCCCTTCTAACACTGATGATACTACCTAGTTGGGTCATGAAATGTCTGCAAGAGAACCACCAAGCTCAGAGAGCACTTAGGACCCCACAGTCCTTTTCCTCCTCCTCCTCCTCCTTCTCCTCCTCTTCCTTTCCTCTTTTCCTCCTCTTCTTTGTCTTCTTCCTTTCCTCCTCCTTCTTCTCTTCTTCTTCTTCTTTCCTCTTCCTCCTCCTCCTCTTCCTTTCCTCCTCCACCTCCTCTTCCTCTTCCTTTCTTCCTCTTCCTTCCCTCCTCCTTCTCCTCTTCCTTTTCTTTTCCTCCTCTTACTTCTCTTCCTCTTCTTCCTCCTCCTCCTCCTCTTCCTTTCCTCCTCCTCCTCCTTTTCCTCTCTTTTTCTTCCTCATTTCCTTCCTCCTCTTCCTCTTTATTTATTCCTCTTCCTTTCCTCCTCCTCCTTCTCTTCCTCTTCTTCCTCCTCCCTCTTCCTTTCCTCCTCCTCCTCCTTTTCCTCTCTTTTTCTTCCTCTTCCTTTCCTCCTCCTTCTCATCTTCCTTTTCTTTTCCTCCTCTTCCTCCTCCTCTTCCTCCTCTTCGTTTCCTCCTCCTCCTCCTCCTCTTCCTCTTCCTCCTTTATCACTTTGGGGTCAAGGGAGATAGAGAGTTGGTGGGTTCTTGGCCTTCACCCCCTCTGAAAGTCACAATGGAGCGGGTGAGATCCGGGCTCAGCGGTTAGGCCACACCAACCACTGAAATAAGCCATGGTTTAGGGCAGCCCACAAACCAAACCCTGATTGGCTTCATCAGACCTTCCTCTTCCTCCTCCTTTTCCTCCCCCTCCCAGGTGAGCCGGGATGCTTTAACCGCCAGCCGCAACTCCGTCAACGTGCCGAGACCCTCCCGCGCGCTCGTGGCCATGCCACCCCGGCCTTCCTCGGGGGAGCTATGGGGGCTGCACCTCATGCCCCCCCGGATCATGGTGGACTGCTGCCTGCCCAATGGGATGGTGGTCACCCTGGAGTGCCTGCGGGAGGCCACCCTCCGCAGCATCAAGCAGGACCTCTTCAAGGAGGCCAGGAAGTATCCGCTCTTCCACCTGCTGCAGGTGAGGCCACGCACCTGGCCAGGTGACGCACCTGGCCGAGAAACCCAAAGGGAGGGAGGGGTGCTTCATTTATTGGAGAAGAGGGGAGTTGAGGAGCTAAACGGCCAGAGAATCAGGCCTCCCTCGGTTTGGGGAAGAGGGTGCAGGTTTCAAAATGTGCCCAGGTAGTCCTCGACTTACAACTGTTTGTTTAGTGACCGTTCAGAGTTACAACGGCATGTTTTTCACACTTACGACCGTTGCAGGATCACGCGATCAAAATTCAGACGCTCGGCAACCGGTTCATATTTAAGGCCCAAAATTCTGCTGCTAAGTGAGACATTTGTTAAGTGTGTTTTGTCCCATTTTACGACCTTCCTTGCCACCGTTGTTAAGTGAATCACTCAGCTGTTTTGTTTTATTTTTTTTAATTTGATTTATATGCCGCCCTTCTCCGGAGACTCAGGGCGGCTTACAATGCGTTAAGCAATAGCCTTCATCCTTTTGTATATTTATACAAAGTCAGCTTATTGCCCCCACAATCTGGGTCCTCATTTTACCTACCTTAGAAAGGATGGAAGGCTGAGTCAACCTTGAGCCTGGTGAGATTCGAACCTGCAGTAATTGCAGGCAGCTGGTGTTAATCACAATGCTATTAGTCTGCTGAGCCACCAGGCCCAGCTGTTAAGTTAATACAGGTAGTCCTCCACTTACGATCAGAGCTGAGCCCAAAGTTTCTGTTTGTTAGGCGAAACATTTCTTAAGTGAGTTTTGCCCCCTTTTACGACCTTCCTTGCCACCGTTGTTAAGTGAGTCACTGCAGTTAAGTTAGTAAACCGGTTGTTAAGCGAATCAGGCTTCCCCATTGATTTTGCTTGTCAGAAGGTTGCAAAAAGTGATCACGTGACCTTGGGACACTGCAACCGTCATAAATATGAGTCAGTCCCCAAAAGTCTGAATTTTAATCATGTGGCCACAGAGGAAACTGCAACGGTCATAAGTGTGAAAAACCTTTTTCAGTTCCGTTGTAACTTTGAACAGTCACTAAAGCAGTGTTTCTCAACCTTGGTAGCTTGAAGATGGGTGGACTTCAACTCCCAGAATCCCCTAGCCAGCGCTGCTGGCTGGGGGATTCTGGGAGTTGAAGTCCACCCATCTTCAAGCTTCCAAGGTTGAGAAACACTGCACTAAAGGAACTGTTGTAAGTCAGGGACTACCTGCGTTGGAAGATCCTTCTGGGGGGTCCTTTAGGCACACACCCCCCAATTCCTTCTCCCCTTGGTTTTTGTCCTGCCCCCCCAGGAGGAATCATCCTACATCTTTGTGGGGGTGACCCAAGAAGCCGAACGGGAGGAATTCTTTGACGAGTCCCGGCGTCTTTGCGATCTGCGGCTCTTCCAGCCGATCCTGAAGGTGGTGGAGCCCGTGGGGAACCGGGAGGAGAAGATCCTCAACCGGGAGATCGGTGAGTCCAGAATGACAACGTTGGAAGGGACCTTGGAGGTCTTCTAGTCCAACCCCCTTCTCAAGCAGGACACGGACTGATTAAGTAGGATGCTGAATAAGGGTCAGCCTTGCACTGACTGTGTTGTGTCTGCACCCACCCACACCGTTCCCCAGGTGGCAGGTAGTCCTCGACTTACAACCACAGTTTGAGCCCAAAATTTATGTTGCTAAGCGGGACAGTCTCGTTAAGTGAGTTTTGCTCCGTTGGAGAACCTTTTCTTGCCACAGGTGAATCAGTGCAGTTCTTAAGGTCGTTAAGTGAGTCTGCCTTCCCCATTGACTTTGGTTGCCAGAAGGTCGCAAAAGAGGATCCCCCCCGGGACACTGTGACCGTCATAAGTACAAGTCAGTTGCACAGCGTCTGAATTCTGATCACATGTGAAAAGTGTGATAAATGGGCAAAAGTCATTTTTTTCAGTGTGAAAATAAGTGTGAAAATGGACATAAGTCACTTTTCCATGAAAATAAGTGAAAAACAGACAACGGTCACTTTTTTCAGTGTGAAAATAAGTGTGAAAACGGACATGTCATTTTTTCCTGTGAGAATAAGTGAAAAATGGGCAAAGTCACTTTTTTCAGTGTGAAAATAAGTGTGAAAATGGACATAAGTCACTTTTCCCAGTGAGAATAAGTGAAAAATGGGCAAAAGTCTCTTTTTTCAGTGTGAAAGTAAGTGTGAAAATGGATACAAGTCACTTTTTCCAGTGAGAATAAGTGAAAAACAGGCAAAAGTCACTTTTTTCAGTGTGAAAGTAAGTGTGAAAATGGACATAAGTCATTTTTCCAGTGAGAATAAGTGAAAAATGGGCAAAAGTCACTTTTTTCAGTGTGAAAATAAAGTGTGAAAACGGACATGTCATTTTTTCCCGTGAAAATAAGTGGAAAATGGGCAAAAGTCACTTTTTTCAGTGTAATAAGTGAAAAATGGGCAAAAGTCACTTTTTTCAGTGTGAAAGTAAGTGTGAAAATGGACATGTCACCTTTTTTCAGTGAAAATAAGTGAAAAACGGGCAAAGTCACTGTTTTGAGTGTGAAAATGTGAAAAGCGGACATAAGTCACTTTTTTCAGTGTGAAAGTGTGAAAATGGACATAAGTCATTTTTTCCAGTGAGAATAAGTGAAAAATGGGCAAAAGTCACTTTTTCTAGTATGAAAGTAAGTGTGAAAATGGACATGTGGACCTTTTTTCAGTGAAAATAAGTGAAAAACGGGCGAAGTCACTGTTTTGAGTGTGAAAATGTGAAAAGCGGACGCAAGTCACTTTTTTCAGTGCCGTTGTAACTCGGAACAGTCCCTAAACAAATGGTTGTAAGTGGAGGACTGCTTGTATTGCCCTGGAAACCCACAGCTGTTGTCTTGTCCCCTAATGTTTTTCCACGGCCGTCCAAGAGACACAGAAGACCGACAATCCAGTGTGTGGTGGCACAATCATGCCAGCCACACAGATTCCAATAATTTGCCCAGGGATGTCGTGATAAGATTAAAGCTGAATAATTGATCTTTTTTCAAGATTTTATCATGTCTAGGTTTTCTCTACTTTTATCCTTTCAATATTATAAACCGCCCATAAAGTGGGTGTCCAATACATTTATTTTTCCCCTTCAATTTTTTTATGTTATTCAAAGGATTAAAATACAAAACCCAAACGAAAAAAATGAAACCGAGACAAAGGAAAAAAAATAGATTAACCGGTAGAATATTTTCAAAAAAATTTGAATTTGCATTTTGAATTCCCGTCTATTTTTTAATATTCTTGTCCGGTTTTAGTTTTGTCTCTTTTCATTTTTTTCTTTTGTACTCTTCTGGAAGAAAAATTAAAAAAAATGAGAATATATCAATTGAATGAATCCATTGATCCAAACCTTTGCTCCCAAGGATTTGCGATTGGGATGCCCATCTGCGAATTCGAGCTGGTGAAGGATCCCGAGGTGCAGGAATTCCGGCGCAACATTCTCTCCGTTTGCCGAGAAGCCGTGGAGACCCGGGGGTCGGCGGGACCCCAAAGCCAGGCCTTGTATGTCTACCCTCCCAACGTGGAATCCAGCCCTGACCTGCCCAAGCACCTGTACAGCAAGTTGGACAAAGGTGAGCGGGGGAGGGGGGGAGACAACCAGGGGGGCGGAGCGAAGCAGAAGTGCCTCAGTTTCCCCTTTGTTTCCAGCTGTTTAATCCCGATGAACTCCGTGTGGCTGGGGATCTGAGCATGCTCAGTGTTGCCTCTCCCAGGTAACGCCTGCAGAGGGTCCCCGGACATCTGACGGGAGTGCCCCCAAAGCGTCCCCTTCCTCGGCTTCCCAAAACTTCCAAAGATCTTCAGGTAGTCCTCGACTTACAACAGTTCGTTTAGTGACCGCTTAAAGTTAACAACGGCACTGGAAAAAGTGACTTATGACAGTTTTCCACACTTACGACGGTTGCCGCATCCCTGTGATCAAAATTCAGATGCTTGGCCGCTGACTCATATTTAGGACAGTCGCCCTGTCCTGGGGTCATGTGATCCCCTTTGATGACCTTCTGATGAGCAGAATCAATGGGGAAGCCAGATTCACTTAACAGCTCAGTTACTCACTTAATTCCTGCAGTGGAATTAATTAATTAAGGAATTAACGGTGGCGAGAAAGGTCATAAAAGGGGGCAAAACTCACTTAACAAATGTCTCGCTTAGCAACCAAAATTTTGGGCTTCAGTTGTGGTCGTAAGTCAAGAACTGCCTGTATGAAGATGACTCCAGTGTTTTGCAGCCACAGATAGTCTTCAACTTATGACCAATTGATTAGCAAACTTTCAAAGTTCCGATACACCTACCCAAGGGGTATTTGCAACTTGGATTCAAACTTCCGACGGGGACTTCCCTGCAGTCATGTGACTGAATTTTGGCCAGTCAACAACTGGGTTGTTTGCAGCGTTCCCCCAGTCACGTGACTGTTTTACCGTCATTGACTGTTGGTTCACTTAACATCCATGGCATTCATATAACAGCTGTAGACTTGCTTGAGGTATGTAGCTAAAAAGGTCGGAAAAGTACAGTTGGTGATGTAACTGATCTGTTTGTTGACCGTCACGAGTTACAGCCATGATGGGCAGGCTGCATTACGGTCATAACTCAGGGTATACCTGTAGATGGAGTGATTTGTCTGCCTGAATGAGATAACTCTCCACAAATGCTGCCTTGTATTTATCGTGGAGGGTCAGATTTAGAATTATTATTTATTGAAGGGGTCTCCAAACTTGGCCCCTTTAAAACTTGTGGACCATAATTCCCTGGAACTAATGCATTCCTTTTTGATATGTCTATCCACTGTAGCCTGATTACTCTCTTGTAATCCCTTCCTCTGCAATCTCTCCACTGTAGCCTGTTTACTCTCTTGTAATCCCCTCCTCTGCAATCTCTCTGCTGTAGCCTGTTTACTCTCTTGTAATCCCTTCCTCTGCAATCTCTCCACTGTAGCCTGTTTACTCTCTTGTAATCCCTTCCTCTGCAATCTCTCCGCTGTAGCCTGATTACTCTCTTGTAATCCCTTCCTCTGCAATCTCTCCGCTGTAGCCTGATTACTCTCTTGTAATCCCTTCCTCTGCAATCTCTCCGCTGTAGCCTGATTACTCTCTTGTAATCCCTTCCTCTGCAATCTCTCCGCTGTAGCCTGTTTACACTCTTGTAATCCCTTCCTCTGCAATCTCTCCGCTGTAGCCTGTTTACACTCTTGTAATCCCTTCCTCTGCAATCTCTCGCTGTAGCCTGATTACTCCTTGTAATCCCTTCCTCTGCAATCTCTCCGCTGTAGCTTGATTACTCTCTTGTAATCCCTTCCTCTGCAATCTCTCCGCTGTAGCCTGATTACTCTCTTGTAATCCCTTCCTCTGCAATCTCTCCGCTGTAGCCTGATTACTCTCTTGTAATCCCTTCCTCTGCAATCTCTCCGCTGTAGCCTGTTTACACTCTTGTAATCCCTTCCTCTGCAATCTCTCCGCTGTAGCCTGTTTACACTCTTGTAATCCCTTCCTCTGCAATCTCTCCGCTGTAGCCTGATTACTCTCTTGTAATCCCTTCCTCTGCAATCTCTCCGCTGTAGCTTGATTACTCTCTTGTAATCCCTTCCTCTGCAATCTCTCCGCTGTAGCCTGATTACTCTCTTGTAATCCCTTCCTCTGCAATCTCTCCGCTGTAGCCTGTTTACACTCTTGTAATCCCTTCCTCTGCAATCTCTCCGCTGTAGCCTGATTACTCTCTTGTAATCCCTTCCTCTGCAATCTCTCCGCTGTAGCCTGATTACTCTCTTGTAATCCCTTCCTCTGCAATCTCTCCGCTGTAGCCTGATTACTCTCTTGTAATCCCTTCCTCTGCAATCTCTCCGCTGTAGCCTGTTTACACTCTTGTAATCCCTTCCTCTGCAATCTTTCCGCTGTAGCCTGTTTACACTCTTGTAATCCCTTCCTCTGCAATCTCTCAGGTCTGGGGGCTAGGAGAAAAAAAAAACAGGCATAGCTAGGTGAGGAATTCTGGGAGTTGAAGTCCACAAGTCATAAAGGGACCGAGTTTGGAGACCCCTGATCTGTTGTGCTGACTGAACAGTGCTTAGAGAAGACTAGATCACAGCAGCAGAAAATTCCTTGTAAATCAAGAAATAAAACGACTGCCTAAAATGCCTCTGGGAACAGGACGATTCCTGCAAAGAGACAAAACTTTTGTCAGTTGTGGTCTTCCCAGGTTGATTAATTAATTTGTTTATATATTTGTAAAATTTATTGCCTGCCCATCTTACTGAAGAATAACTCTGGGCGGCTTACAATCTTAACAATCCCGGAGCTGTGGCTGTCGCACAACCATCAAAAAAATTCCCAATTCCCCTCCCCTCGATTTTGTTTCCTCCCGTGCCTGGCTGCCTGCGGACGCACCCAAGTGACCCATTGCTTGTCCTGCTTTTCCCCCGCTTCCTGAAGGTCGGATCATAGTGACCATTTGGGTTATTGTGTCCCCAAACAACGACAAACAGAAATACACCCTCAAGACGCCGCATGACGCGCTGCCTGAGCAGGTGATCGCCGAGGCCATCCGGAAAAAGACCCGGAGCATGCACCTCTCGCCCGAACAGCTGCGCCTCTGCGTGCAGGAGTACCAGGGCAAGTACCTGCTCAAGGTTTGCGGCTGCGACGAGTATTTGCTGGAGAAGTACCCCCTCAGTCAGTACAAGGTGAGCCCCTCCCTCCTGACGCTGCAGGCAGCCTTTCTCGGCACTTGTGGGGGGCTCTTGTTGTCGGGGTCCGCTCGATCCAACAGGGCCATCTCTCAGGAACCAGGAAGCGGGTCTTTTCGCTCTGGATTGGCACATACACACACACACACCCCTACCCTTGAGGTCCTTCAGCTTCCATCCTGCTGGAGGTCTGAAAGACTTTGAAAACCTGGCTGTGTTTTTTCCCCAAGCTAGGGGGCAAGAGTGTTGGTGGAGTCCCTGCGGTTGTGTTGAGGGAGTTTTTTGTTTTCGTATTTTCTAAGCCTCGAAGCCAGGGGTCTCCGAACGTGGCCCCTTTCAGGCTGGTGGACTTCAACTCCCAGAATTCCTCACCCAGCCATGCCTGTATTTTTTTTCTCCTCCATCCTAGAGCAGAGGGATTGCAGAGGAAGGGATTACAAGAGAGTAAACAGGCTACAGCGGAGTTGAAGTCCACAAGCCTTAAAGGGGGCCGTGTTTGGAGAGCCCTGCTCCAAGTAATAGGAACTGGAGGGGGAGGAGGAAGAGGAGGAGGAGGAGGAGGAGGAGGAGGAAGAGGAGGAGGAAGAGGAGGGCCAGTCCGAGAGGGCTGAAGATAGAAGGGTCCAAGGGAAGCATTGAGTCCGCTTCCCGCTCAGAGCAAAAACTCCAAATTCTATTTATTTTTTTAAAAAAAACAAATTTATAGGGCCCCCTGACTCACCTATAGGCGATTCCAGGTGGCTTACACAGTCTTAAAAATTCACCATATAACTAAAAACTCATTAAAAAACCCTCCAGACGTCAAGCATGACAAAAAAACCCCCCAAATTAAATTGGCCACTGATCGGTTCCATCTCCCTTTGGGGTCTGCTGACCAAACGACGTTTTCAGGGCCTTTTGGAAAAGAAACGGTGTGGGGGGGGGATCAACCATACCACGGGGTGAGTGATGTTCTGTAGAGAAAGGGCCACCACCGAGAAGGGCCTTTTTCATGGTCCCACCAGATGTGCATTCCCTAATCGATGGGGCCCACCCGATGTGTCTCTTCTTCCTCGTCTTCCGTGACTCTGCCCTCTTCCAGGAGTTGCCAGGGAGAGGCCACTTCTAAAGTTAGAAATGGCGCGTTTGCCGTGGTCAGAAGTAGCCAGAAGAACGAGTAAACGAACGAGGCCCAAATCCCTGCTGAAGTTGTTGTGCGATCTTGAGACTGGCCGGTCTCTCGTTCCTGGTGACACCCGGTGTTCCCTTCTTCCTCCAGTACATGAGGAACTGCATCGCCATCGGCCGCCTGCCCCACCTGATGCTGATGAGCAAGGAGAGCCTCTACAGCCAACTGCCGGCCAACGTCTTCGTGCTGCCCTCGTACGCGCGCCGGTCGGCCACCTCCTTGCACGTGAACGGAGATGCGCCCACCAAGTCCCTCTGGTCCATCAACAGCCTTCTGCGCATCAAGATCCTGTGCGCCACCTACGTGAACGTCAACATCAGGGACATCGATAAGGTGGGTGGGTCCAGGTGAACGCTGCCTCCTCAAATTATACTCCCGGTGGTCTTCCGAGTACGCTTCAAGGTTCCGGTTACCACCTTTAGAGCGCTCCATGGCTTAGGACCTGGTTATCTACGGGACCGCCTGCTACCACCAATAGCCTCCCACCGGCCGGTACGCTCCCATAGAGAGGGGCTCCTCCGGGTGCCGTCGGCCAAACAATGTCGACTGGCGGCCCCCAGGGGGAGAGCCTTCTCTGTGGGGGCACCTACTATCTGGAATGAGCTCCCCCCGGAGATACGGAGGATCCCAGATCTGCGCACCTTCCGTCGCACGCTTAAAACGTTTTTATTTCATCAAGCTGACCTGGCCTAAATCTTCTCCCCTTTTTAAATGTAAATTTTAATTTGTTTTAAATTATGGGGTATTTTAAATTCAGCCAAATTATTTAATTCATTTTTAACTTATTTTAAATTTTTGTATTTATGTGTTTTATCTTGTGGCTGTTCACTGCCCTGAGTCCTTCGGGAGAAGGACGGTATAGAAATGTAATAAAATGAATAAATAAAATAAATAAATATACGGGGGGGTCCTTGATCTGACTTGATCTGGCTCAGCAGCCCGGTCAGTTTCCATCTTCTCAAATCATGGCAACTTGAAACAAAGGTCAATTCTGTTGATCCGACAGCAGCAGCTTCTTATTGGCTGAGGTGGGCCCCCCCCCTCTCCATTCCACCCCACACGATCCCAACCAACCATATGTGGGTCCCTGAAAAACAGCCGGAAAAGAGATTGAGTCAATAACTGAGCCCCCAACCGTTGCTGAATGGGGATGCCGGAATGGGGGACTCACCGGAACAGAGTGAAAGCTCCCTCTCGTAGCCATCAGCTGCTCACAAGGATAAAATGTGGATGTGCTTTCATACCCTCATCCGTCTTCTCTATGCTAGGGGTCACCACCCATAATCCTCAGCCAGTGAGAGAGGAAGGAACTAGAGGTAGTTTTCAACGTATGACCACAGTTGAGCCCAAAATTTCTGTGGCTGAGCAAGACATTTGTTAAGCAAGTTCTGCCCCGTTTGACGATCTTTCCTGCCCCCGTTGCTAAGTGAATCACTGCAGTAGTTAAAGTAGTGACATGGTTGTTAAGCGAATCTGGCTTCTCCCTTGGTTTGGCTTGTCAGGAGGTGACAAAAGTTGATCGCAGGACATTGCAACCGTCGTAAATATGAGTCAGGGCGAATTTTGATCACGTGATCATGGGGATACCGCAACGGTCGTAAATGTCACCTTTTTTTGGTGCTGTTGTAACTTCAAATGGTCACTAAATGAACAGCTGTAAATCGAGGATTACCTGGAACGGATTTCATGCAAGAGAAGCCTTGAATTCCGCTCTTCCTTTCTCCTCCTAGATTTATGTCCGGACGGGAATTTTCCACGGTGGGGAACCCCTTTGTGATAACGTCAACACTCAGCGGGTGCCGTGCTCCAACCCTCGGTAAGTGGGGTGGAAGGGAGAGGCCCCTGTCCCCAGCCTAGCCAGCCATGCCAAGGCTGGAAGCTCCTGGTGGTGGTCTCCTTAAGGAGGGGAAGGGGAACCATCGGGACCCCAAACAGGGAGGCACCTCCGGCTACCCGGCTGACTCCAGAGCCGCCTCTTTGCTCCCAGGTGGAACGAGTGGCTCTCCTACGACATCTACCTGACCGACCTGCCCCGGGCGGCTCGCCTTTGCGTCTCCATTTGCTCCGTCAAGGGCCGGAAGGGGGCCAAGGAGGTGAGTGTCCGTGGGGAGCCCCACACGTGGACCGGAACGTCAATTAATCCCCTCGATTTATGACTACAAAACGGAGCCCAAAATTTCCATTAGTAAGCGAGACAGTTGTTACACGAGCTTGGCCCCATTTTATGACCTTCCATGCCATAGTTGTTAAGTGAGTCACAGGGTCATTAAATGAATCTGGCTTCCCCATGGGCTACTTCGAACAGTCACTAAACGAATTGTTGTAAGTCAAGGACTACTTGCTTGCTTCTGATACTTGCAAAGGTGTCTGTGCATTAAAAAAAAAAAGAGAGTTGATTTTATTGTCACTCACAACTGCCATCTTGAGAATGTTGTGCTGAAAACTCCTGGCTGAGGGTGGGCTGGGCTCAGTTGTGGTCGTAAGAATTGCGCGACAGTTTCCACAATTCCTGGAGGAAACATCCTATCTGGATCCGTTCCAGTCTGGTTTCAGGCCTGGGCACAGCACGGAAACGGCATTGGTCGCGTTGGTTGATGATCTCTGGAGGGCTCGGGACAGGGGTTGTTCCTCTGTTCTGGTCCTGTTAGACCTCTCAGCGGCTTTTGATACCATCGACCATGGTATCATGCTGCACCGGCTGGAAGAGTTGGGGGTGGGAGGCACCGTGTTGCGGTGGTTCTCCTCCTTTCTCTCCGACCGGTCGCAGTTCGTGTTGGCAGGGGGGCAGAGGTCGACCTCGAGGCCTCTCATCTGTGGAGTGCCTCAGGGGTCGGTCCTCTCGCCCCTCCTGTTCAACATTTATGTGAAGCCGCTGGGCGAGATCATCCGTGGCTTTGGGGTGAGATACCACCAGTACGCTGATGACACCCAGCTGTACCTCTCCACCCCAGGCCACCCCAACGATGCCCTTGAAGTGATGTCCCAGTGCCTGGAGGCTGTACGGGTCTGGATGGGGAGGAACAGGCTCAAGCTCAACCCTTCCAAGACTGAGTGGCTGTGGCTCCCGGCATCCCGATATAGTCAGTTGACTCCATCACTGACTATTGGGGGCGAGTCTTTGGCCCCCACAGAAAGGGCTCGCAATCTGGGAGTCCTCCTGGATATGTAGCTGTCCTTGGAGGAACATCTGACGGCTGTAACCAGGGGGACCTTTTATCAGGTTCGCCTGATCCGCCAGTTGCGGCCCTTTCTTGATCGGGATTCCCTGTGCACAGTCACTCATGCCCTCGTCACCTCTCGCCTTGACTACTGCAACGCTCTCTACATGGGGCTCCCCTTGAGGAGCACCCGGAGGCTCCAGCTGGTCCAGAACGCAGCAGCGCGGGTAGTGACGGGAGCAGCATGGCGCTCCCATGTAACACCGCTCCTGCGCGAGCTGCACTGGCTCCCAGTTGTCTTCCGGGTGCGCTTCAAGGTGTTGGTTATCACCTTTAAAGCGCTCCATGGCATAGGGCCTAGCTATCTTCGAGACCGCCTGCTGCTACCAACGACCTCCCATCGACCCGTGCGCTCCCACAGAGAGGGCCTCCTCGGGGTGCCATCAGCCAGACAATGTAGGCTGGTGACCCCCAGGGGGAGGGCCTTCTCTGTGGGGGCACCTGCCCTCTGGAATCAGCTGCCCCCAGAGATAAGGAGAATCCAAGACCTCAGTGCCTTCCGTCGCGCCCTTAAAACTTTCCTTTTCCAGCAAGCTGGGCTGGCCTAATTTTTTAAGTGTTTTTAAGTGTTTTGTTTATTGTTTTTAATTAATGGGGCCAAATTTATATATATATTTTAACTGTATTTTAATATTTGTATTTGATGTTTTTATTTGGCTGTTCACCGCCCTGAGTCCTCAGGGAGAAGGGCGGTATACAAATTCAAAAATAAAATAAAATAAAAATAAAGTAAGTTGAGAATTACTTCTAGCCCGATGAGGAGGGGGATACGTGGATGTAGGTCAGTGTACCCCAGCCGTGGCAATTTTCAGAGGGGTGGACTTCAACTCCCAGAATTCTGCGGATTCCCTATTCCAAGGGTCTCCATCCTTGGCGACTTTAAGGCTTGTGAACTTCAGCTCCCAGAATTCTTCAGCCAGCATGGAATTCTGGGAGTTGAAGTCCACAAGTCTTAAAGTTGCGTGGCCGGCTGGGGAATTCTGGGAGTTGACAATTCTTAAAGTTGCCATGGCTGGAGACCCCTGCCCTATTTCATGTCCCCCATACTGCAGCCCCCTCCCCAGTGAAAGGCACCTCTGCTGAAGGTTCTGCGGTGGGCAGAGTCAGGTTGAGGAACCCCGGCAGATGCTCTCTGACCCCGTGCCCCCCTCCTCCGCCCCCCCGCAGGAGCACTGCCCCCTGGCCTGGGGCAACGTCAACCTCTTTGACTACAAGGACACCCTGGTGGCCGGGAAGATGGCCCTCAACCTGTGGCCGGTCCCCCACGGCCTGGAGGACTTGCTGAATCCCATCGGGGTCGGGGGCTCCAACCCCAACAAGGTGAGACCACCCACCTCGGGAGGCTGGCCAGGCGTGTGTCTTTGCGTGATAAGTGGGACCCTCCATGCCAGGGGTAACGGGGTCCCCCACTTTCAGGCGGAGGGGGCTTTAACCTCTTGCTTTGCTGCTGCTACAGGAGACTCCGTGCCTTGAGCTGGAATTCACCTGGTACAGCCACCCGGTGAAATTTGCCGATGCCGCCGAAATCGAGGAACACGCCAACTGGGCCATGTCGCGGGAGCTGGGTCTGAATTACTGTATGGTGGGCTTGGTAAGGGGGCCGTGTGCCGAAAGAGGTTTCAGACTTTGGGGAAATTGTAGAGAAGAGCAACGAAGAGGATGAAAGGGCTAAAGGAGACTAAAACCCTGGTAGCGCAGCAGACTAAAGCACTGTTATTAACATCAGCTGCCTGCAATTACTGTAAGTTCGAATCTCCCCAGGCTCAAGGTTGACTCAGCCTTCCGTCCTTTCTAAGGTAGGTAAAATGAGGACCCAGACTGTGGGGGCAAGAAGCTGACTTTGTATAAAATATACAAAAGTATGAAGGCTTTTGCTTAACGCTTTGTAAGCCGCCCTGAGTCTCCGGAGAAGGGCAGCATATAAATCAAATAAATAAATAATAATAATAATAAATAATAATAAATAAATAAAACCTAGGAAGAACGGTGGCAGGATTTAGGTTGTTCAGTCTAGAGAAAAGAAGGACCAGGGAGGGGGCACATGAGAGCAATATTCCAGTATTTGAGGGGCTGCCCCGAAGAGCAGGGGGCTCCACCCGTTTTCCAAAGCAGCTGAGGGCAGGACAAGAAGCAGCAGATGGAAACTAAGCAAGGAGAGAAGCAACCTGGAATGAAGGAGAAACTTCCTAACAGTGAGGACAATTAACCAGTGGAACTGCCTGCCACCAGAAGTTATGGGTGCTCCATCCCTGGAGGCTTTCCAGAAGAGATTGGACAACCATTTCTCTGAAATGGTGTAGGGTCTCCTGCTTGAGCAGGGGGTGGACTAGAAGACCTCCAAGGTCCCTTCCAGCTTCTGTTCTTGATTGAATGCCAGGACAGAGGTGGTGTAGTAGGGTTGCTGGCTGGGGAATTCTGGGAATTGAAGCCCCCTAGCTGAAAATTGCCAAACTGTGTTCTAGCTGGTTCCGTCTTGCTGTGATCCATAAAGAGGAGGGGGCTGACTTCCCTTTTCGCCCCCCTCCCCCCCTCTTCCAGAGCAACCGCCTGGCCCGCGACAGCTCGCTGGACGAAAGCGAATTGGAGCAGCTGCGCAACATCTGCAACCGAGACCCCCTGTCGGAGATCACAGAGCAGGAGAAGGACTTCCTTTGGCGTCACCGGTGGGTTCTGACCGCCGAGTGGGGTCGGACAGCAGCTGTGGCTACTCTCCCCCCCCGGCTCGGCCTTGCCTTCAGCTGCCCCCTCCTCTCCTTCCAGGCACTACTGCGTCAACCTCCCCGAGACCCTGCCCAAGTTGCTGCTGTCCGTCAAATGGAATTCGCGGGACGAGGTGGCCCAGGTGAGCAGGGACCCCAATCCTTGGCTTCCCAGCTGGGACCCACGGGAAATTCATTGGGGGATGGGAGGCAGTGATGGTTCGGCTTGTGGCAAGCAGCAGCCCCCTCCCCAAACTAAAAGGTTTGGGCCAAACTTGCGGTGGGACAATTCTACATATTCAATTTAATGTTTTAAGATAATTAAAACATTGTCCCAAAGATGCTTTTCTTTCTCAAGAGGTTTTTTTTCTTTGGTTTTTTTTTCTTTGAAGACGTTTCGCTTCTCATCCGAGAAGCTTCTTCGGCTCTGGCGGGATGGTAGGGAATGGGAGTCAGAGCCGAAGAAGCTTCTCGGATGAGAAGCGAAACCTCTTCAAAGAAAAACGAGAAAGTCCAGTTGTCGCTGGGAAAAAAAGCACCTGGATGACGGAGAATCCGTCAGTATTTATTTGAGGGGTCCTTGGTGCCCTCTGAGCTTGGTGGTTTCCCTGCAGGCGTTTCAGGACCCCAACTAGGTAACCTCACCAGGGCCAGTTACGGTTCTTGCCTACAGACAGGATCTTGCCAGACTAAAGCAACTCCCGGCAGAACTATGGAGACCGACTCCTGTGAGCTGCCTGGGAGGGGCCGCCTTGACCTCCTTCCTGCCTCCCAGACACTCCAAGCTCCGCTGACTCTTTGCCCCCCCACTCCCAGAGAAAGCAGAATTGTCAGAGACCCCCCCTCCCTCCTCTAAGCATCCTTGTTTGGGGGGGCTGTGAGGTCTGGACCTTTTAAAGCAGCCATCTCACGTTTTAAAGGCACTTACTACAGTTCGTTTTAGGGAGGCTCAGTGGCTAAGACACTGAGCTTGGTCAGCAGTTCGGCGGTTCGAATCCCTAGTGCCGCATAACGGGGTGAGCTCCCGTTGCTTGTCCCAGCTTCTGCCAACCTAGCAGTTCGAAAGCAGGTAAAAAATGCAAGTAGAAAAACAGGGACCACCTTTGGTGGGAAGGGAACAGCGTTCCGTGCACCTTTGGCGTTGAGTCATGCCGGCCACGTGACCACGGAGACGTCTTCGGACAGCGCTGGCTCTTCGGCTTTGAAACGGAGATTGAGCACTGCCCCCTAGAGTCGGGAACGACTGGCACATATGTGCCAGGGGAACCTTTACCTTTTCAGTTCGTTTAGTGACCATTCAAAGTTACAACGGCAATGAAAAAATTACTTAGGACCGTTTTCACACAACCGTTGCCGGCATCCCCACGATCAACTGATCAAAATTCAGATGCTTGGCAACTGGCTCGTACTTATGACGGTTGCAGAGTCCTGGGGGTTCATATGATCCCCTTTTGCAACCAGTCAGTGGGTAAGGCAGATTTGCTTAACAACCGTGGGACTCACTTAACGTCTTCACAGATTAACAGAGTTTTTGTTTTTACTAAATTTATAACAGAGTTGGAAGGAACCTCAGAGGTCTTCTAGTCCAACCCCCTGCCCAAACAGGCAAACCCTATACCTTTTCAGACAAAGAGTTGTCCGGTCTCTTCTTAAAACCCTCCAGTGTTGGTGATTCACTTAATGACTGCAGCCAGCCAGGTCACAAAGTTAACACATGTTTGGTTTAGCAGCCGAGATTTTGGGCTCTGTCGAAAACTATAGTTTGCAGCACCTTGAAGTTTCCCGCTAGCTCGGGAGAACCCTGCATTGATGGCCGCCATTCTTCTTCCCTGTTTCTCCCCCCCCCTTAACCACCCCCACCCCCAGATGTACTGCCTCCTCCGGGAATGGCCCCTGATCAAACCTGAGCTGTCCATGGAGCTGCTGGATTGTAACTTCCCCGATCCGGTCATCCGGGAGTTTGCGCTGAAGTGCCTGGTCAAGGGACTGACGGACGACAAGCTCTCCCAGTATCTCATCCAACTGGTGCAGGTAGAGAGTGGGCGTGTCCGCCTCACCTGAGCGATGCCAGGGGGGCTCATTTTGGGGTTCCGGTGGGGGGGGAGTGTGAATGGGTTTTTGGGGGGCCGGTCAGAAATGGGAAGGGGGGGGAGAAAGGGTTGGCAGGTGAGACCAGGAGCTGGGAAAGAGGCAGTTCTTACGGAATAACATAATTGCGGAGAGGGAAGGGACCTTGGAGGTCATCCAGACCAACCCCCAACTCAGGCAGGAGACCCTATATTATTTCAGACAAATAGCTTCCAATTTCTTCTTATAAAACAGAATAACAGAGTGGGAAGGGACCTCAGAGGTCTTCTAGTCCAACCCCCTGCTCAAGCAGGCAAACCCTTCACCGTAAATACGGTTCTCTTCCTTTGCTTGGTCCTCCCCTGCTGTACCAGCTCTGCCCCCCCCCTCTTACCGCGTGTCTGCCCCTCCCTCTGCAAGGCAGGCCCCTGACTGGTCCGCTGTTTCCCCCCCACCCAGGTTCTGAAATACGAGCAGTACCTGGACAACCCTCTGGCCCGCTTCCTGACCATGAAAGCCCTGACCAACCAGAGGATCGGACATTTTTACTTCTGGCATCTCAAGTGAGTCCGGAGGAGGCAGGTGGGTCGGGGGAGGGGCTTGGAGCATGGGGGTGGGGCTTGCAGAAGATTGACAGGGTGGGCTGTAGACGGGCCAGGTTTTCCTTATTTATGTTTTAGGGGTTTTTTTAAGATGGATTTCCTGCAATGAGAGTTTTTTTAAAAAACCTCTTTTCAAACAGCATCCCAAATAAATTGCGGCCCAGTTCAATTCATTCATTTGAATAATTGCAGCCCTTTTAATTGATAGTCCAGAATACAGCCTGTCCTCGGCTTACAACTGCTCATTTAGTGACCGTTCGAAGTCACAACAGCGCTGAGTGACTTACGACCGTTTTTCGCACTTACAACCGTTGCGGCAGGGAGCAAAAACAACGGTCTCGCTTAGCAATGGAAGTTTTGGGTCCTGTGATCAATATTCAGACGGTTGGCAACTGACTCATACTTATGACGGTGTCCTGGGGGGGTGTCACGTGATCCCCTTTTGCGACCTTCTGACGAGCAGAGTCAATAGCAGAAGCCAGATCAGCTTAGCGACTGTGTGACTAACTTAACAACGGCAGCGATTCGCTTGACGATGGTGGCCAGAAAGGTCGTAAAACGGAGCAAAAGCAACTGTCCCGCTTAGTGGTGGGTGTTGTGGGTTTGAATTGTCATCGTAAGTCGAGGACTAGCTGTAACTTCGGCCCTCTCGTTGGCGGGTCAGAAGGAGGCGTGAAGCAAGGACTCACAGCTGTCTCCACATCTGGTCCATTTAAATCCGCCCCTTGTCAGGAGACCCTCAAGGGGGCCTGGCTCACAACGGTTGTGTCCTGCCCAGGTCGGAAATGCACAGCAAGCCCATCTCCCAGCGCTTCGGGCTGATGCTGGAGGCCTTCTGCCGGGGCTGCGGGATGTACCTGAAACACCTGAACCGACAGGTGGAAGCCATGGAGAAGCTCATCAATCTGACCGACATCCTCAAGCAGGAGAAGAAGGATGAGACCCAGAAGGTACCTCCTGGGAGGGGGGGGACACCGAGCAGGCAGGTGGGGGAATTGCCTTGAAGGAGGAGAAGGAGTTTTTTTTTTTTTTTAATTTGATTTATATGCCGCCCTTCTCCGGAGACTCAGGGCGGCCCACAGTGCGTTAAGCAATAGCCTTCATACTTTTGTATATTTATACAAAGTCAGTTTATTGCCCCCACAAACTGGGTCCTCATTTAACCTACCTTAGAAAGGATGGAAGGCTGAGTCAACCTTGAGCCTTGGAGAGATTCGAACCAGCAGTAAATTGCAGGCAGCTGTGTTAATAACAGGGTGCTTTAAACCACTGTAGTACCAAGGCTACAGTGGGGTCGTTTGAAGAGAGACCCCGTGTGTTGTGGCCCGTCAGCGGCCTGTGCAGATTGTAGCTGATTCTGACAACGAGGAGGCTGGTGTGGTGCTGCGCCAGCAGCCTGTGCAGCTGGCACTCGAGTCAGACAATGAGGAGGCTGGAGAAGATGTGATGCCAGAGGCGGGGATTCAGCCAGGGCCTTCAGAAGCTCCCATAAGTGAAGAGGACAAAGGGGAGGAGTCTCTTCTCGATGCAGGGGCACACAGAGCAGCCAAAAAACAGGAGTGGCTCCTCAGGAGGAGTTTTCCTTGAGAGTAAGGCTTGGGGCTAATTGGTCACTCCCTTAGCCTATTTAAGGAGGAATGCCGATTGCAGCAAGTTGTAGGGAACAACTTTAGTTCACTCTCCTTCGCGTCTGGATTCTCTGCAAAATTGCTTCTGGGCTTTGTGCCAACTCTAGTAAGACTGTGATTACCTTATCTTAGAATTCCTGGAGGCTGTTTATTAACAGCCTTTGGTTGATAAAGACTGAGTTATTTGAGTAAAAGAAGCTTTGTATAGAGTTTGCGTGTGCTGCGTTCTTTGGGGTCCGTAGCTGGGGCAGAACACCGTGGCTCCCCGGTGCCTGGTTGGTGCTTCAGAGGTGCTCTTTACTTCCAGTGCCCTCCTAGGCAAGAAGATGCACGGGCAGTGGTGGGATTCAGCCGGTTTGAGCAAACCAGTTGTTAAATTGCTGGCTGGCCCCGCCCCTTCCCACCCCGCCCCTTCCAGGAGTTCCCCCCGCGGCCCGTTTGTGCTACCAGGAGGCTGCAGGGAGGCCTACTAGGCCCAAAATGGGGCAGGGGGGGCCAGGAGACCGAGTGCTGCCTGTCGCACCCCCTGACCACGCCCACCATGACCACGCCCACCCAGACGGTCATTAGGGCAGAGAACCGGTTGTTAAATGATTTGAATCCCACCACTGTGCGCAGGTATGATATAGGTGGTACCTGGCTCAATAGCAGTGATTTGTGAGAGGGATCTTGGAGTCCTAGCAGATGATCGCTTAAATCTGAGCCAGCCGTGTGCAGCAGCTGCCAGAAAGGCCAATGCAATCCAAGGCTGTATTAACAGAGGGACAGAATCAAGATCAGGTGAAGTGTTAATGCCGCTTTATGATGCCTTGGTAAGGCCACACTTGGAATCCTGCATCCAATTTTGGTCACCATGATGTAAAAAAAGAGGCTGAGATTCTGGAAAGAGAGCAGAGAAGAGCAAGGAAGAGGATTAGAGGGATGGAGGCTAAAACGTATGAAGAACGGTTGCAGGAATGAAAGGAGGACTAGGGATGAGAGGATAGCATCCTCCCAGTATTTGAGGTATTGCTGCCCCAAAGAAGTGGGGGGTCAATTTATTCTCCAAAGCCCCAGAAGTCAGGACAAGAAGCAACAGATGGAAACTAATCAAGGAGAGAAGCAACCTAGAACCAAGGAGAAATTTCCTGACAGTGAGAACAGTTAACCAGTGGAACAGCTTGCCACCAGAAGTTGTGGGTTCCAGTAAAAACACTGGAAGTTTTTAAGAAGAGACTGGACACCGCTTGTCTGAAATGGCATAGGGTCTCCTGCCTGAGCAGAGGGTTGGACTAGAAGACCTCCAAGGTCCCTTCCGACTCTGTTCTTCCGTTAAGATGCAGATGAAGTTCCTGGTGGAGCAGATGAGGCGGCCGGACTACATGGAGGCCCTCCAAGGGTTCATCTGTCCTCTCAACCCCGTCCACCAGCTGGGCAACCTCCGGTGAGACCCCAGGCAGGGCTCCTTTGGAGGGGAGAGTGGCGATGGGAGGCAGCCCGGAATGGGGAGGGATCTTCTAGCTGCCCCTCCCCCTCACGACCTCTGCCTTTCCTCTCCTGCAGGCTGGACGAGTGCCGGATCATGTCCTCAGCCAAGCGTCCCTTGTGGCTCAACTGGGAGAATCCAGACATCATGTCCGAACTGCTCTTCACGAACCACGAGATTATCTTTAAGAACGGGGACGGTGAGTAGCAGAACCGGGCCGGGGGCTTTGGGGGGGGAGAAGAGGGCAGGAAAGGATCCTCAGGGATAGAATCAAGATCATGTGAAGTGTTAATACCACTTTGGTAAGACCCCAGAATTCCCCACGCCTGGTTTTTTTTTCCTCCTATCCCCTGGAATGGAGAGACTGCAGAGGGAGGGATTAGAAGAGAGTAAGCGAACCACAATGGGGATACATATCATGTGAAGGGTTAATACCGCTTTAATAAAGCCTTGGTAAGACCACTTTTGGAGTATTGCGTCCAGTTTTGGTCACCAAGATATAAAAAAAAGTGTTGAGACTTTGGAAAGAGTGCAGAGAAGAGCAAGAAAGATGATTAGGGGCCTGGAGGCTAAAACATACTATAAAGCTAGTACCACTTTATAAAGCCTGAGTAAGGTTACACCTGGAATCTTGCATCCAGTTTTGGCCACCACAGTGCAAAAAAAGATGTTGAGATTTTAGAAAAAGTGCCAAGAAGAGCAACTAAGATGATTAAAGGCCTGGAGATTAAAACATATGAAGAACGGTTGCAGGAACTGGATATGTCTACTTTAATGAGAAGAAGGACTGGGGGGGGGGGGCGTGATAGGAGTATTCCAATATCTGAGGGGCTGCCCCAAAGGAGGGGGGGGGTTTCCACCTAGTCTCCAAAGCACCAGAAGGCAGGACAAGAAGCAACGGATGGAAACTCATCAAGGAGAGAAGCAACCTGGAATTAAGGAGAAACTTCCTAACAGTGAGGACAATTAACCAGTGGAACAGCTTGCCACCAGAACATGTATATACTGTAAATCACTGTCTTGTATACATAGCAGAAAGAGGAAAATGTGAGAGTTCACAAGGTTTAAGAAGTTGTGAGGGCTTGGAGGTTTTTAAGAAAAGACTGACCGGCCACCTATCTGAACTGGTGTAGGGTCTCCTGCTTGAGTAGGGGGTTGGACTAGAAGACCTCCAAGGTCCCTGTCAACTGTGTGATTCTGATGGCCTCAGAAGGGGCTGGACGGGGGTCTCAAGCAGGCCGAGGGGCAGCACTGGGGTCTCTGGGAATGAGAGACAGTTCAGTGCCCATACAGAGACCCATCTGGCTTTCCAATGTGGGGTCCTTCAAAAGATGTGTAGGAACGTTGGGGTGCCACGTGGATCTGACCCACATGCGGATCTGGAGACCCACCGTGGCCTCTCTCGGGGTCTCCCCTCCCTGGTTTCCCGTCCCTCCCCATCAGCCTGACCTCAACCCCGACCCACCGACCGGGCAAAGGGGCAGCTTGCTTTCCTCCGTGCTGTGACACTTCTTCACTCGATCCCTTCTAGATCTCCGACAGGACATGCTGACCCTGCAGATCATCCGGATCATGGAGAGCATGTGGCAGAACCAAGGACTGGATCTCCGGTAGGAAGGATCCCTTCGGGGCTGGTGGGGAGGGGCGGCCGTGGATAGGGGGCAAAGGGTCGGCCAGCCGTTACCCACTTGGGGGTCTTTTGCTGGGGGGGGACAGGCCCCCTTCTAGAGATCCCCCCCAGGCCTTGCCTGATCCTGGGGGGCCCTTGGGAGACGGGGGCGCTGCCTGAAGAGGGCTGGATCCTGTCCAGGACAGTCCAACATCAGAGTGGACAATACTGGGCTGGACATGCCTGCTTTCCACCACCTTCAAGACTCAAAACGGGGTTTTTCCCAATTAAAAACCTAAGGAAAGATTTCACTATTAAGAGTCAAACAAGGGTAGAGGGAGTCCTCGTCTTACGACCACAATTGAGCCCAAAATTCACGTTGCTGAGTGAAACACGTGAAGTGAGTTTTGCCCCATTTTACAAACCTTTCCTGCCACGGTCGTTAAGTGAATCCAGCTTCCCCATGGACTTGTCCGGAGGTCGCAAAAGGGGATCACGTGAGCCCCCCCCCCCCCGGGACCCTGCGACCGTCATAAGCACGAATCAGTTGCCAATTTTGATCCCGTCACCGTGGGGACGTTGCAATGGTCATAAGTGTGAAAAAGGGCCATACGTGACATTGCTCAGTGCTGTTGTAACTTTGGTCACTAAACGAACTGTCGTACGTTCGAGGACTGCCTGTGTGTGACCCTGTTCGGAGGGTGGGGGGTGCGATTTGTGGTAAATAAACTGGGTAGACTTTTCTACAAGCCAATTACAATAACAGACTGTTAACAGAATGCTTTGAATTTTAATTTCTCCGTGGTTTAACCTGTTAACTGTTTTGTCTTTCGGATGTGTATAATGCAGGTCAGGGCAGTTGGGCTGCCCTTCGATGGGTGCTCATAAATTTGGGGTCTGTTTTGCAAGGGGGGGGGTGGAATTGTCACAATAGAAGTGTCAGTGTTCAGTTAAGGGGGGCATAATATGTGTTTTTATCCTTCGTTTATAATTCAGATTTTTTTTCCAATGTTCTCCTTTAGTTTGGTTTTGTCTCTGTTAATTTTTTTTTCTCTTAACCTTTGGAACAAACGAAAAGAAAAGTAAAAAAAAATAATAATAATTAAAAAGTAGGAGGGAAAAAAAAAAAAGACGGAATAAGAGGCGTGCTGCAGGAGATAGCTGGTCCTGCCTTGCAAAGCCCCCTGCCCCATTTGGGAGCAGCAGCCCCCACACCATCCCCCTCCCTGCTCCCTGGCCTTCAGCTCCCGGCAGGGTGGGACGGAGGCCTGACCTGCCCTCCCCTCTTTGCAGGATGCTGCCCTACGGCTGCCTGTCCATCGGGGACTGCGTGGGGCTCATCGAAGTAGTCAAGAGTTCCTACACCATCATGCAGATCCAGTGCAAGGGCGGCCTGAAGGGGGCGCTCCAGTTCAACAGCAACGCCCTGCACCATTGGCTGAAGGACAAGAACAAGGGGGAAGGGTCAGTCTGGGGCGGAGGGGGGGGGCTGAATGGGGAGGGGGCGCACGGGCTCTGCCAAGCCTCTTCCGCAGATCCCAGGAGGGTGGGTGCAAGGTGCTTTTGACAGAATAACAGAGCTCAATCCATCAGAATAGAGCCGGAAGGGACCCCTGAAGGTCATCTAGTCCAACCCCCTGCCCAAGCAGGAGACCCTATACAATTTGAGACAAGTGGCTGTCCAGTCTTTTCTTTAAAACCTCCGGTGATGAAGCATCCACAGTTTCCGGTGGCAAGCTGTTCCACTGGTTAATTGCCTTCACTGCCAGGAAATTTCTCCTTAATTCTAGGTTGCTCCTCTCCTTGATGGGTCTCCACCCGTTGCTTCTTCTCTTGCCTTCTGGTGCTTTGGGAAATAAATTGACCCCCCCCTCTTTCTTCTTTGGGGCAGCCCCCCAAAATACTGGAAGGCTGCTATCCTGCCCCCCCCCCACCCCATCCTTCTTTTTTCTAGACTGTCCATACAGGAGCCCTTCTTCATCCAAGCCCCTTGGATGAGCAGCGAAATGCTTTTAAGTCAAAACCCAAGAAAAGTCCCATTATTTTGGGGGGAAAGCACCGAGACCTGGGGGACGGAGAGCCTCCCCGGACGTTTGCCAGGCTGACCTTCTCCCTGCCTGTCCAGGTACGATGCGGCCATCGACCTCTTCACGCGCTCTTGTGCCGGCTACTGCGTGGCCACTTTCATCCTGGGCATCGGTGACCGTCACAACAGTAACATCATGGTCAAGGACGATGGGCAGGTGTGTGTTTTCTCCTCCGCAGCCCCGGCTGGGGGGAGGGGGGGGCTTTGAAGGCCTGTCCGCAGCCGAGCCCCTCCCCCTTTGCCCCCCCCCTCTCGTCTCTCTCCGCAGCTCTTCCACATCGACTTCGGGCACTTCCTGGACCACAAGAAGAAGAAGTTCGGGTACAAACGGGAGCGGGTGCCCTTCGTCCTCACCCAGGACTTCCTCATCGTCATCAGCAAAGGAGTGCAGGAGTGCACCAAGACCAAAGAATTTGAGAGGTGGGCACGGGGGGCCTTTGGCCAAGCAGGTCACCCACCCCTCCATTGACTCCCCCTCCTCCCCCAGGGCCTCCTTTGCCCCACCCCAGATCTTCTCTCTGCAGCTCCCCCCAGAACCTGGCCCCATCCATCTACCCCCCCACCCCCAGGCCTTCCCGTTTCTCCCCCCACTCCCAGGAATAAATTGTGGTCTTGAGGAACCTTAGCTCAATCCTGATTGATAGCTACCTCCTCGACTTGCGACCTCAACTGAACACAAAATATCTGCTGCGAAGCAAGTTTCGCCCTGTTTTACGACCTTCCTTGTCACCGTGGTTAAGTGAATCACTGCAAGTTGTTAAAGGGACTCACAAGCAAATCTGGTTTTCCCCACTGACTTCGCTTGTCTGAAGATTGCAAAAGGGGATCAGGTGACACGCAAACCCCCCCCCCCCGGGGACATGGCAACTGTCATAAATACGAGTCGGTTGCCAAGCTTCTGAATTTTGATTCTGTGACCGTGGGAATGCTTCAACGGTCATAAGAGCGAGAATGGTCATAAGTCCCTTTTTTCAGGGCCGTTGTAACTTTGAGTGACTTTCTAATGAGCAAGGTAAAAGGGGAGGCCGGATCCACTTAGCAACCGTGTGACTCAGCAGTGATTCACTTACCAACCGTGGCAACAATGGCATAAAATGGAGCAAAACCCAACATATGTCATGGAAACGCTGGGGTCGTAAGTCGAGGACTGCCTGAATTCTTGGGTACCAGAATGGACAGCTGTGGGTGTTCCTGAACATCTGGAGGACTTTCCAGAGGTGGCATGGACAGCCCTTGGTTCTACGGTTGGGCATCCCATCCTACGGGAGGGCCGGAGGTGGGACAGGGACCACCATGGTATCTTCTCTTCCCCTGGTGCATCTCGGGGAGCGTCCCCTCCCCGTTTTCCTTCCTCGTCCAGCCCCTCTCCTCCTCCTCCTCCTCCTCCTCGCAGGTTCCAGGAGGTGTGCTACAAGGCCTACCTGACCATCCGCCAGCATGCCAACCTGCTCATCAACCTCTTCTCCATGATGCTGGGCAGTGGGCTCCCAGAGCTTCAGTCCTTCGACGACGTGGCCTACCTGCGGAAGACGCTGGCGCTGGACAAGACGGAGCAGGAGGCCCTGGAGTACTTCACCAAACAGATGAACGAGGCCCACCACGGCGGATGGACCACCAAGATGGACTGGATCTTCCACACCATCCGGCATATGCCGCTCAGCGAGGCCAGCCACGACTGAGGGACCTGCCGGGAGGAGGGTTGCGTGAACCCTCGCTCGGGCAGGGCCACGTGTTTGATTTAGCCGAGACGCTCGTGGTCCGTGGCCTCTCTTGGGACCAGCTGAGAAGGTCTGGAGAAAGTCACGGGAGGGGACCTCAGGATCGGCCCTGCCCTTCCTCTCCGAGCCCCAGCGGGAAAGACCCTCTCTGTTGACATCGGGGGCCCCCTTCAGGCAATGGTGATCCTCTCCTCCGGGTTCAACCCAAGAGATCCCCCTAGGCTCAATCAGAGACCCTTCCTCTGCCCTCCGCTGAAGCTTCCTGGGGGGGGAGGGGGCTGCGGGGGGGAAGGAAGACGTGGGAGCAATCAAAAGACAAGGGTAATACTTGAAAACGTCTGGAGTCAGAAAAGGAAAAAAAAAATCATAATTATTTTCTCTCTCTCTCTTTTTTCAAATAAAAAATTTAAAAAAAAAACATCATGTTTGTATTTATGCCAGCCTCTAGAGCAGGGCTCTCCAATCTTGGCAATGTTAAGCCTAGAGAACTTCAACTCCCAGAATTCCCCAGCCAGCAAAGCTGGAGACCCCTGCTCTAGATGTCTTTTTGCTTGCTGAGTTGCAAAATGCAAATTCTGAATTGTTCAGGTGGAAGGAGTCCGGGCAGGTACCTGTTCATGCTACCACGTTTTAGGATTGAAAGCTTTTTGGTAGTAAAATTAGAGATTGTATTAAATGTAATAAAGTGCGATGTTATTACATTGAGCAAAATGCGATTTTATTAAATTTAAAGACGTTTGACTTTATTACGCTTAATTAAAAAAATCATTTTTATTCCATTTAATACAATTTCATGAAACAATTCCTGTTTTTTTTTTAATAAAATGTGTAAGGCAAAGGGCCACCAGATCCTCCCTGAATTTTGGTTACTGTGGACGATTGTGGTTCTCTCGGATCAAGTCAACAAAAGCTGATTTATATCATGGCCAAGAGAATTTAATTCAAGGCCGGAGATGCTTGGAAATATGTTTAAGGAATTACGAGACGGAGAGCCAGTTTGGTATCAGGTTCGAAATCGGGAACCTGTGAATTCTAGACTTGGCTTAGGCCCGAAAACCAGCTGGGCGACTTTGGGCCAGCCACTTTCTCACAGCCCCAGGAAGGAGGCAATGGCAAACCACTTTTGAGGAAAAACTTGCCAAGAAAAATGGGGGGGTGCCCTGATGATGTGACAATGTTCTCCACCCTGTCAGCCCCCCAAAAATCCATTACCCCAATCCGTTTACAAGTAGTCCTCGACTTACGACAACAACTGAGCCGAAAATATCTGTTGCTAAGTGAGACAGTTAAGTGAGTTTTGATCCACTTTACGACCTTTCTTTCCACGGTGGTTAAGTGAATCACCGCAGTCGTTAAGCGAGTCACATGGTGGTTAAGTGAATCTGGCCCGTTTTGGCTCCCAGGTAAGTGCAGGGAGGCCGACTCGTAAATCCCTTTTTCAGTTCCGCTGGAACTTGAAACTGTCACGAAATGAGGACTACCTGTAGAGATTCAACCTTTAAAACCAAATTTTTTGTACAGGTTGGCTTCAGTCAGTGCTGAATTTCCCCAGTCGGCCATGATTTGACTGACACCTGCCAGGCAGGTGAGAGAAATGATTGATAATTTTAGTTTTTAATAAGACGGGGGCCAAATTATTGAATATATTTTTAAACTGCTTTTAAATTTTTTGTATATGTGTGTTTTAGTGTTGGCTGTGCACCCGCCCTGAGTCCTTCGGGAGAAAGGCGGTATAAACATTTAAATAAATTAAATAAAGAATGAATGAATGAATGCAGCTCTCCATCTACCAGGCCTTCGTCAACATCAAAGGAAAAAAAAAAGTCAATTAGCTTTTTATTCCATCGTGCAATAAACATTTGCAGCCGCTGACGGATTAACCAAGAAGGAGCAATGAGCGAGTGGAAGGCTGGCTGGAGGAGGAGTGAAAGAAGGAAGGAAGGAAGAAAAGGAGGGGTGCAGGATTCCTGTCTTATTACATAGCAATAAATCAATTCCATTTATAGCAGACCTTGCTGCTGATAAATCCGGGCAGGGGGGGGGGGAAGGGGGGGGGGGGGGGCCAGAAGGGGGGGGTGAGTTCATTGGGGGGGGGGGGGGGAGTAAATAATTAACCCGGGAGGCACGAAGGGTTTTGCTATTCTATTGCATAGCAATATTCCAATAATTCATAGTGAACCCTGTCACTGATAAATTAAGAATCGGGGAGGAAAAGAGGGGAGGAAAGGAAGAGGAAAAAGGGGCGGGGCTGCAACGAAACCCCTCTGCGTGTGCAACTCACACGCGTGTGCTTGCACAAAAGACAAAAGTGCAACGCCGTTTGCCAAAAGGATCTGCTTTGCGAGGACTTTTGGGGGGTGGGGTAACTAGAGATGGAGCCGAGGGGAGCATCCGAGAGACTCTAAACACCAGAGCTGACATTAGGGGCCACAGGGGGACCCCCGGGCCCGGATTGGGGGTCTCGGCTCAGAAGTTGTTGTCGATATTCCACACGTCCCCGCTGAGGGCATTGGCGGCCCCCTGCAGCGTCCAGGTGACGAGAGCCAGTTGTCGGCGGAAGAGACCTTCGTCAAACTTTTCCGGGGCGTCCCGCAGGAGGCTGACGTGCTCCAGGAGGGCCCTCAGGGTGTGGGGGCCCCGGCCGTGGATGATGTGGCGGAAGGGGGTCTCGGTCACTGCCACATATTGAGAGAGGAAGTAGAATTCCACCTGGAGGAAGGAAGCACAGGGACGCGTCCTTTGGGGCCTGGTGGGGGGAGCCACGGACCCCAAAGGGCCACTGCCGGGCTGAGGGATTGGGACCCCCAGAGCTACCAATCTATGATCTTGTTGACGCTCTCAGCCCTGACCGTGGGTGAGTAGGTGTCTGTGTAGTCCTCTGGGTATTTTTGGGTGAAGCCTTGTGCGACTAGTCTTGCTTTGTATAGTACTTTGTTGTCTTCTAGGGTTTTGATCCTGTATGCCCACTTGGTCCCGATTGGTTTTTTATTTTCTGGTGCTTGTGCTGGTGAATATACTTGTAGGTCCCTGAGGCTCTTCATTTCTCTTTCCATAGCTTGTTCCCATTTTTCTTTCTCTTCTTGGGGAAGGTTGAGTATCTCTTCAAAGGAGCTGGGTGTGGTGTTGTTTGTCTGTATGGACATGACATAGTCCTCAAGTCTTTTTGGCATCCTGTTTCTGCTTGCTCTGACTGGTCTGTCAGGTGGCATGTCTGTTTCATGCAGGCACTTTGCTTCTTTGTTTGTGAGACTATCTAAGTTTAAGGTGCGGTGCCCTTCCTTCCATTCTTCGGCTTTTAGTTTGTGGCGTTTGGGCTTGTGTGTTTTGGTCTCTGTTGCTTTTTTAGTGGCCTGGTTCTCATCCCTTTGATTATGTGTGTGTGCATCCCCCCGAGGAAAATGTCATTGGAATGTAATCTTGACCAATTAGAATGTTCATGAAAGTCCACTGATCTTGAGACAATAAATTTGTTATTGCAGTCTACGAACCTGAAGCCTTTTGTTCCTGGTTCATACCCCATGAACCTTAGTCTTTTGGATATCGTTTCCCCCTTTTTTCTTAATTGTCTGGGGATATGAACATCCGCTGGGACACCAAATATATGCAAGTGGGCTAAGTTAGGTTTCCTTTTATGCATTAATTCATATGGGGTTATATTGATTGAACTAGACCACAACCTATTCAATGTATAGTTTGAGTAGTGCAATGCTTCTGACCAGAATGATTGGCCCATCCCTGCATCTTCTAGGACACATCTCATCATTGTTTGGAGTATGCTGTTTTTACGTTCTACGACTCCATTTTGGAAAGCAGAAAAAGGCGAAGAAGTGAAATGTAATATGCCTCGTTCTTTTAGCCATTTTGTAAAGTCTCCGGCCATGAACTCTGAACCTCGGTCAGTCATTATCTGTTTGATCTTAGTGTCATGTTGTAATTCCACCCTTTTATAAAATTCTTTGAACCTTTGGAATGCTTCATTTTTCTGTCTGAGTATACATAACCGTATCGACTATAATCATCCACAATGGTTAGGAAGAACCTTTCTCTGTACCTAATGGATGGTTTCAGTGGCCCTACCAGATCCATGTGCACTAATTGAAAGATAGAGTCAGTAGTTCACCCTGATTTCTTTGGTCTTGCTTTGACCTTAATTTTTGAACACTTACAAACAGAACACTCTAGGTAATTCTTACAATCCTTTACTTTTAAACCCTCTGTACATTCTAACATTTTCTTAACAACTGGAAAACTGATGTGCCCTAGTCTTCTATGGAGAAGGTGAGCACAACTGTCATGGATGGGCTTTCCCATGGATACCGTACCTTTCCCTGGTGACTTACAATTGGTTGTCCCCTGGTGTGTCCCCTCCGTTTCTTCGTTTCCCTTTCTCTCATTAACAGTACTTATGTTTACACTTCCTCCATCACTTTTGTTAGGTGTAAAGTAAGCTAGTCCATCGTGCATTGTTACTTCCCCAATGTTTTCCCCTTCGTTTTGTTTTGTTTTTTTAATTTGATTTATATGCCGCCCTTTTCTGGAGACTCAGGGTGGCTTACAATGCATTAAGCAATAGCCTTCATACTTTTGTATATTTATACAAAGTCAGCTTATTGCCCCCACAAACTGGGTCCTCAATTTACCTACCTTAGAAAGGATGGAAGGCTGAGTCAACCTTGAGCCTGGGGAGATTCGAACATGCAGTAATTGCAGGCAGCTGGATGTTAATAACAGGCTATTAGTCTGCTGCACCACCAGGCTCTTCATTGGATATGTATGCCTTGCCTTCCTTGAACATTACCTCGGAGTCTGTGTCTTGTGTTAGTTTAGTGGTGGCTAATACGTTATATGTTATCTCTGGCACATATAACACCCCCTCTATTTCTCCTATTCCTGGGATATGTACGCTTCCCTTTCCTATTACTTTGGCACTGCTCTGGTTGGTCACTCTTATCTCAAAATCTGTCTCTGTAAGGGTAATGAATAATTTTGGGTTGTATGTGGTGTGGTTAGTGGCTCCCGAGTCTAAGAGCCACTTGTCCTCGTTTATTTCTTGCCTGGTATTTGGCTCCCCATGTCTAAAACCATACATTGACCCTGGGTTGCTGTCCTGGGAACTGTCCCTACGTTCACTATTTTGTCTGGGGTTGGGAGACCACCCATGCCCTTGTTCCCTAAAGGACCTGCGGTCTGGTGATTGCCTTCCCTGGTGCTTCCTCCCGGGTTCAGGTCTCTCTCTGTGATTATTGTATCCCCTGTCTCTGTTATTCCTGGGGCAATCCCTTTTTAAATGGTTTCTAGATCCGCAACCCCCAGGATAAAGGCTGGCCCGGCAGTGCCATCTGGCTACAACTCATCCCATCATCCCCAGCACTCAGGGATGCCCCCCCCCGATGGGGGGCTCTGTCTGGGGGAGGAATCCCGTCCCTTCTATCCGCCCCCCACCCCCCAATCTTGCGCGGCTGAGCCGGAGCCAAGGCTGGCCGGCCGCCGGGCGCTCATACGTGCCGGCTCGCACTCGCGGAAGCCTTGATCCGCCGACCCGGCGGCCGGCCGCATCGATCCTGGCCGCGTCTCCAAACAGGCGGCTCGCCTGGCGCCAGCGGGAGTGACAGATCAACCAGGCCGGGCGGACCTCTGACCCGGGCCCGGCTGGACGGAACGTGCGGTCCCCCGGGAGCCACCGCCGGTGCGCCTTACCTGCCCTGCGCGCCGCTACCTGCGCGCCCCACGCAGGTGCCCACGCGAGACCCTCTGCCCAGCCAGGACCCTGCAGCCCCCTCCCCCCGCTTCTCCCGCTCGGGCAAGGAAGACCCCGTCGGCAAAGGCGCGGCTCGCCTTCAGCCAGGAGCGCATCCCCACGCCCGCCCTCTGCGCGCGATCCCCAGCATGGAAGGGGGAGACCGAGAGCTCTGGGCAGCTGAAGCCGCTTGTAGCGCCCGGAGGATCTTCTAACCGGGGGCACCTTTAGGCCAGAATGGGGTGGGGGGTGGGGGGTGAAGAATAGAGAATGTCAGTCCCCCCCCTCCAAGCAGGCAGAAAACAGGGGGATCCATCTGGCAATTTCTGCTCACTCACACCAGCACTCCCCCCCACCTCCCCCCAAAAGTGTGGGCCCTTTGGTTCTCTCTGAGCTTGGTCGTTCTCTTGCAGACGTTTTATTACCGAACTAGGTAACATCATCAGAGCTAGAAGGCAAAGGGGCTTGCAAAGAGGAGGAGGAGGAGGAGGAGTGCGGGGTCCTTGAGGCTCTCTGAGCTAAGTTGTTTTCTTGCAGACGTTTGGTGAGCCAACTAGGTAACCTCATCAGTGCTAGAAGAAAGTGGAGTTTGCTCTGTTTATGTACCAAAAGCTGTTCCCGATGAAGTGGGGGAAGGTCACTGAAGAAGGGTGGGGGGCCAAGGTGGGACCAGCCAAAGCCTTGGGTAGTTCTGAAATACCTGAGCCTAAAGTTTTGGGGTCTGACTCTTGCTGGCTGGGGGATTCTGGGAGTTGGAGTCCAGCTATCTTCAAGTGGCCAAAGTTGGAGAAAAAAACTGCTCCCGGGAGAGTCCATTCAAAGAGATGAAGTAAAGGAAGCCTGGAGAGAGGCGGCCCCAGGCAGCTCTAGGGCCGAGCTTGGGGATGGGGGGCAGCCCCATGGCACAGCAGCCAAGCATTGCTAAGGAGCCCCAGAGGGGGTATTTGGGGCCATTGTTGCTGGAGATTACAGGTTGGCTCAAGAGATCCAGGTGGACGTAGGTAGTCCTCAACCATCACTGGAGGCTTTGAAGAAGAGACTGGACAGTCACTTGCCTGAAATGGAATAGGATCTGCTTGAGCAGAGGGCTGGACTAGATGACCTCTGAGGTACCTTCCAGCTCTATTCTGATTCCATAGACAGGACAGAGATTACAGGTTGGCTTAAGACAGGTGGACATAGGTAGTTCTCAACTTATAACCATTCATTTAGTGGCCGAATGACACTGATGAAAGTGGCTTATGACCGTTTTTCACACTTACGACCGTTGCAGCAGCCCCATGATCAAAATTGGGACGCTTGGCAAGTGACTCCCATTTATGGCGGTTGTAGCGTCTTGGCATCACGCGATCCCTTTTTGCCACTTTCTGACAAGCAAAGTCCAGTGGAAAACCAGATTCGCTTAGCAACCGCATTATTCGCTTAACAATTTCAATGACTCACTTTACAACTGTAGCCAAAAAATGGTCCATAAAATGGAGCACGGCTCACTTAAATGCCTTGCTTAGCCGTGGAAATTTTGGACTCCATTGTGGCCGTAAGTTGAGGACTACGCATAAACCCACATTTTGAGGACCTGGGCTCTTTAATCACAAACGACTCTTTCTCAGACAGGGAAACCTGAGAAGCGACGGTCTCTGAGTGAAACACACGGAATCACGGGGAGGATCCAGGCTGGGACGTTTCATTGCCACCTTCAGCAGTTCCTATTCTTTCTGGAGCTCAAGGTGTCATTCGGAGATTCCCTTCCAGTTTATCTCACAACAATCCTGCAGGGTTGGCTAGGATGGAAGAACGGGGCTGAGGGCTAAAGCTTGAATTACAGAATCACAGAGCGCTGGCTGGGGGATTCTGGGAGTTGTAGTCCACCCATCTTCAAGCTTCCAAGGTTGAGAAACACTGATCTAGTCCAACCCCATTCAGGCAGGAGACAGGCCTGACAAATGGCTGTCCCGTCTCTTCTTAAAAACCTCGTGTTGGAGCACCCACAACTTCTGGTGGCAAGCAGTTCCGCAGGTTAGTTGTTCTCACTGTCAGGAAATTTCTCCTTAATTCCAGATTGCTTCTCTCCTTGATTAGTTTCCATCCGTTGCTTCTTGTCCTGCCCTAAGGTGCTTTGGAGAATAAATTGACCCCCTCTTCTTTGGGGCAGCCCCTCAAATACTGGAATATTGCTACCATGTCCCCCCCCCAGTCCTTCTTTTAATTAGAAATACCCAATTCCTGCAACTATTTTTCATATGTTTTAGCCTCCAGGCCCCTAATCCTCTTGGTTGCTCTTCTCTGCACTCTTTCTAGAGGTCTCAACATCTTTTTTACACCGTGGCGACCAAAACTGGATGCAGGATTCCAGGTGTGGCCTTACCAAGGCCTTGTAAAGTGGTACTAGCACCCTACGCGATGTTTGATTCAATCCTTCTGTTTGCCAAGGAGCTCCAAAATCTGGGAGACTTCAGACGTGGTGGGCCACTCTGGATGCCCACCTGGACAGAGGTGGAGGGGGGGGCAACTGCCCTCCTCGCAGGAAGGAAAGCCCTCCGTTCCTCCTCTGCCCAGCAGCCCAATTCCGGGAGGGCTGGAGATGCCAGGGCTGCTTCTGGCTCCCAACCAGCCTCTTATCGGCAGTGGCACCTCAGCCGGGCAGTGGAAAAAAAGCTATTTCCGGCCAGCTGAGATAAGGCCGTCTTCTCACACACAGCCTGCATGACACAATGCTCTTGCACAACAGCAGAGGTCAACCCCTCCCGCTCCCATGTGAGAATGTGGGAATTCCCTCCAGCGGCTCTCTCCACCGCCTGGCCCCTTCGGACACACAACGCAGACTCCGATTCCCATCCTTCAGTTGAAAAGTCTTCCAAGACCTGCGTGGCCCACGGCTTCCTTGGCCCAGCCTCGGTGGGAGTTTTGGAGCTGTTTGAGGAGGAAGACTTCACTTCCATCAGGGGTGTCCAAACGTGGCCACTTTTTAAGACTTGTGGACTTCAACTCCCAAGAATTCCCTATCCAGCTGCTTTTTTCCACTTTGCAGAAAGGAAGATATGTTTACTGCATTCCACTAACTTTTTTTTTTTTTAATTTGATTTATATGCCGCCTTTCTCCGGAGACTCAGGGCGGCTTACAATGCGTGAAGCAATAGCCTTCATCCTTTTGTACATTTATAGTATAAAGTCAGCTTATTGCCCCCACAAACTGGGTCCTCAATTTACCTACCTTAGAAAGGATGGAAGGCTGAGTCAACCTTGAGCCTTGGAGAGATTCGAACCAGCAGAAATTGCAGGCAGCTGTGTTAATAACAGGGTGCACTAAACCACTGTACTATCAAGGCTCCTTGATAGTAACTATTAAGTTACCCTATGAAACAATGCATTGAAGTAGTCTAGCCACAGAGGTCCTTGTCCTATCCATGCTGAATTCTGGTAAACCCTTGCTGGCTGGGGAATTCTGGGAGTTGAAGTCCGCAGGGGTTGGACACCCCCGACTTAAATTCTCACAGAATGCAGAAACCTCACCCAGGATGACTGCCTGGTGACCATTTTCGTGTTGAGAAAAGGGGGAACCGGCTTCTCTACAGGAGACACAGCCCCTCCTTTCTTTTTAACTGCCTCCCCCAATAAAGGCCAGGGGTCTTGAGGGCCAAGAAGGCGGCAGGGGCTGCCAGGACCCCTACCCAAGCAGGCCCTCCTCCGGGGAGGAATTCTGAAGCTGCCTTGGCCAGGGTCCAAGGGCTGGAGGAAGTAAACCCATTGGGTGGGTGCGTCTCCCCAAAGACCCCCTGGGCCCTGAGGCTGCCAAGGGCTCCTCTCCAGGGGCTCTGGGGCTGCTGATCGAGGCCACCCCTTCGCTGGGCTGAGAGGAATGCAGCGGTCCAGGTACCTCGCCACTTGGGGGGCAGAGAGAAAGGGGCAGCTGACAAGCCCCCCCTGCCTAGGCACATTCCGGGAGATGCAACCTCAGGGAAGGGGGCTGGGCAGAGATACCCCTTCCATCCAAATGTTTTTAGGGCCCTCCCTCGCAGGCTTAACCCCCATGGTTGCCCCCCACACACCCGATCCCCTGGCCCAGGGGTGAAATGCTCCCGGTTCAGACCAGATCACCCGATCTGGTAGCGATGGTGGCGGGTGGGTCATAGCAAACCCCCCCCAGCTGAGCAGCACGATCATCAGAGGCTACAAACTTTTCGGTCAAAAAAATGCTCTTAAAAGCCTCTGATGATCCCAGCTGAGTTGCCTGCTTGTCAGAGGCTTTTTTTTTTTTTGGCTGAAGAGGTTGTAGAAAAAAATGCTTTTAAAAGTAAAAAAAAAAGTTGGCCACACCCACCCAGTTACATTGCCCCCCCCCCCAAGCCATGCCCACAGAACCGGTGGTAACAAATTTTACATTTCGGCCCCATCTAAAATATCCTAGGGTTGAAATGAGGGGTCCTTGGTGCTCTCTGAGCTGGGTGTTTTCTTGCAGACGTTTCATCACCCATCTAGGTAACATCAGCAGTGCCGAAAAGGAATGAGATTTTCAGAAAGGAAGGGAAACGACTGTAGGTCCTTACTTCTGCCTGAGCTTGGTTGTCTTCTTACAGACGTTTCATGACCCATCTAAGGAATATCATCAGTATGACGATCATTGATGAATGTCATCTACCTCTGATATTTCCTAGCTGGGTCATGAAAAGCTCTACAAGAAACCCACCCAACTCAGCCCCCAGGACCCCTCAGCATTCCAACCCTGGGCTACAAATATTCTCCTTTATTGGTACACAGGGGGTTTATTTGGGGGGAACACAAAGGGGCCTCGGACCAGACCCGAAGCCAGTAGCCCCCTCCTCCACCAGTCTTTTCGGGACCCTCCACTGAGAGTGCGGGGGAGTCCCCAAGCCTTCCTCCTCTTTCTCTTCCCCTCCGGCTACTCGGGGACGGCACGCAGGACGCGGATGTGGATGGCGGAGTTGTGCCGGGCGCGGGCCAGCGGCTCGTCCCGGTCGCCCTCGGGCTCGGCGACGTCGGCCAGCTGCACGGTGGAGGTGTTGGCGGCCAGGCAGAGGGTGCCGCCGCCCGTGGCCTCCAGCTGCAGGGCGATGTTGATGGCGCGGTTGATGGCCAGGCCCAGCCCGTGGATGCACAGCTCGGCGCAGCCCCCGCCGGGCGCCAGCAGCTTCTGGCAGCGGCTCAGCTGCGCCCTGAAGTCCGTCTTCATGTTCACGTAGATGTCGCCCCGGCGACGGGGAAGGCGGCGGGGCAGGCGGCGGCGCAGGGCGCGCTCCGGCTCGCTCGGGGGGCCCGGCTCGGCCATGCAGTCCTGCGGGGGAGACACCGGCAAAGGAGACGTTGCGGACCCCTGGCCGCCCACCTCGCGCGCAAAACGGGGTCCCCTTCGGCCTCCCTGCGCGTGCACGAGGGGACTGGGGGCGTGCACCCGTTGGACCCCCGGCAGCAAAAGCAAACCCACTCCCCCCCAGCCTCCCTGCACGTGCATGAGATGATCTGGGGGCGCGCACCTGTCCGGCCCCCTCCCCGCGCGCGCAAGACGGGCTCCTCTCCCCGCCCCGGCTTCCGTGCGCGTGCATGGGATGGCCTGGGCGGCGCGCCCGCAAGGAGTCCCCGCCCTCCCAGCCCGGAGAGAAACGCCTGCGGTCGGTTGGCCGGGGATGATGGGCTTTGCAGTGCCACGTCTGGGAAAGGCTGAGCGGCAGCCGTCCTACCCGGCAGGGCCGCCGCGACTCCCTTGATCCCCCCGCTCCCTCCCGTCCCCGAGGGGCTGCGCTGGGGGGACAGGAAGGGTCCCACCGACCTCTGATCCCGGCGCCCGCGGCTGCCTGGCCGGAGCCTCCCGCGACCGCAGCGCAGCCAGAGGGAGAAGCGCACGTGGTCCGCCGGCCGGGGCTGACCCGGAAGTCCGCGTTGGAGGCGAGGGGCCGCTCTGCGCTTTTCCCCTCTATCGGGGCGGGTGCGCGTGCGCGGGGGGCTCCGGGCTGCCCCCTGGCGGTGGAAACGCGATTTTTCTCCCATCTTTGCTTAAAAGATTTCATTTCTGTAAAAAGCTTTAGAAGCTGCGCTTTTCTCCCTTCCTGATGCAACTGAGTTGACTTTTTATTTTATTTTATTTTATTTTATTTTATTTTATTTTATTTATTATTTTATTTTATTTTATTTTATATATTATTTTTAGTTTTAGTTTTTAGTTTTATTTTTACTTTTTATATCTCACCTTTATTACTTTTTATAAATAACTCAAGCTGGCACCTATACCTAATACAATGTAGTCCTTGACTTACAACCTTTCATTTAGTGACTGAACAAACAGCACTGGACAAAGTGACTGTTTCTCGCTCTTATGGCCATTGCACTCCCTATGGTCACGTGATCTGAATTCATGCAGTTGGCAACTGGCATGTACTTATGACAGTTGTAATGTCCGGGGGGGGCGGGGGGGGGTCATGCAACCTTCTGACAAGCAAACAGGGAAGCAAACAGGGAAGTCCGATTTAATTAACATCTGTGGAAAGAAAGATCATAAAATGGAGCAGAACTCAACGGTCCCACTTAGTAACAGAAATGTGGGGCTCAATTGTGGTTGTAAGATGAGAACTTACTGTACTCCTTCCTCTTCATATGAATTCTAGAATAGAATTCTTTATTTATTGGCCAAGTGTGATTGGACACACAAGGAATTTCTCAGGGTACATAAAAAAACAAGATACATTCATCAAGAATCATAAGGTACAACACTTAATGATCGTCATAGGGTACAAATAAGCAATCAGGAATATGGTATATGCCAATGCTCTCCAAGGGTTTGAGTTCAAGGCAGATTTCTCCTCTTTCCTCTTCACAGCAACCCTGCGAGGTGGGACGGCCGAAGAAATGGCCTGAGGGAGTGACCAGATATCTGTGCTGGAACGATGGGTGTTGTGATCCCAACCCTTCTGGCATGGGTCTCCGAGTCGAGTGCTCTGGGCTCCCCACATGCATTTCAATTCTCTTCTGCATTTTTTAGATCAATGTTTTCAAACGTGGCCCCTTTAAGACTTGTGGACTTCAATTCCCAGAATCCCCCAGCCAGCAGGAACTTTGGTTTGTCCATCGTTCCTCATGTTTCCATCCTTCAATGGCCGACCACAGAGACCAGCACAGCCCTCGGGGAAGGATTTCAGGATTTTGCCTGGCCAATCAGGCGGGACCCACAAACCGAAACGGGTCACGGCTGCCCCCGAGAGACTGACCGAACCTCTTTTCTGGTTTGCAAATGAATGAACCCACAAGGGCCCGAATAACAGGATAACAGAGCTGGGAGGGACCTTGGAGGCCATCTAGTCCAACCCCCTGCTCGAGCAGGAGACCCTATATACCATTTCAGACAAATGGCTGTCCAGTCTCTTCTTCAAAACCTCCACAACCTCCGGGGGCAACTTCTGTCCCCTTATTCTCCAGCTGGCCCTTGAGAGGATGGTCTTTTGACTCCTGCTTCTCCGCCAGATTCTCCTGAGCGAACTGGAGGGAGGAACCCGCCTGGTTTCTCTTCCACGGGACTCACACAGCGAAAAAAAAAAAAAGGACCCACAACACAATGTGGTGGGCTTGTGTGGATTTCTGTCCCTCTGGGGAGGATTGGGGAGCTCTTGAGAGGGCAGCCCGGCTGGGGCCCATCCTCCATCCTGTCTGGGGATGAAAAGCAGAGATGATGGAGGAGGAGGAGGAGGAAGACTGTGGGTTTTTTGGGAGTCTCTGAGCTGGGAGGTTTCCTTATAGACGTTTCATGACCCAACTAGGGAACATCATCAGTGGGAGGAGGAGGAGGACTGTCAAAACTATAAGGCATTTGCCTGGCTCCTTATGACACACATGTTTGGAACAGTGATCCTGATTGTCGTTCCTCCCTCCCTTCCACAGAGATCGTCATTCTAGAGCCGCGTTTCTCAACTGTGGCCACTTTTGAGACGTGTGGACTTTAACTCCCAGAATTCCCCAGCCAGCAAGGGTCTACCAAAATTCAGCACTTATTGGACAAGAACAAATGTGGCCCAACTATGTATTTTATCACTTTTTTTTTTTTTTTGGATAGGGTAACTTTCTTAATAGATGCTGGGAATGTGGTCCATGTAATATATCTTGACTTCAGCAAAGTGAGGAAAAAAAAGATGGCTGGGGAATTGTGGGAGTTGAAGTCCACAAGTCTTCAAGTTGCCGAGGGTTGAGAACCTTTGTCCTGGAGTAAACAGCATTGAGATTCACAGGATGCTCGTCCTGGGCTGTCCTTCCTTCTGTTATATTTGGGGATCTCTGCTGGGGGCTTCTCTTTTGAGCAGGTTGGGTGGGCAAAGGAGGGCGGGGAAGCTCTTTGGGGCGGGGGCAAGGACCACAATCAAGCACCAACCAGGCCTGAAGACCAGGAAGGACACTGCTGGCTGAACTCAAGATGCCCCATGATGGCACTATTGGCCTGCAGGTGCTGAGCAAGCCCCCAAATTAAATCCACCTACACCCCAAAGAGAAGCAGGAGAGTGAGGTGGGGTGGCCCCTTCAGTGAGCAGAATTTGGCACTCGGGTGCAAGAAAGCGGGGTGGGGGGGGGCTGACCTTAGACAGGGCATGGGCCAAACCTCTTTTAAAACCCCGCCCTGACGAAATAAAGCTTTTTTGTTTTTTCTTAAAAACCCCACACATTTATTTATTTATTTGGTCAGAGGCCTTCCCAAACAAAACACAACCAGGAGCAATTTTTAAGAACTCAGACCCCCCTCCCTCCCATTCAGGAAATCGGGGGTGCCATCCGGGCACCCGGTAGAAATGGACGAAGGAAGGTTGGAGCACAGAACGGGCGAGGCGGCCTCTCTTTCCTGAGCCCCCTGCGTTCCACCCCCCTAATCTTGGAGGGGAGGGCTCTTGGGCACAACAGGGGGCGTGGCGGGAGGGGAGGGAGGGAGGGCAGAGCAAGGACTGCAGTGGGGAGTGGATTTTGCCACCCAGGCCAAGAAGGGCTGCAGCGGTCCCGGAGACGGTGGGAGGGAGGGCGGGGGGGGGCAGGACCAGCGACTCAGGGGCATTTCCTCTCTACACACTGTTTGCCCCCCTCTTCGTACTCCTGCTTGGAGATCCACATCTGTTGGAAGGTCCCCTGGAAAAGGAAATAGATGGTGAGAGGCCCCCTCCCCAGCCCCCTCCATCCCACCCACCCCCTCAGCCCCACAGATCGGTGCCCGGTGCCTTGGGCAACCCCTGCGCAAGGCAGACACAGAGTACAGCCCTGAGACTTCGGAGAGGGGCGGCATATAAATTGAATTAATTAAATTAAATTAAATTATAAGTTACCTCCAGACCTCACCCCTTGCAGGCAACCCCCACTCCTCCCCTCCTCCCCTCCCAGGGGCCCCTCCCACGATTTCACCCCCCCCCCCACTCACTAGAGAAGCCAGGATGGAGCCCCCGATCCAAGGGCTGAACCGCCGTTCCATGGTGCTGTTGCTGGCAATCAGCTTCAGCCGCATGCTCTGGGGGAGGGGGAGAAAAGGGTCACAGGTCGGGGGGGGGCTGTGAATCCATGGGGGGGGGGGTTTCCTGAGCAACCGTCATTCTCAATTCAAGTCCTGACTCCCCAGGGAAGTGCGATTTTATTGTTCTCTTTTAATTGACTTTAGAAAAAATAGAAAATCCCTTTTAGAAGGAGAGCGGCCCAGGAGCCGGACAGAAACTTTTCCAATGCAGTGATTTTATTTAAGTTATGAAGAAACGGTTGCAGGATTTGGGTTTGGCCAGTCTAGAGAAAAGGAGGACTGGGCAGGACGATGACATGATAGCCACATTCCAATATCGGAGGGGCTGCCCCAAAGAAGAAGAAGGGGTCCCCCTATTCTCCAAAGCTCATGAAGGCAGCAGGACAAGAAGCAACGGATGGAAACTAAGCAAGGAGAGAAACAATCTGGAACTAAGGAGAAACTTCCTAACAGTGAGGACAGTTAACCAGTGGAACTGCTGGCCACCAGAAGTTGTGGGTGCTTCATCACTGGAGGTTTTTAAGAAGAGATTGGACAACCATCTGTCTGAAACAGCCTTGTTTAAGGCTGTTTGTTTGTAAGGCTTGTTTAAGAGCCTTGGTAGTACTAGGGTTTAAGGCACCCTGTTATTAAGCTGCTTAAGAACAGCTGCCTGCAATTACTGCAAGTTCGAATCTTGCCAGGCTCAAGGTTGACTCAGCCTTCCATCCTTTCTAAGTTAGGTAAATTGAGGACTCAGTTTGTGGGGGCAATAAGCTGACTTTGTATAAATATACAAAAGTATGAAGGCTGTTGCTTAACGCACTGTAAGCCGCCCTGAGTCTTCGGAGAAGGGCGGCATATAAATCAAAATTTAAAAAAAAAAAAAAAACACGGTATAGGGTCTCCTGCTTCAGCAGGGGGCTGGACTAGAAGACCTCCAAGGCCCCTTCCAGCTCTATTCTGATTGATTGATTGATTGATTGATATTCAAGGGGCAGAAGATTTAGCGAGCTGGGTGCATCGGGAGAGCCGCTTACCCACTCCTGAAAAAAAAGTCCTTTTTCCCCACGGTGCCCTGCAATCGCCCTCCTATCTCCAGCAGTATTTTTTGGGGAGAGCCGTTGGGGGGGCCCCAACTGGCAAGAAGCCTCGCGGGCATTTGACGGTGCCGCCCACGGGGAGTCCCGCTGGCCTCGGGCAGATGAGCCAAGCGGGGTAAAGGGGAGCCCTCCCCCCCCCCAAAGCCCCATGGCCAGCTGCCCTCGTGGGCCCCCTGGGCTCCTCCGCAGGCGCAGGGCTCTCACCGGCGGGGTCTTCTGCGAGAGCTCCCGGTTGAGGCGATCGGTGAAGCCCTGCAGGAGGGTGTTCCCGCCCGTGACGATGACGCTGCCGTAGAGACCCTGCGGGATTGGGGAGGGGGCGTCAAGGGGGAAAGAGGCCGGATGGCTGAGCCCGCACAGCCCCCTCGGCTGCCTTTCAGAGATTCCTGAGTTTTTCCACTCGGCTGGCTCCAAGGAATCTTCCCAAGGCTCCGAGATCCCTGTGGATCCTCCCTCCCTCCCTCCCTTCCTTCTGTGCTCTTTCCTTCCTTCCTCCATTCCTCTTTTTCTTCTTCCTTCCTCCATTCCTCTTTTCCTTCTTTCCTTCTTTCCATCCATTCCTTTTCCTTCCTTCCTTCTTCCTTCCTTTCTTTCCTCCATTCCTTCTTTTCTTTCTTCCCTTCTTTCCATCCCCTCCTTTTCCTTCTTTCCTTCTTCCTTCCTTTCCTTCTTTCCTCCATTCCTCTTTTCCTTCTTTCCTTCCTTCCTTCCTTCCTCTTTTCTTTCTTTCCTTCTTTCCATCCCCTCCTTTTCCTTCCTTCCTTCTTCCTTCCTTTCTTTCTTTCCTCCATTCCTCTTTTCCTCTTTTCCTTCTTTCCTTCCTTCCTCCATTCCTCTTTTCCTCCCTCCATCCCTCCCTCCCTCTCTCCTTCATTGTTTGTTTGTTTGTTTGTATCTCATTGCACTGTCCATTCTGGGCAGCTTACAATGCATCAAAAACACAAATACAAATAAATTAAGCATGAGAAGGATTGGAACTCCCTAGGAGCCCTTACGTAAGTGTGAAAAGGTGGGAGCTTCCCACTTTTTGCCCCTTGTGGTTCTGTGAGGAGGGGGCCAGGAGCCCCTTCTTCCACCCGACCCCTGTTTCTCTTCAAAGGGAGAGGCTTTGGGGAGCCTCGGGGGGCTCCGAGGGGCTGGTGGGGGAATGGGGAATTCAGTGTTCCAGCCGAGACAGAGTCCTGGGGGGCTTTGGGTGGGGAGGGGGAACTGGGAGAGGGGGACTCACCGGTCGTATGTCGATGTCACACATCCCGATGCTTGTGGTGACCACATGGCCAACGCCCAGCATGGTGTTTCCAGACAGACCCTGAGAAACAGAGGAGGGTGGGGAGGGGGTCATGACAGCCAGAGTTTGGGTGTACAAAGCAAAATCGCCCATGCACAACTCTGACACACAAAACATTCCCAGACTGCAAATTTGGGGGTCTAACAGGGACATAAACTGGAGGGGGGAGATTGGGGGGGCCAACGTCTGGCCACATATGGCCACATTTGCATAGCCACTGGGGGGAGGGTACAAGCACCAAGGAAGCACCAATATGAATGTAACCCCCCCTCCCCAAAGGCCTCGATTCGGGGGTGCTGGACCCCCAGAACAACCCATCACAAGGAGCCCCCCAACCTTTTCACCAGGAGCAAAGCATGACCAGCCGTGGACAGTTAACTGAGCCAGAAGGAAGTCCAGCCGTCTCCAGGTGTCCGCTCTGCTTGTGCTTAAAAGACCACACCGATCTGGGCTGGATTCACACAACCCTTCAGCTCCTCAACTGGGTTGGCCCCATGCAGCAGTCATGCCTGCCTATTGTACAACACCAGGGGGCTTGGCCTGCCCCCTCTTTGAGGGAGAGTCCTGGGTCTCCATTAGCACAGGGGGTCTCCAATCTCGGCCACTTTAAGACTTGTGGACTTCAACTCCCAGAATGCCCTGGGACTAATGCATTCCTAATCACCCATTGTGGCCTATGTACTCTCTTGTAATCCCTTCCTCTGCGATCTCCCTGTTCTAGGAGATAGGAGAAAAAGAACAGGCATGGCTGGCTGAGGAATTCTGGACGTTGAAGTCCACGAGTCATAAAATTGCCAAGTTCGGAGACCCCTGGCCTAGAGCAATGGTGTGGGGTGGTTGAGGGGTGTTTGCATCCTCTCCCACTGGCCCCCAAGTCTTAAAATGGCCGAGGTTCGAGACCCTTACTTTAGCAAACCAGCACCTTGGCTGCTGCCTGCCCCAACGTGCTTGCACATCCCGCCTACCCAGATACCCCCGGAAATGCAATGCCAGGCCCGCTCTCTGCCCTTCCTCCACTGCCCCACTCACCTTCACGTTGGAGGGGTCAAAAAGACCCTCAGGGATCCTCAGGCGCTCAGCCCCATAGTCTGTGTTGTAGCCATTGGGCATTTCGTAGTGGACGGTGGGCATCTGCGCAGCCACCCTGCTCCGAACAAGGGGTGGGGGGGGGACAGAGAAAGTGCCAGGTCTGGCTGGGCTCTTCCCTCCAACCTTCCTCCTCCCTTACCCCTTCCCAAATGGCTTTGGGGGGGGGACACAGACCCCTCCCACAAACAATGCTTCCCAGTGCCCAGGACACCTTTGTCCTTGCCAGACCTCCCTGGGATCTCCCTTCATTCCTTTTCCTCCCCACCTCATTCCTTTTCCCCTCTCAAAACCTGGAAAGATACAATCTATCAATCAATCGATTAGAATTGAGTTGGAATACACCTAGGAGGTCTTTTCTAGTCTAACCCTCTGCTCAAGCAGGAGACCCCAGACCAGTGATGGGTAACCTCTTTGCCGAAAGCAGAGGTCACGTGGGGTAGTCACGCGTGTGCGTGCCCACACCCATAATTCTATGCGCCCTGCGATCCACCCCTGACGCATGTGCGCGCGATCCCCTCGCACGACCCTCACTTTTGGTACGTGATGGCCTGGTGGGCCCAGTAGGCCTGGTTTTTTGCTCTCCCCAGGCTCCAGAGCCTCTCTAGGAGCCTGGGGAGGGTGAAAACAGCCTTCCCCACTACCCCAGAGGCCCTCCAGAGGCTGGAAACGGCCCATTTGCCAACTTCCAGTCCCACTGGATGTGATTTCAGGCCTCTGGAGAGCCTCTGAGGAGGTTGGAGAAGGCCATTTTCACCCTCCCCAGGATCCTAGAGAGGCTCTGGAGCCTGGGGAGAGCAAAAAGAGCCTTGATAGTACAGTGGTTTAGTGCACCCTGTTATTAACACAGCTGCCTGCAATTTCTGCTGGTTCGAATCTCGCCAAGGCTCAAGGTTGACTCAGCCTTCCATCCTTTCTAAGGTAGGTGAAATGAGGACCCAGTTTGTGGGGGCAATAAGCTGACTTTGTATAAAATATACAAAAGAATGAAGGCTATTGCTTAACGCACTGTAAGCCGCCCTGAGTCTCCGGAGAAGGGCGGCATATAAATCAAATTAAAAAAAAAAAAAGGGCCTTCCCCACCCACCCCAGGCCCTCTGGAGGCAGGAAACTGCCTGTTTTCCTACTTCCAGGCAGCCCAGAAGACCCAAAAATGCACGCACTGAAGCTGAGCTTGCGTGCCCACCAATATGGCTCCGCGTGCCACCTGTGGCACACGTGCCATACATTTGCCATTATTACTATTATTAGTTCAATTTATATGCCACCTTTCTCCAGTGACTCAGGGTGGCTGAGTCTTTAAGGCCCTAGACCATTTTTGACAACTGGATGTCCAGTCTCTTCTTAAAAACTTCCAGTGACGGAGCCTTTGCAACTTCTGGTGGCAAGGAGTTCCACTGGTTCATTGTTCTCAATGTTAGAAAGTTTCTCCTTAGTTCCAGGTTGATTAGATTAGATTCCCTTCTTGTAAACCAGAAGTTTCATTTCTCCCACCAAGGATGCAACACGAGCCCCTTTCATGGCATCTCTCTCATTCTGATCCTGGATCTGGTCTCCAGCAGGGCCCTTCGGCCATGACGGGCATGGGAAAGGAACTCGGATTTTTAAAATGTTAAATTTTAAAAATTTTAAAATTTTAATTTTAAAATTTTTAAAAATTTTTAAATTTTAAAATGAGAAGCTTTTTTTGAAATTCAACGTTTGGAAAAGGTTTTGTTTCTAATCCGAGTCAGTTTATTCTTCCAGGCTTTCAGACTCCAGTTGGAGCCCATCATCAGCAAACGTCTTTCTCTTCAGAAGGTTGAACTTACATGGTTCCTGTTTTGTGTAGCTTTGAGTTGTTGATCACTGTGTGTTGATGGCTGGCTACTGAGTCGTTAATTGTTCTTTCCTTGGGCCACTAAGAGACTTTTAAACTGGTAATAAATCAGCACTCCTATTGACTGGCCCATTTCTCAGACTTCCATGATTTCTCTGGCTATTTTTGTCCCTGCTCAGCCAACCATCGTAGTAGCTGTGAAACTGAATGCATGTCCTTGCTGAGGCTACCACTGGATTCATCTAACCGCTTACAACATTATCCTGGGACACATATATTTAAACCTTCATTGGCAAGGGGTTTCCCCCCCCTTCTACAGCCCACTCAAGGTGGGATGAGTGGAGGAAGGTGATGTGCGTCTGAGGCCAGAGAGATCAGGGGCTATTTGTGACTCTCAGGTCCAGCCTACCTTACAGGGCTGTTTTTCTGGAAACAACCTTAGGGAGCACCCAGCTCCACAGCCTTGAACTCTCAAAGCAGGAAATAGATTCCGGCCTTTTTCCTCCTGCTCCCAGAATTCCCAGCAGCATGCCTGAAAGAGGGGGATTCTGGGAGATGCAGTCCCAACCCATTGGGAGGGCAGCCAGCAGGCTGGGCAAGACTGGGCCAAAGGAAACCCAAGACATAGCCCCCCACCCCGCATTCCTTCGAATGAGACCCTCCCCGTCTTGCAAACTGCCAATATTCAGCCTGATACTCACTGCTCGTCATATGGTGAGTCAGAAACTTGCAGGACGGATGCCTGGAAGTCTTGTATCACCTCCTGTGGGAGTCGGCAGGGACAGAGAGGGGGGAGGTCAGCATATCCAGGGCCTGCACAGAAGCCCCCTCCCTGACACACACCTGCCCGCCTCCCAACCCGGGAACAAGCCTTGATCCTAAACCTATCAGCCGACCACCTCCGTTTTTGACCTGTGTGCACCATGTTTCCCCGTCCGTTCTGGGCACCTTTGGGCCTTTGGCAGTCCAAGGGCCCCTCCCTCCCTCCCTCCCTCCCCCAAGGGCCCCAAGGGCTCACGTTGCACATGTAGCTGTGCCAGGATTTGCTGACTTGGGGCAGCTTCTCCTTCTTCTTCCAGTTTGGGGGGGCTCCTTCACGCACAGCTTCCTGGGGGAGAAAGATGGGGGGGGGCTTGAAGGTTGTGGGAGCACCTCCACTTGCGACCCTCTCTGGACCCAGCTGAGTGTAAGAGGAGGGGCTCTCTGCAGCCCCCTCCCCATTTCCAGAAACCTCTAACGCAGTGTTTCTCAACCTTGGTAGCTTGAAGACGGGTGGACTTCAACTCCCAGAAACTGGGAGCACTGGCTGGGGGATTCTGGGAGTTGAAGTCCACCCATCTTCAAGCTACCAAGGTTGAGAAACACTGCTCTAACAGATTAACAGAGTTGGAAGGGACCTTGTAGGACTTCTAGTCCAGGGGTCTCCAACCTTGGCAACTTTAATCCTGACGGACTTCAACTCCCAGAACTCCCCAGCCAGCTTTGGGAATTCTGGGAGTTGAAGTCCTCCAGGCTTAAAGTTGCCAAGGTTGGAGACCCCTGTTCTAGTCCACCCCCACCCCACCCGCCTGAGCATCCCTTCATCACTGGAAGCTTTGAAAGAGCGACTGGACTTCTCTTCTTGAAAACGTCCAGCTCAGGACAGGCACTTGGCTGGGGGCTTCCCGTTCTGAATGATGCTTTTCCCACCCCCATTCCTTGCACTTCTTCCTAGCAGCAGAGTGAACCGAATGCCCAGCCCCGGTTGGCCCCCCAGGATCCATTGCTCTGTGCTGGGGCACAAGGGGAAAGGGGGAGCCCTACCTTGGCTGCGATCATATACGGAGGGATGATTTCGATATTCATCTCTTGGAAAAGTTCACGGCACTGCATGGAGATGAAGTCGCCGGCCAGGGGGGATTTGACAATTCCTGCAATTGGGGAGGGGGAGAAGAGGAGGGAGAGCGAGAAAGGAGAGAGAAAAGGAAGGGAGGAAGAGGAGAGGAGAGAAAGGACACAGGGAGGGAGAGGGAAGGGGAGAGAGAGAGAAGGGAGGGAGAAAAGAAAGAGAGGGAGAGGAGAGGAGAGGAGAGGAGAGGAGGAGAGGAAGGAAGGAAGGAAGGAAGGAAGGAAGGAAGGAAGGAAGGAAGGAAGGAAGGAAGGAAGGAAGGAAGGAAGAGCTGGCCCCAGTGTCCCCTATATGTCTTAATTTTCCCCCTTGGCAGCATCTTCTTCTTCCCCACAAAACCTCCCCCCCCCCAATGATATGGACCCCCAAACCCACCAAACTTCCTCCTGCACCTGCCAAAGGCTCCGAGGCCTGGCCCAGCACACCAGGGGACGGTGGGCAATTTTTATGCCAGAGCTCCCTGGCATCCTGGCACGGCCCCCAGAGCTTGGCACTGGGCCTAGCGGACTTCACAATAACAGAGACCAGAAGGCCCCCTCCCTCCGAAGACGGCGACCCCCCACCTTGCTGCAGGATGTAGCCGTCGTGCACCGGGATGGCTGTGGTGTGGGTCGCCCCACTGTCAAGGACCAGGCCGGTGCTGCGTCCGTTGGCAAAGCTGGTGGAGCAACGTCAAGGCTTTGGCGAGGCAGGGGTCCCGTAAAGGGGGGCGGGGGAGAAGAAGCCGTGTCCCCCTCCCCAGTCTTTTCCCTCCAGGCTCCCAGGCGGCAGGAGCGATCAGGGGGTTCCCGACCTCTGCCGAGGAAGACGGCGCCTGGGGGCAACCAGGCCGGGGGGGGGTCCCAGCGCCGAGAGGATACGCCGTGAGCACCGCCGTCTTGCAAAGGAAGAAAGCCGGGATGGTGTAATGCTCGAACATCAGCTCCGTCAGCTTCTCCCGCTTGGCCCGCGTGTTCCACTGGAGGGAGGGGAGGGGGCGGAGGGTCAGAAGAGGGCAGAAGCCCACCGCCGAAGGAGGAGGGAGGTGGGGGTGTCTCCCCCCCCATACCTACCGGGGCCTCTGACATGAGGACGGGGTGGAGATTGGGCTCCGATTTGATGTGCTTGTTGTAGGTGTGGTCCAGGATGGCTTGGAAGCAGCCCCAGTCTTCGACTGAGGGCGGGGGAGAGGAGAAACGGGGGTGATAAAGGAGAACCGCCCCCACCCCCAGCTGCCGGCTCCCCACCGCGGGGCCCTTCCCTCCCCAGGCACCGCTTGGGATGGTCTTCTCAAACCACCGAGCGGAGGAGCCTCTGGTGGACTCAAGGTGGACTCAAGCCTCTGGTGGATTTAAGGATTGGGGGGTTCAGGCCAGGGGTCCCTCTTGGAGCCCCCCTGGGCGTCTACCTCTCTCTCTCTCTGCCCCCCCCGCCCGCCCTCGTACTCATCCCGTTCTTGAGGGGCGAGACGATCTCCGTGTTCTCCCGCGGGACGTGCAGGGAGTTGGTGTCGATGTAGTAGACCTTGCCGGATTTGGTCTCCTTGTCGCCGTCCAACTCCATGGCCGACTCGTCGTGGGACAGCAGGCCCACCGTGGTGGGGAAGTCCGCCTGCAAGCAGAGCAGGCGCCGTGGGGCAGGGGGCTCCGGGATCGGGGGGGGCTGGGCCTCTGCAAAGGGGGCCCCTGCCTGCCAAGGAAACCCACCACCTCCGGGGGGACTGGAGGAGAAGCGGGGTCCGTCTCCTACCTTCGGACAGTCTTCCCCAGCATAGCCGGCCCGGACGGAGAACGAGCCGATGTCAAAGACCAGGGCCCCGACCTCGTCTGCAAGGAAGGCATCGGCCACCCGGGTGAGGAGGGGGGAGAGGGATGCAGTCGCCCCCCAATTTGTTCCCTTACAGCCTAAAGGAGGCCTTTTAATTCACATTTTAACACTTCCAACTCATCCAGGGGCTTAATTCACCCAAGTGCCGCGAATAGAGAGGCCCAGAGCGCCGGATTTAAGGATACGGGATCGGCAGGCGGCAGTTTGGATCCCTGGACTGTACGGGGGTGGGTGGGGGGTGGACTGGATGGCCTCGAGGGCCCCTTCCGGCTCTTTCCGATTTTATCATTTCCACTTTGCACCCTGCAAGGTTGGCTTCTTTTGTTGCTGGCTGTGCAGGAAGGTGGCTGCGAAATTGGGAGGAGGGGGCGACTGATGGGGGAGGAGAGGGACGCGGGAATGGACCCATCCAGAGCTTCCGAGTCGCCCTCTTCCCGCCACCCCGCTCCCCTGGAAGAGGAACCGCGGATGCCTCCTTGTAGGCCAGCCGCCCTGCGGGATGGAAGCCGGGCACGATTCCTGCCCGCGGAGAAGCAGAGAGGCGTCGCGCCAGGCCGCTTAAGCAAGTGAGCCAAGCCGCACACAGCAAGGTAAGGGAGTGGGGGAGGACCTCGGACCCTCCTCCCTCGGCCGCTCGGGCAAAGGACCAGAATCCCAACCCGGCACCGGCTCAGGCTGCTAGAATTCCCAGCGCCCGGTTGCCCCGGGCGGGGGGCGCTTGGGGGGGGGGGGGGGGGGGGGGGGGGGGGGGGGGGCGGGGAAAGAGGGGGGGGGGGGGGCGGGAGGCCTGGCGTCTCGGCCAATCGGGGCTGCCCACCCCTCCCCAAGAGGGTCGCTGATTGGCCGCCGTTGGAGACAATGAAGAGAAAGAAGCGATGGGCCCTTAAAGGGGCCGGTGGGCCGGCAGGTAACCCGCGGGGGGTGGGAGGGTGGGGGGAAGCCGACCCCTCCCGGTTCAGAGAGCGGCGGGGCTGACACGGGATCGCTCATTGAAAGGTCCCGGAATGGAGGCCCTAGAATTTCGTTTAGTCTCCCTCCAATCTGGTGCCCAACTCCAACTCCCATCATCCCCCAGGTGAGTGGCGGGTTGAAAGAGGCGGCTTAATTCAGGGGCTGCCGTCCTTTCTGCCCACGCTGCAAGGGTGGAGAGCCAGCAACTGAAGAGAGGCGGAGGGACAGAGGAGGAAGGCGGCAGTGCCTCTGAGCTCGTGCAGAGGGAAGGCTTCCCGCCCAGTCGGCCTCCCCGCATTCCCAGAAGACGAGGCGTCTTCACGACCGGGGTGAAGAATTCAGTCGGGGTTTGGATCTATGGAGGAGCTGCCATTCCGCCCACCCATGTGCCCTTTCCTCGCCCCCCCCCCCAACGCTTGGAAATGTTCTCCCACACTCCTCCCTCCCTCCTTTTATATTTTCCCTCTCCCTCCCTCCCTCCTTCCTTCCTTCCTTCCTTTTCTCCCTCTTTCCCTCCCTCCTTTTATATTTTCCCTCCCTCCCTCCCTCCTTCCTTCCTTCCTTCCTTCCTTTCTTTTCTCCCTCCCTCCCTCCTCCTCCCATCTCTTTCCTTTCTTCCTTCCATCCTTCCTTTCTCCTCTCTCCTCCTTTCCTCCCTTCCTTCTCCCTTGCTTCATCTTCCTTCCTTCCTTCTCCCTCTCTTTCCTCCCTTCCCCCCTCCCTCCCTCTCCATCTTGCAATAAAGGCACTAAGACTAGCAGAATTTGGGGCTGGGGTGCAAGATTGAGGCAGGCGGCTTCCCCTGGATTCCCAGGTCCCTGGGAGAACCTTTGAGAGCTTATGCAATGTAATTTCCTTTAATGTATGCTGATTAGTGTACATTCAAAGTGACAATAAAGGCAAAGGTTCCCCTCGCACATACGTGCTAGTTGTTCCCGACTCTAGGGGGTGGTACTCATCTCCGTTTCAAAGCCGAAGAGCCAGCGCTGTCCAAAGACGTCTCCGTGGTCATGTGGCCAGCATGACTCAATGCCAAAGGCGCACAGAACGCTGTTCCCTTCCCTCCAAAGGTGGCCCCTATTTTTCTACTGGCATTTTTTACCTGCTTTTGAACTGCTAGGTTGGCAGAAGCTGGGACAAGTCACGGGAGCTCACCCCGTTACGCGGCCCTCGGGATTCAAACCGCTGAACTGCGGTCGATGGACAAGCTCAGTGTCTTAGCCACTGAGCCACTTCATCCCTATAAAGTGACAATAAAGCTATTCTATTGCTCCATTCCATTCCATTCCATTCCATTATTCTATTCTATTCTATTCTATTCTATTCTATTCTATTCTATTCTATTCTATTCCGTATTTTCTTTATTCTTCTCTTCTCTTCTCTTTTCTCTTTTCTACTCTACTCTACTCATTCAATTTTTTCTATTCTATTCTATTCTATTCTATTCTATTCTATTCTCTTCTCTTCCATTCCATTCCATTCCATTCCATATTTTCTTTATTCTTCTCTTCTACTCTACTCTATTCTTCATTCCAATATTCTATTCTATTCTATTCTATTCTATTCTATTCTATTCTATTCTATTCTATTCTATTCTATTCCACTCCACTCCTAAAGGCACCCACCCTCCGCCACCCTCCTTACGCTCCTCATTGCCTGGAAGGCAGATAAATGACCCCACAAAAAAGGGAGCCAGGCTTTGAAGTAAGGGGAGGCATCAGCCATGGACAATCCTGAATGGGAATTGTCCTCCTCCTCCTCCTCCTCCTGGGTGGGACTAAAGTTGTAAGCAGAGGGCATCTATCTGTCCAGTATCTGATTTCTCCCCCCTATAAACGATGCTCAGGTTCAGTGGTTAGAAGGCCTAGAGCAGACATTGGTATTCGAACACAGATCTTTCTAACATTTGTATTTTATTGTGTTTTAATACTCTAGGTGAAATGTTAAGATACGCAGGTAGCCCTTGGCTTACAACTGAAGCCAAAATTTCTGTTGCTAAGTGAGACATTTGTTAAGTGAGTTTTGCCCCATTTTATGATTTTTCTTGCCCCGGTTGTTAACTGAATCACTGCAGTTCTGAAGTTAATAACCCAGTCATTAAGTGAATCTGGTTTCCCATTGCACTTTGCTTGTCAGAAGGTCGTAAAAGGGGATCACATGACCCCGGGAAACTGCCGTCTGGTAAATATGAACCAATTGCCAAGCATTCAAGCATCATGTGATCATGGGGAGGCTGCAACGGTCGTAAGTGTGAAAAACAGTCACGAGTCACTTTTTTCAGTGCTGTTGTCACTTTGGTCACTAAATGAACCACAGCTCGTCCATGTATGATATCCCATATGCTAAATGTAATAATTACACTCGAGCTCCCCTCTTCCCAGCCACTCTGGAGCAGCGCCAAGCTCTTGGGGTCCGGAGCGAAGACCCTCGCCAGGCCTAGTGGTTACAGTGGGTGCGAGAGCAGCAGCCTCCCAAACACGCCCTGACTCCAATTCCTATTATCCCCAGCCAGAGCGGTCTGAACCCAGGAGGTGGCCAGACAGCAGTTCTGCTCCTTCCCTTGCAGCCTGCTTGGCATCTTTCCATGCTGCAAGGCAGGCAGGTATTCCCCAGGTGCAGCTGTACCCAGGTCTGGGCTTCTGCCTGCCAGGAGTCCCTTTGACCAGCTGGCTCCCCCGGCAGCAAATTGCAAGGCTGCCCCTGCGGATTTCTGCCTGCTTCTGAAAGCCCAGAGGCCATTTTTTAATCTCCTGCAGGGACCGATGGGAGTTGTAGTCCCGACGCATCCGGGAAGAGCAGGCTAGAACAGGCTGTTTCGGACTGTACCACCTTTCCTGCTGCCCCCCTCTGGATGGAACAACTCTCCCTTTAAAGAAATGCGTGTACTCGCCCCTTCCTGACCGCAGGGGGAGAGACTACAACCCCCAGAATGCCCAGCTCCCCTCGGGGAGCCGAGGTCTGAAGGCATTTGGACGCTTCTTCCCCGCCCTCATCGTCAGCCACCCCTGGGAATTGGTTTGTCCCAAGTCCTTCTCCTCCCCCCTCGGGCTGCGTGGTCTGACTCTGCCCATCCGAGATGGTACGGCCCAACTTGAGAATTATTTTCGGAGAGGGGGAAGGAGGCGCGGGCGGGCCCCGCCTCGCCCCACACCGGAACGGGTCCTCCTTGTGTGCCCCCCGCCCGCTTCACAGTCTGACAGCGTCCGCCTTCCTCCCCTTGCCGCGCGACCTCCCCCCCCACGGAGCGGAGGGACTTGGTTCCTCCCGCTCCTCTCCCCCTCCCTGCGGGGAGTCCTTTCGGCCGCGTCCGACTCTGGGCGCGGCGGCAGAGCCGCATCACTGGGCCGGCGGGGCGAGATCGCTCCGCGCGCTCCCGAGTCAAGTCCCGGCCGCCGCCGCGCGCTCTGAGCAGCCCCAGCAGCCGCGGCCGAGCGCGATCCTTCCGCTCCTGGAGCAGCGGAAACGAGTCCCCCGCCCCCCGGCCCCCTCGTGCGGCGGCGGCGGCGGCGCTGCAGCAGCAGCAGGTAGGTGGGGGAGGGGGGGCGGCTGGGTAAGGCCGGGCGGTTCCCCCTTCCTTTCCTCCTCCTCCCGCTGCGCTCCCCCTCTTTCCCCCCCCCCCCCAGCCTGCAGACCCCCGCCCAGGCTCTCCCGACCCCCCATGCAAGCCCGGAAAGCCCCCTAGCCCGGGGCAGCCCCTCCCCTCCGCCGCCCCAGCCTCCGTCGGCCCGGAGCACCGCCCGCCCCATTGCACAACCTCCGGCCGCCCGCCGCCCTTTCGCCCCCGGATCAGCAGGGAGGGGCCGCCCTGCCGCCCTCGCCCTCCCCGGGACCCCCTTTCTACGCCCCCCCCCCGACTTCTTTCCCCGCAGCCCCCCCCCACTCGCTCTCAGGGGCTCCCGCGACCCCTCCCCACCGACAGCAGCCAGGATGCTTCCCAGCCCCCTCCCTTTTTTGGGGGGGTCTCCGAGATCGCCCCAAGGGTAAATGGGCGCATTGGGTTGGCCCCCTCCCCTTCATTCCCTGCGCCCCCCCCCAAAAGGAAGCTCGGCTTCCTCCTGCATCCCCCCCAAATCCCTGGCGCTTTTTGGGGGGGGGTCTTCTTGTGCCGGGTGGGGGGGAGGAAGGCAGGGCTGAGCTCTGGGCGGAGGTGGGGAGGGCTGGGCTGCCCCCTCCCCAAAAGAGCAGCCGCGGCCTCCCCGGGGCTCCTGAGCGTGTCTGGAGGCTTTCATTACGACGTTAAATGCCTCCCCCGGGGGAGCCTGCGCGTCCCAGGGCTCGGCCTGCCGAAGGGGTGTGTGTGTGTTTGCGTGTATATGTGTGTGTGTGTGTGTGAGAATTCCGCGTCTTGCCAGCAGCCAAGCAGGATCTTCTGGGCTTGGCCAAGGTGGGCCGGGTCCAAGGAGGGGAGGGGGCGTCGTTGCACCTGGGAGACTGCAGCATCTTGCAGAGAGGGAGGGAGGGAGGGAGGGAGACCCTCTGTGGTTGCCTCTTTGCAACGGGGTGGGGGGGGGTTTGTGCTGTCCTGACCTTTGCAGAGTTAGGACCCCCCCTCCCCACCCAAGAGCGTTGTGCGGAAGGAGGCCCAAGAGCCCCCCCCCCTCCCCAGCCTTGCATCAGTTCTCTTCGCTTCCTCCTGAAAACCAGCTAGGCTGGCAAACACCCCCAGGGGATGCCTCAGCCCCTCTGGCCGTGGGGAGGGCGGGAGGGGGCAAAGCAGCTCCCCCCCCCCGGGCACGGGGGGGTGGGTGAGAGTTTTGCCCTGGGCAGCCTGAACCTTCAGTGGAGATCCCAGCCGGGCACCCTGCAGGAAGTGGTGGTGGGCTTCAACCTGGCGCTGTGTGGATGTCCCGTCCCCCCCAATGGGTACGTGGGTTGGAGTTGATGCAACACTGTAGAAGGGGAGGGGTCTTCCGGACTCCCAGGGTCTCTGGAAAAGACCCTCTGAGCTCGGAAGGTGGAGCCCCAGAGTTTCGAGAAGGGCCCGCCAGCCACCCGTGATTTGGGCAGGGAGAGAGAACTGAAAGAGGAAATGCCAGCAGGGAAATGCTGCCAGCGGGCACCGGGAGTCCCTCCTCCTGGGCGGGGGTCCCTGATGGAGACTCCTGGGGCTGTGGTTTTCCGGTTGGGGGCCACCCACTGTTGCTGCCCTCTGGGGGACCCACCGTGCTTTCCACTTCCGGTGTGCAGTTTTTTGCAACTACTTGTTCCTCCTGGGATGGGGTTTCTCAACCTCAGCTGCTTTCAGAGATGTGGACTTCAACTCCCAGAATTCCCCAGCCCTCTTAAAGGGGCCAAGGTTGAGAAAGGCTGGTCTAGATCCTCGTCTTACAACAGATCATTTCATGATGGTTTGAAGTTACAACAACCCTGGAAAAAGTGACTTACAACCGTTGCAGCGTCCCCATGGTCATGTGACCCCAAATTGATGATTGGCAACTGGTTCATATTGAGGACGGTTGCAATGTCCCTGGGGTCAGGTGATCGATCCCCTTTTTTGTGACCTTCTGACAAGCAAAGTCCAGATTCACTTAACAATCTTAACAGCGGCAGAGATTCGCTTAACAACAAAAGGAGGTAGAATGGGGCAAAACTCACTTAACTGTTTTGCTTAGCAACAGAAATTTGGAGCTCAGTTGTGGTCATAAGCTGAGGATTACCTGTAGAGGCACGAGTGGGGTGTTCCGGGAAAGCAAAATATTTATAAAAGTTGGGTTAATGCCGCAGCTTTTAGTGTGGATTGAGGAGAGCCACTCTGGCCGCAGCTGGGGGGTCTCTGCTTGGGTGTCTCCCTCCCTGCTGGTGGGGTTTGGCTGGGAATGTGGGGTGTTGTGGTCCAAAACATGGATGAGGCAGTGCAAATAAAGTATTTTATAAAGTACCGCTTTACAAAGCCTGAGTAAGGCCACACCTGGAATCCTGCATCCAGTTTTGGTCCTCCCCTTACAAAAAGGAGGTTGAGACTTTGGAAAGAGTGCAGAGAAGAGCAACTAAGAGGATGAAAGGGCTAAAGGAGACTAAAACAGACGAAGAACGGTGGCAGGATTTGGGTTTGGCCGGTCTAGAGAAAAGAAGGACTTGGGGGGGACATGATAGCAGCATTCCAATATTTGAGGGGCTGCCATATAGATTATTCAAATTATTCTCCAAAGAGCCAGAAGGCAGGACAAGAAGCAACGGATGGAAAATAATCGAGAGGAGCAACCTGGAATTAAGGAGAAATTTGCTGACAGTGAGGACAATTAACCAGTGGAACAGCTGGCCACCAGAAGTTGTGGGTGCTCCATCACTGGAGGTTTTGAAGAAGAGATTGGACAGCCGCTTGTCTGAAATGGCTCAGGGTCTCCTGCTTGAGCAGGGGGTTGGACTAGAAGACCTCCAAGGTCCCTTCCAGCTCTATTCCACTCTAAACAAATGCAGGCTTGTTGTGAGTCTGTCAGCCAAGCAGACTTGCAGCCGGGGGAGGCTGAGGCCTCCTTCCCACTGGGCTACCATCTGTCTGTCGAGTCTCTTGCCAGCCGTGGGGCACCTCAGGAAGGCTTCCAGATCCCCCATAGCGGAGGATCAGAGCGGCCTGCAGCTTCGGACTGCGGAGGAGCAGAGGGAGCCTGTGATCTGGGCTGAATCGGAGGATGTGGGGGGGGGACAACAACTCTGATCCTCCTCCCTCCCTCCCTGCAGCCCCTCGGGGCATCTCAAAGGCCCTCCATCTCTAGTGGGGGGGGGGGGGGGGTTGGTGCCTGGCATCTTGCAAAAGTGCCATTCCCTGCACGTGGCAAAGATTCCGATTTTGGAAGGTGGCACCCAGCACTGTCTCTGCCATGCTTCAGCTCTGCCTCCTTCTGACACCCCTCCCCCCCGGGGTGTCTCTCCCCTGTTCCCCCTTGTTTTGGGGTCCCCTCGCAATTGGGAGCCAGGAAGTCCTAGCCTGGCCTGTTCCCCATTCAGACGTTTTCTGGCAAAGGCCGAGCAGCGGGAAAGGCGGCTCTTTCCTTGCCCCCTCCCCCTCAGGAAGGAGCAGCCCCCTCTCTGGAGGAAGCCGCCCTTGGCCGCCTTCCCTTCCCACTTCCTCCCTCAAACAGCCCGGATCCATCGCTCGCTCCGCTTTCTCATCCCGTTGCCCAGGCAACCGCCTCCCGGAGCATAGAGCAGTATGTGTGTGTGTGTGTGTGAGAGAGAGAGAGTGGCTGGTCACCTTAGCAACCCTGTCTTTTTGGCTTCTCTGGGGTGGCCAGAGGGGGGGGGCGTAGGGGGCAACCCCACCTTTATTTGCCAAAGGCTGCAGCTGCAGCTCTGCCAGGAAGTGAAAATCCACCTGCTCTGAGTTTCTTCCCCCCCCCCCCCCCCCTTTTTTCCTTTCAGAAGCGGTCGTGGGAGCTGAGGGGGGCGGTCTTATCCTGGGTGGGGGCTCGGACAGCAATAGCCATAACAGTTAGACTTCTATACCACTTCACAGTGCTTTACAGCCCCCTCTAAGCAGCCTCTCGTCCCCAACAATCTGGGTCTTCACTTTACCGACCTCGGAAGGACAGACGGCTGAGTTAACCTTCAGCCGGTGAGAATCGAACTGCTGGCAGTTCAGCAGAGTCAGCCTGCAATGCTGCATTCTAACCACTGCGCCATCGTGGTGATCCATTCCCGCAACGGATTTGGGCGATCCTGATCTTGCTAAGTGGGACACACACAACTTGTGTGTGTGTCCTGTGTGTCCCTTTTCCCCCTCCTTTGCACCTGTACGGATTCGGGGTTGCAAACAGTGAGTTGGGGCCTCTTCCTTTCTCTGCTTAGCAGCGCCTTCCTTCTCCATCCCCCCTGCCACCCTCCATGGCTTGGAAAGTTGGGGGGCTTGGGCTGCCACGGATGTGTGTGTGTGAACAGTCCCTCAAATCCCGCTTTTAGGGGTCCCTGGAGGGGTCAGGCACGGGAGGTCGAGCTCCCTGTAGTGGCAGAGGGTCAGGCGTTGAGCTGCAGAAATCCGAAATCCGCTCTCTTTAAGGGTTGCCACTTCTGGGTCTTGTTCGGGGGGGGGGGGGGTCAGTTGGTCCCTTTGGCTCCTGATGGGCAGTCAGGTGTCCAGCTGGACCAGGGACAAAGGAAGGGGAGGCACGAGTGGCAAATTGTGGCCGCGTCCATCTCTCTTTTTTTTTTTAATTTGATTTATATGCTGCCCTTCTATGGAGACTCAGGGCAGCTTACAAGGCGTTAAGCAATAGCCTTCATACTTTTGTATATTTATACAAAGTCAGCTTATTTCCCCCACAAACTGGGTCCTTATTTTACCCACCTTAGAAAGGATGGAAGGCTGAGTCAACCTTGAGCCTGGGGAGATTTGAACTCGCAGTAATTGCAGGCAGCTGGAAGCTAAATACTACCTTTAACAGTAGCATTAGTCTGCTGCGCCACTCAGGCTCTTCCTCTCTTTGCTCTCTTTCCACTTTGCAAGTGGAAAAATATTTTTAATCCAGCATGCGATTAGAGGGAATATTATAGCTGTATTTTTAAATCACGGGTAGGCCTCGACTTACGACCACAACTGAGCTTCAGATTTCCATCGCTAAGCAAAACAGTTCTGAGTTTTGCTCGCTTTTGTGACCTTTCTTAAAAATCACTGCAGTTGTTAAGTGAAGCATTGATTATGCAAGTGGTCCTTGACCTACGACCACAATTGAGCTCTAAGTTTCTGTTGTTAAGCGAGACATTTGTTAAGCGAGTTTTGCCCCCATTTTACGACCTTTCCTGCCTCGGTTGTTAATTGAATCACTGCCATTGTTAAGCGAGTAACAATGGTTGTTAAGTGACTTTGCTTGTCAGCGCCCGTCATAAAGCAAGCACCTGAAGTTTGACCACACTGTCATAAGGATGCTGCAAAGGTCCTAACTGTGAAAAACACTGTAAATTGCTTTTTTCCAGTGCCGTCATAACTTTGAACGGTCACTAAACAAACTGTTGCTAAGTCAAGAAAAACTGATTGTGTGTGAATTCTTAGCTGTCATTTGATGGCCCCACCTTTGTTTGATTGGAACGCCGTTTGGTGGTGATGATTGTCATCATCATCTTCTTTTAATGACCCCATAATCCCTTGTGGGGTGGAGTCTGGGCAACTGAATGGAGCTGAGGGTTTACTGGCCAGATGCCCTTCCTGTTGCCAGTGTGGAGTTATATTCAGCAGATATATTTCTCACTGTGCCCAGAGGGAGAGAGAGAAATATCTGCTTCTACCTAGGATCGAACTCACAGCCTCCTGATTGTGAGGCGAGAGCTCCACCTCTAGGCCACAGCAACACTCTGTTAAAAAAGCGAGAGAGTCTTTCTTAAAGTCACAGTAATAATTTCCTATCCCCTCCAGGATCGTGGCTAAGTGAAAGGGGGCTGCTGGCCAAGCCCCTGCCCCCCCAGCCACCATGAGTGAATTGGAGCAGTTGAGGCAGGAAGCGGAGCAGCTGCGGAACCAGATCCGGGTGAGTTACTCGGAGGAGGAGGAGTGGGGTTGCCACAAGGTTCTAGTCCTCAGTGAGGTGGCAAATGCATCTTGAGGAACCAGGCGGTGGGCCTTCACGGCATCATTTTTGTGTTCAGTGCTGGCAGAGGGGTAGGTGTGTGCTGGAGGATGCAGTGCTCTGGGTTCTCCGGGAAGGAGAATGAAGGGGGCGGTTGAGTCGGGGGGGGGGCACTTCTTGGTGGGACAGGCAAAACTGCCAAGTGGCATCTGAGCCGGTCATTAAGTGAGCCTCCTCTTCCTCCTCTCTCCCGCAGGACGCCAGGAAAGCATGTGGCGATTCCACACTGAGCCAGGTGAGGCAGGTGGACCCAATGAGGGGGAGAAGGAGGCGGCCTCTGGGACCCCCCTCACTCCCCCCACTGCTGACCCCTCTCTTCCTCCCCCCCACTCAAGATCACCGCTGGCCTCGATCCGGTGGGCCGGATCCAGATGCGAACGAGGCGGACGCTGCGGGGTCACCTGGCCAAGATCTACGCCATGCACTGGGGGACGGACTCCAGGTGAGAGCAGCAAGAGGATGAGCCCCTCCCTCCACCCCCAATAAAGAAGGGGTGGGGGAAGGAAGTATCCTCTAGTATCCCCCCAAATGATCAAGGCTCTGAGCTCCGTTTCCCTCTGTCGCCTCAGGCTTTTGGTTAGTGCCTCTCAAGACGGCAAGCTGATCATCTGGGACAGCTACACCACCAACAAGGTGAGTCGGAAGGCGCCAGGTGGGCCCCCAGAGAAGGCCCCCGCAGGCCTGCCCCCCCCCCCCGCTCAGTGCCGCTCTCTTTCCAGGTTCACGCCATTCCTCTGAGGTCGTCCTGGGTGATGACCTGCGCCTACGCTCCGTCCGGGAATTACGTGGCCTGCGGGGGGCTGGACAACATTTGCTCCATCTACAGCCTCATCACCCGCGAAGGGAACGTCCGAGTCAGCCGGGAGCTGCCAGGACACACGGGTGAGGACTCTCTTCTCTCCCCCGGGGAGGGTCAGGTCTCCTCCGCCCCTCACCCACCTCCTGATGATACCTTCCTCTCCTCCACAAGGGTACCTCTCCTGCTGCCGCTTCCTGTCCAATAACCAGATCATCACCAGTTCGGGAGACACAACCTGGTGAGTGGTGGGACTTCCCCCCCAAAAAAGGGGAGGGGGTTGTGATATATCAATCACTCACTTGCTAGGCAGATGTTTTGAGCCAAGACCCACCTAGAAGTCTGGCACTAGCAATAGCCCTTAGACTTATATACCACTTCATAGTGCTTTACCACCCTCTCTAAGCAATTTACAGAGTCAGCCTGTTGCCCCCAACAATTGGGGTCCTCATTTTACCCACTTTGGAAAGACGAAAGGCTGAGTCAACCTTGAGCCGGTCAGGATCGAACTCCTGGCAGTTGGCAGAGTCAGCCTGCAATCCTGCATTCTAACCACTGCCGCCACCCTGGCTCATAATATAGGTAGTCCTTGACTTACAACTTTCATTTCATGACTGTTACAACGGCACTGAAAAAAGTGACTTATGACCATTTTCCACATTTGCGACCATGGCAGCATCCCCATGGCCGCGGGATCAAAAGTTGGACGCTTGCCAACTGGCTCACGTTTATGACGGTCGCAGTGTCCTGGAGTCACATGATCCCCTTTTGCGACTTTCTGATAAAGTCAGTGGGGGAAGCCAGGTTCACTTAACATCCATGCCGCGGCAAGAAAGGTCATAAAATGGGGCTAAACTTACTTAGTAACAACTCTCCCTTGGCAACCGAAATTTTGAGCTCGATTCTGGTCACGTCGAGGGCTGCCTGCGCTGAGCCATGAACTTCCTGGTTGTGTTAGAATTAAGAAAAGTCAACAACAAGACGCCACCCGACAGCCGGTGCAGAACAATGTCCCAAAGTGATTTCACTCCAACTCGACCAGAACAAGCTGTCTAGGGCTGGGGTCCCTAACGGCACCGGGACATGCAAACAGGCGAAGCAGGCAGCACACGAAACCACGGCCCCTTCCAGTTGGCAGGAAAAACCTCTCCACGGAACCGGACCCTTAGTGCCCAATAGGTTGAGGGCCGCTGTTTTAAGGCCATCTGTCTGTTCCACATGGGAGTGGTCAAGATGGACGTGAGCACCAGGGAGTGGTCAAATCTGAAGCAGGGTGGGGTGCATGCATGCCTGACTGCCTCCCCTTCCTCCTTGCCAGTGCCCTGTGGGACATCGAGACGGGCCAGCAAACCACCACCTTCACAGGCCACAGCGGGGATGTCATGTCCCTCTCGCTGTCCCCCGACATGCGCTGCTTTGTCTCGGGTGCTTGCGATGCTTCAGTCAAGCTGTGGGACATCCGGGACAGCATGTGCCGGCAGACGTTCACGGGACACGAATCGGACATCAATGCTGTCTGTGTGAGTGCGGAGCCTGCCCTGGGGAGGGGAGAGGAGGAGGGGAGGGTTTGTAGGAGACCGGACTCCGAAGACCCTGTTTGAGATACTCTCCAGCCCCTGGTTCGTGGCAAGCATCTAGAGCAGAATTTCTCAACCTCGGCCACCGTTACGCATGAATAACCAGACCAAAAAATGTAGAGTTCAAAGTAGCTCCTTTATTGTTCTATGCCTGTAGTACAGGAATCTTCCAGACTGTAGTTTGGAAAAACTAGATGGGACTTGGTGACCTTCAAAGGGGGCTCAGACTTCGGCCTCACGTCTTTACGTAAGGAGACCTTGCTAATTCCCCATTTGATCTCAACTCTTGACAGTTGCTCTGCAACAGCCATTTTAGAGCTCCCAGAATCCCCTAGCTTTCTCTCCTTAGCTGTCTCCCCTCTTCCTTTCTCGCCCAGTTCTTCCCCAACGGGAACGCCTTCACCACGGGTTCTGATGATGCCACCTGTCGCCTCTTCGACCTGCGTGCCGACCAGGAGCTGATGCTCTACTCGCACGACAACATCATTTGTGGCATCACCTCGGTCGCCTTCTCCCGCAGCGGACGCCTCCTGCTGGCCGGCTACGACGACTTCAACTGCAACATTTGGGACTCCATGAAGGGCGACCGGGCAGGTGAGTGGCCAGCAGGAGGTCATCTTCCCTCCAGCTCACGCCTCTGCCCGCTCCGGTGCCCCTGGCCTCACTGCTCCGTTAGAAGGGTTGAGGGAAGGCAATTCTCCTCCCACCCTTAAGGATCTGCTGGGGCCCAGTTGGGATCCCGCTGAAATCTAAGGATTCTTGGTTTTCAGGAACCAGATCAGACCCTAGTCTGCTTAGTTTGAGTCCTGTGGCCTCGGTTGTTTGAGTAGCTTATTGTCCCCCCAAAGATTTTTTTTTTAAAGAGGCAACTGGACTTTCTTGCTTTTCTTTTTCTTTGAAGATATTTCACTTCTCATCCAAGGTTCTTCAGATTTGATCCTTCCGTTCCCCACCCTCCCATCCGAGCTGAAGAAGCTGCTTGGATGAAAAGTGAAACTTCTTCAAAGAAAGTCCAGTTGTCGCTTGGAAAAAAAGCACCTGGATGACGGAAAATCCGTAGACTTCCTTGGTTGTTATTTGAGGGGTCCTTGGTGCCCTCTGAGCTTGGTGGTTTCCCTGCAGACATTTCGTGACCCAACTAGGTAGCTTCTCCAGTGCTAGAAGGCAGTGGGGGTTGTGAGGGGGAGGAGGAAGAGGAAGAGGAAGAGAAGGGCTGTGGGGTCCTTGGTGCCCTCTGAGCTTGGTGGTTTCCCTGCAGGCGTTTCAGGACCCCAACTAGGTAACATCACCAGGGCTAGTTACGGTTCTTGCCTACAGACAGGATCTTGCCAGACTAAAGCAACTCCCAGCAGAACTATAGAGACCGACTCCTGTGACACTCCAAGCTACGCCGACTCTTTGCCCTCGGGAAAGCAGCTCCTCCCTCCTGGGAATCCAGACTCCCTTCCACCGCAGGCCAACCCGATAGTCCCAAAAAGAGGATTAGACTCTGTCCTGCTTCCCCACCCCCCACCCCGTATCCTAAACCATAGCTGTGGCTGGTCTTTGCTGGCTCTGCATCTTTGCCGTAGCCAGGGTGAGCTGCCCACTTGTCAAAACCCGGAGCCACATATTCCAGGCCAGCATTCAGGAAGAGAAACCCCATTTTTCTGCTGGGGAGGGGTCCGGCTGGGTCCATCGGAGAAGCAGGAGAGGAAACAGTTCTCTCGGGGTTCGGCTGCAAGCGGTCAGGGGCTGGGAATGCCATTCGTGTCGGTTAGGAAGGGACAGATGGTGAAGAGGATGGGGGTGTGGAAGGGTCTCTCCCCCTCTGGACTGATCAGCAGGAAAAGCCTTTTGGGGTGTCGTGTGGCCTCTGCTGCCACTCCTTCGAGCTTCATTGCTAGGAAGTCTCTCTTCTTGCAGGCGTCCTTGCTGGCCACGACAACCGGGTCAGCTGCCTTGGCGTGACAGACGACGGCATGGCCGTAGCTACCGGCTCCTGGGACAGCTTCTTGAAAGTCTGGAACTGAACCCTGCCTTGGGGTGGATGGGGGGGCTGGTGGGAGAAAAGCTGGAGGCCCTTGGTGGCCCCCCCATCCGGTCTCTGCCCCCTCTGCTGTGGCCTTGAGCCTCTGCCCCTCAGCTGGCTGCCCTCCCATTGTCCGTCCCCCCCTCCTGTTTCTTTCTCTGCTCCACTTCAACATTATTCTAAGCCTGGTTTCCAACTGCAACGTTGAGGGGGGAGGATGCCAGCGATGCTGCCAAGGGGGAGCAGGGGGTGCCAGCCTCACAAATAAAAGGTTTTGAGGGGTTACAATGCAGCACTGTGTGATTTCGTCGAGGGGAGCTACGGGGGGGGGGACTTCTGTGTGGCCTCCCCATCATAGCCAAGAGCAGGGGTGTCCAAACATGGCCACTTTTAAGACTTATGGACTTCAACTTCCAGAATTCCCTGGGACTAATGCATTCCTTTGGATAGGTATACTCATTGTGGCCTATTTACTCTCTTGTTATCCCTTCCACTGCAATCTCTCCGCTCTGGGAGGTAGGGGAAAACAGGCATGGCTAGCTGAGAAATTCTGGAAGTTGAAGTCCACAAGTCAGAAAATTGCCAAGTTCGGAGCAACTAGAGCAATGGGGTGGGGTGGTTGAGGGTGTTTGGATCCTCTCCCAGTGGCCGCCTAGGCAGATGTAGGTCCAGAACACAGAATGCATTCCTTTTGATAGTATGTGTGGCTTATTTACTCTCTTGTAATCCCTTCCTCTGCAATCTACCCATTTTAGCAGAGAGGAGGGAAAAAACCCTCTCCCACTGGCTGCCTAGGCAGATGCAGGTTCAGAGCACAGAATGGACTGTTGGGTCCTTTGTAGAGGGGGGCTGTTCCTGCAGATGTTTCCTTAGGGTTAGAGGTCATCGGTGCCCACCAGAGAGCGGATATGCTCTAGCTGCGAAATAGGAACGCCCCGTTTGGCAGTTCAGCCTTGAGCTAGAGATTTCCTACAATTACATGACGGGCTTTTGGGGAGCCCTGACTTAAACTGGAGCCAGGGAAGTGATTGGGTCCAACCCTCCTGGGATGGGGGCCCAGTTCAGAGAACCACTTTTTCTTTCGTTCGTTGTTGGCTGTCCCTGTTTGGGCCTGGATTGATTTTCCCTCCTGCTAAAGTGGCCAGAAGACAAGAGAGAGAGAGGTGGGGCTAAGGGTTGGCACCAGTCTTGCAGGGGGGGATTGTGATGCTGCCACAAGGGGCTCTTTGCTCCACCAGCTCTCGAGCTGCCCTTGGCCTGGCCCGGCCCAACGAGATGGTCAGTAAAAGGCCGTCCAACAGGCTGCAGCAGGTAGTCCTCAACTTACAACCACAATTGAGCCCAAAATTCATATTGAGATATTTGTTAACTGAGTTTTGCCCCATTTTACAACTTTTCTTGCCACATCTGTTAAGTGAATCACTGCAAATTTTAAATTACCATGTTTCCCCCAAAATAAGACTGGCCTTACAATTTTCGGGGGACCAAAAGACCCATTAGCTCTTATTTTGGGGGATGTCTTATTTTACGGCCATCCTCCCGCTCCCTCCCACCATCTGCTTGCCCATGACCGCAATGGCTTACAGAGCTTCCCAGGGCAAACGCCCCCAGGGAAATGAAAGAGACTCACATTTTTGTCAGCTTGCAAACGGGGCGCTTTAAAACAGAGCAATTAATGCACCACCTACTCCGTCCCATGGCTGCACCGGGGCAGGCGCCCACACAGGGCGTCAGGATTGCCTGTCTCACCCAGTGCCGCACAAGCCTCCTGGCAGCCTCCCGTGAGCCAGGCAGCTGTGCAACAGGTATGAATCGCCTACTTCCCCCCCCCACACCTGTTCACTTCGCTTTCTCTATCCTAGGCCAAGGGGCCAGTAGGCTGTGGCTGCTGCCAGATAGCATCAGCCCTCACTTGTGCTGGCCACGCCCACCCCAGGCTTATTTTGGGGGTAGGGCTTATATTGGGCCCACCCCAAAAAATCAGGCAAGGGCTTATTTTTGGGGGGAGAGAGCAGCACGGTTAAACGAATCTGGTTTCCCCATTGACTTTGCTTGTTGGAAGGTCGCAAAAGGGGATCATGTGACCTTGGGCCACGGCAACGGTCATAAATGTGAGTCAGTTGCCAAAGATCCGAATGTAAATCACGTGACCGTGGGGAGGCTACCATGGTTGATAAGTGAAAAACGGCCACAGGTGACATTTTCGGTGCCCTTGTAACTTCGCTCAGTAAAAAACCTCTTGTAAATCGAGGTTTACCTTTCTCTGCCTGGGTGAGAAAAAGTCCAGGAAATTCCACAACATCTAAGCTTTTATTTCCTTGCAGACACGCAGAGCAAAGGGAGGGACGCAAAACCATTTACAAAACACGTGGCAAGATATGATGGGGAGATGTGTACAGGAGGGGAAGGGGGCTCGGCGTCTCGCCCCCTTCGGATAGTCTGCCACTAGCAAAAGCCAAACAGTCTCTACGCAGGTTAAGAGAGCAAAGCCGTCTCGCGTGCAACCAGCAGGCGCCCCCCCTCCCACCACCAGTTTAAGGCGCAGAAGCAGACGGGGTCCGGTCGGCCCCTCCTCGGCAGGCAGGCAGGCAGGCGGGTGGATGTCTGCCCCACCCGGAAGGAGGAAGAGCCGTGGCAGGCCCCCCGTCTGCCCCTCGCAGTCCAATTCGGCCAGTCCGGCTGCGGCTTCGTCTTCCGGCAGAAGAGCCAAGTCCCGTGGGCAGCCAGCCTGCTTGGGCGGAGATGGGGGGATGCCCCCCACAAGTCTTTCAGGCAGATGGTCCATGGGGAAACATTCGGCACCCGAGACCGGGGGGGTGAGGGGAGGAAGTTGTGGCCCTTCTCCCGGGCCCTGCCAGTCGCGCCGGGAAAAGGTGAAGTCTGTAAACATCTTTCCACTCTCAGTAGGAGCTCAGAGACGCCCGGGGCCTCGGGCCTCCATCACAGTTTCTTGTAACACTCGGGAAGGACGGACCGCGACAATGTCCGGGCCTCGCCTGCCTCTGGGGGGACAGCGGCTGCAGCGGGGAGGTAGATGGTGGCCGGAGCTGGCGGCCGAGCCGGCTGGGCCCTCTTCGTGTGGGACGCCAGGGAGGGTGAAGCCAGGCTCCCGTTGCTGCCGCTGTGGATGTGGACAGGCGTCCAGTCGAGGCTCCCAGGCCTCCTTCCCGTCTCCGGGGGCTTCTCGCCTGCTGGCCTCGGTCCAGCCTCTCCGCTCTTCCTCACCAAGTGGTCTCCTCGGGCGGAACCCCCCTGGGCCTGCCCCTCCATAGAAGTTTGTGGGTACAGTTTTAAGGCATCAGAAACACACAAAAAGTTGTCACAAAGTATTGGAACAAGCAAAAAGTGGGGGAGCCTGTCACTTCTCCAGGAGCCTGGGGAGGGGCGGGGGCCGCAGCGAGGTTTTCCCTCCGAGGAAACCCCAGGAAGAGGCCCCCCCCCCCCAAAAGGATGAGCCGGAGACTGCACTGACGGCTGCATAGCGTTGTAATTGCCTTCTTTGCTTGCTGTGGCTCTCTTAACTGGACATGCACGAGAGCTATTATTTGTTCTGGCATACACCAAGCTCAAAATTAAAACCCCCCCCCCACCCCCCCCCCCCCCCAGAGCCCCCCCCCACAACCCTCCCAATGGTTGCGAAAAGGGACCGAGACAGACACATGTATACATTCATAGTCACATTCCAAAAAATGGTTGCCCCAAAATTTCAACGAACAGAGGGAAAAACAAATTGCTACAGGAAACTCTTCTTACGCGCATTATTGTCGGAAAGGAACTGGCAGCAGTAGTACTAATACTCAGACTGGCCCGACTCAGAAGCTGCTGGCTGTGGAGCATGGGATCCGGAAGTCAATGCATGTGGGGGGGGGAGAGGGGACCCCCTGTTCCAGCAGCCAGGTAAGCCCCCCACTCCCCTTCCCACCGGATGTGGGCAGGAGCCCCCTTTGCCTCCCACCGCCGCATCCTCGCAACTCAATGCCAGCTTTTGCATGTGCTACAACAATTCTCGGTGAAACTTTCCCTCCTTATTGCTAGATTTTTTTTTTCATATTAAAAAAAGCTATATAATACTGAAAACAAACTTCACGCTCTTCCCTCCCCATCCCTATTATTTTTCCTCGAAAACTAGTAAGGCAGAAATTGCACACACAAGTTTCCCATTTTTGTTCAGTTTGCGGGAGAAAATCCCGACGCGATTCATAAGAGGCTGAAAAAGAGAAGGACACACAAGAGGTTTCTATGACAAAAGGGGAAAGGACCCCCCCTCCCCCCCAATAACCAACTTCCAGGGCTGAGTGGGGGGCTGCCCCCCTTCCCAGGACAGGGACACCCCCCTACGGAAAACAATCAGCCTGTTTTGTAAACTTTTCCCGTACCTTGATTAACATAAACAGAAAAAAAACACAAAAGGTCTTAGGATTATTACAATTCACTTCCCTCCCCAATGTTTGGTGCAAAGAAAATAAGGGGGGGGGGGTCAGCGAGAAGGGGAGGACCCCCCTCCAAACCAATTTGCAAGCAAAGCTGGCGATTGAGCAGGGGGCTCCCAAGTCGGAGGTGGCCCCCGGCCCAAAGGCAGGCGGAGGAGCAATTTTGCACACATTCTGGTGGCACCCCTGGCCAGTGGAGGCCACGCTGGGCCCCCGGCCGGTGCTGCAGGAGGGTGGCCAGCTCCGGCTCACCTCCTGGGGGAGGGGGCAGACTGAGGACAGTGTCCCCCCAAGGGCCTCAATACTTCAAAGAGCCAGGGTGGCGAGGGGCCAGCATGCCCCAGCAAGACTGGCCTTCTGCTCTCGCACAGACGGACTCTCTTCCCTTCCTGCTCGAGTTGCGTCCGTCTGGCAGAACGGGGACCCTCCAAGCATCACAGTATCAGTTACAGAAAGTATTGAATTCTCTTGCAGATGTGCAGACAGACACACACACACACACAGGCGCCCACTCACACACACAGATGCACGCAGGATCCATCAGTCCTGGCTTGGAGCCTTACCTGGCTTGGCGTAAGGCGGAAAACCCCAAACAGTCTTTTCGGCATTTGGTCACAACCAGACGGGGTTTCCCCTCCTGCTGCTGCAGTCCAAAGTGGGGGGATTCGGGTACCCCCTTTCCCCCACCCTGCCCTCCCCCACTCAAAAAGCACCGCAAGAAGGCGGCATCTGGCGCTCCAGAGTCCTTCATGCCGCCGAGTGTTTGTGAGACGCGTTTCGGAGCAGATCCTGTCCCCGCCCCACTGTCGCAAGATGCCACGGGGGCCACTTCCAGAAGGCTTCCGTGTCCTCTCACCTTTGCGAGGGGGAAATCTTGGCAGGCAGGCAGGCAGACGGGCGGGCGGGCAGGGGGCCAACGGTAAAGGAGACCGCCTGGGTGCAGGGCACAATCTGGTCCGTCGAGCCCTCGGAAGTCGGCAGGATCACGAGGCGGAGAAGCGCACAAACCCTCCACGTGTATTCCGAGTACCCTGTGTCCAAAGCAGCCCCCGTCCCCAGGACTCCGGTTGGATTGTAAGCGGAAAAAGGTCCTTGCGACAAACCAAAAACCAACAGGTGCTTGTGTAGAGAAAAAAAAAAAAACACACCGGGAAGCAGCCCCTCAGGTAACGGAGAATGTGCTATGAACATCACAGCTCCGGCGTAGAACCACGTCTCTCGCCAGCTTGTTTCAAAAAACAGTCCCACGCTCTCTCTCTCACACACACACACACACACAATTGTGCCCAGGTGAGCAGCACCATTGCTGACAACTCTGGGGGGGGGGAAGGAGGGAGGCCTGGAGCCGAAAGTGTCACCCAAGTAGGATACATTCAAATTTGGCTTTGGGTGCACCGGGCGCTCCGACCGTCGATGCCACGGGAGGGCGACCCGCAGGACGATTCATGATTCTCATCCGTGCACGAAACGGGGGGGGGGGGGGGGGAAAGGCCCGGAGAAACGTGTAGACTCACAACATCCGGTGTTTGCTTTCTTGTGTTAGAAAAAAAGTGCGCATCCACACGCCGGTCACTGAAGAAAAACTGCCCGCTGTGAGCATCTCCGTAGGAGGACAGACGGACGAGGAAGGACGTGGCCGGAAGGGGAAAGGGCCACTGGGGGGAGGGAGGGAGGGAGGGAGGGATGGGGCTCCGCGAAGGTTCCTGGAGATCCAGGAGGAGATGCCGGAATCTGGGATCGGCTTGGAGAACAAAGCAGCTTCTTGGAGGAGCAACCCGCTTCAACAGTAGTGTAGATTCCTCTTTTTGCAGTTGTTTTTTTTTTTCCTTTTTTTTCTGTTTTTTTTTTTTTTTAAATCAAACACAATAGAAAATTGTTACGTCCAGGGCGGGGTGGAGAAAAGGAAACGAGGAAGGAGGCATTTTTGTGCAATTTTCTTAAAAAAGAACTCAACAAAACCAAAAAAAGAAAAAAAAATCTTCTTATAAAATGGCCTCTTCGTAAGAGAAAATATACTGTGCGGATCGAGAAGAGTCTGAAGAATATTTACATCTGTATCTATAGTTATCCAAACATTTTTTTTTTTAAAAAAAGATCCTTTTTCTAAGTGCATTTCTTCAAGTTTTTTTTCTTTTATAAATCTTTTTATATCAAGCTTCTGTGAAATTACCATTCACATTTTTTAAACATATCCCCACGTGAAAAATAAGTGTTTTTTTTTTAAGATAAACTTTTTTGTAGTTTTTTTAAGCTTTTTTTTTTAAAAAAAATCTTTCACAATTTCAAAAAAAAAAATTTTTTTTTTCCTTTTTTTTCTCAATCTGTAACAAGTCACTGTAAAAAACAAAACAATGAAAGTTCGGATAAAGTGCATGGCAGAAGAAGAGGGCGTTGTTTAAGGTGCTTTTTTTAAGGAATGAAGTGCGCAACAGCCTTCCTTCCGGTCTGGCCTGGCCCAGCTGATCCTCGCGCTCACTTGCCAGGGGCCCGGACGGCCCCCAACCCTGCCTCGGGGGCCCTCCAGCAGGGCACACTCGGCTGGAACTGAAATGGGTGAGATCAAGGCAGCAGCGGCAGGGAGGACGGGGGTCCCACGGCTGGAGGGAGGGAGGGGCTCAGTAGTCCTCCACGGTTTCCAGCTCGCTGGAGGCGCCATGAAGAGCGTAGCCTGCAAGGAAGGAGCGCAGAGTCTACCACAGCTCGCCACGGAACAAGTCGCCGCGGGGCAAAAGTTACACTAATATCGAAGAAATGGTGGAATAGAATCATTAAAGGATGCCAAAGCAGGGACAAAATTGAAATGTGAATGGCAAAAATTAAAATAATTGCTTAATTCATCATTTAACGACCCCATAATCCCTTGCATTGGGGTGGAGTCTGGGCAACTGAATGGAGCTGAGTGTTTTACTGGCCGGATGCCTTTCCTGTTGCCAATGTGGAGTTTTGTTCAGCAGCCATATTCTCCATGTGCCCAGAGAGAGAAATATCGGCCTCTACCTAGAATCGAACTCACAGCCTCCTGATTGGGAGGCAAGAGATCCACCTCTAGGCCACTGCATTTTAACTATTTTAAATAATTAAACTGAACAGTTCGATCGTCACGCAGCGAGTTGTCCTGTGGTGAGGAGGTAAATGCCCGGAGGGAGCAGCTGCCCCACCATCCCTCGGTGCCAGGAAGGCAGAGCTAGGCTGCCACCCGCTCCTCCCAACCAAGCCCCCCCCCACCCCCAAATTCCCCAGAAGCAGCCGTGTTCCGGCCCCCCTCCTTGCTCACCCAGGATGCTGGGGTCTGCGTGCAGCATCACGGGGCGCCTCTTGATCTTCACAGCTTGGCTGTTCTCAAAGGACGGCGGTTTGGGGCTGTGGTTGGCCTGGAAGAGCGACTGCAGGCTGCTGGAGCTGAGCCACGAGGCCTCCTGCTTGGAGGGGGGGGGGCGTCAAAGGGGGAGAAGCTGCAACGTGGGGCCTGGCGTCCTTGGAGCAGCCCGAGGGCCAGGAGGAGGAAAGGCGGGCAGGGCCCACCCAAAGGGGCAGAGCTGGCTGTGTGGATGGACCCACCCAAAGGAAACCGGAGGCTGCCACCGGTGAAGCACACTTGCGCCCCCCCACCGCCCCCCTCTGCCCCCTGGCAGGCGCCCCTCACCTGCTGCTGCTGCTGTCGCTGCTGATTGGCTCTCTGCTTGGCACGGCGCTCTAGGAACTGTTTTGCAAACTCTTTGGCTTCCAGGGTGTCTCCCAGGCAGGAGCGGATGCAGTCGTGAACGTCGTAGGGTGACTCCATCTCCTTCAGGAAAGCGACCACGGTGGGCACTGGGGGTAGGGGGGGAGAAGATGATTGGGGGGGGGGGGGGCAAGGCAGCGGCTTTTTTGGCGGGGGGGGGGGGAGAGGGGGGGGAGGAAAAGAGGCCCCCCCCCCCCCCAGGCCCCCCCCTGTGGCTTTGAACGATGCCTCCGTCCAGAATCATGTAAGCCTCCCATCGGATCTGCCAGCCACCCCCCTTCCTCTCGGAGACCCCTTCCCCCCCCCAAAGGTACCATCGAGGCTGCTGGAAGCGTTGAGGGCGTGCAGCATCTGCTCGCACCACTGGGTGAAGCCGTCCTGGGGAGGTTTGTGGATGCCCTGGAGCAGCTTCAGCAGCTTCTCCTCCTCGTCCGTTTTCTTCCTGCTCTGCCGACTGGAGACATAGGCGTCCCTGAGAGAGAGAGGGGGGGGGGGGGGGGAGAGAATGAGTGCGGGGGGCCCCCAGCGCGCCTGTCCCCCCCCATCCCCCCCACCCCCGGAGGCAGACTCACCCTAGGGAGGGGCTGCTCCGGCTGTTCCTCAAGCCCAGGTTGCGGGCCAGGGACCCGGAGCCCTTCATGCTCTCCTCCCAGAGGCCAAGGGGGCCGGCCTTGTCGTGGCCCCCCCACAGCGAACCCACATCCGAAGCCCATTGAGAGGAGAGGCTGCTCAGACCGTGTCCACCATGCTAGCAGGGCAGGAAAGAGAAAGGGGTCACCCGGAGCTTTGGAGGGCCATCAACAGCCACCTGTGCCGGGAGGGAGAAGAGCTGCGGGGAACCCCAGCACCCCTAAAGCAGGAAGCCCGGTGGTGAGGCTTGTCCCCCCTCCTCCAAAGGGCCTCCAGACCCCCAGGCAGTGCTTCCTGAGCCCCCCCCCCCCCCCCCCCCCCCCCCCCGCCCCCCCCCCCGCCCCCGGTAAGCTGGTCTGCTTGTCCAGGGGTCGCTCACCGCTCGCTGCTGAGCCCGGGGTTGGGCCGGCTTCTGCAGGTGCCTCTCGCTCTCCTGCTGCAACTCCAGCAGGGCCTTCAGGGAGGGGCTCTGCTTGGCCAGGCCCCCCCAGAGGGGCTGCGTGCTCTGCTGCTGCTGCTGCTGCAGGAGTTTCTGCAGCATCTCCTGATGGCGGCACTGGAGGAGGGAGGGAGGGAGGGAGAGATGGGCAAGGGTCTCCGGCACTCGTCCCACCCCTGTGCCCGAGGCCCCTGGGGTGGGGGGTGGGGGAGGCCGGAGGGGGCCGGGCTCACCTCCTCCCGCAGTTCCCTGCAGGCCCGGGCATCTCCCAGCTTCTGCAGGTCGGCCAGGCTGAAGCTGCTCTGCCCGGAAGAGGCGTTGACGGACTGCTGGCCCCACGAGGAAGAGGAGGGCAGCTGGAGGGAGGGAAGAGGGCCACACTGCTCATGGCCAGGCAGACTCTCCCTTTCCCCAGGCCCCTCCCCAAGGAAGCCACCACCCAGGCGGGAATCTTCCTGATGGGACCCTGGTGCTCTCTGAGCCGCCTTGTTTTCTTGCAGATGTTCCACGACCCAGGTAGGGAACGTCATCAGTGTTCGTGGGAGGGGGGGGGGTTGCTCTCAGTTTACATTCTAGGGCCTTTCCCTGTGCGTGTGTGGGCACCCTGACCAGTCAGCCATCAATAGACACCCAGAAAGGATACCTCCATACTATGCGGAGGAGGCAATCAACCCGCCACAAAGGGAACAAAAAGACCAAAACACACACACACGCATATCACATCCTCTCCACAAACCCTCCTCCTTTCTAGCCCTGATGAGGTTCCCTAGTTGGGTCATGAAACGTCTGCAAGGAACCCTCCAAGCTCAGAGAGCACCCAGGACCCCCCCCCCCCCGTCCCCCCCCCTGCAAACCCCCCTCCCTCCCAGCACTGATAACATGAGCTAGTTGGGCCGTGAAACGTTTGCAAGAAAACCACCCAGCTCAGAGAGCACCCAGGACCCCCCCCCCCTTTTCAACCCTGAGCTACAAATATTCTCCTTTATAGGTCTCTGCCTCCCCCTGGGCCGGAATCGGCCAAGCCCGGCTGCAGCCCCACGCAGCCCCTCCCTCCCTCCCTCCTCCCCGTCCCCTCTCGCCCGGCACTTGCCCTTGCCTGTTTGCGCCGGTAGAGCTCTTCCTCTTCGCGCCGCTTCCGCTCGTCCTCGTCCCGCTTCGCCCTGAGTTCGGCCCCTCGGCGCTCTTGCAGCTGAGGGGGAGGGGGACACAGCGGGTCACGGGGGGAGGCCCTTCCCGGCTGCCCCCTTCTGAGGGCCACTGCGGGAGGGGAGGGGTGGGTGTGGATCAACTCACTTTATGTTGTAGTTGAAGTTGTTCTAAGATCGGACCCTGAGTTGAAGAATTAATTGGAATATCCCACAAACTGGCTTCACCGCCTGGAGGAGAAATCGAGGTTATCCAGGAAGGGACCCCAGGTTGGAAGAGAAAGAGAAAGAAAAAGAAAAAGAGAAAGAGAAAAAAGAAAGGAGAGAGAAAGAAAAAGAGAGAGAGAGAGAGAGAGAGAGAAAAGAAAGAGAGAGAGAAAGCGCTTTCATCCTGAGCCCCACTTCCTCCCTCTGCTCACGTCTTCCCCTCTAGAATGGTTGGTTCCTGGGCTCTGCCCCCCATGGGGATACAAGGGTCCTATCCAGAGAAGACCACAAAGCCCAGCAGCCTTCCTTTCCTCCGTCTCCCAGCCCTGCTGGACCAAGCGAGGGTCTCCAGATGGGGGCTTTGGACTCCAGCCCTGACCATTGGGGGCCTTGCCTGACCTTGATCCCAGGATCGCCCCCCCCGCCCCAGGTTTCCCCCCTGCCCGTCAGTGACCTGCTTGCGGTGAGGCTGAGGTATGTGTGTCCCAGAGGGACCCAGTGTCTGGCACAGATATGGATCGGTTCATGGAGGGGATCATGCCCTGCTCCCCAGCTCTGGAAGAGAAGTGAGAAGGTGGGGGGGGGTTAAAGCCGCCCAGGTCCCCCAAATGTTCCCTCCCCCCCGCAGGTACGGCAGACCTGCTTCCCTGTCCCTCAATGGCAGCTCCTCAGAGGGAGCCCCCCTGCCCCGATGAGAGGCACAACGGGGAGTCCACCTGGGGAGAGGGCAGCAGACGGGACCCCCGTCGGACGGGGTGGGTGGGGGGTGCAGGGGCCTCACCTGGGCTTGAGAGCCTGCAGCTGCTGGAGGAAGGTGTTCAGCTGCTGCTGCTGGGCCAGATCCCCTGACGCCACCTTCTGCTGGAGGGCACACTGGGCGTATTGCCGGCTGCAAGACCAAGGCAGAGTCGCCAGTCATTCCCCCAGAAGGACCCCGCTTGCTAAAGGCTCCTCTGCTTCCTCTCCCTGACCCACCTGGGGCAGCCCTAGGGGACGCTCTCCCTGGCGTGGGGGGAAGCTGCTTGTCCCCCCCCCCCCCCCAGGGAAAGGGGCATCGGCCGTACCTGTTGACGAGCTGAAGCAGCTGCTGTTGCTGGAGCTGTTGGTAGATGGCTGCGGCTGCCAGTTCCTGCTGCTTCTTCAGGCGCTCCTGGTCCATGTTTCCCTGGAGGGGCGAGAGGAGGGGGTCACCTACCCCCTGCATGAAGACAGGACCGTGGAGCTCCCTGCAAGGGACCCTGGAGCTCCCTCTCCCCACGCAAGCCCAGGCAGAACAAAAGAAATGCCAAAGCTTCTGCAAGGCCCCACTCCCAAGTTGGAGCATCAGGCGGGGGGGGGGGGAAGGATTGGTTTAAACGAAGGGGGCATCGAGTCCCACACCAGAGTGGCCCCAAAAGGCTTCAATGAAGATCATAGGGCCTTAAACCAGGAGTGTCCAACCTTGCAACTTTAAGACTTGTGGACTTCAACTCCCAGAATTCCCCAGCCGGCTATTTTTTTTTCCCCCTCTGCTGAAGTCAAGATATATTATGTTTACCGCATTCCCACCGTCTATTAAGAAAGCTACCCTTATCAAAAAATGGCAATAAATTAGTCTGGCCACGTCTGTTCTTGTCCTATCCATGCTGAATCCTGTTAAACCCTGGGTGGCTGGGGAATTCTGGGACTTGAAGTCCACATATCATAACGCTGCCACCCCTGACATAAGCTGCCAAATGAGGAGCCTAGGACGGCAGGCCAGGGGCCCATCTGCTCCCACCCAGGCCTCCCCCCAACCCACACTCACCAGTAAGGGTGGGGGGGATGGACCGGGCGCAAAAGGCACTCTTCCCCACATCTTGATCACTTCTCCGAGGGGCTGGAAGCCCTCGTCACAGCCCCGTTTCACCAAGAGCGACATGGCAAAGTAGCCTGCCTGGAACCATTCCGCCATCTCTTGGGTGGTGAAGGGTCCTGGCGGGGAGAGAGAGAGAGACAGAAAGGCCCGTGAGTGAGCCCAAGAGTCAACCCTTTCCAGCCCCCTGGGCACGGGGAGAGCGGGGCACACCTTGGATCTCTCCTTGGGGGTCCTTGTAGAACCACTTCATGGCTGCTTCGTGGGAGAGGGGCAAGGCGGCGGCCGTGTTGCGGTGGTCAGACATGGCCTGGCCGAAGTGCTCCTCCTCCAGGGAGCTGTCCTGCAGGGAGGCCACCATCTTCTCTGCTTCCTGAAGGTAGAAGAGGATGAGGGGGAGGATTAGGGTCCCAGAGACCACGAAGCCCAGAGAGACAAGGCTTGGGGAGCCCAAGGTGAGATCCACCTTGGCCGCGGATGAGTTGGGAATAGCCGTTCAGGTGGTTCTCCATTTACGATCAGTCACTAAGGGACCGTTCACAGTTAAGACGGAGTCAAAAAAGGGGACTTATGACCTGGATCTTAAGTTCATCCCTTGGGCATTCGGCAACCATCACATTTGTGGCTGTTTCAGCATCCTGCCTTCCGGTGGCCGCGTTTTATTATGGTTTTGCTGAAAACCAGCATTTGCTTAACGACCGCGGGGTGGTGGTGGTGTCATAAAACAAATCAGGAGGAACAACCTCCTTCCCTCCCTCCCTCCCTCCCTCCCAATGTATCAGCAGCCTGCCCATTTCAGTCGTTAAGTTGTAATGTTCATAAAAGAGTTCAGTTTTATGACCTACAATTTATGACAGAAACGGGGGGGAGGGGGGGCTGATTTAAATTCCCAAATGAGTTTTAAACAGGGAGACCCTCCGGGGCTTCTCCAAAGAGACCACGGGGAGCTCTTGAGAGGGCAGCATTAAAACAGAACCAGCCTGCCTGCCTGCCTGCCTGCCTGGGGCATTATGGGGAGGGGAAGGGGGGAAACGCAGCACCAGGCGCAAGCAAGGGAGGGCAAGCAGAGTTGGGACCCACCTTGGCTGCCTTTGGAGGAGAGACTTTCTGAAGGTGGGAATGGAATGGAATAGAGAATACAACAGAACAGAACAGAAACAGAGTTGGAAGGGGCCTTGGAGGTCTTCTAGTCCAACCCCCTACATTACTTCAGACAAATGGTTGTCCAATCTCTTCTTCAAAACTTCCAGTGTTGGAGCATTCGCAACTGTGGCAGCCCCTGAGATACTGGAACACTTGTTATCGTGTCACCCCTGGTCCTTCTCTTCCCTAGACTAGCCATGCCCAGTTCCCGCAATCGTTCATCGTAGGTTTGAGCCTCCAGTCCCCTCATCCTCTTTGTTGCTCTTCTCTGCACTCCTCCTAGAGTCTCCACCTCTTTTTTACATTGTGGCGACCAAAACTGGATGCCGTATTCCAAGTGTGGCCTTCCCAAGAGAATTATGAAGTGGTATTAACACTTCACGTGATCTGGATTCTCTCCCTCTGTTGATGCAGCCCAGAACTGTGTGGGCCTTTTTGGCAGCTGCTGCACACGGCTGGCTCCTATCTCAATGGTTGTCCACTAGGACTCCAAGATCCCTCCCGCAGTTACTACTATTGAGCCAGGTACCACTTATATGGTACCCGTGCATTTTGTTTTTCTTGCCTAAATGTAGAACCAATGTGCATTTTGAAAGCTTCACCTTAATCTGCCTGACAAATATACAGGTCGTCCTGGACTTAACAACGTGACTGTTCAGAGTTACAACAGTGCTGAAAAAAATGACTTACCACCATTTTTCACATTTACAACCGTTGCCAGCATCCCCACGGTCGCGTGATCAAAATTCGGACGCTTCAATGGGGAAGCCAGATTCACTTAACCACGTGACTACCTTAACAATGGCAGTGATTCATTTAATAAACGTGGCAAGGAAAGTCGTAAAATGGGACAAAACTCACTTAACAAATTTCTCAGTAACCTAAATTTCGGGCTCAATTATGGTTGTTAAATCGAGGACTACCTGTCATTGATGCAAGGGATGAAGAGGGACTCTTCTGGTTTGGCGTCGCGGCGAGACAGTTGGGGAATTAGCGAGCTCTGATGAGCTCCACGAAAACCCCGGCTGACAAACCGCCACCAATGGGTCTGCGGGCCAGAATTGTCCTGCAGGGATGGGGAAGAAAGAGAGGCACCTCAGACGACCAAGAGGAACAGGCAAGTTCCTCAAAGTTTGGAGGGAACTCTCTGTGACTCGGCGGCGGGGGATGGCAGCCATGGCGGCTGCCTCGAAGCTGGGACAACCGGATTAAGTATAGAGATGGAGAGAAGAGAGGAACAGAACAGAGTCTTTTTGAAGCCGGGTGAGTGACAGCCAACCCAGGCTTGAAATAACAACAAGGGAAACATCTTTCAATTATAAGACCCCTAATGAGGAAATAGCAGCTAAGAAGTAGAAGGGCAAAGAAGATTTTGAAACATAACTTTAAAGAGATAAAAACCCGATAGAAAAGTGATTTCTGAACAGACTATTTGGAAACAACTAGATATGGTCAAAGGATTGGAAAGAAATAAAGAGATCCTTTTTTTTTCTTTCTTTTTTAAATTTCAAGAAAAACAAAGAGAACGGACAATAAGCTTTAAAAAAGAAGTGGTGTATAAATAAAGAAAAAAAGGGAAAAAGAAGTGAGAAGAGCTACTTAAATTTGGACTGGACTTTAAATATGATTTGATACTTTTAAAACGAAAAAGAAAGAGAGAAGTAAGAAGGTTGTGTAATTGAAACAAAATGGATACTTGTTAGACAATTGGAAATTGTGGATTACAGAGAGACACCTTCTGGAGTAAAAAGGAATATTGCAACTTGGTTTTTTGTTTTGGAAAATTGTGAACTTCACAGACAACAACCGTGAGAATTTGTGGGGGATGATTTTCTTGTCTACAAGCGGCTCGAGTTTTGGAGGGGAAAAAAAATTAGAAAAAAGGGAACACAACGGAACTCTTATAATTGGAATAATATTAACTTAAAAAGAAAAACGGCGTAGGAATTAGAGAAGGAACAAATTGACTTATTTAACTTGGAAAATGGAAATAAGAGAAATAATTATAAATGTTGCACAGAGGACAAAAATCTGAGGATACAGAAGCTGAAATGGAGTATATGCAAGTAGACAAGAAAATGAAGATGGAGAAATAAGACACAGAGATGGAAAATAAAGAAGATAAAAACAATGTGATTAAAATATGAATAAGTAACTGAATATGTAAATACTAATAATAAAAAGGAGGTGTTTAGAGATTCTATTGAGGCTAACAATAATATAATGATGATTACACTGGGATTAACAGTGAATGTTACAAGAATAAAGGTTGGAAAATATTAAGGAAAATAAAAAAGTCCAGGACTTGGATTTATAAAATGACTATACTGAGATTAACAATGGTAATAGAAATATGAGAAGAAATATGTTACCGATACTTAGAAATGAAATATGGATTGAAGCTAATAACATATGAGAAATAGACTATGTTAAAAGAAAATATATTAATGGACATAATAAATCAATTTTTATTAAGATGTTAGATGGTATCATTTGAGAAAATTGATGGCTATAATAATTGGGATATTGTTTATATACTTATAACAATTGCAATAATTTGAACATTTTCTACTTAAGCAAAAAAGAAAATTGAAGCAATATATGATTATGATTCACAAACAAGAATTATTTAATTGGTGTTTATATAAATGGTACGGTTAAATAGATAGAATTTAGGGAAATAATTGGGAAATTGTATTATGTAGCATTATTTGAATTAAGAACTATGTTTAAATGATAAATTGCTATACTTTTAAGATTAGAGATAAGATTTAAATTTGATAAAGTAATAATGGAATAAAGATTCAATGAGCATTATATGAAGTAATAAATAAATGCAAGGAAGTTTTTAGAAATGGAAATAATTTTGAAATATAAACATGTTTGAACTGTATTGTTAATAATGAGGACTTAGGGTAAGAATTGTGAAATGTATTATGTGTTATCAGGGGGCGTGAAGCTTACAATTGCTTGGCATCCCGAACAGCCCAATGCAAACCCGTCTGCAGGATGCCAGGCGAAGGCCCCTCCCTCCTGGCACAGGAAAGGAGGGAGGGAGGGAGAGCGCCCTCTGCCGGAAAATCCCACTGCAACACCCGGAGAGCCAACCTGACCAGGAGGGTATCCTTACCTGCTGCAGGTGCTTCATCCCGTCCTCATCCTCGTTGTCGCCCACGGTGAATTCAGCAGCAGGAGCAGCAGACGGGGCCGCGGGAAGGGGAGAGACAGCGGCCGGGCTAGGCTGGGCTGGGCAGCCGAGAGGGCCTGGGTCACCTGGGCAGGTGCAGAACGAGAGGGCATTAGAGGGCTCCCCCTGTACTGTGCCCCAGAGCCTCCCCTGCCCAACCTGTGCCAGCTCCTCCCACGGGCAGGCGATGCCCGCTCAGCCCCCCCACCCCCACCCTTGCCAGGGCCACCTACCATCCACTGCCTCTGCGTCCGAGTTGCCAGAGGACAGCAGCGCCAGCTTCTCTGCTTTGGAAGAGTTCCCCGGCCCGATATTTTCACCGTTGCTGGCGGTGGCGGCGGCAAGAGGGATGAAGGGAGGGCTGGGCTGCCAGGGGGTGCCCGGGGGAGCCGGAAGCTTCTTCTCCTCTGGGCCGGTCCGGGGCTCCTTTTGATCTGGAGGGAGGGAGGGAGGGAGGGAAGGCCTCAGATTCCAAGCCCCGGGTGCCGTCTCTGCCCCCCCCACCACCAGCCCTGTCCGGCTGCCCTCCTTGCCCTCACCTCTCTCTGCCCTCTCCACAGCGGTGGGGCTGACGGGCACCTCTCTGCTGGTCCTGGGGTTGCCCTCCTTGGCCTCCGGCGGCTGCTCCTCCTGCTCCTCCTCCTCCTGCTCCTCCGGCAGCGGCTGGAAACTCAGCTCCTGCTCCTCCGACACCAGCTCCTTGGGGCTCTTCTGCAGAAGGGGGGGACAAGGGGAGCCTCGGAAGGATTTTGCACCACATGCTCGGCCTGCCTGCTTCATAAGCCCCCCCCTGCCCCCCCTTTGGCCGGTTCCATGCCGGTATCGCTAAGCTACCCAACCCTACGCTGAGTTCACACAACACGCAAAGACGACTCTTTTGCCCGCGTGCCAAGAGGGAGAAACAGCCATGCCACAGGAGGCTTCCTGCCAGCGTTCATGCCCATGGAGGGTAGAATACACGAAGAACGGTTGCAGGATTTGGGTTTGGCTAGTTGAATGAAAAGAAGGACTTAAGGGTGATACGGTAGCCGTTTTCTGATATTTGAGGGGCTGCTGCCCCAAAAGGGAGGGGGTCCACCTATTCTCCAAAGCACCTGAAGGCAGCAGGACAAGAAGAAACAAGGAGAGAAGCAGCCTGGAATTAAGGAGAAACTTCCTGACATTGAGAACAATTAACCCGTGGAACAACTTGCCACCAGAAATTTTGGGTGCTCCATCACTGGAGGCCTTTAAAAAGAGACTGGACAGCCATTTCTCTGAAATGCCTCCTGCTTGAGCAGGGGGGTCAGACTAGAAGACCTCCAAGGTCCCTTCCAGCTCTATTCTGATTGAGTTGAGTTTTCCTTGGCCCCCAGCAAAGCTCCGGATGCTGCCCAGCTGGCACCTCCAATCCAGGAGGAGGCGCAAGGCAGAGGCCCCCCTTTGGAAGGGGCTGCAGAGGCCACCTTGGGGGCCCGGAGGGTTGGGGGGAGGGAGCAGCCCCTACCTTGAGGGACATGAAGGCCCCCGAGGAGTCAAAGGTGCCCATCTCCTCTTCCTCGTCCTCCAGGCACCACTCGGGCAGCCCGTCCTTCTCCTCCTCAAAGCTGTCGCTGCTCTGCCGATGGCGACGTCCCCCCCGCGGCTCCTCCTCGCGTTCCCGGAAGTCGAAGTCAAACTTCCGCCGGCGCCCGTCCCCACCGTGCTCCCGCCACCCGGCCGAACGAGGCCCTCCGTCTAGGGGGAAGGCAAGCAGGTTGAGACGGCAGGTAGTCCTCGACTCACGACCACAATTCAGCCCAATGTTTCTGTTGCTAAGTGAACTAAACGAACCGCTGAAATTTGAGGACCGCCTGTATCGGCCGGAGGGTCCCTCCCTTGGGAGCCGGGCCCACAAGCCCCAAGCAAACGCAACGGGCAGCTCACCTGGGCTGGCCGACCGCCATCGCTCGCTCTCTCGCCGGGACCCTCCGCTCTGCCGCCAGCTTCCTCCTGACCCGCCCCCTGCACTGCTGCCACCGCCACCACCGCCCTCTTCCTCCTCCTCGTGCTCCTCGCGCAGCGTGCGCCAGTTGTCGCTGTCCGAGCGGGCAAACTCTTTGCGGCTGGAGGGAGCCCCCTCCTCAAAGGGGGCCCGGGCTAAGAAAGAGAGCGGCCGTCACCCCTCCTCCTTGGCAGAGACGGCTGCCTCCCCCAAGGACATGAAGTAGCCATTCAGCCCGCCCCCCCACTCTCTGCAGCCTCCTGAGGGGGGGAGGGAAGCATCTGCAGGGTCTCCTCTGCTCCACACGTACCTCCTTCCCGCCGGATGGGCTTCTCAAACCGCCGATCCCCTCTGTGAGAAAAGGAGAGCGTCAGGGTGGGGAACGGGCAGGCCAGCCCCACTGCGTCCCCGTCCAAAGTCCTGCCCCTACTACGCACCGGTCATCCCAACTCTGGCTGCGGTGGATTTCGCGGACCCCTCCTCGACCAAAGGCTCCGCCTTCTGCCTCCTCGATGCTTCTTTGGTAAAAGCCGCTCTCGCCTCGCCCGCGGCCTGCTTGTTTTGGGGAGGGGGCAGACGGGAGACACGTCACAGATGCTGCCCGCTGCCCCTTACGGAAAGGGGGCAAGGGCCCAGCCCTCGGGGTCTGCCGCCACCTCCCCCAAAGTCTCCTTACCTCGGCTCCGCGTGCTGCCTCTCCCACGCGAGACCCCCGCGGGGGCCACCCCGGCCCCCTTTCCCATCAGCCTCAGCACGGCCACGCTGTTCACGGACATGGAGAAGTTCCGCTGGAGGAGCCCAGAGGAAAAAGAGGTGAGAGAAGGAAGGGCCAGGCGGTTGTCCTCCTGGCCGGGCTCCCCCCAGGGCAGCAGCCCCCAAACTCACCTGCTCTTCTTCGGTCAACGGGACCAATGCCAGGGGCTGCAGAGGGTCCTCCTCTAGGATGGCAGAGAATTCCCGGTCTTGGATTTCGTCAGGGACCTGCCAGGAGGAGGGGGAGCAGAACCGTGGCCCCTTGTGTGACCGAGAGCAGGTGGTCTCCAAACTTGGAAACTTTACGACTTGTGGACTTCAACTCCCAGAATTCCTCAGCCAGCCAGCCATGGTCCCTCTTGGCACCAGCACTCTGCCCAGGGCTCCCTCAGGGCTGGGGTGCCCCTCCCGCAGCCAGGCCAGAGACTGGCTCCCCAGCCCCAGCCAGGCCCGGTCCCCGAGCATCTACGGCCAGTTGTTGGGGCTCCCAGGCTCACCTTATTGTCTTTGACATAAAGTGCTAGCATCTCTTCCCGCCCGTATCGGTACTCGGCTAGTTTGTACTTTGGCATGGCAGGGGAGGATGGAGGGGAAGCCACGCTCCCCCCACTGGAGAGTGCGCGAAGCCTGCGGGAGGAGAAGGTCGGCGTGAGACCAGAGCGGAGGAGGAGGAGGAGGAGGAGGAGAGGAGTGGGCAGCCAGATTTGCCCAGCCCGGGGCTTGGAAGCCTGCCAGCAAGGAGCAGCATGGTGGCATGGCAAGAGCAGCCAGGGGGCAGTCAGAGGGCCCCTTCAGGGACTCAGGACTCCTGGCCGGGTAGCAGAAGAGGGAAAGGGAACCGAAGGGGCCTCCGTTCCTCCTGCCTGCCCTCTTCAAAGAAATCGCCCAATGAATTTAAGGCGAATTTACGTGTCCCAGGATAATGTGGCAGGATCCAATCGGAGTTGCTCCCCAGGACCATTAATCCTATGAGCTTTTGGACTGAAGGGGAGGACGGTTAACCAGTGGAACAGCCGGGCTCCATCACTGGAGGTTTTGAAGAAGAGACTGGACAGTCACTTGTCTGAGATGGGACAGGGTCTCCTTCCTGAGTAGGGGGCTGGACTAGAAGACCTCCAAGGTCCCTTCCTGCTCTATTCTATTTTAAGTGGACTTGTGCTGGAGCCCATCCTCAGGGAAGCCTCTCTCTCAATAGTCCGAAAGCCTGGAAGAATAAAACTTTGGTCCTGGGGACAAGAGCTCCCTTGGGGGGTCTGGATCTCCCCCCCCTCCCCCACAATGCCCTTTCTGTAGGGCTGGCCCTTCACTGCCCCGCTCACCATTCTGGCCCGAAGTTCAGCATCTCGGCGGCCATCCTCCTGTCCTGGGGCGGCTCTCTAGCCGGCTGCAACGTCCTCCGCTCTCTTCCTCAACGCCCTGGGAGACCCCCAAGAGCCGGAGGCAGCCCAAGGAACGGCGGAGATCTTCAAGGGAAAGGCAGGGGGGTTGCTATCGCCGCACCCAGTTTCTCGAGGGACCCCAGAGGGAAAAGGGGGCAGCCTGGTCCCTGGGAAGAGCCCATCGCTTGGGTGGGAGGGGACCCTGGCACGGAGCCCACTGGTCAGTTGGAGCAAATGCCGTTCTTAAGGAGGGGTGCCTGCCCTCCTAATGTACCTTAAAACTCGGCTGGGACTCTCTCCCTCCGGCTGGGGGGGTTAGGAAACCCCCAAGGACCTACAGAAGAGGAAAGGAGACCAATGAACGATGCCAACCTGGAGCTGCCAGATGAGTGAGCAAAACAAGCCAGGCTTGGGCAGAGGGTTTGCCGGCTGCCCTTCCTTGCACCAGTACCAGCCTGCAGGTGCCCTCTGGGGCCAGAGACCCATCAGCCACTGCCTGCAGGACACCTGAAGGTTGTTTTGTTTTTTTTCAGAGAAACGTTGCGTGATTTAGGTGACTGCCCTGGAGTCAGGGTGGCACCAGATGTTGTGGCTCGCCAGCTGCCACTGGAGCTGGCGGCAGACTCGGATGATGAGGAGATTGGGGAGGAACTTGGGCCAGTTCTGGAGCCTGGGGAAGGCTCTGACGGATGCTCTGTGTCGGATGCAGAGATAGAGCCAGGGCCGTCCGACATTTCCCAGCCGCCAGAGAGGCAGCTGCCTTTGGAGGCTGAGGTGAGTGAGGAGGGGGAGGAAGAACAGCTGGGGCCTGTACCAGATGCACGTATGCGCAGAGCAGTTAGGAGAGGTGAACAATGGAAGACAAGGAGTCAACTCGGGAAGAAAGGCACACGTGGATGCTGAATGGCCCCTCCCTGGCTGGGGAATAAACAGAAGGAAAGGGGAGTGATTGTTGTAGGAGACAACCGTTCGTATTTCTGGTGATTTGGCTCATTGTGTTTTGTGCCACAAAGACTGCTGGCCAGAACTTAATTTGCAGCCTTTCGGCTGGGAGCTCAATTATCACAAGGAACTGATAAGGTCTGTTACTGCCGTTATCTCCTTGCAGGACTCTTGCCTGGACTTTTCGGTGGGTGGATGCCATTAATTCAGAAGAGGTAAATCAGGAGGAGGGTTTCGTGACCAGAGTCTGCTTCTTGCTTCTGCTAAGGCTGGGCCAGAACAGCAGGAGCGTCACCTGAGCCTCGCCTTGCTGTTAATTCTTTTATGATCCGTTTTATTCCCAGAGCTATTTTTAACTGGCAAGCGACCTCACCTATCACTTATCTCAAAAAAGGGGGGAAAAATCAAGAGAGAGACCAAAATAAATCACACTTGTTTCTTCCAAGGTGAAAGGTAACTGGGGTTCATAGGGGCGGTGAGGGCTGCTTCCAGCCTGCACCCTCCACAGCTTCTCGGTACGGGTGGTCCTCGACTTAACAACCGTTCATTTAGGGGCCCTTCGAAGTTACAAGGGTACTGAAAAAAGTGACTTATGACTGTTTTTAACCCGGTTGCAGCGTGCCCGGGGTCAAAGTGATCAAAATTTGGACACTTGGCAACTGCTTCGCATTTACGACAGTTGCGGGGTCACGTGATCTCCGTTTTGTGACAGGCCAAGTCAATGGGGAAGCCAGATTCGCTTAACAACAGTACTACTAGCTTAACTGCAATGCTTCACTTAATGACGGTGGCAAGAAAGGTCGTGAAAACAGGGCAAAATTTGCTTAACAACCGCTTCACTTATAGTAAGACATTTTGAGCTCAATTGTGGTCATAAGTCGAGGACTGCCTGAATTCCAACGTCCTGGGGTCTTTTGCATTACTGGCTGGGCCCCCTCATATCCCATTGAGGCGGGGGAGGAATATATCCCAGGACTGAAGCCGCTGCAAAGGACAGCTCCTCCATGGAAGCCACCGTCGTAATCTCAGGCCCCCTCTGACCCAGGCCTGGCCACTCACCCGAAGGAGCCCGTGCGCAGGTGCTGCCCTTGGCAGGAGGAGGGAAGCTGGCAGAAAGAGCAAGGGAAGGAAGGAAGGAAGGGAGGAGGGAAGAAGGGAGGGAGGCAGGGAGGGAGGGAGGGAGGGTCAGCCTCCTCCTCCCTCAGCAGGCACGATCCCACCGAAGCGGCTTCCGGAGCCTGGGGTGGCCGGAGAAGAAAGCGGTTTGGCTTGGCCCCCCTAAGGATGAAGCCCAGCAGCTCGACTCCCGTCAAAGGAACTCTCTGGAAAAGAGGAGAGGCGGTGTTAAAATGGCAGAGGGACCCTACCCTGCGGGAGGAAGGCGGGCTGAAGACACCCGCCTTAGGAGGCTGGAGAGAGCCGAAGGAGAGACACCCCCCCGCCCTTTTTCTCAAGAGCAGCCACGGAAAGTGACCGAGGGAGGACCCAACGAGCACGCGAGACATTAAATGGCGCCTACCCGGAATGTTCTCTCTTTTGCCAGCTCTTCCATCAAAGCAAAAGCAAAGAGAGCCAGGCTGGTCTAGTAGATAAGGCGCCAGCTGGAAAGCAGGAGACCATGAGTTCGAGTTCCGCCTTGGGCATGAAAGGAAGATGGGTGGCCTTGGGCCCTCTCTCAAGGCGGCAAATGAAGCAAATCCTACTATTTTCCCAACAACAACCCTGCAAGTTGGGCTGGGCTGAGAGAAAGTGACTGGCCCAAAGTCACCCAGCTGGCTTAAGGCAGGACTAGAACTCACCGTCTCCTGGTGATTGGCCCTAAGTCACCCAGACGGCTTTCGTAGCTAAGACGGGACTAGAACTCACAACCTCCTGGCACTTAGCCATTAGATCAAACTGGGCATCCTGGTGGCATCTGCTCCACAAGGAAGCAGAAGAGGCATTCTCTCTCTCCCTGCACTTTGTCATCTTTAGAAGGGCAAGATCTCTCCTTGCCCCGGCAGAAGTATTTTCAATTTTATTTCTAAATGCCAGATCACCATTGGCAAAACCTTGAGGAAATGCAGCAGGCGCACAGACGGAAGAGAACAGATCTCCCTGATTTCTCCTTCTGACAGACAGACCTGCCTGACAGTTAGAACAATTAATCAGTGGAATGATCTGCCCAACTGGAGGGTCTTACCAAGAGATTGGACAACCCTTTGTCTGAAATGTGATAAGAGTTTCCTGCTAGACTAGAAGACCTCCAAAGTCCCTTCCAACTCTTGTTATTCGGAGCTGTGGTGGTGCAGTGGTTAGAACGCAGTATTGCCAGCTAACTCTGCCGACTGCCAGCAGTTCGATCATGACCGGCTCAAGGTTGACTCAACCTTCCACCCTTCCGAGGTGGGTCAAAAGAGGAGCCAGTTTGTTGGGGGACAATGTGCTGACTTGGTAAAGCGCTTAGAGAGGGCTGTAAAAGCCCAGTGAAGTGGTATATAAATCTATTGCTATTCTGTTAACCGGAAGAGTGAAATTTTAAATCTCAAGAAACAGTACTTCAGCTGACTGACTCCCCGTAACTGGTGCCCACCTCTGCCTCCCACTGCATGGCCAACGGAGGAACAGGCACCACGCAGGGCACCAGGGCATTCGAGGCCTGGTGGCCGGCAGGACTTGGAAGGAAGGTCAGTCCCAAGTCCTGCCCCGTAATTTCAAAAGCAAGACATTGGGCGACTTCCCTGGCAGGCCTGCAGAGTTTCCTCCGTGAGCTCAGAACCAGAAGGCAGAGGCCCTGCCTGCCACCATCTTCTTCCTCCTAACCCACAGGGATGTCTTCCCGCCTGCTCTAACCACTCTGCTTCCGCTGCCAGAGAAGTCTCGGCTCTTCTAGGATTTGTGAAAGAAGGAAGGACGTCGTCTGTTCTGGGGGCTACCAAGATCTGGACTCCTTGCAAGGAGAACATCCCAGAACAGAGCACAACACTGGCACAAGGACGGCAAGATAATGACGGAAGCCTTCCGCAAAAGCAGGCTTATACCATACTTTATTCTGAATGAAGACCCTCTAGGGCAGTGGTCACCAACTGGTGGTCCATGAGAAAATTTTGGTGGTCCGCAGGAAAATTATTTGCATTTTTTTATATTGCAATAAATACTATTTATCTTTTTTAAAAAATCATATTAGTGGTCCGCGGGATTTAAAATTATGAATTTAGTGGTCCCTGAGGTCCGAAAGGTTGGCAACCCCTGCTCTAGGACAGTGTTACTCAACTTTGGCAATTTTAAGACTTGTGGGCTTCAACTCCCAGAAATCCCCAGCCAGCATGTTAAGGAATATCTTTCATTGTGGCCATTCTACCAACTGAATCCAGCTGTGGTGTCATCTGGCCCATATTTGTCTGGTTTGCTCTGCAACCCAACAAGGCAGAGACAGAGACTTCAGAGGATCATTAGAACTGCAGAAAAAACCATGGCTACCAACCTGCCTTCCATGGAGGACCTGGATCCTGCACGAGTCAAAAAGAGGGCTGGGAAAATATTTACTAGACCCCTCGCATCCTCCTGGACATAAACGGTTTCAACTCCTACCCTCAAAACAACTACAGAGATTTGCACACCAGAACAACTAGACACAAGAACAGTTTTTTCCCGATTGCCATCACTCTGCTTAACAACTAATTCCCACAACACTGTCAAACTATTTACTAAGTCTGCACTACTATTAATCTTCTCATCGTTGCCACCACCCATCTCCTTCCACTAATGACTTTTAAGACTGTAACCTTGTTGCTGATATCCTTACATTTATATTAATATTTGATTGCTTATTTGTGCCCTATGACTATCATTAAGTGTTGTACCTTATGATTCTTGATGCATGTATCTTGTCTTTTTATGTACACTGAGAGCGTATGCACCAAAGACAAATTCCTTGTGTGTCCCATCACCCTTGGCCAATAAAGAATTCTATTCTATTCTATTCTATTCTATTCTATTCTATTCTATTCTATTCTATTCTATTCTATTCTATTCTATTCTATTCTTACCATTTTATGAAGACGTCTATTCTGAGACACTCTGTCAAAGCCTTTGCTGAGGTCCAGGTAAACTATGTCAGGGCATTCCCCCAATCTACTAAATGAGTAATTAACTCTTTCAAAGGTTTAGTTAGTAAAAAAAAAATAATAATCCATGCCTTTCTTGAATAGGGCATCCTAACAGGCCCAGTCTGTGCGATAGAGGAGGGGTGTCCAACCTTGGCAACTTGTGGAATTCAACTCCCAGCTGTGCTGCCTAGGGAATTAATGGGACCTGAAGTCTTAAAGCTGCCAACAGTGAGAAACACGGCTCTAGAGATGACCCATCTGACCGCCAGCTGTGGGTTAAGAGCAACTTCGAATGGGCCTGAAGAGCACCGATGAGGATCAGAGGCCTGGGGACTAAAACACAGGAAGAATGGCTGCAGGATTTGGATTTGGCTAGTCCAGGGGTCTGCAACCTTAAATACTCAAAGAGCCATTTGGACTAGTTTCCCACAGAAAAGAAAACACCGGGAGCCACAAAACCTGGGTGGGCGTGGCCAACTCAATGTCACTCACTTCCACCGGTCACATGACACACACCCCCAGCCATGCCTACCCAGCTGGTCATTAGGGCAGAGAACCAGTTGTTAAAAAACACCAGGAGCCACAAAATCCTTTTGACATCTCTCTCTCTTCTCCCCCATCGCCCTCTCTCTCTGTCTCTGCCCTGGCCGCTTCTCCATCCCCCACCATTGCCTTTACCTTCTCAGGCCAGGAGAGGAGTGACTGGGAGGGGAGGGCGAGGGGCGGGGCCAGCCAGTGGTGGGATCACCTGACAGGGAGCCACAGCAGAGGGCCCAAAGAGCTACATGCGGCTTCAGAGCCGCAGGTTGCTGACCCCTGGGCTAGTCTGAAGAAAAGAATGAGAGGTGACAGGATAGCGGTATTCCAGTATTTGAGAGGCTGCCACAAAGAGGAGGGGGTCAAGTTATTCCCCAAAGCACCTGAAGGCAGGACAAGTCAAGAAACAATGGATGGAAACTAATCCAGGAGAGAAGCAACCCGGAATTAAGGAGAAACTTCCTAACAGTGAGGACCATTAACCAGTGGAACTCCTTGCCTTCAGAAATCGCGGGTGCTCCATCACTGGAGGTTTTTAAGACTAGTCACTTGTCTGAGATGGAAAAGGTTCTCCTGCTTGAGTTGGGGGCTGGACTAGAAGACCTCCAAGGTCCCTTCCAGTTTACTCTATTCTATTCTCAATCACAAATGGTTTTATTGGAAAGCAGCAAGGAAGGAAATGCTCTTATCTGATCAGTAAACCTGCCATATACGCAGGCAAGAAGCTGTTTGCTCTTTTTTTAAAATCAGAAGTTAAGATATTGGGTGGCCTAAGAATACAATGGAAAGGCAAACACGTTCAGGAGATTATTCTGCAATTAATAGCCGTGGACTGAAATTTGAAAACGGAAGTCAAATTCTGGTGCTTGTGACCTCTACAAAAAGGTCCCACTTTATTTGGCCTGTTTTATTTGGCATATTTATATTTGTAAAACATGTTGGATACAGTTCTGAACTCACAGAGGAGAACATCTGGCTTCTAGATGGCAGGAAAAGCCTCTGCAATTCTCCAACACAGAGAGTCCTCAACTTTTGACCACAACTGAGCCCAAAATTTCTATTGTTAATGTTAAATGAGACAGTGGTGAGTTTTGCCCCATTTTACAACCTTTCTTGCCATCGTTGTTCAGCGAATCACCGCCGTGTGAACTTAGTAACGTGGTTTCTTGTTAAGTGAACCTGGCTTGTCAGAAAGTCGCAAAAGGGGATCACAGGACCCAGAGACACAGCGACCGTCATAAGTATGAACCAGTTGCCAAGCCTCTGAATTTTGATCACGTGACCATGGGGATGCTGCAGCGGTCATAAGTGTGAAACAAGGTCACAAGTCACTATTTCAGTGCCGCTGTAACTTTGAATATCACTAAATGAATAGTCCTAACTTGAGGACCCCTGCTGACATGACCAATTCCTAGTCCCAGTGACAGAATTCCAGGATATTCTCCTAAGGTCCCTGGACTGAACGGAGTCCTGCGCACAGCAATGCACCTGCCAGAACAGAACAGGAGCAAAGGTGAGGGCATAGAACACAGGCTCAGAGGTCTTCTAGGCCAGCCTCCTCCCCATCAAAAGGTTGTCCTATTTCTGAAAACCTCCAGCACCCACAATTCAACAACCTGCAGCCCCCCCTGCAGACAACACCATCCTGGCTAAGCAAGACAACCCAGGATTTCTGGAACCCTACAAAATATTCAGGACTACTTTGCCAGAAGAACGCGACAAATGTCGCTCCCCACTGAATCTCAAGGGAGCGACTCCAATGAAGCAGCCTTCATTGGGGAGCCAAACGTGGGCATAATTCATACAGAGCAACTATTAACCCTGAGGCTGGAGCACAAATTATTTCTCTACACAGCAGAACTTGTAAGTTGTTGGGGGTGTGGGTGGGGAGCACACTTTTAACTTACCTAGGGCGCTTGAAGGAACTGTGGAGTGTGCAGCCTAAAGCGGAGACGGCCAAGAGGGGACTTGACAAAGGTTTCCCCGTATCTGTATCCGAGGGAAGCAGGTCTCCCCCTTAGGTCCTTCTGGGTGGCTGGCTGGGGAATTCTGGGAGCTGAAGTCCACAAGTCTTAAAGTGGCTAAGGTTGGAGAAAGAACCCCTGCTTGATTGCACAAACTGGGCCGGTTAGGAGGTCCTCCTGGTGGATTTCAGAGGATTGTGAGGAGGAATCCCCCAGACGTGAAGCGTCTGTCAAATAGGCTTTGGTTCTATTACCCAGGTGAATCTCTCCGCTCCTGTCAATCTGTAACGGAGGGGGCAGCCTCCTCCACTCTCATATTCTCTCCGCAAGGGAAAAGAGCCACCAACTGATTCAGGACCTTTGGCATCTTTTGGAGTTGAAGTCCACAGGTCCCAAAGGGGCCAGAGACACCAACTCCGGCACCTACCACAGGAATTTAACAAATCATCATGGGCATCATGTTTGAAAGTCCTTCTTGCCAGCTCCAAGCACACTCACTTCTGGGGTTATAGAGAGCCCACCCAAGCTGCCCTTCCCATTAGACAACTTTTGGCATAACAACTGAGCTGCCTAAGTCTTAAATTCTTAAAACAGATTTACCTGAGTGAGCTAAAATATATATATATAACGCATACACCCACGTGTTTTAGGCCCTCCTGGTTCAAAGCCATTATTTGTGGACGCACTGAAGTACATCAAAAAGAAACTATGTTCTCCCACCCAGGAATCCTGAATGAAATCGAGAAAGTCCATTTTAAATGGAAATTTTAAATTTGGTCTTAAATTATTGGGGTTTTAAATTTTCAGCCAAATTATTTAATTTGTTTTACTTTATTTTAAATTTTGTATTCATATGTTTTATTCTATGGCTGTTCACTGCCCTGAGTCCTTCGGGAGTAGGGCGGTATACAAATTGAAATAATAAATAAATAATAAATAAATAAATAAAAGTAATTGACCATCCCTTCCTTTCATGTCGGCTATCACCTGTCTCAGGTAATTGGGCCCAAAGCACCCTTCAGTTCAGGAGAATTCCTGGTCCCTTCCTCCTTGCAACAGGCGACCCACACCTTCCACACATATCCACCTATCGACAACCATTGAGGGGCCACTTCCCCTCAATGGATTTACAATTTTGTAAGGCACGCAGGGCTCATCACGGCCCAAATACCAAAGAATTGGGCTACACCTGGATTTGATTCAAAGCGGAAGGCCTCTTGTCCTCTGCCTCAGCCGCCCAACAGTTACACGCTGACAACATTCAGCAAATCAAATCTCTACGAAGGTTCTGAGTCCTCCTGGTCACAGCTGTATCAAAAGTGAGTTTTATTTTAGAAAAGGCAACAGAACTGATTCATAACAGCCAAGTAATCCCAACTGTCAATAACTCTCCTTCCATCTCTCACACCATCCAGTGCAACTGATGAAGCTTTCAGGATAGGAAGCAAAATATTTTCTTCTTCCTCCTCCTCCTCAAAAAATCAGCCCGGTTACTTTTCTAAAATAAAAACCACTTTTGATATTCTGCAAATCCCCCTCGTGCCTTTTCCCCAGCCACAACCGTGCATGTAACCTGGTTTTCTTCTTCGTACACTGGATACAGTGGAATATTGGAAGCAATTCCTGAGCGTAAACTGAGGACAGTTTTTAAGAGATGACTACAGGAAGAGTACTAGAGCTCAGCGTGTATCCACCACACAAAAAGCATCCACCACATTAGCAGATTTGGAATATTTTTATATAGACCTTCCATTCAAAACTCAGATAGAATAGGGATGCTACCAATCCGTACCCCAAAATCTTGCCCCGTGGTGGGACCTCGGAAACGAGTCTTTTTCATGGCTGCCCCTACCTTGTGAACCCCCCCCCCCCCCCGGGGATAATACGACCCCCCCCCCCCCCTTTCTTAGCCTTTTGGGAGTCCATTAAGGCCTGACATTTCACTGAGGTGCTGGGTTAGGGCTGCAGAGACAGAAAGTATGGCAAGAGGGCAAGTGGAGTTTGCTACGGGGCCATTCCAACAGCACAAGAGTGTTATCATTTTATGGTTTTAATGCTTTATAACTGTTTTATATTTATGGCTTTTATTGTTGACGTGAGCCACCCAGAGTTGCTTAAGATGGGCGGGTGGGTGTGGACACGCATATTTAAAATAAATAAATCTTGCACAACCAAAATGCATGGGAAATAGGCGTGTAATGAAGCAGCAGGAAAGCAAAGGGTTCAGAGGCTGAAGTAACTTGGGTTTTGCCTGGTGCTTAAAAAATAAATGAGAGAGACCCAAAAGGGGACCACTCCCCACCCCCTGCCATCAGGAAGATGTCAGCACTGGGCAGACTAAGGGCAAAGTCTCGTGCCCTTCCAGCATCCATGCCCCTATTCAGGGACGACTCTACAAGCCAGATGGATCAAAGTCAGCAGGTTAAACGAAACAGAACTGAAACTTAAAAAACAAACCAACCACCACACAGATAGTTTGATGACCGTTCAAAGTCACAACAGCACTGGGAAAAGCGACTTATGACCGTTTTTCACACTTACGACCATTGCAGCATCCCTACGGTCGCGTGAACAAAATGCAGACGCTCGGCAACGGGCTCACGATTCTGACGGGGGCAGCGTCCCAAGGTCACGTGATTCCCGCTCATGACCTTCGGACAAGCAAAGTGAATGGGGAAGCCAGATTCGCTTAACAACCGGGTTACTAACCTAACAGCTGCAGCGATTCACTTAACAACTGTGGCAAGGAAGGTTGTAAAATGGGGCAAAGCCCACTTAACTGTCTCACTTAGCAACAGAAATCTGGGGCTCCATTGTGGTCGTAAGTCGAAGACTAACATTCTGTTTCCAGAACAACCAAATCTCATTGCCAACCTGATGAACTACATTAACACCGTGAGAAAGGTAACAGAATAAGAGGGTTGGGAGGGACCGTGGAGGTCTAGAAGAACCGCCAGTTATGATACACACACACATACAGAGCCATGCAGCGACCCACCAGCCCACCCTTTCCCCAACCAATGAATCTATCAATGAATCGGAATAGAGCTGGAAGGAAGCTAGTCCAGCCCCCTGCTCAAGCGGGAGACCCTATCCCATATCAGACAAACGGCCGTCCAGTCTCTTCTTAAAAGCCTCCAGGGATGGAGCCCCCACAGCCTCTGGAGGGTTCACGGTTCTGGCTGCAGAGGACCCCCTTCCAGGGTCCATGTTTACCCACCATGTTCAAACCCAGGTCATGCCCCTGACCGGCTGGCAATCATTAGCCATGGGCCTTTGAACCTCCCCTGGCTAAGCCAACATCTCTAGCGGCGCTTCCTCCGCCAGGCCTGACCCGGAGCCCCACCAGGACGCCAAACTTTGCTCATGAGGTGAAGCCAGGTCAGCACCGGCATCCCTCGGTTGGGGGGGAGGGGGGAGAAGAAGGGGCCCTTTCCAGGAAACAAAGCCCCATCCCAGGTGACAACAATCCTCCATGCAAAAGAAAAAACGATAATTTTTGTTTTTTGTGCAGGGTCCCTTTTGCAATTCCTCTCCAAGCCCCCCCCCTCCACTCCTCCCTTTGCAGCCAAAGCCCAAAACTTGACCTGGAAAGAAGCGGGTCTCCCACCCACCCCTCCCCCTCCCCCAAGGCTCCCCACAAATTGCATGCACGGGGGGGGTTGCTGGGGGAGGCAAACGGGGGTCCCTCCCTCTCGGCCCCCATTAATAACCCCCCACCAGACCCCCCTCCCCACGCTTGCACCCCCCCGCGCCCAGGATGAGGGCGCTGGCCCCTCCCCCCCAAGGCCCCTGCAGGGACCCCGCTTTGCCCCCCCCCCACTGCAGCCACACCCCCGCGGGGGGAGGGGGGAAAGGGGGCGCTCCCAGGGGGCCACGCGGGGCCGCACGTGCGCGGAGGCAGGGCAGGCCCAGGGCCGGCGGGGAGCGCAGCCCGGGGCCGCGGCGTCCTCCTCCTGCGGGCCCGGCGAGGGAGGGAGGGAGGGAGGGGCGGGGGGGAGGGGGAGCCCCGGTTCCCATGGCGACGCAGGGCCCCCCGCGGCGCACCTTACCCGCCGGTGGGTGGGTGGGTGGGTGGGCGAGGCGGCGGGGGCCGGAGCGGGGCGGGGCGGGCCGGGGGGCGAGGAGGAGGAGGAGGAGGAGGAGGAGGAGGAGAAAGAGGCCGCGACGGCTTCCACGGCTCTGCGGCTCCGCGTCTCGCGCTCCTTCCTCCTCTCGCCGCTTGTTTGTGTTTGTAACCAAGATGGCCGCCCTCCTCCCGGTCACGTGACGCGGGCTCCCCGAAGGCGCGCGGGAGGCGTCACGTGCCGGGGACGACGTCGGACGTGACCCCGCGCTTCCCTCAGACTGGCCGACACGTGATCCGAGGCCCCGCCCCTTCCCCTCTTTTTTTTTTGACCAGGCCTGAGGTGAGGGACGTCGACGTCGTTGGACGTGACCCCTCCCCCTCCTGAGACTGGGCGACGCAGCGCCGTGACGTCATCCGAGCTCCGACACCGCCCTTAGTTTTTTTTTTTTTAGCCTGGCCTGCCTCTCGCGTGACGCCATACGCCTGTTGTAAAATGACGTCAGACCGGCTGCACCAAGGGAGGCTCTGGAGGCGAGAGGGTCTCTGAGCATGCGCAGAGTGCCTTCGGTTCCTTTTCTGCCGAATGAGGGCGGTGCCACATTAAAGAAAGAGGCCGACTTCGATTCCCAGAATTCCCCTGTTCCAGCGTGGGGGATTCTGGGAGTTGAAGTCCAGGCTCTTAAATTAGGACACGGGGCTAGAGGGTCCCTGTAGCCCCCAACCTCCTCCAGAGCTTCACCCAGAAGAATGGAATCTTACTCCAGATTTTAAAGAGTCAAATCATGGCTCTGCAGCCCCATATTTTGGGGTGGGGGGGCAGAGGAGCCACCCTGCCTTTGCCTTGGGATTAACTGAGGGGCCTCCAAACTGAGCCCTGTGAAGACCGGAGTCCACCAGTCTTAACGTGACCAAGTTTGGGGTCCCCTGGAGGAAATCGTCACCTTGCTCCTCCTGAGAAGCTTTATATCCAAATATATTTTATTCTTTACACTCTTTCAATCAATCAAATAGAAAGAGCTGGAAGGGACCTTGGAGGTCTTCTAGTCCAACCCCCTACTCAAGCAAGAAACCTTAGACCAATGTTTCTCAACCTTTGTAGCTTGAAGATGGATGGACTTCAACTCCCAAAATCTGGGAGTTGAAGTCCACCCATCTTCAAGCTTCCAAGGTTGAGAAACACTGCCTTAGACCATTTCAATCAATCAGAGTAGAATTTCCATCTTCCCTAACACAACCCACAACGGTCTGAGAACCGGCATCTCCCCTAGATAATTGACAAGTCAAACTGAAAATAAGTTAATCAACTAAAATTAGCAAACTTCTTCAAACCCCCCAAATAAATTACCAAGACCTAATCCACATAAGGATAGGGTCTACAAACACAGTGTTAATTAAATTAGGTCTCTGAAAGGAACTGCATGTTTCCGGGGATTAACGTATCTACACATACATACACACACACATAAATATATATACACACCCCTCAAGTGTCACCCTAGAATCACCACGTAGACACTTCACCCTGGATAAGTTCCCCCTATAAAAATCTGCTGCTGTACTGTACCCCACTTCTCTGCAGCCTGCCCCTCAAGGCAGTCTGTTTTGCTTTTCGGAATATATATATATATATATAATTTAATTTAATTTATATGCCGCCCTTCTCCGGAGACTCAGGGCGGCTTACAATGCGCTAAGCAATGCGCTAAGCAAAAAAATATTTCTTCTTTCCTCACAGTTGTCTGGATCTCATTTTTATTTATTCTTTGAGCAGTCCTGGCTCGCGTTGGAACACCAAATTCTTCTGGCATTCTCAGTTTTTAACTTTTATATATATATACTGTTTTTAAATTTTGACACTTTATTGTGCAATGCCCAGAGTCCCTCTCTGAGAGAGATGGCCATTCAAACATATGAAAAATAAATAAATAAAATGTGCTTTTTCCAGCCAGCTGGCCTTTGCTGCCTCCCATTCATGAAAGGCAGGAAGAGGGCAAAGACTGACCCTGCCCCATGGCTCTGCAACCTCTGGAAAAGGGGACCCCAACCCACAAATCCCAGCAGACGGAAATTGCTTTTGTCTGTTTTGTAACGGCATTGGATTTGCTGATTCACATTTCTTTGGCAATCAGTGGCTGTTTCACAATCTTTCTTACAAATGTGGTTACCGAGGCAGCTATTTATAGTTCTATGTTGGGTTTCTATTTCAGTTGAAGAACCTTTACTTTTGTCTCCTAAATTTCATTTTGATATTTTCTGTCCACATTTTCACTATCAAGAGTCGTCTTAATTTTGAACAGACTAACAGAGTTGGAGGTCTTCTAGTCAACCCCTCACCTCAAACAGGAGATCCTATACTGTTGCAGACAAATGGTTGTCCAATCACTTCTTAAAAACTTCCAGTGTTGGAGCATTCACAACTTCTGGGGGGAAGCTGTTCCACTGGTTAATTGTTCTCACTGTCAGGAAGTTTTTCCTTAGTTCTAGGTTGCTTCTCTCCTTGATTAGTTTCCATCGGTTGCTTCTTGTCCTGCCTTCAGACCAAATTTCTGTTTTTGCCCTCTACAACATTAGCTGTCCCAACCAATTCTGCCTTATCTGCAGGCATACGAGCATTAATTTCTTCCTGTAAATTACTAATCCACATGGAATTCTTTATTGGCCAATTATACATGGCTAAACTATTCGAGATGGCCACTTCAGGACCACACCTGGTTCCCCCCTTGAACTCTTTTCTCCCGGGTGACACAGGCCTGTGGAAGAGAATGGTTTCCAACCATCAGCTGGGGTATAATATACCCCATTGCACCCCACGCAGGGAATATTTTTAGCCGGATTGAAATCAAGATAGGAGCCTGGATAGCTCTGCGGACAAGGCACTGTAATTTAACATCAGCTGTCTGCAATTAAAGTAAGTTCGAATCTTGCCAGGCTCAAGGTTGACTCAGCCTTCCATCCTTTCTAAGTTAGGTAAATTGAGGACTCAGTTTGTGGGGGCAATAAGCTGACTTTGTATAAATATACAAAAGTATGAAGGCTATTGCTTAACGCACTGTAAGCCGCCCTGAGTCTCCGGAGAAGGGCGGCATATAAATCAAATTAAAAAAAAAAAAAAAGATACATGAGTTGCCTGATCAAAGATCAACCACATTCAATACATTTTTTATTTAATCGGATAGACAGGCAGGCACCTGGGAGACACATTAGAAGCAGAGTGAGGTGCAATTTGTTTATCAGTTTGGGCTTAGGACCTGGGTAGTGGATCCTTGGAGCGGAAGGATTCACCTTCCAATTTCTTATCTGGTGATAACGTTGCTATGGGTTTGTTTGGCATTCAGCCTTGGTTCAAATTGTCATTCAGAAGATCCGTGGCACTCCTCCCTACCCAGCACAGCTCTCTAATCACCCCTCCCTCGCTGGGTGGCAGCACAGGGAACTCCCTTTGAAACTGACCTGAAGGATGCTGGCCCTCGAGCAGGGCTCAGGGGAGGTTGTGGGTGCTTGTCCAGCCAACCAAAGCTTCTGAAAGCTGGGGCCACATTGCCCCAAGGCATGACCTCCACCTGGCCGCCTGAGTCACCAACGGGAGACCCCGGTTAAGTACGTGCCCCCGTGGAGAAGACAGCGTCACAGGTTGGCTGTTGGGTGTTTCCATTGCTCCCCAAAACTTCTGCCTGCCAATCTGTCCTCCCCCCACCCTTTCTTTTGATCTTTGTCCGGGGCCGCACCCCATGAGACATCGGCACGTAAAGTCCCAATGGTGAAGGGGAAAGTCCAAGGTTCAACTTGGGTGAGCAGCCTCTTGCCCTATGCCCATGGAGGGTGGGTGGGGAACCGAGTCCAGCTATATTAATTGGAAAGGGGGTGCGCTCCTCCTTCACTCCAGCTGCTCCCCAGGATGGGCTGTGAGAAGGCAGGGCTGGTGGTGCTGCTGCTCCTGACCCTGGAGGGCCTTCTCGCCACCAGGTAAGAAATCCGCTTAGATTAAACTGAGGGATGGCAGGGAGCCTGGATCCATTTCTAGGTAAAACTTCCTCCGCTTCCAAGCAGAGCAGCCAAGACGACGGACATTCTACAGGCTCAGCCATATAACCAACAGGTGGAAACCAATCAAGGAGAGAAGCAATCCAGAAATAAGGGGAAATTTCCTAAGAGTGAGATCAATTAACCAGTGGAACGACTTGCCTCCAGAAGTTGTGGATGCTTCATTGCTGGAGGCGTTTAATAAGAGAGACTGGACAGTCACGGGGGTGAAATCCAGCAGGTTCTGACAGGTTCTGACGAACCGGTAGCGGAAATTTTGAGTAGTTCGGAGAACCGGCAAATACCACCTCTGGCTGGCCCCCGAGTGGGGTGGGAATGGGGATTTTGCAGTATCCTTCTCCCAGGAGTGGGATGGGAATGGGCATTTTGCAGTATTCTTTCCCTGCCACGCTCACCAAGCCACACCCACAGAACCGGTAGTAAAAAAAAATTGAATTTCACCCCTGGGACAGTCACTTGTTTGAAATGGTCTAGAGCAGAGGTGTCAAACTCAAGGCCTGCGGGCCAGGTGGAGCCCACCGGGGGCTTAAATCTGGCCCGTGGGGCCGGCCTGGAAATAGCCTAGGACCAGCCCGGGGTGCTTCTGACAGCCAAAATGGGTGCGGGAGGGCCTCTTTGGGTCCCTACACACCCCATTTTGGCCGACAAAGTGCTGCAGGAGGCCATCCAGGGGTGAGTCTTAAGGGGGGGAATCCCATTTTTAGCAGATTTGCCAAGTTGAGGGAGGACTGGCTCTGTTGGAAATAAGGGGTGGTTTGAAGTCAGCCCACAACAGAAGGAAAGCCCGAAATGTTGAAAGGTGGGCAGAAGCCCGTGGAGAAGAGGTGCTATCCACCTTGTCTATGGAGATTCTCAATCATCCAGGCCATGGTGGTCCCACAGGTGCTTCAGGGCAGGGGTCTCCAGCCTGGGCAACTTTAAGACTTGTGGACTTCAACTCAAGCACAGCTGGCTGAGGAACTCTGGGAGTTGAAGTCCACAAGTCTTAAAGTTGCCCAGGTTGGAGACCCCTGCTTTAGTGGACAGAACTGAAGAAGCTTCTTGGATGAGAAGTAAAACGTTTTCAAAGAAAAACCAAGAAGATGACCTTTTGAAGGATCCACCTTCGGTCACAAGGGAAAAGACACCCGGCCCCAAATTAGCAACGGACGGGGTGGGCACCAGCCTGCTGTCATTTCCAAAAATTTCCTCTTTTGACTCCATACCTAACCAAAAATCTTCATTTTGGCTGAAGAAGTGAACTTGGACGAGTAACGAAACGTCACAGTTTCATCAACGTTGGTCCAATTGCCAGACTTTCATCTTTTTCACTTGCGGGGGGTTCCCTCCGTGTTGTCTTGGGTGGGCTTCGGTGCTCATCCTAAGGCCTGGTTTTCAGACCCCCGCCCTGCCTTCCTCCGAGGCAGACTCCCACCGCACCGAGTGGAGACCCAAAGGTTCCTCCGAGGGGAACCTCAGAGCCCTTTGCCATCGGTGGCCGGAAGCTCTTGTGGGGCGCAGCGTGAGGGAGCTCCTCGGGGGGACCTCTGGGTGTAGCCTGTCCCACGGGCCCTCCGGCTGCAGTAACGGGGTGGGGAGGGGTGGGGGGGCAGGGTGCTCTGTCTTCTACTTTGTCTCCGTGCGGAAGTCAACCCTCCCTGCCCCTCCCTCTCATCCGCCGTTTCAGGGTACACTCAGTCCCAGGTGTGAAGACCCCACAGAAGACCCTGACCACCGACTGTGAGTAGTATTTCCCTTCCAATAAAGGAGAATGTTTGTAGTTTAGGGTTGTATTTCCTTTCCTCCCTCTTTCCTTCCTTCCTTCCTCCTCCCTTCCCTCCTTCGTTCTCTCTCCCTTTCTTCCCATACCTTCATTCCTTTTCTCTCCTTCTTTCCTTCTCTCTCCCTCTCTTTCCATCCCTCCCTCCCTTCCTTCCTTCTCTGTCCCTTTCTTTCCATCCTTTTCTCTCCTTCCTTCCTTTTCCTTCCTTCCTTCTTTCCTTTCCATCCCTTCCTTTTCCTTCTTTCCTTCCTTTCTTCTTTCCTTCCTTCCTCCCTTCCTTCCTTTGTTTTCTCTCCCTTTCTTCCTTTTCTCTCCTTCCTTCCTTCTCTCTCCCTCTCTTTGCATCCATCCCTCCCTTCCTTCCTTCTCTGTCCCTTTCTTTCCATCCTTTTCTATCATTCCTTCCTTTTCCTTTTCCTCCTTCCTTCCTTCCTCCCTTCTTTCCTTCCTTCCTTCCTTTTCCTTCCTTCCCCTGCACTGCCCCGGTCCCAGAGGGAGCAAGGGGCATCTTCTGTGCAGCTGCCCAGGGGGACACCTGGGAGCTTTGGAGGCAGAGGGGCAAAGGAGGCGTCTCACAGCTCCCAACCCCTTCCTCCCTCCTGAAGCAGGGAGTGGCTAGGCAGTGCCAAGCCAGGCGCTTCCAGGCGCTGGGAAACCCAGCATCTCTTGCACCTGGGGGTGGGCTGTGTATTGCTGGCTGGAGGGTCTGACCCTTTGCTCCTGCTCCCCCTTAGACTTCTGTGACTTTGACAATGCCGACCGCCCCTTCTGCGACTGGAGCCAGCCCCCCAACGGCCAGGGCAGCCTGTGGCTCCCAGCACAGGGGCAGAAGCCTGGGGCGAGCCCTGGACCCCCCGAAGGAGACATCGCACGGAGTAAGAGCTTCGGGGGGGGGGACAGTCTCTTCCACAGAGGCTGCGCTGGGCCCCTCTCAGTCCAGCACCCTCAATAGTCCCCGAGACAGACAGGCGCCCCTCGGGTTGGCACCCGCTGCCCTGGATCCATGCCAGGATGTGCTACCTTGGTCTGGGGCCCCTCCCTCTCCTGGCAGAACTTCCCCACAATCTGGAGCAGGCCCTGGGCTCCCAGCAAAGGGGGGAGGGGGGACAGAGGTCCCAGGGCCGCAAGCCAAGACCCTCCCTGCAAAGCTCTGCCCTTTGGGGTGCAGCTGGCGAGACTTGGCCAGGGCCCCATCCGCCTGGCCCCTCTGCTCTCCAGCACCCTCAAAGGGCCACGGATTCTCCCTTTCCAGGAGACAATTACATCCACCCAGCAGCTGGAGGGTTCGCACAACTGGAAAGCCCGGAGGTGGACCCGGCCGGAGCGGAGGTCTGCCTGCGATTCCTGTATTATTTCTACAGCTTCAACAGCGAAGACCAGCTGAGCATCGAGATCCGGAGCGCTTCGGGCAGTGTCGCCCCCTTGTGGACCCGGGAAGGAACGCAGAGCACCTCCTGGCTGAGTGGAGCCGTCACGATTCCTGCCCAGACTCCGCGCCCCTTCAAGGCAAGTGGTGGCCGGGGGAGGAAGGAGGGGAGACTCCTCAATTTATGACCATAACCGAGCCTGGCAATTGCAGGCGTAAATTGTGATGGTCATAAAGCAAGTCACCACGTGACCAGAGTCATTGCAACCTTTTGTGTGGCATTCGTTAAGCGAGCATGCTGGTCCTTAAGAAAACCCCATTTTCTGGCAAAAACAGAAACCGGGGCCATGTGACTGCAGGGCGTTGTGCCCAGGTGTAAATGAAGCCGAATAACAAAAGACCTACATACAAACATCCGCAAAAACCTCAGAAAACAAATATATATATATATATATATACACACACACACATATATATATACACATATATGTAGGTCTTTGGTTATTCAGGTTTTCTCCCGCGTAAAATTGGAGGTTTCTTGGCAACGTTTCGACAAAGTCTCATTCGTCATCTTCAGGCTGGTGTTCTCGGCTTCGTGCTTCTAGGAGCAATGGGTATATATGTATATACACATATATACATATATACATATATATATATATATACATATATACATATATATCTAATATAATATATATATACATACATACATACATACATATATATATATCACACCCCCACTGGCAGTTAAAAGGAAGAAACAGCTGCGATCACACACATTGCTCCTAGAAGCACGAAGCCGAGAACACCAGCCTGAAGATGACGAATGAGACTTCGTCGAAACGTTGCCAAGAAACCTCCAATTTTACACGGGAGAAAACCCGAATAACCAAAGACCTACATACAAACACCCGCGAAAACCTCAGAAAACAAACATTCCAAACCCAAATATATAACAGAATAAGAGCATAACAGATTTGGAAGGGATTTTGAAGGTCTTCTAGTGCAACCAATCATGGTTATATCTCACAGTTGGCCCACCCTATGTTCTCATATAGTTGGTCCTTTACACCGTCAGTCCTTGTCCTTGTCTGATCTGAATTTCATAAAACAATCATTGTTAACTCCTGGGGATGTAAACGCCCTATTTAGAGAGCAGGAACAAACCCTGATCTGTCTTTCTCTCCAGGTTGTTTTCAAAGGCAAACAGGTCAGCACAGGAGACATTGCAGTGGCTCTGGACTCCATCTTCATCCAACCGGGACCTTGTTCACGTAAGCAATCTTCCCCCAGGCCCCCACCACGTTCACACTTCGGTACAGTGTTTCTCAACCTTGGCAGCTTTAAGATGGGTGGACTTCAACTCCCAGAATTCTCTGGCACTAATGCATTCCTTTGGATATATATACACTTACCCATTGTGGCCTATTTACTCTCTTGTAATCCCTTCCTCTGCAATCTTTTCCCTCTAAGCGGTAGAATTCTGGCTAGGGAATTCTGGGAGTTGAACTCCATCCACCTTAAAGCTACCAAGGTTGAGAAAGACTGTTCTGGAGAAGAAGGGTTTTGCTGTACGGGGGGGGGGTCTCATTCTTTTTCCCCTTCCCGCTTCTACAGCCTGCATGACCAAATGCGATTTTGATACTCCGAACGACCTCTGCGGATGGAGCAACCCAGAAGAGGGAGATGTGATGTGGACTCAATGGGCTGGCCCTACAGAAACGCCTGGTGTGGGGCCACCGGATGACTTCTCCAGGCCTGGATGTGAGTATGAACTGGGCAAGAATGTATTACCTGTTGGAGCAGGTATTGCTAAGGTGCTTTCCTCCAATGTAAGGAGAGGTTTGTTTTGCATGTAATTCCGGGTAATTTTTCATCAAAGAAGGTGAGAAGCTTCGGTTCCTCCAATTAACAACTTCTGAAAACCAGCCAGACCATTCTTGAATTTGATAGCTGAGAGAGAAAGTTTGGGAGAAAACCGAGAGCGAGGGTGGGAGGGGGGATTGTGCTAATCCTCACCAATTGGGTGGCCCTGTTATGGAATGATGGGACCAAACAACATTCCTGGGTCAGCCAGAGACAGTTTATTGCGCAGTTTCAGAATCAGATTTGTATCTGCAATTCTGAACAAAGAAGAGCTCTGATACAATTGCTTTTTATACTTTAACATGACAAAGGATTTGATGTGAGCACAGCAGTTTTCCATATATGGTTAACATACATTTGTTACATGATAATTGACACTTTCTAATTACTAAATTCTTTCATTATTTTCTAGTTCATAAGATTATCTTAGCTAAACAACCTTCCTCAGTTCTGTGATTGCTGATGCGTAGATTCATGGCTGCTTTTGGATAATGAGTAACTTTTTGTTTCATATGGGTGTCCTTTATCCTTGACAGCTAGGCCCCTCAGAAGATATATTACCAAGAATGGAATTTAGCTGATTTAGTGTAATCTCTAAACAAGCACATTTCTTTCTTATAATAATGTGAATAAAGAGGGTCCTTCAGTGTTCATATAGCTGACCCTGTACTATTCCTACATCATTCACATTAGCCCAACATGGGCTCAGAGATATTTTAGTCAGGATTACCTGCCAGGAGACGCAGGCTGTATTCAGAGCCAATGTAGGCATCTTTTTAAACACCAAGATCAGCCACCATCCATGTCCCCTCCCATGCATTATTATTTATTTATTTAGTGTATGGCATAACATAGATGGATTTACAACATATGTTAACATTTCACCCAGATTAAAAGGAGCACAGTGGCTCGAGTGGGTGGAACGCTGGGTAGGAGGTTAGCAAGCCCGTGTTTGAGTCCTGAGAGCTGCCGTGGGGCAGGGTTGAGCTCTCGTCCTTCATTCCAGCTCCTACCGGGGACATGAATGGAGCCCCCAACTGGGTCTCCCCCAGGAGAACGGTGATGTGCCTCGGTGCAAACCTAGATTAAAAACGCAGTAAAATTTGAACTTTGAAAGGATCTGTATTGAGATACCAATGTCTAGGCCATCTAACCACTGAAGCTCAGCATCGTTTATGTATGAAAAAAGATCAGATAGTGGACTGATCAATGCCTGCAGCTTACAGCCAGTCACGATGTGATCTTGTTCTGACCCAGCTCCCCAAACACGACAAACCCTCTGACGTGAACTCAAAAGATTCCTTTGTACTCAAATTGGGGACTGTAAATATATTTTGCTTACTTTCATCATATAATTTAGATGTGTTTGGTAAGTAACTACATAAATATCATCGCTTTTTAAACATTTTGCTTGTTTCCTTTTGTCCGCTGTTGGAGAGGTCGTTCAAAACCTGGCACCTTTTTTTGCGGGGCCATTTTTGTGTCTTCCTGTACCTGGGGGTTCAGCAGCCCATTTGGCTTTCCGTTGGGAATCGAGGTTAAAGTTGTTAAGCAGAGGTTGTGCAAGTGCCAGCAGGTCAGGGTTCGGGTTGCGAAATCTGGAGCTGTAATTGGACTCCCAACAGGGATGTGCTGCAGATTGGTGGTGTCCACCGCTCAGTGTGTGGCGCCATTGAGGAAGCACGAATCCCCCAGAGCTCCAACAAGGAGCATCAACGCAAGGATTGGGGGTAAAGTACCTTGTGGGTGAGGCTATCAAAGTGGAGTTTCGGTGGAATTCTTGCATTTTGACTCACCCGGACTGAGTCGCTGTTGAGGAAACTGTGGACTATGAGCCTGGCTGTTGGCTCGTGATGGGCACCATCCCTCCGGAGGCTTTTATGGCCCAGGCTGCACAGCACAGCCTCAGCCTTTTCAAACCTGCTTCCCCCGCCCCCCCCCCCAGACTCCTGTCCCAAAGCCAATTCAGATCCTTTCCACTGTCGTTGTAGTTGGTTCCTTCATGTTGCTGAATTCTTTTGACGAGGCGAGTCATGGAAGCAGCTTTCTGAAGAGCCCCACGTTCAGTTCAGGAGGGTGCCTTCTCCTGGCATTCTTCTTCATTCTTCATGGCGTCTCTGACGATGCGGCCCTGAAGGTCTACGCGGCTCCCATAGGCAAGTTCCTGGGCCTTCTGAAGGGGATACACCCTTCCCCCACAAAGACCCTCTGAGCAGACGAACCCTTGAGTAAACAACATTTCCTCTTTGTGTTTCCTGTAAATAGGGGGAGATCTGGGGTTCCCATTGCTGTTTCTCAAAGGGGAACACGGTCCCAACTGGAGGGGAGGATTCGCTAAATATACTGGGAGGGGGGACATCCAGGTAAGTTGGTCGAAGGGGAGATGATGCTGGGGGTGTTGAATAAGCTGCTCGCTTTGGCCATGTGGGAGTAGAAGGAGTAGAGGGTAACACAGGCAGTCCTCACAATTAAGACCAAAATTTCCATTGCTAAATGAGACAGTTGCTAAGTGAGTTTGGCCCGTTTGATGAGCTTGAATTTGCAAAGCACCGGTGTGGCAATGTCTACACCAGGGGTGTCAAACTCAAGGCCCACGGACTGGATCCAGCCCTTGGGGTGCTTAAATCCGGGCTGGAAATATCAAAGGATCGGCCTGCAGTGCCTCTACCAGCCAAAACAGGCTGCGTGCAGCCCCCCTGCAGCCCATTTTTGCCCCCCCGGCCTCCTGCAGCCCTCTGCTGGCCAAAAACGGGCGGCGTGGAGGCCTTGCCTCCACTTGGCCCATTTTTGGTGGGCAGACGGCTGCTGGAGGCCAGGGAGGCTGAAAACAGGCCATACAAGGACCTCAGGAGACCCCTGTGCGGCCTGTTTTTGGCAGGCGGAGTCCTGCTGGAGGCCATGGAGGGCGAAAATGAGACATGCGGGGGCATGCACAGCCCTCCAGCCCTGTTTTGGCCCGCAGGGTGCTGCAGGAGGCATCCGTCCTGTCTCTCCCCCACCACTCCCTGCCTCCCTCCACCCCGCGGAGGAGAACTACAATGCTGATCCGGCCCTCAAGGAACCCCTGGTCTACACAGACGGTCCGATTTCAGAGAGGGGAATTAAAATAACCATTGATTACAATACTACACAGAGAGTTGAGTGGTCATCCTTAAGCATCTATGGGCATCCTTTGCAGCTGGTGGTCACTCATGGTTTTCTACTTCTAGTTTGTCTTTGAAGGCATCTATGCAGGCCAACCCGGTGTGGCAGTGGACAATGTGGCAGTTTCTCCCTGTGAAGGTAACCTAACCCCAACCATGTGGGCAAGTGGTGTGGGGGAGTGGGGCTGAAGAATAGCCAAGGGGTGAAGGGAAGCTGCCCACCCCAGCTGACTCTTCCTGGCTGCGTTCCCTGCCCCACAGATACTTTTGCCAGCTGTGATTTCAACAACAACATGGACCCCTTCTGTGGCTGGAGTGTGTCTGTGAATAACACCTGGAAACGAACAAACCGAAACACCCCAACGGAAGACACAGGCCCCCCTGGAGATTATCCCCATGGTGGTAAGAAGAAGGGGACACAGCTGGGATCTCAAGAAGGGGTTTTCATCACTTCCATGCCATTAGAATTGGGGGACAAACAAAAAGAATAGGGAAAGTGCTGGAGGTCAGATGGAGATTTGGGCAGGGAATTACTGAAAAAAAACCATCTGCCCTGCCTCCTTTGGGATCCTTCCAGAAGTCAGTTTCTTGTACAATTTACAGCAATGCACAAAACACAATATTGTGTAGCAATAAAGGAAAATATTTGCAGCTGAAGATTGAAATGAGGGGCTTGTTTTCTTGCAGACATTTCATGACCCAAAGTAGGTAACATCATCAGTGCTAGAAGGGAGTGGGATTGAACGAGAAGGAGGAGGAGGGGTCTAGGACAACTTGCCACAGCCAACTCGCCACAACTGTGGCCAGCTCGCCATGGCCAAATCACCACGGGACAACTTGCCATGGACAACTCGTTGAAGGACAACTTGCTGTGGCACAAAAGTTACATAATATCAAAGAAATGGTGGAATAGAATCATTATAGAAAGGATGCAGAAGGAGGGACAACATGAAATGTGAATGGCAAAAATTAAAATATTTTTTTAATTATGTTAAATAATTAAATAAAATTGTTGAATTGTCCTGCGGTGACTTGTCTTGCAGGAAATTGGCCTTGGCGAGTTGTCTCATGGTGAGTTGTCCATGGTGAATTGGCAGTGGTGAGTTGGCTGCAGTGAGTTGTCCCATTTTGGAGGAGGACTGCGGTCCTTAGTGCTAGATGAGCATGGTTGTTTTCTTGCAGACATTTAATGACCCAACTAGGTGACATCATCAGTGTAATGATCCTTGATGAACATCATCTAGCACTAATGATGTTACCTACTTTGGGTCATGGAATGTCTGCAAGAAAACAACCAAATTCAGAGAGCACCAAGCACCCCTCACAATACTATGTGGCCTGACCTCCTCTCTCTGGTGCCGTTCCTGTCAGTGGATGTCCTGATAGGTCTCCCTCACCTTTTCTAGAAGGCTACTACATCTACGTAGAAGGTGGCCAACTGAAGCCGAATGAGTCTACGCGTTTCTCCAGTGCACCATTCTGCATGAATCAGGAGGCCTGCGTTGAATTCTACTACCACATGCATAGCGTCGTGGAAGTGGAGACCCGGCTCCGGGTCCTGCTGGAGGAACCTTCAGGAAGTGCTGTTCTTCTCTGGAACCGTATGGGGACTCAGGGTCCCAACTGGCTGTACGGATCTGTGACATTGCCGTACACTGGAGCACAGCCAAGCAAGGTTAGTGGAAAAGGAGGCTAACGGATTCCAGGCGTACAAGGAGCACCGATGTAGTTTATTGACAACCAGGAATTTGCATATTTTAGGATGCAAGCCATCTGGGGGGGGAGGGTGGAACAGATGTCTGCATATCTGCGGTGGTCCCAGCTTTTGGGTAAGATGAACCATGATTGACTAGCAATAAAGGAGAATATTTGTAGCTCAGAGTTGAAATGAGGGTGCTCGCTCACCTTTGCTGTTTGCTTACAGGTGTTTCATTACTCAAACTAGATCACACCATCAGTGCTAGATAGTTTGGGCAATGAAATATCTGCAGGAAAACAGCCAAACTCAGAGATCAGTAAGGACACCCCCCCCCCCATGACTGACTGTTTTCCTTGAATTCAGGTCTCTTTTGAGGTTATCAGAGGAAGCAACGCCTACTTGGACGTGTCATTGGATAACATTTTGGTGCGCAAGGGCCATTGTGCAGGTGAGGCAGTCTAAGCAGGATTTGCACACCTAGATAGACAAGTATGAAGGTATAGGCTGCAGTAGATGTGGGCAGGATTGTCAGTTTTCTTTCTGGGTGGATAGAGCGGCACAGAAATACAAATGTGTGACAGTCCACCTGTGTTTCTGTGTAGAGGGGAAGTGCTGCTTTTGATTACATTGTGTAAGGTAAGCTTCCATAAAAGGGACATGAAAGAAGTTCACAGCAGAAAGAAACAAAATAGAGAAGAAACCCAATATATCTCGATGGCTCTTGGAGCCCCTGTGAGAGTTACAGGCTCTGAATGGTGCCAGAGGCCCAAGAGACTTATCCTTGATGGTCCTAACTTCAAAATTGTTCTTCTTTCCAGAACACCCAGCACCTACTGTGCCTCCAAGCACCAGCTCAACAGCTCCAACGACTACTGGGGGACCAGTTGTGACTGTACCCTCTGAACAATCTACCATCTCCCGGCCTACAATGATTACCTCTTCAGGACCCACAAGGTCCACTGCTACAAAAAGCACAGGGACCAAGCCTCATCCAACAGCCCTGAGGTCCACAATGGACACTGGCCAGTCCAACAGGCCGATCACCATAACTACAAGCACTCCTGTCATCACCAGGAATGAAAGTCTGGCCACTACACCAGTTCCTCCCATCACCACCACCAAAACTGCCCCTTCCAACATCACCGTCCCCAGTGGAACAGCCACTACTCCCACCACCACCAGCACAGCTGTCCCTCCCAACATCACCGTCCCCAGTGGAACAGCCGCTACTCCCACCACCACCAGCACAGCTGTCCCTCCCAACATCACCGTCCCCAGTGGAACAGCCGCTACCCACCACCACCACCACAGCTGTCCCTCCCAACATCACCGTCCCCAGTGGAACAGCCGCTACTCCCACCACCACCAGCACAGCTGTCCCTCCCAACATCACCGTCCCCAGTGGAACAGCCGCTACTCCCACCACCACCACCACAGCTGTCCCTCCCAACATCACCGTCCCCAGTGGAACAGCCGCTACACCCACCACCACCCACCACAGCTGTCCCTCCCAACATCACCGTCCCCAGTGGAACAGCCGCTACACCCACCACCACAGCTGTCCCTCCCATCATCACCGTCCCCAGTGGAACAGCCGCTACACCAACCACCACAGCTGTCCCTCCCAACATCACCGTCCCCAGTGGAACAGCCGCTACTCCCACCACCACCAGCACAGCTGTCCCACCCAACATCACCGTCCCCAGTGGAACAGCCACTACTCCCACCACCACCAGCACAGCTGTCCCTCCCAACATCACCGTCCCCAGTGGAACAGCCGCTACTCCCACCACCACCAGCACAGCTGTCCCTCCCAACTTCACCGTCCCCAGTGGAACAGCCGCTACTCCCACCACCACCAGCACAGCTGTCCCACCCAACATCACCGTCCCCAGTGGAACAGCCACTACTCCCACCACCACCAGCACAGCTGTCCCTCCCAACATCACCGTCCCCAGTGGAACAGCCGCTACTCCCACCACCACCAGCACAGCTGTCCCTCCCAACTTCACCGTCCCCAGTGGAACAGCCGCTACTCCCACCACCACCAGCACAGCTGTCCCTCCCAACATCACCGTCCCCAGTGGAACAGCCGCTACTCCCACCACCACCACCACAGCTGTCCCTCCCAACATCACCGTCCCCAGTGGAACAGCCGCTACACCCACCACCACCAGCACAGCTGTCCCTCCCAACATCACCGTCCCCAGTGGAACAGCCGCTACACCCACCACCACCACCACAGCTGTCCTCCCCCAACATCACCATCCCCAGTGGAACAGCTGCTACATCCACCACCACCACCACAGCTGTCCCTCCCAACATCACCGTCCCCAGTGGAACAGCCAGTACACCCCCACCACCAGCACAGCTGTCCCTCCCAACATCACCGTCCCCAGTGGAACAGCCGCTACTCCCAAACCAACAACTATGTTGCAACCTCCCACTTATATCACCAAACCAAGCAAGCCATCTTCCCCCAGCTCTACCCTGACCAGCTCTACCACTTCTAAGAGTGCCCAGCCCTCTGGTCCCACCACCACACAGCCCCTGCTGACGGATTCTGTTAATACCCCCAAATCTACAACAAAGAGACCAGGCGTGGACCAGATGACTCCTGGGCAACCTCCAGGTTGGTGCTTTGCACAGGTTGTAATCTAATAGGTCTCACTGTTTCAGTCATTACTTCAGAAATGGATGTTTAGGTAAGGTGAAAATTGCAGTTGTAAAAAAGAACAAATCTATTTAGCTATAACATTAGGAACAGAATAACAATAACAGAACAACAAAAATAAGAGCAAAATGTCGCTTTTCTGATGAAAGAAGTGTTGTTTTCTGTTATGCCAGGAAAAAGAGAAATTTAGCAAAGACAGCTGGCATCACAACGTTGCTTTTATTGTCCTAGAGCAGGGCTATGAAACTGGCGGCCCGTGGGCCAAATGCATCATGTGCAGGCCATGTCCACCCCTGTCCCATGAAGGGGAAAATGTTGTGAAACGTCAGGTGACAGCAATGTGACGTGGCAAGTTTGACACCTGTGTCGTAGAGAATACCTTTTGTCTTTTTTAAACCTCTTTTTCTTCTCCAAGTACTGATAATTCCCAAATACCTCCCTTTTGGTGGGGAAACATTTATAGCTACGTGAATCAAAATGGGGAACAGAACAGACCCCCATGAGGAGAAGAAAATCACTCTGCCCATGCTCAGAAAGCTCGGAAACATACTGCTCTGGTTAATCCATGGGAGCAAACAGCTTTTCATGTGTCCTTTATCCAAGTCAGGAGGGGGGGGGAGGTTGCTGACCCCACTTTCTCCCCCGAGCTTCATCCTCTATTGTCTCCCAAAGATTCTGCATCCTGCATAGTTTCCGGAGATCCCCATTATGAAACGTACGATGGCCACCTCTTCCATTTCATGGGGAATTGCACCTACCTGCTCACTGCCACCTGCAATGCTACGCCCGACCAGCCCACCTTCCAGATCCAGACAACCAACGAACACCGCGGGAGCAACACCAAGGTTTCCTACCTCAAGTCGGTCAATGTCACTGTGCACGGGACCCAGATCGTGCTGCTGAAAGGGCGGAGAGTAACTGTGAGTATTTCTGCTCCCACGTCCTGCATGGTTACTCCTTGTTACTGAAAACATTAGCCAGAGAGGACCCCCCCTCTCCTGCGCCCATCACTGGGACCTTCTCTTGACTTTGCCACACAGGTAGATGGAAAGCGAGTTACCTTGCCTGTCTCTCTGGCTGGGGGACGAGTGTCTGTGCGCCTGAGTGGCACTTTTGTTCGGGTCCAAACGGTTTTCGGCCTCTCGGTGAGATTTGATGGGAACCACCATGCTGAGGTCTCCGTCCCATCGTCCTATTTTGGGAAGCTCTGCGGCCTTTGCGGTAAGGAGTCAAAATGGTCACTTTTTACCTGGGCTGGGAAGACAGCAGGAGCTCCACCAGAAACCAGTACAGAGATGCAGCCTGTTTTGGGGGGCACAAAAGGTCTTCTTTATAGATAATGGGGCAGGAAGTGAGTCAGAATTCCTCAGCGTCCACAGTTTTCATCGTGATTTTAAGAGACCTAGAGCAGTTGAGGCTGGGAGCAGATTTGGAGATTGAGAACATGTGATGAGCACAACCACAGAAGGGCTGCCCAGGAGAACACAGCCAGCCACAAACACCCTAGTGATCCGAGGGCTGTCCTGTGCTGATAGTTAGCATAGGAGCAGTGATAGTCAACATTTTGGGCTCAGCATGTCAAAAATTCAGAAAACGCCCACCCGTGGATTCTGCTGGCGTGTGAAGCACCCACATAGACAAAAGAGATGAGTCTGGACTTTCATCTCCTCTCCTTCGGACCTCCCTCTCTGGAAGTCACACAAGAGAACTACACTTTCACGCAGCCTCTGGAAATCACGTGAGCCTTCCCCCGCGATGTTTGGATGCTCCAGAGGCCCCCCACTTTTGTGACTTCCAGAAGGTCCAGAGGCCTGGAGTGTCACCAAAAATGGTCTGTGACACGTATGTCATAGGTTTGCCAATCACCGGCTTAGCCTCTGAAGTACCCTAAAGTAGAGACGAAAGGAAGTCTGGGGGCATTGTGTTGCCATTCTCTGCCACAGAGGAAGACGTGCATTTTCTGTTTCTGCTAGGAAAGGCCTACATGCCGGTTTCACAGGTGACATTTGCCCTGGTTTGCCTCATTTAATAACTCCTCATTTAATAACTCTAATTGGGATTATGTCAGGCCAAAGACGACACAATGAGATTCACTCCAGCACAATTCTTTCGTTTGCTTACACCTAATAGACAGAATCTTGCCGGACTAAATTTGTAACCTTCTAACTCAGGGGTGTCAAACTCGATTTCATTGAGGGCCGCATCAGGGTTGAGTTTGACCTTGGGGGGCTGGGGTGGGCATGGCCAGCTCGATGTCACTCATGTCGGGCGCCCCTGTGGTGGCCCAAGCACTCTGCCTGTGAAAACTGACTCCTGAGCTCCGTTTTCAGCTGCGATGGCTTCCTGCAACCCTCTGCCAGCAAAAACGGAGCTCTGGAGGGCTGCACATGGCCTCCTGAGCTCCCTTTTTGCTGGCAGAGGCACTGCGGACTGGTCCTTTGCTGTTTCCAGGGCGGCCCCACGGCCCAGATCTAAGCACCCCGTGGGCCTTGTTCTAATCTAATAGAGGCACCCTGGGAGATTGGAAGATGAGGCTGCCCTGGACGTTTTCCCTGCCACCCCATTCACTTCAGGACTGTGCGTCCCTCTCCGGCATGTGCTGCTGCCTCCCTGGGGAGTCATGGTGCCACCATTGACATTCCCACCCCCTTCGTTCTCCTTCAACTGCACATTCCCTCACGGACCGACAACTCCATCACTAAGCAAAGCAGTGGTTCAGCAACATGTCACATGGTGCCCCACTTAGCAACGGTAGTTCCAGCATTCCCTGTTGTGTTTGATAAATGAGACATCATGTGACCATGACTTGCGACTTCCTGCCGGCTCCCCCAATAGCTTTGCTTAGCTGAAACTGGATAGGAAGGTCACAGATGAGGACCACAACATGATGGACAATCAGGACTGTGGGACGCTAGGTTGGTCATAAAAGATGGGGGGAGGGGGGCAAGGAACTGGCTCGCAATCACGTGACCGTGGGGGACACTGTGAAATTTGTATGTGCAAGGACAGATTGTAAGTCACCTTTTCCAGCACTTGCAGTATCTTCAAACACTCATTAAGTGAATGATTGTTAAGTGAGGATTACTCGTACATGGTTCTATTGCACGGACCTGTTTGTGCAATGTGAACTCTGTGTAATACAGGTACTGTTAGTGACTGTTCAAAGAGTGGTGCGGTGGCCCAGAGGTGGCGCTCTTGCCTTGCAATCAGGAGGCTGTGAGTTCAATCCCAGGTAGAGGCAGATATTTCTCTTTCTGGGCACAATGAGAATAGATCTGCTGAAGAAAACTCCGCATTGGTGACAGGAAAGGCATCCGGCCACTCAAACACTCTGCCAGCTCCATTCAGTTGCCCAGACTCCACCCTGCAAGGGATTATGGGGTCATTAAATGAAGATGATTTAGTGACCGTTCAAAGTTTTAGCAGCATTGAAAAAAATGACTTATAACCGTTTTTCACAGTGACGACCTTTGCAGTGTCCCCATGGTCACATGATCAAAATTCAGACCCCCGGCCGCTAGTTCATACTTATGACGGTCGCAGTGTCCCGGGGTCATGTGGTCCCCTTTTGAGAATTTCTGACCTTTGGGGAAGCCAGACTCACTCAACAACTGTGTTACTCACTTATCAACTGCAGTGATTCACTTAGCAACTGCGGCAAGGAAGGCCGTAAAAGGGGGTAAAACTCACTTAACAACAAATATTTTGGGCTCAATGTCGTCATAAGTCAAGGACTACCTGGATATGAGCAAAACATGAGTAACTGCCTCCTTCCACTCTTCCCTCCTTCTCCTTTTCCAGGGAACTTTAACGGACAATTAGGAGATGACAATCTCATGCCTGATGGCACCTCAGCGGGGGCAGATGCCAACCAGCTGGGGAAGAGCTGGCAAGTGCCCAACATAGGTTTTGACAGGTGAGTCTTACGTCCCACCCATCTCTCTGAAACGCTGGCCTCGTCCCCAGTAAGAAATTTTGAATAGGAAAGTGCCAGCATTTCCCTAATAACTTCAAAGCTGCTCTGGCTGAGATTCCTAAAAAAATGTTTTTACCTAATTTGATTTCAAAACTTGAAAGAAGGTAGCTAAAAGCACAGTGGGGGGGGGGAGGTTCCCCTTAAAATCCTCCGTTGTCTAAAACAGGGGTCTCCAAAACTTAGCAACTTTAAGACTGGTGGACTTCAACTCCCAGAATTCCCCAGCCAGCATGGCAACTTGGCAACTTTGAGACTGGTGGACTTCAACTCCCAGAATTCCCCAGCCAGCTTGCTGGGGAATTCTGGGAGTTGAAATCCATCAGTCTTAAAGTTACAAGTTTGGAGACCTGTGATTTAAAGCAATGTTTTTTAAACTTGGCAACTTTAAGTGCTGACTGGGGAATTCTGGGAGTTGAAGTCCACACCATCTTAAAATTGCCCACTTTGGAAAAAACGCCATCTAAAGGAAGGAGGTTCCTGAAGAAATTCTTATGAAAGTTCAGATTGAAGCAACCTTGTGAGGCAGTGGTGAAATCTGAACCAGTTTGCTACTGGTTCACTGGCTGTGCATGCGTGCTTGGGAACCTTTTTAAAAACTTTTTTAATGCATTTTTTTTTACTACCAGTTCAGCGAACCTGTAGCATTTTTCACTACTGGTTCGGGCGAACCGGCCCAAACTGGTAGCATTTCACTCCTGTTGTGAGGTCAAGGAAGGGCTGGAGAATCTGCCCAATGTCTGTGGGATCCCAGCTTCCTCCGTCCCTCCCTCCCCCCCTTCCAGCCTGGTCATGGGAGGTGTCATCCAGCACATCTGGAGAACAACTGGTTGAAGAAGGCTGTCCTTTCGGTGACATGTATGGTGTTCCTTTGCAGCTGCACGGACCCAGAAGATCCTGAAAAATGCAATCCGGACATTGCAGCGGAGGTTCAGGGACCCACCAGTTGTGGGATTCTTGCAGATCCCCAAGGTAAGAGATCATTGGACCCTCTGGGGCTTTTTAGGAGGGGAGTAAAGAATAAAAGAATAAGAGAGTTGGAAGGGGGCTCGGAGGTCTTCTAGTCCAGCCCCCTGCTCAAGCAGGAGAACCTATCCCATTCTGAACAAATGCTTGTCCAATCTCTTCTTGAAAACCTCCAGTGATGAAGCACCTGCAACTTCTGGTGGCCAGCTGTTCCCCTGGTTAATTGTCCTCACTGTTAGGAAGTTTCTCCTTAATTCCAGGTTGCTTCTCTCCTGGATTAGTTCATCACTGGAGGCTTTCAAGAAGAGATTGGACTGCCATTTGTCGGAAATAGTGTAGGGTCTCCTGCTTAGGCAGGGGGTTGGACTAGATGACCCACAAGGTCCCTTCCGACTCTGTTAATGTGAAATTCTTGTCCTGCCTTCTGGTGTTTTGGAGAATAGATTGACCCCCCCCTCTTTTTTGGGTAGCCCCTCAAATATTGAAGACTGCTATCATGTCACCCCTAGTCCTTCTTTTCATTATACTCTGTTTCCCTAAAAATAAGACCTCCCTCAATAATAAGCCCAATTAGAGTTTTGAGCGCATGTGCTAAAATAAGCCCCCCCCCCAAATAAGCCCTCCCTGAAAATATTTAACTGCATGCACAGCCAGTCCCCGCCATTTCCTCTGGTTAGAGTTAGGGAGACAGAGCTGGAAATCAGGTAAGATGGCAAGAGGAACCCCGTCTCGCTCCACGCGCCCCAAAATAATAAGACCTCCCTGAAAATAAGGCCAGGGGCTTATTTTGGGGTTCAAAAAAATATAAGACAGGGCCTTATTTTCAGGGAAACACAGTATTAGACATTCCCATTTCCTACTTGCAAGTTCCTAGTCCCTATGGAGACCAAAGTGCTGGTTTTCTAGGAGCTTGTGGGTCTCCATCAGTCAATGGAGGTTGATTGTGAACTGAGCTTCTGTTTCCCCATAGGTCCATTTGCTCAATGCCATGACAAGGTGCCACCCGAGGTGGCATTTGAGAACTGCTTCTACGACCTCTGCGAAACTGGCGGAGACACAGGGATGCTGTGCTTTGCCCTACAGTCCTATGCCGACCGCTGTGCCCAAGCCGGGGTCCCCATCGTCTGGAGGAACAGCACTTTCTGCCGTAAATATATTCCCAGTATAGAGAGATTGGCCTGTGGGGGGAGGGGGGGTTCCTGGGACAGCTTCTGAGTAATTAAGAGCGGATGCAGGAAATAGCAATACAAGATTAAGGCACAGGGCTTCAGTTCAGGGGCTGAGTTTGGAGAGGGGAGAAGGTGGATTCGGAGAGAACTGTGTGTTTTCCAAAGAATGGAATGGAAAAGAGAAAAGAGAAAATAATAGAAAATAGAAAATAATGGAAAAGAGAAAAGAGAAAATAATAGAAAAGAGAAAAGAGAAAATAATAGAAAAGAGAAAATAATGGAAAAGAGAAAATAATAGAAAAGAGATGTCAGCGCTTCGACGCTGGAATAGAGAGCGGAAGGGAGAGAGAGATAAGCTCTGAACTTTTGCCTGCTAAATCCCTTTGAAGTCGGGTTGACGTGGAAATGAAGGGGGGGAGACATTCCTGGGAAATGACGAGACAAGAAGTCTGAAGAATGACTTGGAAGATAGCCAATGAGAAGCAGAGATTTGGGGATCGGAAAGGGAGGGATTGGGGGGCAAAAGGTCAGTCTTGTCCGCATCGAGTCATGATCCGGTGGCTGTGCTCAATTAAGGAAAAGATTTCCTTAAAGATTGGCAGTTTGGAAATTCATTTATTTTGAGATAGCATCGAAGTCTGGCAAGAGAAAATAATGGAAAAGAGAAAAGAGAAAATAAGAATAGAATAGAATAGAGTAGAGTAGAATAGAATAGAATAGAATACGATAGGATGGGATGGGATGGGATGGGATGGAATATAGCAGTGATGGTTAACCTTTTCCGGACTGAGTGCCCAAAGCACGCACATGTGAATGCGTGCACACACCCAAACCCCAAAATGCAATGTGCGTGCGGCCCCTGCACATGTAGACTCAACCCCTGCACGTGCCCTGCACCCCCACGCATCCACACGCACCCCCTGCACATGCCCCCCACATGTGTGTGCTGCCCCCACGCATGTGCAGCAGAGATCTGATGATTAACTGGCCAGCCAGAGGTGCGCACACATGCGTGACAGAGCTGAACTGGGGCGACAGCTTGCGTGCCGTAGGCTTACCATCACGGGAATGTAGAATATAGAATATGGCATGGAACGCAATAGCATAACTTTATTGTCCCTTTGCATGTACACTCGTTGGCATACATTAAAACGAAATTTCGCTGCATGCAGCTCTCAAAGGGTCACCACCTCCAATATACACTACATAACCACAACAGAGTAAATAAATAAGTAAACAACTGATCCAAAATTATGCCTATACCCACATATACTATGATATGACAGCGGGGGGTTGGACTAGATGACCTACAAGGTCCCTTCCAACTCTTGTCAATCTGTTAAAAGCCTCTCTCTCTCTCTCTCTCCTCTCCCCAGCCCTAAACTGTCCTCCGGGAAGCTCCTACAGCCCCTGCGGTACGGCCTGCCCTGCAACCTGCCTGGATCCGGAGCCCCAGAACGGCTGCCCTGCCCTGCCCTGCGTGGAGGGTTGCGTGTGTGACCAGGGCTCCGTCCTCAGCGGAGACCAGTGTGTGCCACTCAGCCAGTGCGGCTGCACAGATGGCGACGGGAACTACCACGTGGTGAGAAGGGCCGGGCTGAGTCTGCAAAGGGGCTCCTTGGCTCTCGGGGGCCTGGGGTGGAATTCAGTCCACAGGGAGTCCTTCACTTACAACCGTTCGTTTAGTGACCGTTCAAAGTTGCAACAGCATTGAGAAAAGCGACGTGTTTTTTTTCCCCACCCCACTGTTGTAGCATCCGCAGGGCCGTTTCATTACCGTTCAAAGTTACAATGGCACTAAAAATACTGATTTATCACCATTTTTCACACGTAGGCAAACTTTGCAGCCTCCCCATGATCAAAGATCAGGCGCTTGGCAACCGACTCATACTTATGACGGTCGCAGTGTCCCAGGGTCACATGATCCCTTTTTGCGACCTTCTGACAAGTGAAGTCAATTGGGAAGCCGGATTCACTTAACAACTGCAGTGATTCATTTAATAACTGTGGCAAGAAAGGTTGCAAAATGGAGCAAAACTCATTTATTATTTATTTATTAGTCCAATTTATATGCCGCCCTTCTCCGGAGGCTCAGGTTGGCTTACAATGCGTTAAGCAATAGCCTTCATACTTTTGTATATACCTGCTTATTAGGGCTTTTAGCCCCCCCATAAGCGGTGTTTCTACAAAGTCAGCTTATTGCCCCCCACAATCCAGGTCCTCAATTTACCTACCTCGGAAGGATGGAAGGCTGAGTCAACCTCGAGCCTGGTGAGATTTGAGCTCGCAGTAATCGCAGGCAGCTGGCAGCTAAGCGCTACATAACAGCACTTAGTCCGCTGCACCACCAAGGCTCTTTATTTAACAAATGTCTTGCTTAGCAAACAAATTTTGGCCTCAATTGTGGTCGTAAGTCAAGGACTACCTGGAGGATAAAGTCGGGTGCCGGGCACCCCTGAGTCTTTGGGGGTTCAGCCTCTGCACAGCACATCCTGGGGGGCAGTGTAAGAACAGGAGGGGGTTTAAGAGCTGCAGTGGTTAGAACTGTGGTTAGAACCAGTGGTTACTACCGGTTCTGTAGCTGTGGCTCGGTGGGCGTGGCTTGGTGGGCATGACAGGGGAAGGTTACTTCAAAATCCCCATTCCCTCCCCACCCCACTAACCTGCTCTGGGAAGGAATCAAACTCCCCCCTCTTCATTTCCCCAAATAAAATATTACTCATAAGAAAAGGCTCCCAGAAAAGCAAGGAAAAATCAAGCTGCTAAGAAAGGAACCTGCCTGAGGCTCATTCCACATTCCTGCCAGCTGCATAAAGGAAACTTTGTAAGAAGAAAACAGCTACGGGTGCTTAGAGATAATAGAAAGTGGAAGCCGGAAGTTCAGCACCATTTACAAGCAGGCAGAAAACTCATTCAAAACAGGATATTTCACAATGGAAATCGCCCAAACCTTTTTAGAAGCACAAAGCCCATGTTGCACAAACCGCAAAACTTCAAAAACATAGAATCATATAAGAAACCTCTTATCCAGTTTGTTGTTCAGCTGACCCAGAAACGGACTGCTGAATGTCACTTCGCTTCTGCAAGTAAAAACCTCCTTCCAGCAGCTGCTTCTTGGCTTGTCAATTTAAAGCGACGGCATCTTGTTGTTGTTTTTTCTGCTTCTTCTTCTTTGCCAAGCGATCTCCCGGCTGAAAAGCGAGCCCTGATTTTTTCCTTCTAGCCGATCAGCTGGGAGACTGGGAGGCAGCGAATAGATTAGGGGCGGGGCCAGACAGAGATGGTATTTACTGGTTCTCTGAACTACTCAAAATTTCCACTACCGGTTCGTAAGAACCGGTCAGAACCGGCTGAAACCCACCTCTGGTTAGAAGGCAGTACTGCAGGCTACTTTCTGCTGCCAGCAGTTTGGCAGTTCGATCCTGACTGGCTCAAGGTTGATTCTGCCTTCCATCCTTCCGAGGTGGGTAAACTGAGGACCCAGATTGTTGGGGGCAAGAGGCTGATTCTGTAAATTACTGAGAGAGGGTTGTGAAGCACCGTGAAGTGGTATATAAGTCTAAGGGCAATTGCCATTATGAGCCAAAGGGCTGCAACGAAACTTTGAGCCAGAGAGAGCAAGAGCTAGAGTTGGAGACCAAGATTTTGGGAGACAAGCACAGTACCCACAAGGCCACCTGACTAGTTCCTCCTCAATGCCCCCCCCTCCCTGTTTCATCCTCAGGTTGGTGACAGCTGGATGGGGAACCCGAACTGCACCCAGCGCTGTTCTTGTGCTGCTGACAACCAGATCACCTGCGAGGAATGGAGCTGTACCCCTGTCCAGGAGTGCCGCCCCGTGGAGGGCCTGCTGGGCTGCCAAGACACAGGTGAGTCTCTCTCCCTGCAGCCAGTGGCATCTCTGGGACCCCCACCAGCCGCAGCAGCTCACATTTCACCCTTGAACTCTTCTCTGCAGGAGTGGCCACTTGCCACGTGGCCGGAGACCCCCACTACTACACCTTTGATGGCAAGATGGTCTCCTTCATGGGCACCTGCACCTACACCCTGGTGGCCCTGTGCCAGCAAGACCCTCACCTCCCGGTCTTCAACATCATGGCCAAGAATGAGGAGCGTGGTCAGCCAGAGGCCTCCTACCTGCGCCACGTGACGGTCCACATACACGGAGTCACCATCACTCTGCAGAAGAGCCGGCGGGTGCTGGTAAGGGTCCTGGTTGAGTGGGAGAGAAGGCGGGAGGGCAGGAGCCATGGGCCTCGGAGTCCCAGAGGGCAGCTGGAGTTGCAAGAGAGCACCCCCCTAGGTTAGAGTGCAGTACTGCAGGCTACTTCCGCTGACTGCTGGCTGACTGCAATTTGGCAGTTCGATTCTCACCAGGCTCAAGCTTTTTTTTTTTTTTTTTATTTATTTGATTTATATGCCGCCCTTCTCCGGAGACTCAGGGCGGCTTACAATGTGCTAAGCAATAGCCTTCATCCTTTTGTATATTTATAGAAAGTCAGCTTATTGCCCCTACAAACTGGGTCCTCAATTTACCTACCTTAGAAAGGATGGAAGGCTGAGTCAACCTTGAGCCTTGGAGAGATTCGAACCTGCAGTAATTGCAGGCAGCTGGTTTTAATAACAGGGTGCCTTAGACCACTGTACTACCAAGGCTCTTGATTCTGCCTTCTGCTTGATTCTGCCTTCCATCCTTCCAAGGTGGGCAAAATGAAGACCCAGATTGTTGGGGGCAAGAGGCTGACTCTGTAAACCGCTTATAGAGGGGGCTGTAAAGCACGGTGAACCGGTAGATAAGTCTACGTGCTATAGTGCTATTGCTATTCTGGATGATACTGCAGCCAACGGCCTAGGGAAGCTCGGAGAGAAGATCTGGAAGCCCAGGAGATAGTGGACATCAGCTCTGCATCTCTTTGTCCTCTCTCTACAACTCCTTAATTTGTGGCTGCCACCACAGAAGCCCCTTGCCTGTTCCAGGTCTGAAGAGTCTCTGGCCAGAGCATTGATCACCCAGAATCTTCCTGACCCCCCACCAGAGGGTCTGATCCCCCGTTGGGACAAAGCTCTATGGTGACTTGGTGTCCCCATTAGAGGGTCAGGGTTGGTGGCAGCCTAAACAGCGATCTTGAGCCTTTTGGACTCATCTCCCGCCCAGCGAAAGAGAATGGATTCTTTACATGTTTATTTTAAAAAATACAGTCCAATCGTGTGTCAATCTCCAGGACCTGCCATGCGCTGCTTACCTTCAGGTGGCGTTTTCCTTCTGGTGACAGCCCTTTGCAGCCTGACCTAAGGCTGCTCGAGGTCACAACAGGCCTTCGTTCTTGAAACTGCTTTGGGAAATGCTCTTCCGGGTTCTCTGCAGCCTCCGAGCACTGCATGAAAGCACACCCCGTGTTTGCATGATTTTTGGGTGTTCCGACGGCTGTCAGGGCTCCAAGTAATAGACCCATAGAAAGCAAAACTCCGAGGCAGGTAGATTCCTCAAAGAATAGCTTTATTGGATATATCATATTGGCACGTATCTGGTGAAAACCGACTCTGAAGTTTCCCGCGGTTTTCACCTAATTAAAAGTAAACGTTTGTCACTTCCTCAAAACAGTCGGTCACATGGTCCAATCATGGCGCTATTTGGTTGCCTGGTGACATTGCTCCACCTTCCACCGACCAGGTGTGAGAATGTCCTTGGTTCCCAAGAGAAAATATTTTGTTTTGGCTACAAAATCCCAGTTATCTAAAAACCCAATTCCCTCAGCTCTAGTGTGGCAACCCTGAAGCGTCCAAGATGGCTTCGGTCAGATCAGCTTCAGGGTTGACAATGGCCACACAAGAGCACGGCCTTCTTGTGTAACTTCTGAGAGAGCACCCCGTTCCCATGTGGTCTCTGCGGCCTCAGAAAATCACGCAAAACAGGGCGTGTTTTAGAAAATAGTGGTTGTTGAGTGATGGCGAATGCTAGTGTCCCCCAAAATGTTGTGGTGTGTCACCTTTGACACGTGTGTCGTAGGTTCATCGTCATGGACCTAACTCATGTAGATGTTGTGATGGGAAAGGATTTTTCTTGGTGAATTTCTGGCTGTCCTGCCATCTTTCCAGACCAAAAGATACGAGATCCCATTTTGGAGCCCAAATGATGTAGCCGCAGGACAGAACTCTCGATTCCTTCTTTCTCAGCATCTTCTAGTTCCTTGGGAGGACCACAGTCGCTCTTAAAAGTGGGGGCCCTTACAAATTTAGGCTTCTTACCCCTTTAACATCTGGACTCCAACGCAAGAATCAGAAAAATGGTTCAGCCTCTCCCTCCCTCCCTCGTTTGACCACAGATTGACGGTCAGCGTGTCCGAGTCCCCGTGGAGGACCGCATCCCGGGGGTCTCCATCGTTCCCAGGGGCATCTACGTAGTCATCGAGACGAACTTTGGGCTGGTGGTGAAGTTTGACGGAAACCACCACTTGGAGATTCAGCTGCCTGGGACCTATTTTGGGAAGGTAAGCCTCTGACCTGCCCATCCAGGCCGCACACACCGTACCTGGACTGCTTCCCGTAAGCCTTGATCTCTCGTTGCTGCACTCATTTTCCTGGCCTTCTAAAGCCTCTCTCTGCGTACTGGATCTTGGAAATTCATATTTAACATCTGATCATTTTAGAGACGTCCCATATTTAAACGCTATTTGTCCTTAGTACGTGCAGGACATTCTATGCAAAAGGAAAGCTTTGACCCCTGGGCCATCTCCACATCGGTCCTCTCACCCTTCTGTATGATTTGACCCTTTGCTATTTGGTAGCCATGTGCAGCGGCAGCCAAAAAAATGAATACAATCCTAGATTGTATAAACAGAGGCATAGAATCAAAATCACGTGAAGTCTTAGCACCGCTTTATAAAACCCTAATAAGGCCACGCCTGGAATCCTGCAACCAATTTTGGTCACCACACTACATAAAAGATGTTGAGACTTTGGGAAAAAAGTGCAGAGAAGATGATTAAAGGCCTGGAGACTAAAACATAGAAAGAACGGCTGCAGGATTTGGGTTTGGCTAGTCTAGAGAAAAGAAGAATTAGGGGTGACATGATAGCAGCATTTCAGTATTTGAGGGGCTGCCACAAAGAGGAGGGGTTCAGATTATTTTACAAAGCAGCAGAAGGCAGGACAAGAAACAATAGTTGGGAACTAATCAAGGAGAGAAGCAACCTGGAATTAAGGAGAAACTTCCTAACAGTGAGGACAATTAACCAGTGGAACTGCTTGCCACCAGAAGTTGTGGGTGCTTCATCACTGGATGTTTTTTAAGAAGAGATTGCATAACCATTTGTCTGAAATGGTATAGGGTCTCCTGCTTGAGCAGGGGGATGGACTAGAAGACCTCTAAGCTCCCTTCCAGCTCTGACACCCTCCCCCCAGATGAGGCCCCTTAGAAAAATTGAGAATTGTTTTATATACAGTTCAGTCATATTGGGTTTGGGATGTGTTCTTTCGTTGGTTAGCATAATTTTACCCATCTATGATAACGCACATGCTCAGTAACTTTATATATATTAGATGTAGCATTTCATAGCATCCCATAAGACAGACACAGACTTCAGAGGATCATTAGAACTGCAGAAAAAACCGTGGCTACCAACCTGCCTTCCATGGAGGACCTGTGTCCTGCACGAGTCAAAAAGGGGGCTGTGAAAATATCTGCAGACCCCTCGCATCCTCCTGAACATAAAACAATTCAACTCCTACCCTCAAAACGATATTATAGAGCATTGCACACCAGAACAACTAGACACAAGAACAGTTTTTTCCCGAACGCCATCACTCTGTTAAACAAATAATTCCCTCAACACTATCAAACTATTTACTAAGTCTGCACTACTATTAATCTTCTCATCGTTCCCACCACCCATCTCCTCCCACTTAGGACTGTATGACTGTAATTTTGTTGCTTGGATCCTTACGATTTATATTCATATTGTTTCCTGATTGCTTATTTGTACCCTATGACTATCATTAAGTGTTGTACCTTATGATTCTTGACGAACGTATCTTCTCTTTTTATGTACCCTGAGAGCGTACGCACCAAAGACAAATTCCTTGTGTGTCCACTTGGCCAATAAAGAATTAAATTCTATTCTATTCTATTCTATTCTATTCTTATTCTTATTCTTATTCTTATTCTTATTCTATTCTATTCTATTCCATTCCCAGCATGGTCTTGCTAAGGCTCAATTTCATATCCAGGGAGGTGTGTTTCCCACATTACAACGAGTTTCCAAGTTCCTAGAGTTGCAATCTTGGACCAGCCCTTATCAGGAGTTCACATTCCTGCTTCATTACTTCAAAAAACTAAAAGCCTTTAACAAAGGTTTACTCCTAGTTTACTGAAAACATTACTCAGAGCCTCCCCCCCTCCCACTCTCATCATATCCCCCTCCCCCTCTCAGGTTTGTGGCATGTGTGGTAACTTCAACAACCAGACTGCAGACGATTATCTGATGTCAAACGGACATTTGGCAGTCAATGACACCCAGTTTGGGAACAGCTGGAAAACACTGGGCGATAGTGACGTCGGGTAAGTTGTTCGGGGGAAGATCGGGAAGTAAACTAAGGTTAAGATAAACTTTATTCTCATGTTTTTTTTTCCCTGTGGGCACACTGGCACTCACTAAAAATGAAATTCTCTTGCCTGCTCTCAAAAGTGTACACGTACATAACACACATGTAGATATGCTATATACATACATCTGTATAGACCTACATCCTAACACAGTGTTTCTCAACCTTGGTAGCTTGAAGATGGTGGACTTCCAACTCCCAAAATCGCCCAGCCAGCACTGCTGGCTGGGGGATTCTGGGAGTTGAAGTCCACCCATCTTCAAGCTTCCAAGGTTGAGAAACACTGCCCTAACATGTAACCAACAGGCAGCTAGTCATTTGCATCCTTGTAGAAGAGTCATTGAGGACACTAGGAGGTTTGTCTGTGTCCTCAGGGTCACACCCCTCTCTCAACGGAGGGGGAGGGATGTGACACCATCCATTTTCAGTCTACAACACGGCTCCTTTCAACAGTTCCAATTTGCACCACTCAGGTGACCCTGAGGACACAGGCAAACCTCCAAGTGGCCTCAACAACTCTCTGCAAAGGATGCAAACAACCAGCTGTTTGCAAGGAGGATAAATCCTTCCATTCCCCACTGTCCAGTCAGAGCTGAAGAAGCTTCTCGGAGGAGAAGCAAAACGTCTTCAAAAGAAAAACCAGAAAGGCCTCTAGAAAAAGCACCTTTGGGACACTTGGGCTCAATTGTGGTCGTAATTTGAGGACTCCCTATACAGTCCGTCCCCTGTAATTCAATTCTAGAAAATCAAATTCTTCCTAAAACATCACAGCCTCTATTTGTTTTTCTCTTTCCTCCTTCACGTGGATAGCTGCCAGCCAGATAACCGTCCGGACTTGAACCCCAACTGTTCCATCCAGGAACTGGAGCGCCTGAGCGCCTTGTGCCTGGAGATCATGGCGCCCAAGTACGAAGCTTGCCACTCCCTCATCGACCCAAAGCTTTTCTTCCAGAACTGCCTTTACGACATGTGTCAGTACCAGGGCATGACCTCCGTCCTCTGCGACAACATCCAGGCCTACGTGGAGGCCTGCAAGAGCCACGGCGTGACCGACATCTCCTGGAGAAACAGCACCTTCTGCCGTAAGCGCTCTGGGGGGCAGCGGGGGGGCCAAGGGCGCCCCCCCCACACACACACAGGAAGGACACAGCAAGCGAGGCAAAGGATCAGGGTGAACGGGAGGGAGGGCAGTCCGGCACCTGAAGGGCGTTCAAAAAGTCAACAGTGAACTTTTGCCTCTGGGCCCGTCTTCTTATCTGCCACAATTCCCAAGTAGCCTCACCGTTGTCACTTTGTGGTCTTCCAGCACTGTTGTGGGGGGCTTTCTGCCTACATTTGTCATACAGGCAGTCCTCGACTTACAACGGTTCATTTAGTGACAGCTCAAAGCTCCCCCCCCTTGCAGTTATACAAATCAAATAAACTAAACTAAACTACAACGGCACTGAAACAAGTGACTTAGGACCGCTTTTCACACGATGGTTGCGGCGTCCCCCGTGGCCACATGACCAAAATTGAGATGCTTGACAACCGGTTCCTATTTATGACGGTCGCAGCTTCCCAGGGTCATGTGACCCCCCCTTTTGCGACCTTCTGACAAGCCAAGTCCATGGGGAATCCAGGTTCACTTAACAGCCGTGTGACTGATTTTAAAAAATTTCCCTGGTCCCGTGACCAAAATCTGGGTGCTTGACAGTTGTAGTGTCAGGTTGGGCTCAATTGTGTTGTAAATCGAGGACTACCTGTATTGGTGCCATTAGATTAGAGTAAAAGCCTCCCCCATCCGACGCATGTTTTACTAGAAATATCCTCAACCGCCTGGTTTAATACAAGGGGAGAAATCGGCTTCTGTGTCCAAAAGTAATTCTCGCTTCTCCTGGGCTTCTCTCTCTTCCTGGCGCAGCTCTTCCCTGCCCTCCAAACAGCCACTTCTCCGAATGCGCCTCTCCCTGTCCGGCCACCTGCTCCAACCTCTATGCCCCTGCCAGCTGCCACCACCCCGCACCCTGCGTAGAGGGCTGCGCCTGCGACCGAGGCTACGTGCTCAGCGACTTCACCTGCGTCCCGATGCGGGAGTGTGGGTGTCGGGGCCCTCAGCAGGAATACTACAATGTAAGTGGGGAGGGGCTTGTGCTGGACCGAGGGGCTCCCGTCTTCTATGGGCAGTGCCACTCTTAAGTCACCTGGAGCCAAACCCTGCGCCAGTTACCTTTGAATGCCCGCGACACGAGTAGCCCCAAAAACCTCTCGGCTGCTTCCTCCCAGGATCTATGCAGGTCTGTCAAGTGAAAATCACCTGGTGGTCTTCCATCCAAATACCCACAAGGCTGAGGCTACTCGGCCTTCTGAAACTGGCCGGAGGTGGGGGCAGCCGAGCGTGGCATCAAACCGGCCAGGGAGATCCTGGAGCCTCACCTGCTGCTCTTTCTTTCTAGTCTGGAGACACCTGGGTGACGAGTGGCTGCCAGCAACGCTGCACCTGCCTGAGTGGGCAAATTCAGTGCCAGACTTTCAGCTGCCCGACGGGGTCCCAGTGCAGCACCAGCAACGAGGGCCTTCACTACTGCCGGCCCACCAGTGAGTCCGCGGGGTGCCCAGGACTATGGAGTGGGGGGGGGAGATATCCACATTGCTCTCCCCATCCCCTTGCAGTTTTGCAAACTCTTTTTCTCTGGCAGCCTTCCACCAGTGCGTGATCTTGGGGGACCCCCACTACCGCACCTTCGACAACTTCGTCCACCACTTCCAAGGCCGGTGCACCTACACCTTGACTCGGACACTGGGGCGAGTCCCCCAGGGGCTGGAACCCCTCTCCGTGGCCGGCCGGAACCACCGCCGATCCATCCTCCACCGTGTCTCCTTCCTGCGCGAAGTCTACGTGGAGGTGCTGGGCTTCCGCGTCACCCTGATGCAGGGACGCAAGATGGCGGTGAGCAGCCAGGAGATTTGCTTGAGGGACGATGCGCCAGGGGGGATGGCTCTCGGCTGGACGGTGCTTCTTTCCAGCTCATCTTGGTTCTTGGGATCTTGGATGGCCTCTGCTCCCTGATGTGGATGCCCCCATCCGAGGCCCACTCAGCAACTGGTCTTAGAGACCCATGGCCTCTGACCATCCTCCTCCTCCTCCTCCTCTTCCACTTCCTCTTCTTTCTCCTCCTCCTCCTTTTCTTCTCCGTGCGAACAACCCACCAGAGGAGTTGCTTTGGGTATCCTTTCCCCTTTGCCCCTCCAACTGCTGCCTCTAGCTGCCCCCCAGTGACGGCTATCCTTTTCTTCCAGGTCAACGGCGTGATGGTCACTCCTCCCTACTCCCCCACGGAGGGGCTCCAGATCACCCAGAGGGGCCGCAGACTGATTGTAGAGACCAACTTTGGCTTCTCGATCTCGTATGATGGCCACAATGCTGCCGGTCAGTATTGTCTGGGGAGGGAAGGAAGAGAAGGAAGAGGCGGGGTATGTGCGTCTCCCTCGCCAGCTGGATGCTAACTGGACCTTAGCTCTTGGAGCACAGTTTCTGGCAAGGAACACCCCCCTTTGGGGCCGTGTTGTTTGGGCAGGGACGGTTCAAGAGCAGGAATGGGTGTTTGTTGTGAACTCCACAAGTTCCAGTGCATCGGGAGGGGGAGGGCTATCCCGTCCTCCCACTGAAGTATCTCAGCAATCGGGCAAGTGGGATTCAGAAGACATGAGAAACAAACAACCTGCAGGAATGCGAGGGATCTCGTCCCCTGGCCTAGCCAAGAGGTCCGCGTGCCACTGCGGAGGCTGTGTGCAAAGGACAGGCTATTCCCAAGTAGAAAAAGGGGAGAGGGGATTTCATCAGGTGGTCTCAGCTGGAGCGCCAGGTGGGCAGAAGGGGGGGTTTCATCTTTGGGCACCCCTGGAAAAGCAGTCAGGGAGGTGCCCTCCTTATGTAGAGCTCAAAGTGACGCATCGTACACACCCCCATTCTAGAGGGTTCCCACAAGACCCTCTGCTGGTGTTTCGGGGTCCCTAGAAGGTCATCTGAATCTCAGGAGCTGCTACCCTGGCACCAACTACAGATAATCCTCGATTTACAACTGCACAACTGAAGCCAAAGACGGTCGTTAAGTGGGTTTTGTCCCATTTCATGACCTTCCTTGCAATAAATTGTTAAGTGAATAACTCTGCTTTTCCAGTTACTGACGCAGTTGTTAAGTGAATCTGGTTTCCCCGTGGACTTTGCTCGGCAGAAGGTCATAAAAGGGGGCCACATGACCCTGGTTCACTGCAACCGTCATAAATGCGAGTCAGTGTGCCAAGCGTCTGAATTTTGATCACGGAGATGCTGCAACGGTCATAAGTGTGGAAAGCAGTCATAAGTCACTTTTTTCAGTGCCGTTGTACCTTGAAACGGTCACTAAATGAATTGTTGTAAGTCAAGGACTACCTGTAGGGGCTTGGAGGTAAGGGTGACCCATACAGAGACCCCCTCCACCAGGCGGGAGACCCAGGGGGAGGCTGGAGGGGGCCTGGGCTGAGTCGTCCCTCTTTCTCTCTGGGTCCTCAGAGATTGTCCTGCCCAGCACCTACCAGGAGCAGGTTGGCGGCCTCTGCGGGAATTATGACGGCCGTCGCAATAACGAGTTCATGAAGCCAGATGGGACGCGGGCTCGGACACTCAACGCCTTTGGCAACAGCTGGCAGGTTACGGTCAAGAGGATGGAGCTGGACGGAGGCAGCGGGAACTTCGGCCCTGCCAGAGTCAGGTCAGCTGGGGGGCCTGAAAGGAGGGTCCTGGGAGGAGGCACCCAGGAAGAATCAAGCAAGGATCAATCAATCAGTCAATCAATTCAGGAAGGCAAGACAAGAAACCATGGATGATTGATTGATTGATCGATTGAAGGCAGACTAGAAACAACGGATGGAAACCAATCAAGGAGAGAAGCAACCTGGAATTAAGGAGAAACTTCCTAAGCGAGAGAATAGTTAACCAGTGGAACTGCTTGCCACCAGAAGCTGCGAATGCTCTAACACGGGAGGTTTTTAAGGAGAGACTGGACAACCGTTTGTCTGGAATGGGGCAGAGTCTCCTGCTTGGGCAGGGGGCTGGACTAGAAGACCTCCAAGGTCCCCTCCAGCTCTATTCTATTCTGACTGCTTGCTTGCTTGATCTTCCACGGGGATTTGAGCAACCCAAAGGGCTGTTGCTCTGGCTTGGCTCTCAGCCCCGGGTGCGAATTCTGAAGCAGCCCCCCGCTTTCCCGACAGGCGTCAGGAGCCGGAAGAAGAGCCCGAATCGGGGTTCGAGGAGGACTGCACCCCAGAGCAGCTGGCCTCCGTCAACGGGACCAAGGCCTGCGGGGCATTGTCGGACCCCAGCGGCCCCTTCTCAGCCTGCCACGCCGTGGTGTCCCCTGCCCCGTTCCAAGAGTGAGTGTGCAAAGCGGGGGTGGGGTGAGTGTGCAAAGTGAGGGTGGGGCCAAAGGAGCCCCGGCTGCGTCTAACGGCCTCCCCTTTGGACTGGCAGGAGCTGCGTCTACGACCTGTGCGCCTTGTTTAACGACACGGAGCTCCTGTGCCAAGACCTGGAGGCCTATGCCCAGCTGTGCCAGGAGCAGAAGGTGGACCTGGGGCCGTGGCGGCAGAAGATCGGTTGCGGTGAGTACCCCAGGCCCTGGCACGGAGTTTGGCATAAATAGAGGGAGCCTCTCCAGCGTGGCATCGTGCCATCTCCCCTGCCCTGCCCGCTGCCTCACCAAATGAGCTTGGCCACAAGGCAGCCACAAGGCAGGTGGTCCTTGACTTACGTCCGCTCATACGGACCCCCAGGTACCCAGCGGTCGGTCTGACCCAGATTCGGTGTTCTGACGGTCACGCAAACGCACGTCTGGCACTGTTGCCATTCGCGGTTTTGGTCAAAACCCTGCCTGTAAGGAACCACGGGTTCGCTGATTCCCTCAATGACCGCCACGGCAAAAGAGATCCTGAAAAAGGGTCGGTCACGTGGCAGACCCGTTTAATGCCATGATGGTCGTAACTCGAGGACTGCCTACACACCACCCTTGAATCAGCGGGGGCCTGTGCTGAACTGCCTGCTTGGGGGCACAAGACCCCCTTCTTGAGAAAAAAGCCTGATTTGGGTCTTTTTCTCTTTTTCTCTCTTTTTCTTTCTTTCTTTCTTTCTTTTTCTTTCTTTCTTTCTTTCTCTCTCCCTCTCTCCCCCCACAGCAATGGAGTGCCCGGCCCACACCAGCTACCAGCCTTGCATGACTGCCTGCCCTGCGAGCTGTGCCAACCTGGCTGCCCAGTCCAACTGCGAGGCCTCTTGCGTTGAGGGCTGTGCCAGCGACCCCGGCTACGTCCTCAGCGGGCTGGTCAGCGTCCCTTACGACCAGTGCGGCTGCTCCAGCTTCGGCCAGTATTACCAAGTAGGAGCTGCCTTCCTCTTCCCCTCCCCTCTCTTCTCCCTTCCTTCCTTCGTTCCCTCTCTCTTTTTTCCTTCCTCTGTGCCTCCCTCCCTCCCCCTTTTTCCTTCCTTCCTTCAACCTATCTCCTTCCTCCTTTCCTCTTTCACTCTTTCTTTCTCTCTCTCCTTCCTTCCTTTTTTATTCTTTCTTTCTCTTTCTCTGTTCCTTCCTTCCTTCCTCCAAACTATCTCCTCCTTCCTTCTTTCCTCTTTCACTTTCTCCCTCCCTCTCTCTCTCTCTCTCTGGTCTCTGTTCCTCCCTCCCTTCCTTCCCCCCCGCCTTTTCCTTCCTCTGTGCATCTCCCTAACCCTAACCTTAACCTTTCCTCCCTTTTTCCCTCTTTTTCCTTTTCCTTCCTTCCATCCATCCATCCTTCCTTCAACCTATCTCCTCCTTCCTTCTTTCCTTCCTTCCTTCCTTCCTTTTTTTCTTTCTCTCTCTGTTCCTTCCTTCCTTCCTCCCTCCCTCCAACCTCCCTCCTCCTTCCTTCCTTCCTTCTTTCCTTTCTCTCTCTCTTTCACTCTTTCTCCCTCCCTTCCACTCTCTCTGCCCCATCTCTCTCTGTTCCCCCCTCCCTCCCTCCCTCCCTCCCTTCCATTTGGGGCTGGGGAAAATAAGATCCGGGTCCTTCTTGCATCTTCTCAAATTCCTCTTCCAAACTGGAGCTAATCTTGGAGTCGGTGCATGAAAGGTTTCAGGGCAGGGGAACTCAGGGCGGCCGAGTGGTGGCCGATGGGTGTTGCCAGCCGCAGTGCCCTTTGGCGAGGAGAGGGCATCTGGGGGTGGGCAGAGGTTTTCCCGGCCTAGCACCGAGCCCCCTTCTCTCCAGATCAACGAGACCTTCGTGACGGAGGACTGCTCCCAGCGATGCACCTGCCAGGCCACGAGAGTCCTGGACTGCTCGCCGAACAGATGCGGCCCAGGGGAGATCTGCGCCGTGTCCAACTACGTCCGCAGCTGCTTCCAAGGTGAGCAGGCCAGGGAGGAGGGTCTGTGCAGGGGTCCTGCGCTCTGTCGCTGAGGACAGTTCCTCCCCTCTCGGGGGCACCACGGTCGGTGCCTCCCCTTTGTGCCACGTCTCGCCCGCCTCTTCCTCCACAGACAACGCCTGTCTCAGCAGCCCCTGCCAGAACGAGGGGACGTGCGAGGTCACCCCGGGGGGCTTCAGGTGCCTCTGCCTCGAGGGCTACATCGGATCCCTCTGTGAGGATTCCCCGCTGGAGAGCTCAACCCCAGCGCCCCCCAAAACCAGCGCCTCCAGTGCCACCAGCACCATCAGCCAGACGACTATCGCAGGTAGGCAGACCCCCGCCACGCTTTCCCCCCCACCGGGCTGGGGACCCTCTGGCCCCTCACTCCCTCCTCTGCTCCCTCCTTTGCTCTTCTTGCCCCCCCAGGAAACTCCAATGGACCTGACTTGCTGGTCATCCTGCTGGGCGTCTTCATCCCACTGGCCGTCATCCTCCTCCTGACCTTGATCATCCTCTGCGCCTGTCGGCACCGGAACCAGTAAGGAGGGGTCTCAGCCCCACCACCAACCCCAGGGATAGAGTTTGGGGAGGAGGGGGCGGGAACAATAATGAGGATGAGGATGGCATAAAACCATGGGGAGGAGGCTTGCGGGCAAGAGAACTGTTTTACCAAGAAAGGAGAATATTTGTAGCTCAGGGTTGAAATGAGGGGTCCTTGAGGGTCTCTGAGCTAGGTGGGTGGGGAGATTGCAGATGTTTCACGACCCAACTAGGGAACATCATCAGTGCTAGAAGGAGGAGGGGGGAGGAGGAGAGGAGAAGGTGGAAGAAGAGGAAGAGGAGAAGAAAGGAGGGGGGGGGAAGAGGAGGAGGAAATGGATTGTGGGGTCCTTGGGGGTCTCTGAGCTGGGTGGTTTTCTTCAGACGTTTCACGACCCAACTAGGGAACATCATCAGTGCTAGAAGGAGGAGGGGGGAGGAGGAGAGGAGAAGGTGGAAGAAGAGGAAGAGGAGAAGAAAGGAGGAGGGGGGGAAGAGGAGGAGGAAATGGATTGTGGGGTCCTTGGGGGTCTCTGAGCTGGGTGGTTTTCTTCCAGACGTTTCATGACCCAACTAGGGAACATCATCAGTTGCCCTGTTACCTAGTTTGGGTCATGAAACAAGCTCAGAGACCACCAAGGGGAAATGTTTGGCAGCTTGCCACCGGCTGAGCCCCCTGCGAGCCATCGGGGCTGCCCTGCCCACGTGCTCCAGGGTGTGACCCACCAGCTGCCTCTCATCTCAGGAGAGGGTGTGATGAGCCGGTTCTCTGCAGTGCTCTCCCCCCTCCCCCTCCCCCTGCCAGCCCCCAGCCCCCTCCTTTTCCTCGCCAGGCTTCTCCCGTTCCCCTAAGTCAGGGGTCTCAAACTCCATTTCATTGAGGGCCACATCAGGATTGTGTTTGACCTCGGAGGGGTGGGTGTGGCCAGAGTGGGCGTGGCCTGCTCGATGTCACTCATGTCAGGGGAGCCTGTGGCAGCCCAATGATCTGTCAGCAAAAACAGGCTCCCGAGGTCCGTTTCTGGCTGCGACGGTCTCCTGCAACCCTCTGCACGCAGCCCTCCCGAGCTCTGTTTTTGCTGGCAGAGGGTTGCAGGAGGCCATCGCAGCCAGAAACGGACCTCGGGAGCCTGTTTTCACTGGCAAAGGCACTGAGGGCCGGTCCGTCGCTGTTTCCTGGGTGGCCCCTCAGACAGGCATTGTGAGAGACGCCCACAGGGCACGCGAGAAGCCTCCTGCGCGCTACTAAGCAGGGCCAGGGCTCAGGTGGCACAGCCTTCATGGCCCACAGGAGGCTTCCCAGACGGGCTTCAGACCCCGATTCCCCCAGACTCACTTGGCCTTCGTGTCTTTTCAGCGGGTACAAAACGAAGCTGGAGGAAGATCGCATCTCCATCATTTCGACCGCAGGTGAGCCCCTGCGCCATCTGGGCACCCAGCAGCTGGCACCCAGCACACTGGGGCTGCTCTAACTGATGCGCCCTTCTGTCTTTCAGGCTTCCGTGGCTTGTGAGGCCCCGACCCACGAGAAGAGCGTCTCCCTCGCCCATCCCCCATAGGTCACGACAGGACTCTCCCCCACCCCCCAATCTCTAGAGCTGGCTTCATTGGGAGGACAATGAGGGAACCTCCACCCCAACTCCACCCAGATCAACGGGCACCCACCAAGTAGCTGGCCGTGGCATCCAGTTTCCTCCAGGATCTGTTGGTTGGTCCCTGACAGTGGCCTCGTCTCTGCATGCCCCCAGGAGGGGAAGGACCTCTGCAGAAAGTGCCTGGGAGGAAGGGAGGAAGATAGGAAGGAAGGAAGGAAGGAAGGAAGGAAGGAAGGAAGGAAGGAAGGAAGGAAGGAAAGGAAGGAAGGAAGGAAGGAAGGAAGGAAGGAAGGAAAGGAAGGAAGGAAGGAAGGAAGGGAAGGAAGGAGGGAAGGAGAGGTGGAGGGAGGAAGGAAGGAAGGAAGGAAGGAAGGAAGGAAAGGAAGGAGGGAAGGAGAGGTGGAGGGAGGAAGATAGGAAGGAAGGAAGGAAAGGAAGGAAGGAAGGAGGGAAGGAGAGGTGGAGGGAGGAAGATAGGAAGGAAGGAAGGAAAGGAAGGAAGGAAGGAGGGAGGGAGGGAGGAAGGAAGATAGGAAGGAAGGAAGGAAGGAAGGAGGGAAGGAGAGAGGGAGGGAGGAAGATAGGAAGGAAGGAAGGAAGAAGGGAGGGAGGGAAGGAAGGAAGGTGCTCTTTTCCAGACCCCCTCTCGTCCATATATGTGAGACCCCATTCTGTGGGGAGCAGAGCAAACTGGATGGCCTCTTTCCTGCAGGCCCCTCTGCCACCCCACAGTGAGGTTCAAAGAAAGAACCCCAACAATTTTCGCTACCCCAACAGGCTCAAGGCCGGCTGATGTCTTGATTGGGCTGCAGGCCGCCAGGTGGGGGAGAGAGTGAGGCCAGGGCCCCTGTGGGGAGCAAAGAGTTGGGGTCATGGGGGGGGGGGGAGATATTTAAATCCCAGATTTAATTCCTGGCACAACCTGAGCCCACCTCCAGGGGGAGCTCTAACACTAAAAGCCAGAAACGCACCTGTAAAGCAGGTTGATGGATGGGCAGCTGCACCACCCTTGTGCTGGGAGCCCCTCCCCACCACCTGGAATTCCCGGCGTGCTCTGGGGCCCTGGACCCACGGCAGGAAGGCATTTGCTGCGAGGAGCTACGGGTCCCTGACCTCCCTCCCTGGTGCTGATTGGCCACAGTTTCCATCAGGCCCAGATCGTCTTTGTCGCAAGTGCCCAAGAGAGCGGGCAGCCTTCCCTGAGGAGCTGGCTCCAGGTTGCCCCTCCACAGCTGTAGCCAGCCCAACCCCCAGGGAGCCCACCTGAATGTGCTCCACTGTTGCAGGTCGCACCGTTTCCTCTCAGGGAGGGGCTCCCTTGGCCATCCAGATGTTCCAATGCCTTCTCTCCTGCCTTCCTGAGACTGTCTTAGGGGCTCTTAGGGGGAGGGTCCCATGCCGTGACAGAGAAAGGCCTGGGCCTGGGGCCTCCCCTCCATCCACCAGCCCGGACTCGGATCAGTCCAGAGCAGCTGGGCAGAAAAGCCCTGTTGCAGCTTTCCAGAAGCTCCTGGCGACATCCAAGCGATTCCTCTGGGTAGCAACCTGGTCCCGGAGGTCCTGCCTGCCTTTAAATCCGTGCTTGTTGACTTTCCTTCAGCTGAGGAGCCAGGATGTGGGGCCGAGGGTCAAAAGCACCCATCCCACAGCAGCAGTTGAGTGGGCCACTTTGCAAAGCCCCTCCCCCCCAGGTGTGCTCCGATTGCCCCGATGCGAGAGGCACACAGATACACTGTATGTTGATTATTTTTTTAAGGGATGCCAGCCTCGCACACACATCTGCTGGGCTCGTATCTCCACCACCAAGATACACAACCGTGCAAAACTTTTAATTAGATACGTTGTTCTATTGTCCTACTGTATTTTTCCATTCCTCAACAACAAATTTGATTGTGTTGAACTATTTCTCTGGTCAAGGACTCTTAATAAAGATAATGCCTAAAAAAATGCCTCAGCAGAATAGACAAAATGACTTCCCCCTTTCACAGGCCTGGGGAGGCAGGAGCCAGCTGGAATCTTAGGGCTGGGGGGGGGGCTCTGAACCCTGGGCAAAAGGGTGGCAGAAGGGGCATAGAAAGGATGCCATGCAGAGCTCATGGTGTCTCTCAATGGGTGGACTTCAACTCCCAGAATCCCCGACAGCTTGCTTCAAGATCAGTGGACTTCAACTCCCAGAATTCCCGAGTTATCTTGTTTTAAGATGGGTGGACTTCAACTCCCAGAATTCCCCAATAAACATGTTTAAGATGGGTGGACTTCAACTCCCAGAATCCCCGACAGCTTGCTTCAAGATCAGTGGACTTCAACTCCCAGAATTCCTGAGTTATCTTGTTTTAAGATGGGTGGACTTCAACTCCCAGAATTCCCCAACCAGCCACCCTTACATTGGAATGCCCAGACCTGTTCTACTCATATGGGAATCCGACCAAACTGAAATCATCTGGAACACCTTTGCCCCCCCCTTCCCTTTCACTTCTTCCAGGGGTTCCCCCAACGTCTGGCGCTCCGCGGCTGTGTCCAACCTGCCACGGTTCTTGGCTGTTCTTCCAGAGCCCTCCTCTGCCAGCCGCCTCTGCCCCACATCCCACAGGGCACAGCCCCCGTCCCCAGGCGAGAGAGAAGATGGACCCCAGCCCGATGGGAGAGGTAGTACCTGGGAATTCCAGGCCTGGAAAGTTCCCCCAGGAGTTTTATCACCCTCCTTGTTTGCCCTGATTAAGCTCCGCTGTGGAGCTGGCTGCCTTATCAGCTGGCTGTTTGCAAAGGAGGGCAGCTTCAATGGGGCCGTTATGGCCGGAGATTAAGACAGCTGATGCCCCCCCCTCTGCCCCACAAGATCCGGCCCAGTTCGGAGGCCTGGTGGAGCAGGACTGCAGGGTCTCTGGCCGTGCCAGGGCTGTGCACCGGTCAGGGCTCCTAAGCCCAAAGGAAGCCAACCCTGTGACTGTGACGGGAGGGGAAGCCCCCTTGAGGGTGCCTTGTGGTCAGCTCAGCCCCCCCTTGCCAGGGAAGCAGCACGGAGGCGCCTGGTCAGCAGCCCAGCTGGAGGGCACTTCCTGAAGAGAACCAAGCATTGAATTCAGGACGGGCACCCCTAACCCACCAAGCGCCTCCCCTCGGGGCTCTGGGGGAGAAACCCAGCCAGGCCTCCCCTCCCTCCGCTCAGCACTGAGGCCAAGTGCCCCAAAGGGAGCCCCTCCCCCACGGCTGGGGACCCCCCCACTCTGGCTCTCCCAGCAGCCCACTTGGGGTTTGGCTACATGGCAGGAAAGAGGCTTCCTGCCCCCTTCGTCTGAAGCCAGGAGGCTGCGAGTTCTAGTTCTGCCTTAGCCATGAAAGGCAGCTGGGTGACTTTGGGCCAAGCGCCAGGAGACGGCGAGTTCTAGTCCTGCCTTGGGCACGAAGGTGCCTTTGGGCCAGCCCCTCTCTCCCTTAGCCCGATCCGCCTCACAGGGTGGTTGTTGTGGGGAAAGTAGGGGGAGGAAGGAGTGTTGTGTTTGCCGCCTTGAGCTAATTCTAAAAATAATAAAGAACCTGTAATATCAATAAATGTTTAATGAAAAATATTAAAAGCCACCTGCTTTCTTTGACGTGACCTGCCCTGTCGCTCAGCCTGGAAAGTGAAGCCGCCAGACGGACCTCATAAATTCCCAGGGTCCGAGTGTCCATCTGCGGCCGTTGTGTCTCCTGGCTTGGCCCCAGCATCGTCCTGGGTGCAAAAAAGACCCCCCACCCCCCTCAGAGCAGCCTCAGACCCAACACTGAGGTTTTCGCTATACAAGCACAAAACGCCAGCAGCCCCCCCAGACTGGAGAAGAGGCTGCAAATGTCTCATTCTGGGCCGGCTTGGCTTGGGGAGGGGGCCTGTAACTTCACACACACACACCCACCAGTCTCCCAGCAGCCTCCCTCTGCCACAAGCCTGGCCGGCACTCCTGCCTGCCCACTGCAACCTCCGCCAAGGTCCCGGGGTTATCGTGCTTTGTTATATCGTGAAGCAATTGGGCACGTGTGGCGTTGTGGCCCAGAGATAACAGGGAGCCAGAGGTGGCCAGAGGGGGAGGCTGCCCAAAGGATGCGTCAGCAGAGGAAAAGGGGGTTCACTGACGAGAGACGCCCCCCCTCCCACAGCTGTGGATCTCGAAGCCTCCGACCCCTCCCAGGTGCCCGGGCAGCCACACAACCACACAAAATCTGTACATGTCAGTCCTTGGTAAGTTGTAGCCTTGACTTAATTGCCTTTTCACTGTAGTTTCACCTGCACAGGTGGGAGGACGACCACCTGGCTTCTTCCTTGTTTCCACAGTGTGTTTTATGTGGTTTCATTGTCCCCTTTTCTTATTTCAATGGTAGCTTTTGTGTATTTTAGGGCAAATTATCCAGGGACCTTTGGCCACTGGGACACTTTAAATATATATATATATACATGATAAATGAAGAGTTCCGAGTTTAGGAATGGCAGCGATTGGGGAGGGGCGGCAATTCGCCCACCGTCTTCCCAGCTGCACGCGTGGAAAGCGGGGGGGGGGTGAGGGACCCCAACTTTCCACCTGTTGGGAAGAATCGCCGCTGCGCAAGGAGGAGGAACAGCGGTGCAAGTGCGCTCCGAAAGACCCTCCCGCAGGCGGATGGGGTTGCAGAGTGGAGCGGGGGGGGGGCGGACTTTCTCTCGAGGGGGGGCACGCCCAATGGGCTTTTCTCCCATCCCGAGGCAGCCGGTGCAGAGGAGGGGCGCGGAGAGGGGATCCCGGGGTCTCCCCGTGGCCGGCGGGCGCTGCGGAGGGCGGCCCGGGAGCCCCTCGCCCGCCTTCCCTGGCGCCGCCTCCGCCCCCGCCCCTCCCCGCCCCTCCCCTCCCGGCAGGATCTGAGCTCACGGCCGAGGATGCAGCCCGGCGGCCAAGGGCCCGGCCGGCCCGGTCACATGCAGAGCCCGTGACGGGCAGCCCGGAGCCGCAGCGCAGCCCGGAGCCAGGTGGGCGAGGGGCGCGGAGAAGCGGGCGGGGGGCTCCCGGAGCCGGTCTTGGGGAGCCGGAGGGGTTGCAGCGGCTGGGAGAAGATCGGGCTGCCCAACCCCCCCCGGTTGGGGCGCTCAGCTGCTCGGGCATCGCCCCCGCCCGCGCCCCCTCCCCTCCCCTCCCCTCCCCCCGGCGGCACAAACAGCTGCGCCGCCTCCGTGGCGCTGCTCCATCCTAAACGGGGAGCTTCCCCTGCGCCCCTCCCCCTCCAGGCCCCCTCCCCACTTTGCCTCCCCC